GGGGGGGGGACACCCCTCATCCGAGAGAGGATCCAGGCGTCTGTCTCGGTTCTCTCCGGGCGCGCCGGATAGGGAAGCTCATCTCCGGGATTCATCATGTATATAGATAGATAGATAGAAAATCGATAGATTCTCTAGGAGGAGGGTTGGAGGATGTTTGTTTTGCTCGGAGATATTTATGATATGATATATGTGGATTGGGAGGGGATTGGGAGGGGATTGGGATGGGAATAATAGGGATAGAGGAGAGAGAGGGAGAGTGAGAGAGAGTGAGAGAGAGAGAGAGACGACGAGCTCTCGCTTCGGGCCGCACTAACTTTGACCCACCTCTCGCCCCGGAGGAGGAGGACCAACGTTTTGTTCTCGACGCTTCTAGACTATGATTTAGATTTAGTTGATGGGTGATGTGCGGATGACAGCTCGGATAAGATATTCATACCAAGATCTTAACGACCTTACCTTACCTTACCTTACCTTACCTTACCTTACCTTACCTTACCTTACCTATGTTAAGCTACCTATCTATGTACCATGACGCGATGAAAAGCTGCGGAGAAAGAAGAACAGAAGCGGGATAATCTAGGCGAGAGGATTGATGGAAAGGGGATAGGTAGTTGATGGGGGGGGCGGGACGCAGAGTAACGAACGTGCATATAGACATATGTATGTATGTATGTAAGGTAAGGTAAGGTATGTATGTACTGAATGTATGTACGGAGGAGAATGATAAATGGATGGACATATAGCGAACTACGGATCTAGGCTCATGACGACCTACCTACCTAGGGAGGGCATGGATGATGGGGGGGGCAAAGGGCGATAGATACTGTACCTAGAGCACGGAGCGGAGAACGGGGGAATAGAGCCTAGAAGGGAAGAAGAAGACGAGAAAGAAGACTATTTGTTTCTTCGGGCCTTCGTTCGCGGCGTCGACGGGGATGGCATGGCATGGCATGGCAGCCAGGGAGGGTGCGGCTCTGCTAAGGAGGGCCAGGGGAGCCAGGGAGAGGAGGACCTGGTAAGTGTGTGAGTGAGTGATGGATGGGATCGGAGCGGGGACCGAGAGAGACTATTGGAATTTGGGGTCAACGGTTAGCTTGCGTTGCGGCCGTTGCGGGACTTGATATTGGAATGTTAGTTGGGACTTCGGAGGATGCCAGAGAGGGCTAAGGGAGTTCGTTTGTTATTCCTGACTACCTACTACAGTACTTCCTCCCTGTATTGTAAGGTAGGTAGGGACCGAGTGAGGTGACGGAGAGGCAAATACGAGACCACGTGCTGCAGTTGTCTTTTTTGTCTTGCCGAGCTTAGGGAAAGGGGTGATGGATGTTGGGCGAAGAAGAGCTTCAGAGCTTGGATAATACGGGCATACAGACAGAGTAAGGTACAGGTATGTAATATCAACATCCTAAGGTACCTTAGCTACAGTTACTACTACTGTACCTACCTACAACATGTCTCACCCACGGAAACATATGTCCGTCCTCCGCCGTATCGCGACACCATCTATTCGTCCAGCTTAGCGAGTAAGAGCCCTTAGACACCTACGATATACCACAACCCTCCATCACAGTCACATCTCCAACTACCTATCGACAGCCTTTCGAGTTTGTTTCCCGACTCGACAGCACGAGCTCCATACCTCGGTATTTTATTCCATTCTAATTCTCAGCTCACACAGGCAAGGAAGGCAAGGCTGAACAGCTGGACCCGGTGGCTTGCAGGTGCGGACTATTAATAGTCCTTCCTTTATCGCCCCAGGGAATAAATCTTGGAGCTCGAGAAACAGCGGCTGAGGGTGCGGATGGCTTGTCGACTTACTTCGCGGGGGGGTGAGGATCTGGGATTTTAAATCGCGGGTTGATTGATGATTAGAGGTTTGTATGTATGACGCCCTATGCAACCCGCAATCTATCAAGAAAGAAAGCCTCGTACGAACAAACGAACGAACCAACACGCCTCCAGTTTTTGTGCTCTCGAACCGCACGTAGACTTCCAGACTTCCTGTCCTATCTATTCTCTATACCTAGGAAACCACAGACAATATCGCCTCTTAAATTTTAATCAAAAATTTAAAGTAGGTACCTTAGTCTTAAAACCTGACATACCTACATCTCACATCCACCATTTCTTTCTTTCATCTACACCCTGTATAATCCGTACGACAGACAGTCAGACTCAGAAGAGGCTCGTGGGAGATCTCCTGCATCTCGCGCGACACGACCTTCAGGTACATTAGATTAGATTACGCATCTAGCCTCTAGGTTCTCTAGTTCGGGTAAGCACAGGGTTTGACAAATAAATACTGTGATTGCTCCCCCGGGACTCGCGAGGGAGGCTCAGCTGAGATGTAAAGATTGGATTTGGCGTTAGGATGGGAAAGAAGGGGGGATTGCGTGCGTAAGGTATGGTGATATTATGATATGGAGAGATTGTATCTCGTGTGTGTGTATAGATAGGTATCGTAACAGGATGTACCTTAGGAAGTAAAGTAGGTAAGGTGGAGGAGGATCATATACCACCTACCTAACCCCCCTTCTTTTCTACAAGGTACCTTAGCGTCACATCATAGATATTTTCTCCCGTGTTGACACTGTGTTGACACGGTTTTAATTTAAAGAACCGTTTAATTTGAATTACCGCCAGGAGACGGTGTCGAAATTATACACGGTGTCAATATCGCGAACGGTGTCAGAACGGTGTCAGTACTACAGAACGGTGTCAGTACCGCGAACGGTGTCAACTACCTTATATAGAGGTTATAGCTTACTAACCCTCCCTTACGGGCCCTTAACCCCCCCCCCCCCCCCCTCTCCCTCTCTCCCTAACCCCCCTCTTTACCCTACTATATAAGGTACCCGGTAGGCCGGTGTACACCCCTACGCGTAAACTTTAGCTAAATCGATCGATTTTAATACTTTTAAAACTCGACTGTTGATAACTATAGAGTTAGAGAGCTACCGAGTACCTTAGGTAAGGCAAAAAACAGATTTAAAAAGGAAGGTATTCTATAAAGGAAGGAACAGAGCTAAATTCTAGAGGGCGTGTACAATAGTAGAGGGTGTACGTATATCACAAGCCTATTTGACACCGTTTGACAACTCTGACACCGACTTTCGGTATTGACACCGTGTTACCGTGTTGACACCGTTCATAATCCTGTTACCGTAACCACACCGTGTCAAGATTCTATGATGTGACGCTAAGGTAAATAAGAGTAAACACCAGTTTTTTTCGGTATGATATAGACCTCTACTAAGTTAAATCCGTAATCGTGTTTCATTGAATTCTAACTTAGGTACATTACATTACTCTGGTATCTATTTTGTATTAAGGTAGGTGGGAAAGGAAGTGGCAAAACGAAGGTAGGGTAAGGTAGGGTAAGGTATCTATCTATCTATCCATCAATGCCAAAAGCCAAAAGCCAAAAAGCCATCCAAGAATCGCGGAGACCCCCCGATCCATGTCTCCCTCATGCTCTCAGCGCCTCTTAAGTGTGCCACCTGCTTGCATGCTTGCTTGCTTACTTGCGTGCTTACCTCATGCCGCGGTATACTTTTGTCTGTCCTCCTATCCTCTGTCCTCCTATCCTCTGTCCTCCTATCCTCTGTCCTCCTATATATTGGTCTCTAGGTTCCTTATCCTTTTCCCCTTCTCCAGCCTCCAGGGAAAGCGCGAGATAAAGCTTCGAAAGTCTTACAAGAAGAGCTTGACGTTGTAACTTGTATAGAAGATGCGAGTTTTCTAGAAGCTTGCGATCTTCTACGCTATAGATAGATAGATAGATAGATAGATGGTTCGGGATAGATACCTTAACTTGGGTAGTTTTTTATAAGAGTTCCTACTAAGTAAGTATACCTCATACTTTACTCTGTACCTAGATACCTGGATAGCTATTTCCCTACCTACCCAAGTACCCAACTTTCCAGACCAAACCAGCCGTCACCCTCAGACTCGCCGCTCCAGCAAATCCATCAATCTATCAAATCAAATCAGCAATACTCATTCATGCATAAAATAGCTATATATGTAAGAAGACAAGCTTTCAGCGTAGGAAAGAAAGTAAGGATCTATATATAAATAGCGGGTGGCAGCAAGCAAAGCAAGCACCGGGTCCCGAGACTCGTGTGAGACTTTCCTTTTTTATTATGTGAGGTAGGGTACGGATAGATAGATAGAGAGAGGGTTGGGTATGAGAATAGAGAATAGCGATTCTTGAAGGGGTGGACAGGAGGGATAGGGGAGGGGGTTGGTATACTAAGATACTGTGCATATCGTCCTAGCTACGCGCGCGCTCAGCAGGCAGAAAGGATTTATTTATTCGACGACGTTGTTGTGTCGAGGCGAGAGGAGATGATGAGGGCGGTTAGAAGGGAGGTCTACCTTAGGTAGTTGTGGTTCTGGATTTCTTTCCATCTGCGCTATGATATTGTATGGGATGAGATGTCTTGTATTAATTTGAGAAGGGAGGAGATGCGTCGGGAGGAAGGTACGGGAGTAAGGTAGCTTATGTTTCAATCTTGAATCAGAAGAGGGAGAGGGAGGGAGGGATATATCCTGGAGGATCGACTCCAAGCAATTTGAGGCTGATGAGGATCAATCAATGCCTGACGAGCACGAGGTACGTACGTACCAGATATTCCGTAGACTCGGTGAACTAACTAGTCGAATTCGCATTCCACGATCCAGTCTCCAGTTGCACACCCCGTGACTCCTCCCGCCCTAGCAATGCATCCATTCATACGCTATTCATCCCATCTCACGATACCATAGCTGGTATGCTGTCACTCACGCCACGCTCCACCTCTCTCTCGCACCGTGTCTCGCGAGCCAGGTGCAGACCAGACTGCAGACCTAGCAGCCGCACGCGGTGAGTGGGGTCTCGAAAGAAAGACAAGACTTGTCTGTCTCTGCAATGCCTGCCTTGGAGTCGTAGTAGTAGTAGTCTAAACAAGTAGTAGTGCCAGTAAGTCATCAACTTAAATCACCCACGACTTTGAAGACAGTAGACTAAGAACTGTAGGTAGGTAAGTTATCAAGCTCTCCTTAGTCCCGCGAGCTTGGCTGGGTCTAGAGCGGCCTTTTCCCAAGGCCCGCACCCCCTCCCCCTCGACCGAAGCGGGCGCGGGCGTGCCAGTCCTCAATGGGCGAAAATAAACGATATGCTACTGCCGCTTCGCGATCCAGAATCTCTCCTCTCCTTCCAACTCGCTCCCTTCAGCTTTTTTTCGCAACGGCCGGAGGAGGAGCGCACCGAGCGAGCGAGCGAAACAAGCCTGGAGCAAGCAGCTGAGCGGCGAGGTTGGTTCATTGGGAGAGGGAGGGCATGATGGTAGCGCAGTGCTTTCTTCTTTGTTTGTAGCTTTGTTTATTTAGGGACAGGCTCGGCTTTCTCCCGTGGAATTTTTATTTTTATTTTTAAAGAGAAGGGAGAAGCTTGGTTGGGATTCGATCATTCGCAGAGTGAAGAGCGGCGACGGGGGGGGCGCGCTTCGAGCCTTTTCCTGACTCTGCGCTGGCCAATGAGCGGCCGTTCCCTCAGGCTGTGCGACTCGTGCCGGACCGCCCATACTGGGTATACACGTGTGTATTATGTACGCACATGTCTCCGGGTGACGGTCCCCACCAACCAAGCAACAGTTCTCCTTGTCCCTACCTAAGGTATCTGCGAAAATAGGAAAAGGTTATATATAAAATTAGCTTTTGAGCACGTTGTATAAGACGCGAGTTATTTATAGCCACATGGCATGATTATAGAACCAGGGAATCACTGCAGAGAAAAAGAAGAAGAGAGAGGAAAAGGGAAAAGAAAAAGAAAAAAAAGGAAAAAAAAAAGAAAAGGAGACCAAGGGGAAAAAGGAAATAGAAGCGACAGGCCAGGGGTCCTCGTAAACGAGCCAGTGGGCGGGCAAGGGGGGGCCTAGCCGGTGGACGGTGTGTAGCCCTGGAAGTCTGGGAGTCTGGGAGTCTGGGACCCGGCGAGAGCTGCCAGCGACGCCAATCAGCCCGAGCCCTTGTCGATCTGTGGCCCGAGCGTGTCTTTGCCTGCCAGGGGTCTGGTCCTGTGTGTGCTGTTGTGCTGTGTTTCTGTGTTCTCTGTAGGTGGATGGGATGTCTGATCCTCTGTCCCATCCTATGTCCTATGTACTATGCATCATGTACCATGTATATCATCTACAGCATGTAATATATGACGCCGATGTTTATTCTTTTCCCCTCCTCCTCGCGACCTACCGCTGCTGCTTGGCAGGAGAGCCAAATGATATCACACATCCACAGGGCCCTCTTCCCAGCTTGGCACTTCCCGCCCTATGTACCTCGCTGCATGTACTGGAGAGTAGGCATGTCCGTTGTACCGTACGGCGTACATATGTGTGTAAGGTCTGTACAGCACGGTCCTCGACAGCACAGGGCTGCTGGCCCCCCGAAGGCGGCTTCCAGGAAGTGCGCTCACGATCCACGCGAACCAGGAAGAGCGGTGCGATTCTTCCAGAGTCCAGTAGTAGACTGTAGTACGCACCTACTATTATTATTGCAGTATCGCATCTCCCTCACGCGCCCATTGTCCAATTAATAATCGCGCGCCTGTTCTTGGGCGCTCTCTCCAGAGCGACGAATCAGGGGCTGTCTGACCGTCATGATCTCCTCAAATGAGAGCGGTTGAATCCCCATTTCCTCCGGACAAAAGCTGGACGCTGTGTACACCTACCTACATCAAGGGACCCTACATCCCAAGCGTAGGTACAACATTCGATCTGCAAGCCCTGCATCCGCGCCCAGAGAAGGCCGGGGGGGCGCTAGGCACGACAGAGCACAACACGCTCCAGCCCTTTTATCAGACGACAGTGCGACTACTCCGTCACGCGCGAGGAAGAGTGACTACTGGTCGTCCGGTCTTGATACTCTAAGGTAGATGATGATGTCTCTGCTTATCAAGTTAGAGTCGGGGCAGGGGAGGGGGGAAGAAAGGTTCACTCACGCTTCCATGCGCTTCTGGCCCGTAGCCCGGCCCTTTCAGGGTTCAGGCTTGCTGCCAGGGGGGCAAAGACGAGGCCCCGGGCTAGGCTGACAGTGGGGACGCTTGACTGTTGGAACTTGGAACTTGGTAGGGTGAGTAGTGGCTGTAGGGTTAGTAGTAGTAGGGGCCGTGGTAGTAGTGGCAGTAGTGACAGTAGTGAGTTAAGTGCTGGTCTTCAACTTGGCTAAACTTAGTCTCACCTTACCGGCCGACCTGCACAACGTCCCCGAGGAAGAAGATGCAGAATGTGTTGACGTTGGGATCCCTCTTCCGTATCACCGGTAATTGCAGTCCGTATTGATGATCCAATATTTGACCGATCATCAGGGCAGGGGAGAGAGAGCTGCTGCTGCTGGATACAGTTACGTGCCCCCTCGTGCTTCTTGCTAAGCGGTTAATAAGGACCAAGTGTCGCGGCTGGAGCTTATTATATACAGCGCCGTACGACCTGCCTACGACCAATCGAGCTCGGTCGCCCGAAGAAGCCTCTCCAGATTTTGATCTTAGGGAGTGACAATGAACTATTAATAATCATGGGAGGACCCAGGGTGATTTGATATATTATTTGATATTCGATATGCGATCGCGCACAGGGCCAGGGCGCATCTATATATATATATGTATATGTGTATATGTAGGTATATATATATATATATACACATATATTGTTATATACATACAACGTACTCTTGCTGCTTTGCTACCTCGGGTACTATACTCGAAAGCTGCGGCGTTTAGTAGCAACGCTTCCCGTCGCTCAGGTACCAGGGAGAGTCGAGACAGACCTTAACACCGACGAAGACTTGGGTACGGCGGGATTACTAATCCGCTTCCGTTTTCCCTCGCTCTGGCCAGTTGCTTTCCCGCCCTTTCTTTGCTCTCTCCTGCGCTGTACTGTACCAGTCCTGCTTTCGGACTATTCTCCGGCTTCTTTTCCCTGATGATGATTCTTGATGGTCGTCTGCTCTCCTCCGTCTGACTGCTGTTGTTATTATTATGTCCTTCTAAATATCCACACCCATTATCTATTTCGGGACACCCTTGAGTCTTGATCCTTGCCCCTTGACCTTGACCTTGACCTTGACCCTCTTGACCCTGTCAGGACACTGCTGGTCACGGCTGGGATGGACTGCGCGGCGCTCGACGGGGCGTACGCAGGATACTTGTGCAGGGCAGACAGGTGATCTGGGGGAGGGAGCTGGAAGGTAGGGAGGTTGGAGGCAGCGGACCTTCGAGCTGTGAAGCTCTGGCCGGTCTCCATCGAAGAGACTGGCTGCGTCCACGATGACTGCTTGGGCAGGGCGTCGCCGGAGGGGGGTGGAGAGAAGGGATGCTGGAGGAGTTCGGGGGAGTAGTGGATGTTCACGACCGGATTTGGAGTGCTGTCAAGTCCCGACAGTAGGAGTGTTTGTGACATGAACGAGGGCGACGGCGAAGAGAATCAACCCCCAGAGGCGTGGAGAGTAGGGAGGAGGGAGGGAGGGAGTGGGCGAGCTGGTGAGAGAGGAGGCGAGAGAGGAGGTGAATAGATGGGTTGATGGGTAGACGAGTCCTCCTCTATCAGTGAGCAGACGAGGACTCTCCCGATGAGAGCACCGCGCACACTCTTGAGGCGCGTAGGTGCGCACCTCCCGACAGTAGACAAATAGCAGAGGCGGCGATGGTGGTCGTCCAAGAAGGGGGAGGAGGAGGAGGAGGAGGAGGAGGAGGAGCAGCAGCAGCAGCAGTAGCAACGCAACACACACAGTTTAAACAGACCCGTTCAGTGGTTGTCGAAGTCGGATCTGGATTAAAGAATGTGGAGTGTCGATCACCTGGATGGCGGCCGGGGAGGCGCCTGTTGGATATATGTAAGTCCTCCTAGTGCTAGGCTGGTGCTTCTATGGTGGATGGGTCTACGGAGCATGTAGGAGCATTTCTGGCAGGCCTAGCCCGAGAATGGATCCCGGCGGGAAGCGTGGGCAGCGTGGCCGAGGGGACCGAGGGGAGGGGAGGGAGGGCGGAGGGGGGTGCGAGGAGGGGAGGGATTGCGGGATTCTTATTGGGGAGCGCGAGGGAGGGACTGGGAGGGACTGGGAGGGATTGGGAGGGATTGGGAGACCGGGGGGGAGGGATCATGGCCAGTAGCGCGCAGTCGTCGGCGCAGAGGAGGGGAGGGGAGCGGAGCGGAGGGGGAGGGAGTGGGGGACTAGTGTGGCCTGGTCGGGCAATAAATCATGATCATAAACAAGGGGGGGGGAGGACCAGGGGGGGAGGGCAAGGGGGGAGGTTCAGCCTCCCGCCGGCCTTTCAGGTGACGGGCTCAGCCCGCTCGGGTCAGGCGTGAGTGCGAGTTCACAGAGCTCGGCGGGGAGTATTGCGCCCTATCAGCCGATGACCTTTTGGTCAACCCCACAGAATCCGTCGTATAACTACAGTTCGGCGCCCTCAATGCCGGCCCCATTTGCGCAGCAGCAGAGCTATATGGGGCGGTCCATCTACTCCCCGCCAATGAACAACTTCTCCCCCAGGAATACGCACTCTCCAACTGCAGGGGAAGGACTTCCTCAACCCCCCTATGATCTCAGTCTCCCTCCGTTTCCTACCTCGATGGGCTCATCTGGAGGTCAGCAACAGAACTTGCCCACGCTCGCACCTCAGCAACAACAGGGCCAACAGAACCAGCAAAATCAGCAGCAGCAGATGGACAGTAGCGGGATGATGAACTCACAGCAAGCATCCTCTCAAGGTCCCCAACCGGGGTCTCTTCATGCATCAGATACTTACGGCGGACGCCACCCCCCAACACCCTCCTATTATAATCCCCCCACCTCGGCGCCACAGCAAGCCTCATTCCCAGCATACTCTCAGCAATCGCCAAGCCAGCCATCACCCGTCGGCTCACAGCCACCCTCGAGTCGGATATCTCCTGTCTCGGCCCAAGGCTACCATTCGCGTCCATACAATGGATACAACCTCCCAGCCATGACAGGCCCGATTATGTCCAATGTACATAACCCGGGGAATCAGATGGCGCTCGTGGGGGGGATGAACTTGCAATATCCCCAGCATCAGATGAGCGGGCAGCACATGTACGGGCACCCGGGCCAGCAGCAGCCATCACCGCAGAACGACCGGCCCTTCAAGTGCGATCAGTGCCCGCAGTCATTCAACCGCAACCACGACCTAAAGCGGCACAAGCGGATCCACCTGGCTGTGAAGCCATTCCCTTGCGGACACTGCGAGAAGAGCTTCTCGCGTAAAGATGCATTGAAGGTTCGTTCTTTTATCCGATTCTAACTTGCAGTAATTGGAGGCGGCTTTTTTTCCTTGTGTAGAAAGCTGACCGGACGAACAGAGACATATTTTGGTGAAGGGCTGCGGGAAGAGCTCTACGACGGCGAACACCAACGGCGGTAGTCAATCCCCTGTCGACAAGTCAGAGGAGGGCACGAACGATTCCGGTGATGATTCCAGTCCCGAGATGCCGAAGAAAGAGCTCTGATTCTCATCCTGCCTCTCCGGGCAAATTCAAGAAGAAGCGGGCGCCCCACGTCAGAGTACACGAGTTGATGTGTGGGCTGCCCACGGGCTGGCTTTGCACGGGTGGACCACGGGTATACCGCGGGGGTAACCGGGCGGCGTAATTTAATCCACGGACTTTGTAGATCCGCTCCATCGAAGATATCGGATTCGGCGTTGTGCGTGTTTTCATTTTTCGTATCTAGGGGCCGGGGAGGGGAGTGGGTGGGGATGGAACATGGGAAACAAACAAACGGGTTCTGAACGCGAGCGTAAAACCGGAGTTGGGATTTTTGTCTTTTTTTGTTTATTTTGCCGGCCAGCATGATGAACCTCTCTTGAAGGAAGCACGAGCGGACCACACCCAAAAAGTTCTCTTTCGCCACTGTCGTTCTTGTATCAACTCATCTATTTTTCTCTTCGTTTTCTTGTTTTGCCGTCGCGGAGGAGGCAGGTGTTCGCGGGGTATTGGGGTTGGTTTGCTGGAGGCTTGGCTTGGCGCTCGTGGATCGATGGCGATGATGCGCATGGCTCCTGACGTTCCCACCACGCTCTTGCCTGCTATCATTTCCATCCATCCATCCATGCATTTATGCGCCAGCTTCCCCTTTTTATTTTATTTTTTCTTTGCCTTCTCTTTCCCATTTTCCCATCGATAACGAGATATCCGAAGGTTTCCGCCATGACGGGCCTAGCATGTTATTTTGGCTGCTCATGTTCTTTTTTTTCTTTTTCATGTCCTGCATGCATGCGCTCTGCCTTGTATTATATTATACTACTACTATACCTACTACTACTACTACTACTACTATTATACTGAGATGATGAAATGAAAAAAATGGGATCTTTATTTGATTGCATGTTCTTTTCCTTTTAATCAATGCTTGATTTCTTTTTTCTCTGGCTACTTCAAGTATATATATAAACGGACGGCGAGAGAGGAAGAGAGGGAGGAGGGGGGGGGGATTCTTGTCTATAATTCTTGTCCATATTAAATTTCTCCTTTTCAGCTAAAGCTTCCGAGGTACAAGAAGAGTAACGTTAAGAGTTGCATCTCAGGTCCACTAACTAACTATTCAATATGATTTCGATAGTTTTCGAGAGCGGGTCGTTCTTTGTTTGTTGTAAGTAAGTGGAATGAGGAGCCTAGAGGCAGAGACGGATAAATAACATCTATTGCACGTGATGAGCAATCTAAAAATAGGCCCCCCGTGATAGTATTCGTGCCCGACCACCTCCATTTCACACGGCGTATATACCTAAGATGAGCAAGAAACAGAACAATGTGACATTTTATATCCGTCTAATTACCAAACTGGGACAAAAAATTTCCCGCCTCCTTTTTTCCTATGCGAGCGCAAGAGCCACGCGCCTTCCAAATGACCTCCCAATTCCAAATGACCAACAACACCACAACAGGCGGCTCAGCAGGCAAGCCCGCCATTCTCTGCCTACACGGCGGAGGAACCAACGAAGCCATCTTCCAAATCCAAACGATGCGCATCCAAAACGCGCTCACCCCCTATTTCCAGTTCGTTTTTCTCTCCGCACCTTTTGAAAGCGCGCCCGGTCCGGACGTCTTACCTGTATTCGAAGGCTGCGGTCCTTATTTCCGCTGGGTTCCGGAGACTTCTTCTTCATCATCATCATCATCGGCGGCACAAGAGGAGATGCCCATCGAGACGAAAAAATTACTGAACCGTATCGCGCAGGAGCAGAGAGCCAAAGATGGCCGAGGTTTCGTAGGAGTCTTGGGATTTTCGCAGGGCGCGCGACTAGCTGCGGGTTTGTTGCTGGAGCAGCAGCAGTTGGGGGGCACGGGAGGAGGTCTGGATTGCGGGGAGTTCGCTTTTGGAATCCTGTGTAATGGTGTTTGTCCGCCCCTAACATCGTCGGCCTCTGCACACACGCAAAAGATCAAGATCAAGATCCCCACGCTTCACGTCATAGGACTAGAAGATCCTTGGAGGGAAGAGAGTCGCAAACTAATGACCGACTATTGTGATCCTAAATATGCGGTGTGTCTGCAGTTTGGTGTCGGTCATAGGTTTCCTGTATTAAAGGATGATACGGAGAAAGTTGCGAAGGAGATCTTGAGGTTGCATGGTGAAACTTTGGGAAGAAATTTGGTGAATTAGATGGGTTGGTTGGTTCGCCCTCGGCCTACCTAGATTTTTTTTTTCGCTGGGGCAGGGAGTTCCGGATTGAATTGAATTGATGGTGAGATGGGATATATACCAGTATCCCCGAAAGACATATATATAAATGAGGCGGTAGACAGTCAGTCAGTCAGTCAGTCCTGTCACCCTAGATTGCAAGTCTGTGTATAGAGAGTTCTATCATGACGCAAGAGCTACGCAGTCCCGAGTTTCCAGAATATCCTCTTGTGCTTTCAAATTCAAGACCTTTCGTTGTTATGTGAGTGATGGGGTCTTTTTGTCATTCCCGACAGAGCATGAGGAAAAAAACAAGGGAAGGACTTTGACGCTCGTTCAGCCATTGACCGGTTAGTGATGTCAATCAAGACTAGCTATGGTTTTGAGGGGCGAGTGATGATAGAGATAACATTGTCTAAAAGGCGCGCAGATACTATTTATAGATTCATGGCAGCAGGATATCTATCTACAAGCGCTTAGTAAACCTCGAGGACATATCTGAGTTCCTCCTTCAATCTCTCAATCTCCTTTCTCGGGTCAACCTTCTTGCCCGTCTGCTTTGCGTCCAGAGCAATGGCTTCCTGCAGCACTTCGGTCACGTCTGGTACGGGCCATGTAGGACCACACAGGTAGAAGGAACCCTCCTCCTTGATGTAGGCCTTGATGATGTCGTTGACTGTCTGGCGCATCCTGTCCTGGATGTAGATCTTCTGCGGCTGGTCTCGGGAGAAAGCACGGCCAAGCAGGGTGATCACGCCGGCGTCTTGGTAAGCCTCCCACTCCTCACCGTACAGGTACTCCTCGCGCTGGTGACGGGATCCCATGTACAAGAGGATGGAGCCGATCTCCTTTCCTTGAGCCTTCTGCATAGCACGGTACTGGACGAAGGCGCGGAAAGGAGCAAGTCCCGTACCGAGACCGGCCATGATGAGTGGTGCGGTATCCTTGGCTGGGAGCTTCATCACGGATGGCTTGACGCTGGCCGTCACCTTGGCACCAACTGGGAGTCTGCTGAGGTACTTGGTAGCCTGTCCGAAGCGGTCGCGGCCCTTGGGGTCGACCCATGAAACGACGACGATCATGAGAGCGACAGTCTTAGGGTTGACCATTTGACTGGATGCGATGGAATATTCACGTCGCTTCATAGGACTGACAATGCGAGCAATGTCATGGAAGCTTGGGTGAGCAGACTTGAATTCGAGGAGGATGTCAGCATATGTGACGGTGTCGACCTCAGAACGGCGCTTGAACTCGGTAGCCCCTTCTGGTCCGCCGAGAGTGAGCAGTTCCTTCTTCTCATTCTCATCTGTTGCAAACTCGGCCAATGCCTCGTAGAACCTCTTGGGAGGTTTACCGAAAATATCGATGTTCTGAACCAAAGACTGGAAAACAGTTCTAGTTTCCAGCACAGTAGGGTCCTCTCTGGAAGGAACCTCGACGATGTCATCGGGGTTGAGACCATAGAATGAGATGAACTCTTTGACTTCCTCGACGTCATTTTCGGCATGGATGCCGAGCGCTTCTCCGATGTTGTATGTGAGCCCAGAGTCACCGAGATCAAACTCGATGTGGAAGATGTTACGATCATAGGTCAATGGTGTCAGACGACGGTTCTCCTGGACAGTGATCTCATAAGTCTTGGCAGTAAGATCTGGTCTTAGAGCAGCCCGGGTACCATAGGCCTCCTTGAAAGCGAGACCCTTCGCAGCAGATTGCCAATCGCGAAGTAAGGCGGGAGCCTCGGTTTCTTCCTTCTCAAAGCCAGTGAAGCTGCTCGATTTGATGGTTCGTGGGAGATCAGGAACCTCGGCATCAGCCTCGAGCACAGACCAGGATTCTGGGATTTCGATTTGACGGAGTGCTTTCTCCAAGTCTGCGGCAGCCTCGGACAGGAGGTCCGCGGTACCATTGATGGAAGCGAGCTTTTGTAACCCGGCTTCGAGCAAGGCTGGCTGGGCGATCTTAAGGAAAGCCACTTCCGTAAGGAGAGTCTCAGAGGCAGGGTCCTTCTCAACACTGGCAGAAAGTGTCGGGTCTAGAACGAATAGTTCAATCTTCTTGGACTTGATCTCGTTTCTGACGAAGACCGGCAGCTTCTTTTCTAGGTCCTCATTCTTAACTCCTGGGAGTTTCACGATGAGCTTCCCACCGTTTTTGAGATTCTTGAGGATTCCAATCTCCTTCAAAAGATTCTCCTCGCCAACAAAAGCCACATCAGCCTCCTCGACTGGGTAAGAAGCTTCGATTGACTTCTTGGAACTGCGAATATCGGTCCTCACAGTTCCTCCTTGAACAAAGTTGTCATGAGTCTGGCTCAAAATAACATTGCTAGCAGAATCGCTGGAGAGGAACTTGCCAATCGCCGATGGCGCATTGACAGCAGGAGAGTCCTCAAGATCCCAAAATGTATACTGCTCCACTGGAGTAGCATCCAGCAAACCTACACGGTCAGCAGCATTTACCGGCTTGCCTGTTAGCTGGTGGAAGATAGCGGCAATTGATGATGGTGTAAATGTCTCTGCACGAGAGTACTTGAGATCAATAACGGATGGTGCTGCAGAAAACTTGTCTGAGAAAACCGTAGCAGCTAAGACATCGTCATAGAGACTAGAGTGGGTAGATGAGCCGGCCACAACAGTCTGTTCCAAGATCTGTCCAAGAACAGCGATTGTTCTTGCGGAAGAAGGAATAACCTTCAAGAAGGCTTCCTCAACGAAAGGTCGGTAGACTCGGACATTTACCACGCCAACCTTAGCCCCTTCTCTTGACAGCTTTTCGGAGACCTGAGTTGCGAGTGAACTCTCGACGCTACCGAATACTACCAAGACTATCTCCGCATCGCGGTGTCCATGGTACTCGAAGAGCCCATAAGCTGTGCCGAGCTCATTGTTGAAGGAGTCAAGCAGCTTTGTGACCCTTTGTTCGGCATCAGCTCTCTTGGAGACCTCGGACAACTCCTTGAGGACGTTTGCGTATGCATTCTTCAATCCTGACTGGTTCAAGACGTCAATAACGCGGAGGGTATCCCTTCCAACATTCATGCCATCGTAGATGTGGATTGTTGGGAGAACAGTGGCCAAGATGGTAGAGAACAGTGCCATGTGCTGAGCCTCATACGCGGACGAGCTAGAAACAAGGCCAAGGCCCAATTCCTCAGTGAGACCCAATGCCGTAGCATAATCCGTTACGAGACCCCCAGACAACCCGGGCGCGTAATCGACCGCGGCAACATGTGCAACGAATGGATTGGCCACGGAGTATAAAAGTGAGAGTTGATCAAGAGACGACCGGAGATTGTTCAGAGCCGAAGACGAGGCCAGAAGTGATTGAGGAATGTGTCTCTTGCTGAGGTCAAAATCCTTCGAAAACATGTACCCTAGCGCAATTGAACCGGCGCCAGAGCGCGTCTGCATAGGGGTAATATGAGTAGCATAGCCATTGGCATTCTTGGTGTTTGCGGCCGACCAGTGCTTCACAGCAACATCGAGATCGAAGGACTCGGGAGAGTACGAAAAGATTTTGTCGGACAGGGCATACGCAACTTGTTGGATTAAAGTCTGCGCAGTGGTGTAGGTAGGCCCGCTGATTGAAGTGAAGTCGATAGGCTGGCCGAAGGGCAGGCTGGAAGACTGTTGAACAAATTTGGGTGGCAAGGAGGATTTGACTTCAGTGTTCCATTTGCTGTTAAGGACGGGGCCACCAGCAGGTTCCTAAGAGTTAAATTAGAAGGGTTGAAGATTCTAGGATGACTCCGGGCTTACCTGGATGTCGCCCATGTTCAGTGATGCCGCAGGACAGTCCTGTCAAGAATTGGACAATGCAAATAAAACCGCGCAGAGTCCTGACTTGAATCAAGACAGGAGTCGAATGAGAGACGGAAAGAGAAAGGAAAAAAGGGCAAAACTGTAGCTCTAAGCTTGAACAAAAAAAAGTTGAAGATCTGTTTAGCTTACATACACAATGGTGGGGGTGCCGCCGTGCACGAGGAATCACGCCTTCGCGCCTGCGAGTGCCTCAGGCCAACATCGGCCGGGGGCGGCTAAAGGGCTGGCTCGAGAGCTGCATATCACGTGATGCTAATCATGCTGCTATCAAAACCAGCGTTGACAATCGTCGATAACGATGTGCAACAAAACCTGCCCGTGTCACATGATGCTAATCTGACTGATAATCTGACTGATAATCTGATTGCCATCAGGACCCTCCTCGCTAATGCGATGTGCAACAAAACTTCGATCCCTTTGGCCCAAATATTATCACGTGATATCACAGGGGTCGCACGTTCTCTTCCTGACAAGCTTCTTCCTCTATAGTTGATTCTCCTGAGCGTGTTCTTCTCTAGTACGACTAATTGTATCTAAAGAAATTCAGGACTTATAATCAGGGGTCATGGGTTATGTTTGAGTCCCATCACTCCCTACCTATAACCTCTCGTTCCCCTCGCGGTAAACAACCACTCCGCACCCTACAGTGGTTCGAAGTAGAGACCTCCCGTACTGTTCCTGTTATGGCCATTATCGATGTATCTGATGCTCTTAGGCAGGACTTTTGGTTGTAAATCGCTGCTGTGGTTGTTGTTGATGTTGACATATAAACACTCGACTAAAATATGATATCCCCACACTCTTGCTACTCGCACGTCACCTCACGGCGCCCGCTTCAGCAGCCCCTGTAGAAATCGCGCCCAGGGTGCAGTGACCAATAATTCAGCTCACTGTACTATACAGTACGCGGTACATCCCCACCACCTGTCGCTCCTCGACGCTCCTGTCGTCGTGGTCGTGATTCACGAATTCCCTTTTCATCGAAATCTTGCTGTTCGGTATTCAGTTGGAGAGCAGGTGCGGGATATAGGAGCGATAGGCTGCGATCATTGGAGCTCTCACGCTTGTGGCGATGTCCTCGATATCTTCAGGCGCAGCTGGCACGAATTACAATGGCTACATGACGAGTCGACCAATTGTCCTAGGACTTGCTAAGGTGTTGTTTCTTTCGCTGTGCCAGGTTTCAAAGGTGTCGGCGGCACCTTTGTTGGCATTTGTTGGAGCTGCGAAAAGAGGGGAAGACGCGCCCAAAGACGCGGAGGACCCAGACCTATGGCTGTATCTCTTGGTCGCCTCGATATTGGTCCTGCTAGGTGGTGTTTTTGCAGGATTGACAATCGCGTAAGTCTCTTCGTTTAGAGCCTGAGAGATGGGGTACTGATGAAGGATCCTTGCTAGGTTAATGGGACAAGATGGCGTCTATCTTCAAGTCATCGCAACTTCCGGTGAGGGCAAAGAGCAGAGACACGCCCAAAGCGTGTATAAGTTATTGAAGAAGGGAAAACATTGGGTTCTTGTCACACTCCTACTCAGCAATGTCATCGTTAACGAAACTCTCCCAATCGTCCTGGATCGATCGCTTGGAGGAGGTTGGCCTGCTGTCCTCGGCAGTACTGTTCTGATTGGTACGACATTGTAGCAAAGGACTTGTGGATGCTGTGCTGATAATTGAATAGTTATTTTCGGAGAGGTCATCCCTCAATCTGTCTGCGTTCGATACGGCCTGTCAATTGGTGCTTACATGGCACCCTTCGTCCTCCGCCTTATGTGGCTGCTCGCACCTATTGCTTGGCCAACAGCGAAGCTCCTCGATAAATTATTGGGCGAAGATCATGGAGCAGTGTACAAGAAGTCCGGGTTGAAGACACTAGTTACCTTACATAAAACACTGGGGACGAGTCCTACGGATCGACTTAATCAAGATGAGGTTACGATTATCAGTGCCGTGCTGGATCTCAAGGACAAGGCAGTCGGCGACATTATGACTCCGATGGAAGATGTCTTTACAATGTCTGCAGATACTATCCTCGACGAGCCAACGATGAATGTCATTCTTAGTGCAGGTTACTCTCGAATCCCCATCTACGAACCAGGAAACCCACTGAACTTCGTTGGGATGCTATTGGTCAAGATTCTCATCACTTACGATCCAGAGGATTGCAAGAAAGTCAGCGAATTTGCCTTGGCTACACTTCCAGAAACACGACCGGAAACTAGCTGTCTGGATATTGTGAATTTCTTCCAGGAGGGGAAATCGCACATGGTCTTGGTTTCCGAGTACCCCGGCGAAGATCACGGTGCTAAAGGCGTGGTGACCCTCGAAGATGTTATTGAGGAGCTCATTGGCGAGTAAGTCACCCTTTGATATCTCAAATTGAATGTGTAGCTAAGTTTGTTAGGGAAATCATTGACGAATCTGATGTGTATATTGACGTTCATAAAGCTATCAGAAGGATGGCACCTGCTCCGAAGGCGCGCGTCCACAAAGGTCAAATCGTAGAAAATACCGATAACGCAATTCGCAGTGCGTCACCAGAACGCCTTATCGATTTGGGTGAGGATCTTCCGAAGGGTGCTGGAGTCTCAGCAACGACCCATGTCAGCGGAAACGGTCGGAGCAACGGTTCATCTATACTTGGAACAAGTCCCAAGACTACCTTCATCAAGCGGAGCTTGAGTGGTGCTGATGGTGATATTATCCAAATCAGAGGTAATGTTAATGACATGCGAGAACATCTCAAACACCTTGGGCCGTCAAACCTCGCCAGTCGTCCCAAGACTACCCGATATAACACGGTTAAGATCAAGCCTGGTCACCTCGCGAGCGGGAGCGATTCTAGAACGGACTCTGCAACTCACCGCGATTCTGTCATTGAAGAAGAACCATACCGTGATCTTCCTGCACCATCAGGAGGCGAAGGGGAAGGCCTTTTGACTTCTGCAGGAAAAGAGGCTTCGGATGGTGTTCAAGCCTTGCGACAAGGGTATGGATCCATAAACCTCACATCCGGTATACAAAACAAGTTTTCTGAATCTGGGAGAGCCAAAGTCGGTGATGCTACGCGAGAGAAGGTCAAGTCTTCGAGGAGTAATTCTAACTCACAACCACGCCCAGAGACTGGCAGGGTCGAAAGACACCACAGTGGTCGAAGTAACGATACTCAAGAATCCTCTGACTCGCGTACCAGTAGCCCTGTAGGCGCGATAAGACGCATAGCCCGAAGTGGTAGTATCACGGAGAATGTAATTGAGGCAGGGGGTGTCCGAAAAGTGGTGTTGGAAACAAACAGCTCATCTGGAGAAGATAAAGATGAGCGATCTTCAAGAGTTGCTGGTCAAAGGGATAGTAATTCGCCGAAGTCTTCAACGAATGGTACTGACGGACATCCTGACTTCCATGATGAAGATGATTCCATTTCACCCAAGGGAGAGATAGTAAAGAAGAAACGAAGGCGCACACGTAAGAAAAAGGGAGGAAAAGGTGGGGAAGACGGGGCGGTGGCTGGAAGCTCCACCCAAGGGGGGAAATGACAGGTGTCAATGCTTTTTTCGGGGACAATACGGTTTTTGTACAATAAGGCTTTGGCGGACGCTGTATAAGATTGTTTGCTGTGTAAGGTACGGTATAAAAGATCGGAGGCGGCTTCAGAAGCTCAGGATGAGCTTTCAGGATGGGTCTGGCCAAACGAAAAATCATTTCGAATGAAAGATTTAGTTCAACAGCCTAGACACATCATATTCTAGGAGATCCCAGTCCTGCTTTATTTTCAAAGAGTAAGATGCCTTTCACTCATAACCTTATCAATATGTATGATTATTCCACTGAGTCGGCCCCTTTTCGCCTCAGCACCTAAGCGACGATGGCGGCTGAATACAGTATTAATAAACATGGAAAGCCAAACCTTAAAACACATATAAAAAGTTTCCTCTCCAAATTCACCAGGTACGAACAGCATTTATTGACGATGTATTGCATTGAATGTGGCAATCCCCTTCCAGATATACGGAACGACAGCACCGTCTGCAGTAAATGCAAAACCCCTCTGGCAACCTGGTGGGATGAAACCTCCCAGACATATCGCACGAACCGCGAATCGATTTTGCCGTTCGCAACCCCGCACCTCGGGGACAAGAGCAGGATGTCGCAACGAAAGAACACGCAGACAATCGAGGAGCGAAGCTTCCAGGCCGCGTTGATCGGTTTGGAAATTCGTTTTGAAGAGACGCCCGGGCTTGGGGCAAAGAGCATTCCTAATAGCAAGCCGGATATCAAGAAGATGATCACCAACACGTTGGAGATGAGCTTGCACAAGGCAGATGTTAGGTATGCCTTGAGGGAATTGCCCTAGCATGGCATTAGAGGAGAAGGAGGGCTGATTGAATATCTGCAGAGAAAACCTTGCGAAGAATGTCGAAATCTGGGTGCGACTGAAGAAGATCTTCGATCTGGCTATCCGTACTCTCAATAGACGCTCCCTGCGCGAATCTAAACCCGACGACCACGTTTCCGATGACATGGACGCTCTCCAAAGCACTGATCTGATCCTAAAGAACTATGATTCGTTAGTGGAGGATTTACATTACTTGAACAATTTGCTGGTTATTTCGAGGAATATGTTGGCGATCAAGGAAACTGCGCAGGAGATCTGTGCACGCGTACACTTCGACAAGACGGTCCGCGAACTTATAATCCTGTGCGTTAATGTCACGAGCAAGGGATATGACGGAGACAATGTGGATGAGCTAAGACGGGAAAAGGTGAACACCGTTACAGAGCTATGTGAGTTCCCTTGGATGAACGAGCGCGCGAAACTCTGACTGATGGTACAACAGACAAAAAGCTTCTAGTTACTGCTCTACAACACACGCATAACTGGACCATGGGGAACGATCGGTTCAAGATGTCGTTCTGGCTCGAGATGCTGTTCGATGATGACCTTAGTAACGATATGATACACGAGCTTCCTCCGGATGATCTGAATGTTAAGAAGGTCTACGAGGAAGTCAAAAACTGGCTTAGAAGACATTCACAAAGGGATAAGGTGGCAGCTGAGCTACTAGATAAATATTCTGCAGACGTGCGTCTTGGTCCCAGTGCCGGCCCTCTGCCAGAAGAACCCGATGATATCGGAGGAGAAAGCAAGGAAGAGGAACCGACTGCTCCTGTATGGAAACCAGATCTAGAGGATAAGTACGAGCAAGATAGGCTGTACGCAAGGGTTTCACATGAGATTGATATCTGGTGGAAGAGAGTTCGAGACGCAAATTATGAAGGATGGGTTGTCCCGATGGAGAGCGTTGAAGGTGCAATCCTTCGGGCCCAGTCGTGCAAGGAAAATGCCATGCATCGTTATTTACCTCGTGGGCAAGATCTCGACCACGACTATCCCCACGAAGAGCAGTATGATGAGCAGCCTGAGGATGGTGTAAACGGCGAAGATGAAATCGATGATCGATCAACTCGAGAGGACAACGGAGAAGATAGCGGAGAGGATTACGATGAGCAGGAGGAAGAGGAGGACGAGGATGATTCATATGTTGAAGGTCCTCTGCGTGGGCTGCTTACAGAAATCCCCAATATCCTGGACACCAAACAAATCGAAGCTCTGCATATGACTGTCAAGGCATGCATCGTCGACTCTATGGGATCTGGTCTTACGCCGGCAGGCGAAAACCTCCAGAAAACACGATGCAAGATGTTCCTAGCTCTTGATTGTGGCAAGAACCTCCTCCGCGAAATGCTGGTTTTCATTGCTGTCTGGGAGCAAACGGATCAGCAATTCATCTTTCAGATCACGGCTCAAATTATCGAGTCTTTTCACCACAACGCCCTACTCCCCTATGCTTGGAACTCGTTGCGAATACTGAAAGACATCGTTTCACCAGCCCAAACCGTTCTCCTTCGCCTTATCAACTACATGTTCAGGGCTCGCAAAGACAGCACCATTTATGACGACCTTCGAGATTACAACCGAGACGCTAAACTTATTCATTTCTTGTATAACTACTTTCGCTGTCGCGTTGTGCCGGATTGCATCGCACTCATTTATGCTCAGGCTCAGATCCGCCAAGGCAAAAGCCACCCAAGTGATTTCCCGGTCGACCTCTGGGATATGGAACGGGCTAAGGACGGCCTGTCCCAATACCTTGATTTTATCTCCGTGATCGCCGAAATCCCTGAGATGCGCCCTCTACTTATTGAATGGGAAGCAGTGTATGAGCTCGTTGCTCTCCTCAAAGCACTTGAGGATGGTGTTGAACGGAAGCCGCTCGATGCCCGCTCTATGCCGGGACCCAGCCGCCGTCCAGCTGCTCAGGGTTCCGGATCGGGCTCAAGCACCCCCGTTGTTGGTCGCCCGTATGATGAAAATAACCCACAGACTCCAGCACAACCCCAGGCTCATCCGCAGACAGGTGTGCCCCTACTCCACGAGGCACCCCATAAATTCTCTTGGCCAGGCATCAAAATTCAAATCCTGATCATTCTTACTTCACTCGTTGCACCGAACAATGCACGACGCAGCGGTCCGGGCAACCCTATCGTACAAAAACAGCTATTAGAACGAGAAGGAATCATGCCATTATTGAACTGCTGTGCTTATGATGGGAATAATGAGTACCTGAAAGAAAGGGCTACACTCGCTATCAAGTTTGTAATGGAGGGCTGTGAGGAGGCGCAACAGTTTGTCAGAGAGCTGGTGCCTTTAAGACAAGCCAATGCGCAAACCCAGTCTCAGGGGCCTGCTGCTCCGGCTGCCGAGAAACAGCAGTCCGCAGCGACTCCAGCGGGTTCAGCGTCAGCAACAGCGGCTGCTGTCGCCGCTAAGGCAAAAATGAGCGCAGATATTTCGAAAACAAAAGCGAAGGAAGGTGCTAGTAAGCAGTCAGACCTGTTGGACGATGCGGCCAGATTGGCGGCTGTGGCGCAGAGTATCAAAGAGAATACAGATGAGTATGCGAAGGTTGTGGCACAAGGTCAAGGTCAACGCGCGACAGCCAAGTCAGGGGATAAGCAGTAAAGCGCCTAGCTTGAGCCGCTTGGGGTTGTAGGAGAGAAAAGTTTGGAGGGAACAAAAGGTTTGTTTTGAGAGCAAATGGCCTTGCATCACTTTCCCTGGTCTCAAAAAAGTTAGCATAGATGGGTGGTAGGTCTGCATTGGGTGGTGTTTGGAAGATACCCTGGGTGAAGTTATGTGCTAGAAAAGCAGTGTCATTGAAAATAGACTTGCGTAACACTTGAAGGCCTAATATGGCTTGAGATCAACGACTTGAATTTTTCACTGATTCCACGTGTGTAGCTATCCGTCCGTGTGTCATTTCGTCCGGGTCATCCTCATCGGGGAGATGCATCCTACAACGGCCAGAGTGATCATTAAAGTTGGCTTGAATATGTTGCCCAGTGATAAGTTTTATCCTTGGGTCTCTCAAGTCCATGAGCTACCTTGCCTCTCTATGCGGTCCTCGATCCAACATGTCCCGTTTACTATCCAGCGCAACTCCGGCATAAATGTTGATTATAGAATTGAAGAGACTATAATCCAGCTCTGGTAGAAATGCCCACTAACGAGGATCTACGTTGCATAGATAGACACCTCATGCAGCCTCCTGACTGATGGGCACCCGCCATCCATGAATCGAATACGGAGTACGGCTCCAGCCTCACGCACGGGTACAACCGTCGTGGACCGAATAAAATCAAAAGCTAGAGGTTCTCCTAGTAGAAGCATTTAGGTAACAGCTTGGATTCGTAGAGATCATTCGAGAAAGATTTTGGATGAGGCATCCTGAGGCTTACGGAGCCATTTGACTATTAATTGATAATAATCCCAGAGTCTTCAAAAGAAAGATGTCTCAGAAAGACCGCACCGTTTTCTGTTAAGCAACTTAAGCTTTTATGGGCAGATCCTGGATACCGGATTCTGCATAGCTCCGTATTCTGGCGGCTCTTATAGGCAGATCCCCGACACCAGGGGTTTTCTAGTCTGCCAGTGAGAATAATCATGAGCAATTTACGCGGGGTTTTGAGCCTTGCGCTTTTTGTGCGGTGCAATCTTGCCACTCCTGACCCCAATCTGATTCAGTCCATGCCGCGCCTCGTCATTTTCCACAAGGTGGAGAGTACGCCGCTGGTATATATGGACCATGTAGGTGCTCGAAATCTTTCTTGAAAATTCTCTCTCATAAAAACGCATTGCTGTCTCGCTGGCTTGTGCTCCTTCTCACATCAAGCGGTCAAATAGCCTGGTCGTGATCATCATGGCATCATCATCATCATCAACGAACCCCAAATCCAAAGAGATGAACGTCTCTATCACCCAGACAATCTCCGGGGGAGATACAACCACAACCTCGTTCTTATTGTCAAATCTCCATTGCCCCTCCTGTGTAACTTATATTGAAGAAATCCTCGCGGCACTCCATCCAAGTCCCATTTCGATCTCCCCGTCGTTAGTTTCCTCTTGGGTAACCGTTCGACACGACAAGGCTTTGTCCGCAAGGGCTATTCGAGAAGCCCTCGAAGACTCAGGGTTCGATGTCTGCGATGTTGCCCTTGACGGTCCAGCTGGTATGGTACATACAGGATATGATGGCGAGATAGGCTACCTGGATCGATTCCTGGATAGGTGGAACTCCGACAAACCGAAAAATGGAAGTGGGAGCAAAGCTCGACAGCCGGAACGACACATCGAGAATTGCAAGTTATGTCGGCTGGAGGCTGATGGCAAGCATGACTTCAACCAAGATCCCTCGTCATCCAAATCGTCGCCGGTTCAGCAGGACAAATCGGCGCCCAAGAAATCGGGGCTCTCTACGGTGGTTGTAGCTCCAGTCGAATCTGAAGACCTCTGGAGAGCGTCTCTGGCGATCGGTGGAATGACATGCGCGGCATGCGTTGTTACGATCACGGAAGAGCTGGAGAAGAAAGACTGGGTTGAGAAAGTTGTGGTGAATCTCATCTCCAACAGTGCCACAGTCGACTTCAAAGGGGAGCAACACAAGGATGATATTGTCGAGAGCATCGAAGATATAGGATACGATGCGGCAATTGATAGCGTGATCGATCTCAACACGATCCGTAATGCCACACCGCAGAGTAACATTTCAAGGACGGTCGAAATACTGGTGGACGGCATGTTCTGCGAGCACTGCCCTCCCCGGATCATATCTTCATTGGAACCATTCGGTGATTTGGTCAAAGTCGAAAGACCTCCGAGTCTACAGAATCCAATATTAAAGCTCTCCTACACGCCCAAAGCTCCTGAGTTTACAATTCGAAATATCATCGCTGCTATCTCTGCTGTAGATGGATTACTTCAGCCTTCAATCTACCATCCACCCACCCTTGAAGAGCGCTCTCGAAAAATACACGCACGCGAGAGACAGCGGATCTTCATACGGGTCCTCCTCGCACTGGTAGTGGCCATTCCAACACTCATCATAGGTGTCGTTTACATGAGTCTAGTCTCATCGAGCGATCCTGGCCGACGATTTCTTATGCGTCCACTACATGCGGGGGTCAGCCGAGCACAATGGGCACTTTTCATCATGGCAACTCCTGTCTATTTTCTATGCGCTGATGTTTTTCATATCCGCGCCCTAAAAGAAGTACGAGCAATGTGGAGACCTGGAAGCACCACTCCCCTACTGCAGCGATTTTACCGATTCGGAAGCATGAACATGCTGATGTCTCTTGGGACTTCTATTGCCTACATTTCTTCTGTTGCCCAGCTGATTGCTGCGGGTGTACACCCTTCGCTGGTACCGGATAACAATTCCTTCTACTTCGATTCCGTCGTATTTCTGACACTCTTCCTACTTATCGGACGTCTGATCGAAGCTTACAGCAAATCTAAGACTGGAGATGCAGTCTTGATGCTTGGCAAACTTCGACCCACCGAAGCCCTCCTTGTCGAGTCTGGGTCCTCCAGAGATACCGCCACTGGCGAAGAGATTGCCAAAGGAATGAGAGGAGAATCATTGAGAAATGTTAACGTGGATCTCCTAGAGTTTGGAGATACCGTAAGGGTCTTACACGGCGGATCACCTCCATGCGATGGCACGGTTCTTCATGGCGAGACTAAATTCGACGAGTCAAGCCTCACGGGCGAGTCGAAGTTAGTCAAGAAAGCCGTAGGTGATGAGGTATTTTCTGGAACAGTCAACAAGGACTCTCCGATCTCAATTAAAATCACGGGCGTTGCTGGGTCTTCAATGCTCGATCAAATCGTCAAAGCGGTCCGAGAAGGACAAACTCGACGGGCTCCTATGGAGCGTATCGCAGACACCTTGACAGGCTATTTTGTCCCTTTCGTTACCTTGATCGCCATCTGTACCTGGATTATCTGGCTTGCATTAGGGTATTCCGGTACTCTTCCTCTTGATTACCTTGGAAAAGATGCAGGTGGTTGGGTCGCTTGGTCCCTGCAATTCGCAATCGCAGTATTCGTCGTCGCTTGTCCCTGTGGACTCGCTTTAGCAGCTCCAACTGCTCTCTTTGTTGGCGGTGGTCTTGCTGCACAGCACGGTATCCTGGTGAAGGGTGGTGGCGAAGCCTTTGAGAAAGCAAGCAGACTTGATTGCATTGTGTTCGATAAGACCGGTACGCTCACACTTGGTGGAGAACCAGTTGTCACTGATTTCCAATCGCTGCCCATCGATGCGGAGTTTGGCAAAGGAAGCCGAGACGAGAATGGCGTGCTGAATAGCAAGAACGTTGAGAGAACGGTTTTGGGAATGGTCTACACACTTGAAGGCAATAGTAGCCATACGGTTGCCAAAGCCCTCGTATCCTTCTGCAAGACTTTAGAGACAGAGGGCATTGATGCGGAAGACGTTGAGGAGATTGCAGGGAAGGGTATGAGAGGGACCTTCAAGATCAGTCCAACCGAAGAAGCAGATCTCATCATCGGGAACGAATTTTTCATAGAAGAGACTGGCGTTTCAGTTTCTCAGGAATCACAGTCCACCCTAGAGAAGTGGAAATCTGAAGGAAGGTCTGTTGCCCTGGCTGCGATCAATGTCAGAAATCAGGTAGAAGGCTCGCAGGATTGGCGACTCGCAGCAATCTTCGCCATCTCTGATCCTGTCCGTCCCGAAGCGTCGCATATCGTCAGAGCTCTTCAAGATCGTGGAACAGATGTATGGATGCTGTCTGGAGACAACCAAATCACAGCAAACGCTATTGGTGCCCAAGTCGGCATTCCATCCAGCAATATCATCGCCGGTGTCCTTCCCCACGAGAAAGCCGACAAGATCCAATACCTCCAGAGATCCCTCAAGGCTCGCACCTCCAGCTCTGGTGCCGAGCATGCCCAAAAGCGAGCTATGATAGCCATGGTCGGCGACGGCATCAACGATTCGCCCGCCCTGACCGCCGCAGATGTCGGGATCGCCATCGGTTCCGGTTCCGACATCGCCATCTCCTCAGCGGAGTTCGTCCTGGTCTCTTCCAACCTCCACGCGCTAGTCAACCTGCTCGACCTCAGCCGCTTCGTCTTCCGGCGGATCAAGTTCAACTTCGGATGGGCCCTGGTCTATAATCTGATCGCGCTCCCCGTCGCCGCCGGCGTCTTCTATCCCATTGTCAGTAATGGTAAACATGTGAGGCTGGATCCTGTGTGGGCTAGTCTGGCCATGGCGATGAGCAGTATCAGCGTCGTCTGCAGTAGTTTGGCGTTGAGGAGTAAGATACCCGGGTTAGGCTTTAGGGCTAGCGAGGCACTCGATGAATGAGGACATACATGGATTGTAGTCTATTCTTTTCTTTTTCTTCGTCATTTAGATGATAATCATAGAAATGAAAGGGGGTATATATACATATACATAAATAACAGCATTCGCAAGATCTATCTATACCCTTCTTCCTTCCATATTTATGAATGAATAATCGCAATCGTTGCTTTCTAGGAACCAAATCATCAAGGCTTTGAAATCAGCTCACGGATAGCCAGTCTACATGCTCCCTCTAGTTTTTCTTTCTTTTTTTCAGATGTGCGGTTTACGAGAAGGATTAGGAAAGTAAACAAGGAATGGAAATATATGGGGTAGACAGATGTAAAAAAACAAAAGGGGGGCGGGAGGTAGAAAGAAACCATGGACTGACCTCCAGAAGCCCCGAATTCCAAGCGGGAGGGGAGGGGAAGGGAATACGGTTGGTTTGCTCTATGGCTCAAAAAACAAGGAACAGATTAATAGAATAGGGAGCTAGCGATGTTGAAGAGAACAGAGTTCGTTCATCATATTATTTGTTACGTAGGAGATTCGCTCGAACTCCCATACAGGGGATGAGGGGAAAGAGAAACAATTGATATCCAGCATGCTCATGTCCCAATCCCATGATATCCCTCGCATCTTTCGCGTACCCCCCAAGAACGCCGTCGCCAACCTGGAAATACACCGCGCTCCTGTTCCTCAACACCTAACGCACACCAAAGAAAAAGAATCTTGTTAAAGGAATAATGCATGCAAGGGTCGCGACGCTGTGATTATGTCTTTCTCCGTTTTAGGAAGAGGATCGTGAGGTGCTGGTCCTGTATTTGTTCCCATGTTGTCTTCCTGACCTTTTTATCGCTGAAGCAATGCCATGACCCGGCGCCACTGGAGGGTTTGTCAGGACTCCTCGCGAAGGCCAGATAATGACCTGACTTGATGTCGCTCCCCATGTGAGCAACAGCGGCATAACAATCATATCGGAATGGCGGTTGTAGCCCACGGCCTACATTCGGCACCGTGCTCTGTCCAACATCAGGAAGCCAGAATCGCGTGATATCGATATCCATCTCTGAAAAGAGGACTCTTGTCTTAACCTTGGATAGAACATCTGCATCGAATCGCGGAAGATTGATCACCAGATAATCCGGAAGGAAGCAAATTTTATCTATCCGAATGACCTTCCCTTTCCTCTTACAGCCTTGGCATTCAACGTCTTCAAGAACTTCTTTTCTGTTATACCTGTGTTCGAAAAGTCTCTCAAGTTTAATGGTATCCAGCGGGTTGTAGCCATGACAGGAGGGAGGGAAGGGAATATTGAGTATTTGAAAGAGGCTCCACCTCTTGGACACATAGCCGCACATTTGGCAAGTATTTTCATTCGTCTCGAGCCCTCCAAAGATATCTGAAACCATGGAATTATCCGTACTTTGAAAGAGTTGCCACTGCTCGTGAGCTGCCTGCAGGGCAGGCAATTTATTGCGAGCATCCAGCTCAGCATCAGTATAGTGGATCTCAGAATACGGTGTTTGGTTGCGGTAAAAATTCAGCTCATCAATCATTAAATCAAAGATATAGCCAAGGAACTCCTGAGAGTCATGTTGTAAGTTAGGCCCACAAAAGGCGTTGCCCTTGTCAGTCATAGGCGGTAATGTCTTTGCATGAAGCGCATTTACATACCCCTGCAGCGATTAGCGGTTTGTTGTATATCAGATGGATATAGGGGTGCATACCCAAAAGGTTTTCGGAGTTATCCACTCATATTGACCACACCATAGGAATCCGAACACTTTCTTGAGATTTCGAGTAAGTAGCTGTGGGGGGTCAGAGATCTCTGCTCCCTTCCTAGGTGGCAAAGGATAGGTAGGATAGTTGTAGCTAATGAGAAAATCCCGAAAAGGTTTAGTAGCGCTCAGACACTGAAGCACAGCATTAGCATAACAGCTAACGCCGGTTGTGTCGAGACCCGTAAGACCCGGAGGGACCGGTGTGCTGGTTATCGTTTCTGGCCCTGTTCCAGAACTCATGGAGTATGTCGCACTTGGCCCTCTTTCCGAGATGCCACTTGATCTCTGTCTAGGTAAAGCGGGGGCGGGACGAGCAGGAGGCCCTGGCATTGCATTGGCCGATTCGTTATGATGTTTGTTCATCGAGGTAGACGGTCGCGTGGAGACCATAGATTCCTGGACTGAAGGAAGTTCAGGATATCTTCGAAAGAAATCCTCTGTTGTCCTGACATAAGAAAATTCATCCGATTCCGAGTTTTCAGCTCCTGGGTTCTTCACATGGGTGTCTTCCCGAAGCGTTTCAGCCCACTGGTTCTCCTCTTCTCTTGACAATGGCCTTGACTCTTGCGGCTTCCGGGCTAAAGCCTGATCCTTTCGAGCCATAGGAACTCGGCCTAGAGGTCTAGCAGGCTTTAGAGGTTTTCTCCTTATCCCCGTAGAAGAAAGTACCCCCGTAGAGGAAGTTTGCAATGAACCTGGTCCCATAAGGTCCACCCAGGCGTCTAAGCCTCCAAGAAGAAGCATGGGACGCTGTTTTGGTCTTTTACTGTATCCATAATCGAAAATAGCTTCGGCGAAATATTGCAAGTGGTTGCTGCTCTCATGAATTTGGTGGGTTTGGTTGATTGATGAAGAGGATTGATCATAGAATACGATCAAGTCGAACTCGTGTCTTTGCTCATAGAGTTTCTGCTCCGTGTCTGGGGAAAGCACAATACTCTCCCCGAGTTCCTCCGCGGACATACCTTTTCGTAAAGAAACAGGCTCCACGCAGATGACGGACTGGGCCATGATATGACCCGCATCAAATTCTTCACGACTTCTGAGGTCGACAACTAAAAGTCGTAGGGCTTGCGACCCCATTCCAAGATACTTCATTAGGCCCTCTGCGCTGACAGCGGTAACCTCAGCTACCACTGGGTCTTGACCCTTTGAAATGTTATGGGAGGATCCGGGGGAATCGGCGTCCACAGGCAGAGAAAAGTAGTCTTTTCTTGCATCTGTAATGCTAGGTGTGGGGCCAACTGTCGATATCGGAGGTGCCGACGTTTGACTGCTAATGCCAAGGTATGAAGAGCTGCGAGGAACACTTGTGGGTAGATTGAGGGCAACGAGTGACTCTGTGTTCCGATCTGGGCTGTATATAGCGTCTGGTGGTCTTGGCATTCCTGGTATTTGCACATCTATTGACACTCTTGATGGACGCAATGCCGATGTGGGAGCAGATGGCATCTCCCGTGGGCCAGACGGCCGGATGGTTGATGAACTTTTGGTGGTGGCTATGGGCTGTCTAGAGGCTCGTGGCGACTCAGGAACTGAAATTGGCTGGGTTCGAATTCGAGGATCCTGCCCAGGAGTGGAATTAGGACTTCGCAATCGAGCAAACCGTGCCTCCAAATCCATCTGAGGAGACTTGAGAGCAGTACCATCGCCACCGGGATGCAGAGACTTGCCATGCAGGGCCTGTGGCTTTGGTTGGACAGGGGGTTTCTTCCGTACTGGACTTCCATTTGCTGAGGTGGGAACGAGAGCAGACGTCTCAAAAATGCCATTAGAATGCTCACTGTGGCCATAGCCGTTGGCCGAGATTCTAGAAGTGCCATTCAATGCCGGGCTTTGTAATGACTGAGCTCGAGCATGGCCCTTGACTCGCTCCCCTGAGACTTGCTCGTCCGGTTCGGCTCTCTGCTGTGGCTGCACGCCGCTTCTTGCATTATTTTCCTTGATAACCTCTATTATCGTGTCGACTTTGGCACTTTGCGCCTGGATCCTTTTCATTAAGCCCGTGTAAGCACGATGCAGCTCCCCTCGCTCTGCCTGCAAAGATGGATAGTCTTTGTGACGAGGGATTATCTCCGTAGCCAAGACCTTAGCTTTTATGTATTCTTGTATAGCAAGATCCAGGCGTTGAAAATCCATATATGTGTCCGCTTGTTTTGCAGATAGCTCTCCATCTTGAAGTATTTTTCGCAGGGGCCGGTTTATGTCGACGTTCGGCCTTGCGCTTATCAAGTCGTCCAGATGTGGGAGGACTCGAGAGCTGCCTTTCGCGGTAGCTATGCCATTGCCATTTGGTTTCGTGCCAGTTTCTGTACTGATTGGCCCTCCGACATTGACAACTGAGGTCGACCGAGAATGGGGAGGACCATTTGACGCAGCAGGACTCATACTGAAATATGCTGCCGAAGCATCTCGGGGAACGCGTCCCGGATATTCACGCTGTTCGTGGAGATGCCGTGAAACAAGCAGCTGGAAAAGTGGCGGGTTGTTATGGACCTTGAATACGGCTGTTGAGTAATGCGTGGAAATGGAACGGTTCTTTGATCAGACGGCACGTTGGACGTTGGACGGAGGGACAAAGGCAGGGCAGAAGAATGGTAATTGGGCCCTTTATGTATCCAGGAGACGACGACGAAAACGGTCAAGGGGAGCTGTTGTTGACTGGTTGCGTCCCCTTGCGTCGCACACATTCTTCGAGGATCCCAATTGATGTTCTTGGTAAGGTCCGCTGTGAATCCACGATCCCTCATCCAGCCGCGTCGTCACGACCGGGGTTCGTGTGATTAGCGAGGGAGGTTAATCCGGGACGTTGATGAAGCTCTCTGCCTACCTATCCAGACCACGCACGCCTCCCAACGCCAGGATCCTCTTCTGAAGTTCGCACATCTCATCGCATCTTGCCTCTATCAAGACGACATTCCATCTAGGACCAGGAAGAAACCCCTTGCATTCATCATCGCAACGTCTGCCGTACCTCGGCGGCGTCTGGCCTGCTTGCAAACATGATGGCCAGTTGGTTCGGTTCTAGCTCCCAGATCGAGGAGCAGGTCCAAAAGGCCACTGAGAGCAGCTTGTACGAGCCCGCAGACCCCCTTGCTCCCTCCTCCTATACTGATGTTACCTATGACAGAGAAGATATTGCTCTCAACCTCGAAATATCAGATGTCATTCGCTCGAAGACCGTGAACTCGAAAGAAGCCATGCGCTCGCTCAAACGTCGCATAGGCAACAAGAACCCGAACACTCAACTAAGCGCACTTAATGTGAGTCTCCTCTCAAGACTCTGCTGCAGCTTCCAGCTAACCAGTTGGATGTAGCTTACGGATACCTGCGTGAAAAATGGGGGCTCGCATTTCCTGGTTGAAATCGCCTCTCGAGAGTTCATGGACAACTTAGTCTCTCTCCTCAAAGCATATGGGGGGGCGTCTGTCAACGAGGATGTCAAAAACAAAATCTTAGAGCTGATACAGACCTGGGCCACCGCCGCTGAAGGACGAGGCGAGCTTGCATATATCGGCGAAACGTACAGGAGCCTACAGAGAGATGGATTTAATTTTCCTCCCAAAACTGAGGTCGCTAGCACTATGTTGGATAGCACTGCGGTATGGAAGAAGATCCCCGATTCAAAGTATAGCACTAATTATGGATATCATCTAGCCACCGGAGTGGACGGATTCAGACGTCTGTATGCGATGCAGGACAGCCTTCAGCTTCACGAACCGCAAGCACCACTGCAGAAACTGTGGCAACGTATTCGACCAGCAGTGTTCGAGCAAAACCCTTCCGTTACCGCACCTTGGTATTCTACAACCAGTCAGGGTAGATGATGGGTGCTACCTCAAATTGACCGACAAATCAAAGGGCAGTGGCTTTGCGCCTGATCGATTATACGCTACGCATAAGCCCAAGGCACATTCCCCTATGCAACCACGAAGTGCTCGTATTGATGATGGTTATGACGAAGACCTCAAAAAGGCCTTGGCAATGAGTCTTGAAGAGGTTAATGGTCACACAGGCACTGGCTATGTCCCCCAAGAAAGGCTTCAATCTACATCGAAGGCCAAGGAGACTCATGCCAACAGTACTCCCAATAACTCTACAAATAAGTATGCGGAGGAAGAAGATGACGACCTCAAAGCAGCTATTGCCGCATCACTTGCAGACATGGAGGAGCAAAAGAAGAAACACACTGCTACAATCAAGGAGCAGTCGGCAAACCCCCGGGACAAAGTTTCCACAGAGGCATTTGTGTTGCCCAAAAACGATTACGAGCTTACACCTGTTGAAGCTGAAAATATTAATCTCTTCTCGACACTGGTGGACAGACTGCAAACACAACCCCCTGGGACGATTCTTCGAGAGCCGCAAATACAGGAACTCTACGATAGTATTGGCGCACTTCGTCCAAAGCTTGCACGAACGTATGGGGAGACGATGAGTAAGCATGGTAAGTAGCACTTAGGCTGTTCGAACCTTTCTACTTGACTAACGAACAAAGATGCTCTTCTCGACCTTCACGCCAAACTTTCAACAGTTGTACGATATTATGACCGTATGCTTGAAGAGCGTTTGTCGAATACATACAACCAGCACTCGATCGGTGGTTATAACCTCCCCTTTCAGGGGGCAACATCAAGTATCTATCCTTCGATAGCTCCTAACGTCCCCGGTGGGCCTGGCGCTGTCGAGAATTTTTATACTGGAAATTCCCAGTCAGAACAGTATCAGCGACCACAACCAAGTTTCAACGCTCCACCACAAAATCAGTACTCGGAGTACAACAAGAGAGGCTCTATTTCAAACCCAGGATATCCCGTAATGGATCAACGTGGTGATAACTATAGTCAGTACTCCGCACAATCGTCACAGCCGCAAAGGACCTCAAGCTGGCGAGCGAATGATCCTTCATCCACTCCGACTCTCGCGGATTCTGGATACCCAACGCCAGATCAACGAAATGAAAATTATAATCAGTACCCCTCACAGCCTCAAAGGAGTGGAAGCTGGCAAGTTTCTGATGTCTCCTCACCATATACGTCTCAACCTCCGAAACAACCCCCGGAAAACGCTCCGCCTCAACAAGCTCCCCCATCCATGGCTGCTCCATCTCAACCTTCCACAAGTTATGCACCCTCTGAACCTGCTTCGACAGACCCAAATGCAGCATTCTACTACAATAACGCTGCACAAGCCCCACCACCACAGCAGGCTCCAGAGCAGAATCAGTCAAATCAGTCACAATACCCACCTGTGCAATCTCCTCAGCCGTATCATTCCACAGTACAACAGACACCACAACAATTTGCAGATCATTCTGCAAAACAGCAACCTGCTCCACCGCCAACACAACCTCCGTACTGGCAAGTCCAGCAACAAAATTCAGTAGCTCAACAGGCCTGGCAAGCTCCGGGGTCTACATATAATGGCTATACACAAGAATCTTTCCCTTCGGCACCTAGCCATGCCCCACAGCAGAAAGTGGTAGAGGAAAGCTTGATCGATCTCTAATGCGCGGTATGACATGATAGCGATGGCGTTGGTGGTTATGAAATTGTGCACCATCTTCTTCCCTTGGGGAGGATCTTGAATTATTATGTAGTAGTATACTCACTCCTGGAAGTGCGTCGCCTTGTGCAGGCCTAGTATTTAGAGAATATACTTTGATGCAACGCTCTCTTGGTCAAGTACTGATCAACTTGTGACTATAATTAATACTGCCCAAGAATGCATTGGCATTCCGTTTACTCTCTTTGGGAATCTCATCATGTGATCGTATATTGCCACCCTTTGATTGGCTTAACTCTGCCCGCACTTTAGTGCGGAGATTATAGCGGGCACGACCCCACCATAACGCCGCTTTGAATAACAACAGCACAGTATTGTTGAATTTACGACCCTTCACCCAGTGATTGAACACGTTCACTGATGTATCAGTGACCATCCATCTTCCCCGGATCTTCAGACGCAGAATCTACATCAGCGAAAATGTCGCGACACAAGCTTGTAAAGAATCTGGACCTTGACGATGAAATGGATGATTATGATGGCGGCGACGACTATGCCGACGATGACACAGAAGGTTGTTTGCTATACATCGTATTCTTTTGAAGTCAGGTGCTAACTTTTGGTGGAAAATTAGAAATTAGTGAAGAAGATAAAGGTCTCTCATCCTCTACCTTCTATTGCAGAATCACGAAACAGGCGGACAGTGAGGCTTACTTAGGCATATAGAGAACCTGCGATTAGGAACGATACGAGTACGGGAGGAATTGCCAGAAGCATCGGGACACATAACAGACAGGCAGATACAGGATGCACTATGGCATTACTACTATGATGTCGACAAGAGCGTGGCCTATCTCATAAAAGAGTATATGGCGAAGCCGAAGAAGGAACAGAAGAAGAAAGTTGCAGGTGGGTTTTATCTTTTCTTTCCAACCCTACAAGTGCATGGAGGAGAGTTGGTGGGTAAAGTAGGGCCCGAGGTGGGTTTTGATTTCGTTTTTTACAGGTTACAGCTTACTGCGGCGTTTGCTAATCATAATTTATAGTTGAGAGTTCGAAAGCATGCTCAAAACCATTCTCGTTCGCGGAATTCTTCAAGGACACACCTTGGCTCAATGTTCCTCCGGAACGACAAGCTGTTTTCATTGCGCCTCTATATCCCCGTGGTGGTCTTCTAGGTGGTTCATCAGATGGAGCTCCTAAGATGTCGAAGCTGCAAGCTTTAGCGGCGGCTCGGAAGAAGAAGGCGCAAGAACAGAAAGCGAGTGAGAGTTCAGGGGTTGAAAAACCCATGGCAGGACTCTCCCTGAACGAGAGTGCGAGTGGACCTTCAGTCGGAAGTGAAGCTACAGAACCGTCGTCTGCGCTCAAGCAGCCATCACGACGCTTTCCGCTATTAAAGAGGAAAGATTCCAAACCGCACGAGAAATCTCAGAAAGCGCCACCACATGTCGAGAAAGAACCTGAAACAAACGATATCCCCATGTCTATCTCGCCTGGGGACTTAGACCAAGCTGAACCTTCCGCCTTCGCTAGCACCATGTTCAACTCTAGGGACCGCTCTCCTCCAAAGCACTCAGCTAACCTCTTCACGCTTCCATACGCCGCGACTGCTACTCCTGCAACCACTGACCCCTTCGCAGGACCTAGTCCAGATGACGTTGTCACAGCTGCGCAGTCGAAAGGTTCGACGAATTCTGCTCGACCTATGAAGTGAAACTAATAATATAGTAGCGAGTGGTAAAGGGGGCAAAGGACCTCCAAAGACTAGTGTGGAGAAGAAGACAGATCAAATAGCGAATGGGGTGGAGGCTCTCAAAATCGATGATACCCCTAAGGTGACCAGCAAAAATCTAGATGTATTAAAGGAGTTTGAGCAAAAGGAGAAGAAGAATGAGGCCAATTTTGTGGTTATCGGTAAGAAGATATACTTCTAATCAAAGAGAGGGGAAGCTAAAGTCCGTAGGCCATGTTGATGCCGGGAAAAGTACACTAATGGGCCGATTATTATACGATCTGAAGGTAGTGGACCAAAGGACGATAGACCGGTATCGCAAAGAGGCTGAGAAAATGGGTAAATCGTCCTTTGCTCTGGCTTGGGTTTTGGATCAGGGGACTGAAGAACGGACACGAGGGGTTACAATCGACATTGCAATGAACAAGTTCTCTACCAACAAAACGAACTTCACCATCCTGGACGCTCCTGGCCATCGGGATTTTATACCCAATATGATCGCTGGAGCAAGTCAGGCGGACTTCGCGGTGCTAGTTATCGATGCAAGTACTGGATCCTTTGAATCGGGTCTCAAAGGGCAAACCAAAGAGCATGCGCTACTGGTCAGGAGCATGGGTGTATCACGCATAATCATTGCTGTTAATAAGCTTGATACGGTTGCTTGGTCGCAAGAGCGCTTCGACGAGATATCCCAACAGGTCTCCGCCTTCCTTACATCCGCAGGATTCCTACCGAAGAACGTCGCATTCATTCCTTGTTCTGGGCTCCATGGGGATAACATCGTGCGCAAATCCACAGAACCAGGACTTACGTCTTGGTACAATGGGCCCACTCTCGTGGAAGAGCTCGATAATTCCGAACCTATAACTCGTGCGTTAACCAGACCTCTTCGGATAACAATTGGCGACATATTTCGTGGCGGCGTCCAAAATCCTCTCAGTATATCTGGGCGCATTGAGTCAGGGTCTCTCCAAACAGGGGATGCTTTGTTGGCCCAACCGGCCGGAGAAAAATGTTTCATCAAAGCTCTGGAAGTCGATTCCGAACCGGCCGACTGGGCTGTGGCTGGGCAAAACGTCACAATTCATCTCTCGGACATCGATCCGATCCATCTAAAAGTCGGAGACGTGTTGTGTAGCCCGACGAGTCCAATCAAGATCATCAAAGAATTCACGGCGAAGGTTCTAGCGTTTGAATTCTTGACTCCGATGCAGATCGACGTTCATAGGGGTAGGTTGCACACGCCTGGTAGGATCCGGGAGATTGTCAGCCTGCTGGATAAAGGTAGCGGTGCTCCTACAGGGAAGAAACGGCCCCGAATCGTCAAGCCGGCGCAGTTGGCGAGGGTTATTGTGGAGCTGGAGGCGGCGGTCCCGCTTGAGGCTCCAGCGAGGGTGGTTTTGCGGAGTAATGGGGCAACGGTCGCCGCAGGTTTGCTGGAATAAACCCTAACATCTTGCATAGACAGACAGCATGAGGGAATTGTATGGGCCGGGTACTAAAAAGAAAATGATGCCGTATAAAGTGGCGATGATGGTACATGTGAAGTTCCTGTGGTTTTCAAAGAAATGAATGTGCAGGTTGTTGGGCCAGATATCCGAAGGCTTGGGCCCGAACACCAGGCGGTCAGTAGAAGAGGTGGCAAAGAGGACAGATCAACTTTATGAGTAAGGCATCCCAGAAGTTGAACGATACACCGAGCGTAGAAGCTGTTTCATGATGTGAGAATGTATATGTTAACACGTGTGAAGTTTGTGAAAAGACCCTGTATCTACGTCACTCACGTGAGAGAACTTTAAGCTTATTCCCAGGGTCTAGATTTATTTCCCCGCTAAATCACTGTTGCTATCTTAGCTGCCTTAGATGATACCTATACAGAGGATATACTTCTTGGACTGAGGACCTACCTATATCCTTTATGCATCCGATGGGATATACAAGCACAAGTACAAATATATGTTTATATAGAAGTTCCTCGTTGACAAGTAGAATGAAGCAATATACAATCTAATAATACATACGTGGTTACAGTACATGACACGCTGTTGTCTATACGCCGCCTCAAATCTGTCCTTAGCGGTTTGGCGGCTAAGGTATGGCTAATAACAGCTCCAACGATGTATGTTGGCGGCGAAAAGAGGCAAAAGGGCAAAGGCCAGCGGCTGAACTTTCGAGAAGAGGACACTTGGAACTTAGGCTGGGCGAAGCTTAAGCGAGCCAATCACAGGTCGTGCCTCATTTGACCAGATTTCAATTCCCTGACGCCTCGCCAGATACAAGAGTCCAGATACCTTCTCAGGTCGATCTTCCTTCCTCTCGTTCAGCAACCACCTCTTCCTCCCAAGACCACCTTGATCTCGCATCAAAATGGCTCGAGGAAACCAAACCCCCTTCTATCTGGGCTTGTCAGCTCTTTTCTATTTTGCTCTTTTGTTTTCTCCTCTCGCCCTTCTTCAGACAGCACATGCACAGAGTGATCAGGAGCCATTACAAGAAAACTATGGCACCGGTATGTGTTCCTTGCCTTCGCCCGCAAGCCAAGATCCATCCCCCAGCTAACGGTCTGCTGTGCAGTTATCGGTATCGATCTTGGAACTACATACTCCTGCGTCGGTGTGATGCAGAAGGGCAAAGTCGAAATTCTAGTCAACGACCAAGGAAACAGAATAACGCCATCATATGTGGCCTTCACCGATGAGGAGCGATTAGTAGGAGACGCAGCCAAGAACCAGGCTGCCGCGAACCCCAAGAACACCATTTTCGATATCAAGTAAGTCACATTGCGCCTACACCCTACACGTGTCATCTTCAAAGCTAACAGAGCTTCTCAGGCGTATGATCGGTCGCAAGTACTCAGACAGCGATGTTCAAGGTGACTTGAAGCACTTCCCGTTCAACGTGGTCGAGAAGGATGGCAAGCCATCCGTCCAAGTCGAAGTCAATGGTTCCCCAAAGACCTTCACTCCTGAGGAGGTCTCTGCCATGATTCTAGGGAAGATGAAGGATGTCGCGGAGTCATACTTGGGAAAGAAGGTCACCCACGCGGTGGTCACTGTTCCAGCTTACTTCAACGACAACCAGAGACAAGCTACTAAGGATGCTGGCACTATCGCTGGATTGAATGTCCTTCGTATCGTCAACGAGCCCACGGCTGCAGCTATTGCCTACGGTCTGGACAAGACTGATGGAGAGAGACAAGTCATTGTCTATGATCTCGGTGGAGGAACATTCGATGTTTCTCTCCTCTCCATCGACCGTGGAGTTTTCGAGGTTCTTTCTACAGCCGGTGACACCCACCTGGGTGGCGAGGATTTCGATCAGCGAGTCATCAACTACTTCGCCAAGAAGTACAACAAGGAGAAGGGTGTTGATATTACCAAGGATCTCAAGACCATGGGTAAACTGAAGCGCGAGGCTGAGAAGGCTAAGCGAACCCTGTCCTCCCAAAAGACTACCCGCATCGAAATCGAAGCTTTCTACAATGGTGAAGACTTCTCTGAGACCCTTACCCGGGCCAAATTCGAGGAACTCAACATGGATCTCTTCAAGAAGACTCTCAAGCCCGTTGACCAGGTCCTCAAGGATGCCAAGGTTAAGAAATCTGAGGTCGACGATATCGTTTTGGTCGGTGGTTCTACCCGTATCCCCAAGGTTGTGGAACTCATTGAGGAATACTTTGGAGGAAAGAAGGCGAGCAAGGGTATCAACCCTGACGAGGCTGTCGCTTTCGGTGCCGCTGTTCAAGGTGGTGTCCTGTCCGGAGAGGAGGGTACTGAGGAGATTGTTCTCATGGACGTCAACCCCTTGACCCTTGGTATTGAAACCACCGGAGGTGTCATGACCAAGTTGATCCCAAGAAACACTGTCATTCCTACGCGCAAATCTCAAATCTTCTCTACCGCTGCCGACAACCAGCCAGTTGTCTTGATCCAAGTGTTCGAGGGAGAGCGCACCATGACCAAGCACAACAACCTCCTCGGAAAGTTCGAACTTACCGGTATTCCTCCAGCGCCCCGTGGTGTTCCCCAGATCGAAGTCTCTTTCGAGCTTGACGCAAACGGAATCCTGAAGGTTACCGCCGGTGACAAGGGGACTGGAAAGTCCGAATCTATCACCATTACCAATGACAAGGGTCGTCTTACCCAAGAGGAAATCGAGCGTATGGTCCAGGAGGCTGAGCAGTACGCTGATGAGGACAAGGCTGCCAAGGAACGCATTGAGGCTCGAAACGGCCTGGAGAACTACGCTTTCAGCTTGAAGAACCAGGTCAACGACGAGGATGGTCTTGGTGGCAAGATCGACGAGGATGACAAGGAGACTGTAAGCCTATCTCTCCCCTGAAGTCTGAAATCCCTATACTAACCAGAAATCCAGCTTCTCGAAGCCATCAAAGAAGCTACTGAGTGGCTTGAGGAGAACGCCGCTTCAGCCAACGCCGAAGATTTCGAGGAGCAGAAGGAGAAGCTTTCCAACGTCGCATATCCTATTACCAGCAAGTTGTACAGCGGAGCGGGTGGGGAGGATGATGAGCCTTCGAGCCACGACGAGTTGTAGAGCAACGGAGTTAATAGGGGATCTTGGCCCTGCTGGTTAGCGGGCTTACTATGTATGTTTTGCTAGTTTTGTTATTCGGGAAGCAGGCAAGGCGGGTGCAAAGGTGCATAACACGCGTGTAAAATAAAGGCATAAAGTTACAATGCATACCTGGCTTTCGATCGACCTTCCTACTTGGGGAGTAGCCAAGCAATCGTGTGGCGTTTGACCTTTGGGATTGTATCCAGACTTCAATGCCCAATAGAGGCCGAAGAACGAGAACTGCCATTGTCAGGGTGGCCTGAACCCGGGGGCATCTACGGATAGTGTCTCTAGAGTCTACACCAACCGGTATTCTCGCACGGTAGCACGGTAGCACGGTAAGACCAAGCTGACGGGCCGCTCTGGGCCCACGTCTCGGATTACCCACCTGCACACTGGGTTCGCACCTCCTTGTATAAGAACAGCCTGAACAGGGTCCTATACGTAAATCTCCCTCTGCCAAGTCGCGACACGAGCTTGAGCCGTAGGAGCGTAAGATAACCTATCTTACCTTACCTAGGTACGGCTTAACACGAGGCAAGTCTAGGTAGGTTGGATTGTGGGTTTTGGTATCACGTGCTGCTATTGTGATTGTGATTGTGATGGCCCCTCCCTGTTCAATAATGCCGACGGAGTTATCATGGCTTGGCAAAAGTGCCACAAAGTTGGAGGATATACGAAGCCGCCTGCAAGCCCAAAGCTTATCCCGTCCGTGGCTGCGCCGCCGCCTGCGCTTGGCGTGCGTTGGAATACGGCTTATTCGGTCCAACGTTCGAAAGCCCTCTTTGCGCGGGAGAGCAGTCGAGGAAAGAAAGGAGAAAAGGGAATCAATCGCAAGCGTTCTTGTTGTGATGAGTAGAGCAGGCGACATAGGTAGGCATGGGAAATGGCGCAAAAGCATGCTTGTCAATGAAAATGTCGGGAGTCCGGTAGTGAGCGCTCCGGGATTAATTCTTAGGCGTTCCCGAGATATCGAGGGAGCTCAGGGAGGGTTCGTAATACGGAGTGTTGTAGTGGACATGTGAGTGAGGAATGGAGCTCGGAGGAGGAGGTCGTAAGGGCGGGCAGCCTTGCAGTGGGCTGAGGTGGGAATAGACGCCACGACGCTACAAACGGCCAACTTCTTCTTTAGCTGTGATTGATTCTCTCTTGGCGAGGAATCCTGGCGGCGAAAATTGCGGTCGTGTGAGCAGGTGTTAATTGCTAATGGCGAGCATGCCTTACCTTACCTAGGTACGGTTGCGGCGAGTATCTTGGGGTTTCCTCCGCTAAAGGTCAATATCCCTAGAACAATAGCCAAGCTATGGAACGGGCAGTTATTATGCTTTCGGCGGTCAATAAGAAATCCGCATTCCTCAACATAAAACTGCGCCTACCCTATATCTCCTGCTTAATTGAATCGTCAATCTCGAGATGGAATGTCACAAGCCGTGATACGTGTACAGTGTAGACTTTATATCCATGAAAGCGACTATGCCGTAGACCATTCAACTCTGCATTAATCGAACCAGCATTCTATATAGTTCCGGGACTCCTACTTGTGGTCTGTGGAATAAAGAAGGACAGCAAAGCTGACGAGAGCAGCAGGAAAGGGCTTAAAGGACTTGCTTGTACTCTGAAAAAATCACAATCATCTCTACGAAAGCTAAGGATATGTGTAAAAGAGCCTAGGAAATATCAGCATACTGCTGCTAGAGTTTGGCACCAGGGGGTATTTATCGCGGGTTAATCAATTCATTAGTCATCAAGATCCTCGAACTTCTCAAGCTCTCCCACGAACGCTCAACTGCGAGGTGCAACAAACCTGACCCTTTTTGTTCACGATAGCACGTGAAATTAGTCATCCTACATTTCCGGTCTGTGTTCCTAATATCACGTGGAATTATTGAGTCCAGATCTTTTGTCGTACAGCACAAAACCTTTACATGGCCTTTAGAAAGAAACAATTCTGCACAAGTTCCTTAAGGATGTACCTAAGTACAGTCAGTACCTTACTTTATTGTTGCTGTTTTTGTTGTTGTAGTATAAATTATCACGTGAAACGTATGTTTTTGTTGCACATCGCAAATTCAACATGATCTTCTCTACAAACGATACGTCGGCCCCCCCCTCCCCACAGGCCTAGCCAAAGGTGTCTGTGCCAGCTATCAATACAACACACCCTCCTAATCAAATGTTCACATTTACCTACCTAGCTAATAACTCAATATTCATCTTTCTATTTATCCACTTGGCTTTATAGCAGAGCTCTACTACCTATTAATCGTGGGTCTTTGGACCTCTCTTAGGGAGAAGTCCGAAGACAAGCATTTGCGGCATTTGCGTGCCAACTGTTGTTGATTGCACTTATCTGGTTCAGATAACAGATTTGGGACTGTTTAACTGACGAGTCGAGTCATAAGGCTAGCCCTATCCTCAAACCTTTACACTCGGAGCTGAAAAACGATTTGGTCGCAGTAGTAATACTTGCTCCGTCCGTAAACGTGCGGCCCGGACCCGCCATGCCTATCGGCCGCACAGGATTCGATCATACGATACCTCTTATCAACAGGTTGATTCAAGAGTCCAAGACAAAGTACCGCTCGAATGCGTTGTCACACGACCTACGTGCTCCTCGCAGTTGGGTGTTGGGTGGTTCTCGGATGCTCCGGACGATCCTGATCAACCCCAGTGCTTACCTTGGGAGGAAATACGGCGCTCAGTACATCGTAGACGCAAGCGCAGCCTACATGCTCTGCATTTTCGTATACCCTCCAGTATCTTCTTCAGAAGTTGTTCTCACCCTATCATTCCACCCTCTCTCGCCGATCCTGGTGCTCGGCCCCCCGGCCATATATAACACTGTCAGTGTGTCTTCCTCGGCGATCCATCTCTGTACTGCAAGGCTCTGTACTGCAAGGCAGAAGAGCAGAACCCCGACCTCCTGGTGCCGGCGGGGGTGGGTTCCATTGCCACCCTGCAAATAACGGTTTGTTTCTCGGAAAGCCGCGGTCCAAAACATCCCGGTCCTCAAGTCTGCGCTCCCTGACTCGAGGCTTCCGTGATCTGACCACATCCCAGACTGCCAAGTCTCAGTGTCTGCACTGATCTGCTGGCCGGGCTGAATGCATCTGCGCCTTGGGGCCGTCTTGGGAGGGCGAAGGAGAAATAGCGTGAAATGAGCCCACCTCGAATACTGGAGTAAATGGTTTGTATTCGCACATGCGACTTTTTGTAAGTAGAGTAGAATCATCGATCATATGTTGGTGCTATATTCCGTACTCCATAGCGCCGGGGAAGCGCGATAGGCTAAAGGTAAGCATGCTAAGCTACCTTACCTTACAGAACCCTCCGTCCACCTGGGGAACTGGACTTGCCTAGGTATTTGAACTTGCACAAGAACCATCAGGTACATCAAGAAGCGTCAACATATCTGACCCGGTATCGTTGATGGCGATTGTCGCATAGGACCCTTTTTAACTTGGTGACCGTTGGAACTAAAATGCCCATGACCCTAAGCAAGCTTTCTTGGCTCCTTGACTAATCCGATAACGTATTTCCTGTAATCTGGAGTCGTTAGATACCTGATAGAAAGGAGAGATGTCAAAATATACCTCGCCCTAAGCCCAAGCAGTTCCTTTCATCAATGATGGCTTCTGATGTTAGTAACGACGGGTAATAAATTAGGCATACAGCAATTACTTGTACGTATAATTATTAGCCATCTCACGGTCGGAAGAAAGATAGGCACGTGATATAAGAGCGCTCGCCCCGCGGACGTACCCCGTACGGATAGCACTCCGTCGCTCGTGCGAGCCACCCCCGGTCTTGGCCTTCAAGGATCCCAACTTCGGAGGAAAAGCTTGGGAAGCTTGGAAGGTGGAAAGCGATGGGATTATGTAAGTCGATCCCGCGGCTCCAATGAGAAAAGCAGAGTCGCAAAGGTATTTCCACCGCTGACGGGGGTTTGGTGTTGGAGGCGTAGGATACCAGGGATAGTGCTATACGCGGTCTGCGATTCGGGCTGCTTTATCATGTTCTGGAAACCTGCCCGATTGATACAAGCACCGCGCTGCCAAGGGCTCTAATAACTCTTGTTATCGCTAGTTGCGGTCCAGCCGGTCCAGCCCTCCTCTCGCGGTGCTTCTACCCGCGTCCTTGTCCTGGGTCTGCAGGAGTACTTAGACTCCATCTGGCAGGTGATGGGCTAGCCACTATCGAGGAGCTTTCCCCCAAACAACATTGGAGATAGTTGTCGACAGCCATGGATGATGGAGCGGCCACTCGATGTGCCAATGAAGGGCCTGCCATCCCGCTATCTGATATCGCGCGCAGGACGAGGGTCCGGGGCAGGTCGCAGCACATAAAGTTCCGCCGTGCCCCCTGAGCTCTTGTGTTTCCCCAGTGTCACGTTTGGAGTCGGCATCATCTCATAAACTCATGGCTTCTAATCCCGCAGCTCTGGCTCTCGACGGGGGCGACCCTCGCAAGAGTAAGTCCTGCCAAACCTCTCCTTTTGAGCCGCATGTCAGTTTAACGTCGACCCGCTGACCGTTTGTAGGTTCGGGGGATGCACAGACGATCGCACCGGCTGCTCCTCGCCTCTTGCACGACCCAAATGTGATGCTCGAGGAGTACCTGTACTACGCAAAGATCCAACGAGAGCAAGAGGCGCAGGGTCTCGGTCCCGAGGAGAGAGAGGCGCTCTACCGGAGCCTTGCTGCTGGAAATTCCCCTGAAGCATCTGACGAAAAGAAAGAAGTAAATGAGAAGGCCCCCGTACCAACTACGACCTACTCTGGCCCTGCTCCAGCGGAATGGGAAACTGCTTCTCGAGCAGCAAGGAATGCAAAATGGAGTGCAGTGTGAGTTATATACTGATCGTCTTACTTGCCGTATCATTAGACTAACGTTGTCCAAAAGGGTATATCTCATTACCACTGATATTCTTGGACCTTCCAACGCTCCCTGGGCCATCTCACAATTTGGCTATGTCGGAGGTGTCATAACTTACACCTTTATGGGTCTCATGGCTTTCTTTGCTGGGTGGCAGATCTGGAGAATGTTCCTGAAGCTCGACTCCGATAGATACCCAATGAGGACGTTTGGCGATTTAGGGTTCAGAATCTACGGCACTTGGACACGTCATGGCATGAATATTCTCCAGAGTATTCAGCTTCTCTTCAACGTCGGTGTTATCATTATCGGTAACGGCCAAGCCCTGTCCCAGATTTCCAAGTATAAGCTGTGTTACGCCGTCTGTATCCTTATCTTCCCACTTGCTGGAATGATAGCGGGTCAGATCCGTACTCTGCAGAAATTCGGTTACCTTGCGAACTTCGCAATCTGGCTGAACGTTCTCGTCATTATCTTTACAATGGCCGTTGCCTGTCACAGCCTTCCCAACTACTCTGCAGCATTCGGTGTATATGGCACTCCCAAAGGCCCAGTTGAACACACGGTGTGGATTCCTTCCGGCTCTACCTTTGACAGTCAGCTTCAAGCTGCAATGCAGATTGTCTATGCGTACGGTATGTTCTGTGTCTAACACGATTCTCTGAACATGACTGACTAGTTAGGTGGTGCGATGTTGTACTGTGAGTTCATGGCCGAGATGAAACGCCCGATGGATTTTATCAAGGCGCAATTTATTGCTGAGATGTTCATCTACCTCTGCTACTTGATCTTCGGACTGGTCCTTTACTCGCAACAGGGTCAATTCACCTTCAACCCAGCAAACCAAGGACTTTCCCCCTACAGCTGGCAAACTGCGACCAACGCCATCAATATTGTCTCAGGTCTCATTGCTGCTGTGCTTTATGGTAACATCGGTATCAAGGTCGTTTACCAGAACATCGTCCAGGACATCCTCGGCGGCCCAGAACTCCACTCCAAGAAGGGAAAAATCATCTGGGTTGCGATGGTACCACTTTACTGGTTCACCGCCTACATCCTAGCATCTGCCGTTCCCAACTTCAACGGTATCTCATCCATGGTCTCCGCCGTCTGCATCATGCAGTTCACGTACACCTTCCCCACGATTCTATACTTCGGGCTACAGCTCCAAACCCACGCCATCACCCCGGAGGAGACATTCGACCCGGCGACCGGCGTCGTGCATCGCATCGATTCATGGAAGGACTTTAGCCGCTGGAAGCGCGGCTTCAAGCGCATGTGGTGGATGAAGATCTTCTGCCTGGCTTTCTTCTTCGCATCCTGCGCCACCGCGGTCCTGGGTATGTATGCTAGTGTTAAGAGTATCAAGGCTGCTTTCGACAGTGGACATGCGACCGCTTTCAGCTGCCACTCGCCTCTCGATGGGTAGAGTAGTATGGGATTGTTTACTAAACACCGTCATCCCCTTCTGGCGTTTCAGAGGATATATATCGAATGTTCATGCAATAATTAAGGGAGAGTTAGATAAAGTGTACGTTGTCGTCAAGACGGAATCTAATGTATCTTTAAAAACATCATTATTATGTATCTCCCAGAATCTAGATTCTATAGCTTTATCATAGGCAATTCTCCTCTAAAGCCAGCCGTCTTCTCAATCGTGAACGTGAGAGTAGATTGGGTTATTATTTATTGCCTTATCAATGTTCAAGATTATGATAAGATAGAAGGCTGTTGCACTGTAGTAGCAGCAGCAGCAGCTCACATATAAGCTCGTCCAAAACGGCAAATACGTATGATATATCTCGCAGTATGGCAGTAGTCCACACTCCAAGGACCCCACAACCTACATACCTACCTACATAGGTACAACAACCACAGTATACCCCAAGATAATCACTCTGCTCTCGTTCAAGCTCCATCACGCCCCCAACCTAGGCTCGAACCTCATCATCTCGTTCAGCATCGACAAGCTGAACCCGCCGCCGTCGCACAGGCTAAGCAACCACTCGGCATCCAGCTGGCCCATCTCTCCATGGCGGCCTTCCCAGCGGCCCGCCGGCCCCGGACTGCTACTCCCACTCCCAAGATCTGGGAGAGAGCTAGATGGTGGTGGTACCATGACGCACTCTGGGTTTTCGACGATGGGGTTTGGAGAGATTTCGTCTGGACTGCTGATCCTACTTGGTGAGATGGTGCGCTTTGGAGAGGTGCTGGATGGCGAGACGCTGGTGGTTAGGTTTCCGGGCGGCGTGTCCTGGGATGTTTCGGGGGCTGTTTCCGTCATGGGACTTGGTGGCTGGGTGGGCGTGTCATCTAGAACGGCGTCTTGGGATGGGGGGGGAGGGGACCGAGCTAGGAATTTCATGGTGGAGCTGATGACGGTCTCGAAGGCGTCGCGGTAGCGTTTGACTCCCGGGGTGCGTTCGGCCATCACGATGAGGGCTGAGGAGCAGGCGCGCAGGTCGTTGGAGACGGACATGTTCCAGAGGTTGGGGGAGAGGAATAGGCAGTAACTGGGAGGGAGTGATGTCAGCTAGAAAGAACGTCGAGGAAGGGTGGGAGTGTCACACACCACATAGTTATACCGGCGATGAAGACGGAGTGCAGAGCAATGAAGGAATGCGCGTAGGAATCTCTCTGATGCAAGCGTTTGAAGATCTGGCATATGTGACCGGAAGACTTCAAACATAGAGCAATGCGCTGGTCTGTCGGTGGCAGGACCGTGAGGAACGGCTGCAGAAGGAGACGCACTGCCTTGTAATAATGCAGATCGAGATAATCAGTTTCATATGGTGTTGATGGAGGGAGAGCACTATGCCAATCTTCGAGCATCTTCAAAGTAGGGCATAACTTGCATACGAGACTCGTGATTGGCCGGTCGACACGGTATATTGTCTCTTGGATGTGAGATTCCAACCGCTTCAGCCGGATGCACTGAATTCCAAGGGTGATATTTGACGACGGGCGAGAGGCTTGGAAAGTTGGGGAGCGCGAAACTGCCAAAGTACGGGCAATTAGTCCATCGTCTCGGACAGTGTCGTCGATTTCGAGGGGGAGAGAGGCATCGATATCTCGGTCAGCGATGCTGTAGGGCCGCCCCAGAGAAACAGCAATTACCCGCTCGAGGAAGTAAACTGTCCAGAATAATCGCCTCCTCAACTGTCCCTCATATGGTGGGACGATTGCGTAATGTGCTTCTCGATGTAAGCCCAAGTCAACACAGGTCCTCATCGCAAGGCCGATCATGTACCAGATTCCAGAGTTGGATGGTGAGCGAAGATTGTACAGAACGAGTAGAGTCATTGCTTCAATGTTATGGACGGAATGAGACTCCCGAGCTGCGGATATATATTGCAGTGCAGTCATGAAGAAGTTCTCAGGAGGTGTGTAACTATACTGCTCCGTTAACTTCAATATTGTGGCCCCAATGGCGTATAACATGTAGATCTTGAACGTCCCAAACTGGTCTTGAGGGCTCGAATTACTCTGCACGAATCGGTTGGCATGCCGTTCTAAAATATCAGCCCTATCCAGGAACGGATACCGGAGATGCAACTTGGTAAAATACGCATCCAAAATCCTCCTTCCCATCTCGTCGTTTGGTGGCCCAGCGCTATTCCTCTTCAAATCCGCAATGCTCATTGCCTTGGTCTGGCTCTGGTTCAGGGCAGATGCCAATGCTTTGTTCCATACTGTAGCTTGTACCATATGCCCCAGATTCGTAGCCAGGGAGAACCCTGAGGCAGATCCAACATATGCAGCTTCTCCTCCAAGACTCAAAAATCCAACAGCATCCGCAATAGTGCTTCTTCTCCGGCCCCCTGATGACGTCGGGGATACCACATGGTGCGGCTCGTAATAGTCCTGGGAAGCTTCGTGCTGTTTGAGCGGAGGAGCATTTGCATAAGCTGCCAGCTGGGCTTCGAGGAAGGATATCCGCTCAAGAAGCGCTTGATTCGGGCCGCTGCCTATCATAAGCTTCACTCAGACAATGCAGGGGAAATGTCTACCTGTTGTACTCTTCAATTGCAGAAGGAGGCTGCACGCAGTCCTCGTTCGCACTGGCACAATTGCCGCAAACCGGAAATCCGTGACATCTCTGTTTCCGTCTTCTACAACGCTCGCAAGATCTCCTGGCCCGTTTTGACGTTCGCGTATTCTCATCCATGATCAATTGAGCGCCCAAGTGCTCGCCATGCACAGATATTTGCTTTTGTAGGGAACAACATGGCGGATGGGTTACCTGTTTGTAGTGAGAAGAGGGAGATATTCTGTAAAGGCAAGAGTGGGGAATCAACGAATGTCTTGGCAAGCAGGAAGAGAACAAAGATGGGATACATACCGTACCTTTGTCGCCAGCCCCTGAAGTCACATGATCGCTAAATAGACGTCGTCTGGAGAAAGGGGTAAAGATCGCTATTTCATGTATAGTAACCCCCACTTCTACAGTCTCCTCCACCCCGATTTTGGCTTCTATACATGTGCAAGTGTAATTCCCGAGAACGAGAATTCCTCTTCGTAGACCCTCTTCTTGTCCTTCCCGTCCATGGCGCACCTATAAACCGAACCCCCGAGATCTGTGAGGTAGATATGTCTATTCACCTGATCTAGTTTCAGACCAATTGCCTCATGCAGTTGCCGTGCTAAGATATCATACTGCGGATTCTTCTCTCCCTCCTTCAGTGACTTCAGTTCGCTTAGCTTCACCGAATTCAAACTGTTTCCCATCGGAGGATCTCCACGATCCGTCCAGAATAACTGCTGATTGTCCTCGTCGATCTCCATATCAATCGGCTCAGGAAGTCCAGAAAACAGCAGTTCAATGTCTGTACGGTCCTCAGCATTTTGACCTTCAGGCATCTCAATGTTGGCGCGAAAGATCCTCCCCTTTCCGCCTTTCGAAAGACCTTTTTGGGTCCAATAGAACTTTCCCTCTTTCTTGTTAATGCTGACACCCACACACCAGTTCATTTGATTAGCAGCATCCTTCTCGTCTCTCCAGTCGCCCCTTTTGATCAAAGTCTCATGCTCTGAACCATCAATTTTACATCTCATGACTCTCATCCCCTCTCGATCACAAAAGTACAACCTGTCGCCTTCCTGGTCAATAATCAGTTGCTTCGGGGTGTGCACGGAACCGGGTTGGATGATGGTCTTGATATCACTACCGTCGAGTCTGCAGGATTGTACCGTCCCATCGTTAGACTCAGGAATCCCCATGTTGGTCCAGTAGATGCGTCCCGTTTTGAGGGATATGTCGAGTCCGTCAGGAAGAGCTTGCCCGGATACAATCGTTCGAAGCTTGCGTCCATCAGGGCTGCCGATTACGATGCGGCCGCTGTGGAGGGGGTCTGAGAGACTGTTTAGGCCAAGATCAAGCATATATCTGCAAAGTAAGCTTGGATATTCCACCATGGGCTGTAGACTTACAACGAAGGAGCGTGCAGGTTCTCATGGCTATGTGTGTTCTCCCCCCGAGTCTTAGTAGTATAGCCAGCAGGATAGAACCCCCCTTTCCCACTCTTGCCGCCCAATTTCCCCTGTTTAATATAATTCTTCAAGAAATCCACCGTTTTCTCCCCGGATAACTCTCTATCCCGGATATAATGCTCCTCAATGAACTTGACGGTATCTAGTCCGACAGCATCCATCATGGCACAAGGCCCCATATTCCCACCACTAAACATTTCTATCCATACCTTGTCCAGTTCTTCTGGGGAACTAACGCCCTCCGCCAAAACCGTCAAACATTCTCTCTTAATTGCCGCCCAGATGCGGTTAAGAACAAACCCAGTGCTCTCCCTCTTGGCCACAATAGGATGCAATTGCAACTCCTTCAACCTCTCCATATAAAAGTAGAAGATATCTTCGTTTGTCTCCCCATCCGTCATAAGCTCCACGATGCGGTTCTCGGGTGGCATCATATAATGTGTGTTCATTATTCTCTTCCTAGTCTCCGTCCCTACCTTCTCCAGCATCTCACTGGATTTATAACTCGAGGAGTTACTAGCAAGAATGGCATCTTTCGGAGCTGCTTTCTCCAATTCAGCAAAGGTATCGACCTTCAAGGATAATTCCTCCGGCACGGCTTCGATGACTGTCCATGTATCTTTGACTGCTTCAGTAAGATCTTCAAAGGCTTGCACATTTCCTGACATAGCCCCGGTAACATTGATGTAGGTAGAGATGTTGTTCTGGATGTAGTGGAGCGCGGCAGTGCGTTGTTTGTCGTTGGGGTCATGGATTCGTACGTCCCACCCGCCGGCTGCCCAGGTGCATGCTATTCTGCGGCCGAGAACGCCAGCACCAAGGACAGCGACGGGTCGGCTTTTGATGGAGGACACCGAGGGTGCCATGGTAGGCTGAAGGTTGAGAAATAAGTGTGAGAGGGTTCTCCGAGTTGAATGCGTAGGGGGATAAATGCACTAACACAGGTAGGTCTGGAAACGCAGTGTACATTAATCAAGGGCAGGACCCGTGCACTTCGAAGAAAAGCAAAAACATTTAGCTTTACTAACCTGCCTAGGTCTCTAATCCAGGTACGACTTTGGTCCAGGGAAGGTGCTCTGATGATGTAATAATGATTCTGCCTTGATGTCGCTGCCGGAACCTCACACAACTGGAATAGCATGATGAAATACCTAGTAGGTCGAAGACTTGAACGAGAATGATGACTATGAAGTTTGAGTGTGCACAATATTGTGGGGAAGCCTCAGCTGGAGACCGCTTCTCGTCAGTAGTTAGAATTAGGAATGGCCATAACGCGAAGGGCTGGAGATTGGAAGCAGCCCACGAAAACTTCAAAATAGGTTTCGAAACAGAGAAAATCAATATTCTTTTAAGTGGTTCAAAAAATAATAATGGGCAAGGTCATTCTCTCCCGAGGGTGTGGACGTGAACGGAAGAGTTGGAAAATGCTGAGAAGTGCTAGCCAGTGATGGAACCGCCGCAATCACACCAGTATCCGTATATGAGGATTCAAGTAGTGGTAGAAGATGACACGGGTGCATCCTTCATCGTAGCATATCGTTGTCTTCAGACTTCATCGAAACATCAGATGCCTCGATAGTAAAGGGATTCGCTGAGCTGAACTTGGGCTCCCACACTCAGATCCATATATCATTAGATAATTCTGCCGCCTCTAATGCCGCTGATGGCAAATAAGAGTACATTACTGAGTCCTCGAGCTGGTGGCGATAACGGTTCTTGAGAAGAAAAGCTTCAAAAGTTGAGTTTTGATGTTTGAAGTTCCTTGCCCGCATTAGTGCTGGTAGTGCCCGTCTGATAAGGTAGATTACTAAGTTCTTAGGTAATCTACCCCCGCTATATTCTGCAGAACTCCAATGACGAACTTCTCGGCATGAGGATCTGGACATCCGCCTGTTATTCCACAATCTCCTTTGATATTTGGTTAAGATAGGAGTTGGTGATATTGCTCTCTTATTGTATATATTGGTATTTGAAGATATTGGTATTACAAATTGCCTTATAGGGCAGTTAGCACGGAATTGTGCCCTAGTTAGGATTTTGCAGGGATTCGCGGTATACGCGCCTAATAACAACGCGGTTAGCGTGATGTCGGCTCGTGCCTTGTGATGAAGTGTGGGCTTCGGCCGTCTGAAGTGAACATCATCTCAATCTGAACTGCAGCGACACCATTCTGGCCAGAATACTTTGATCAAACAAGCAGCAGGATATAAACACCTTCTTCTTACGCAATAGTTCAGATTGCTTTTACTTCTACATTTCACCTCACGATGACGCAATCTACAAGAGTTGTTCCCTGAACCCACTATGGATCCCCGGCTTTGAACCAGCGCTGTCTCGAATTCGAATTCACTGCGACTAACATCTGTCAAAGAGTACCCCGTATGTTCAGCAAGTAACTGAGCGAGGCAATTCTCAGCAAGATGGATGTGGAGCAAGTAAATACAACAGAGGGAGGTGCAGTGACTGAGCAAGAGGCTACTTCACGATCCCCCTCCAAGGCGCGCAGTCTATCAGATTCTGGTCCTCCGACACTTTCTCCATCTCCAAAATTTCGCGAGCCTGAAAACCAAAAGTCGCAGGACGATAGTGCAATCGATACTCCCACCACTCCGCGGCGACCTGCTTTCCCAGCACGCGGTCTTTCGTTGAAGATGCCACCGCGCGACCTTATGCCCCCTAACACATCTGCCTATATCACTCGCACCCCGCTTTCACCGAAGTTGGATCACTCGCAAACATATGGGTCTCCATCTAGTGTCCTTCCAAGAAGATCTCGAGGTTTAGATTTTTCTCGAGCCGCCACGAACCTTCATCACTCGACACTCGCCGAACAGTCGTCATCCGACTCCTCGCCAACCATAACCGGACAAGCAATGAATATACCAAGCAGAAAAGGCGGCCCTCACTTTTCGGGAGGCTCGGAGTCAACGAATCATAACTCAAGTTCTTTGTGGTCGACCATGGCCCACGCAGACCGGATGAACGTATCAAGTTCTCTGGGAAGCGTGAACATGATGGGATCGGATTCCTCTGGGAGCAGCTCTGATGACGATGATCTTATGGATGCCGATGATATTGACGATTCGATCTTGACAACACCACAACTGAATAAAATGGCTGCACCTTTCGGCGCGATACCACAAGGGAGCCCGGGCAACGGATGGACTGGACAGTCACCAGCTGTTAGAAGCTTGATGAACTTCCAGCGCTCGAGGCTACGGAATGGTAAGAACAAGAAAAGATCCAAAAACGGCAGCGGGAATTCTATGGTCAGCCCCCATTTGAGGTCGCCTACTACGATGCGAAGTGTTGAGAGCATGGGCGTTGAAAGCTACTTGAGCCGAGAGACGGACAGTATGCACTCGAGGAGAGACAGTATAAGCTGGGCAGCCAACCAACTGCACATATCTGGAAGTGAAAGCGATGATGGAATACTCAAGTCAACATTGGAGAGCGTTGATGGTATGCCAATGACACCTGGTCGAGATGGCCAGCGCGCCGTCATTCGCAGAGCAGTGACGAGGAGGGGCAATATGCTGGTCAGTATGGATGCTCATCTCCACTCATACAATGCTAACACTGAACAGCCGAAAACGAAAGGGTTTGCCCGTATTCGAGCGGCTCTGGCCGAAGAGGGCGCTCCTATTGAGACGGAATTCCGCCGCGAAGCAGAAGTAGTTCGTCTGACCCGCGAAAGTGATATGGACCTCGAACCTACAAGACACCGTTCAATATCGGCCACGACGACCACACACTCCTCTCCGAGTCTCGGACCAGTCACCCAAGACTCCTTGGAGGGCATACCAGAAGACGATATCATGGCAGACGTGTCGTCAGGCCTCTCAAGTAGCTTTAAGCAGCATGCCATGCGCAACTCCAAAGGCAAAGAATTTTGGGACACCTTTAGCGACGACAACAATCGCACACCACCACCACCGGGATTTCTCCCACGTGGTTCATCATCCGGTATCAGCGAAGACATCTCACTGCATTCGCCATCTGTATCCACACCACCCTCCTCCCTCATACCACCAATTACTGGCAGCATGTCCGATCACCAACCCTCGTCACCTACCAGATCTATTACATCTCAACCATGCGCCGGACCAACAGCGGCCGAGATCACGCGGAAGCTCAACAACAAACGACGAAGGGATGATGACTTTGACCCAACGAGCTTCAAGCGTCGAGCCGTGAGCCCGGGTATGAGTGTGCATAATAGCCCCGTGATGCAGAGCCCGTTACAGCGGGATTCATGGGGTACTCGACCCCCGAGTAACGGAGAGAGTAACAAGATGACACCGAATGGTGGGACTCTGAAACGGATTGGATTTCAGGGTATGGTGGATACTAATGATGGATTAATGAAGATGAGCATTGAGTGAGCGGCTTGTCTTTGACTACAAATTCGGTGGAGGATGAATGGGTGAATGGGTTTGTCGCTCTAGGTAGTGGGCCCAATTCAGATACAAACATCTGAACATTCTAAGTTTTAGCTTAGCGTCTACTCTATGGCAATCATTGCCTCTTTTAATTAATAATTTCGAAGACAAGAGGAGCAGCGGTCGCGAGCCGATCATGAGCAGATCAGTTTCCTACTGTGGTGTTTGATAATGCATATCATGAACCCGGGGAGGAGGGGCCCGGGGGAGGGGGAGGGGGGCGGAACGGCACGTCCCGTCCATGCATTCGGCTACCTCACAGACCCGCACGGTCACATGATGATTCGCACCGACGGGGGCTTTCCAAGAAATACCCTCCCTACCTAGGGGTACCTTATATTTAGTATAATATACTATAAAATACTCTTGCTTGCTTAAGTATTATTTGATTTGCGAATCAAAATACTATTAATCCACTCCTCTGACTACTCGTTATAAAACAACTTCAATCAATCTTTTGTCTAGATCCGCAGAGCCTCAGAGGCCAGAGGGTGAATCAGGTATTGAACGACTGGCTGCTGCCACGCTGGAACTTATAGAAAGCAAGCAAGAGAGATGAATTTAGATACAAGTAGGTAGGTAAGGTAGGTAGGTAGGTGCTCTTGGACGATTTTTGGATAAAAGATGATGCAGATGAGATGAGATGAGTTTATTATTCGTGGATACAGAGCTGAATGAATGAATGGATGTGTATAAAATGCGAAACTGAACAGGACAGGAACCCCTCCCACAATTTCTACAATGAAGAACAACCAACCAACCAAATCTAGGTAGCTTAGAACAAGAGACCGCGATACCAGAGATGCCAGACAGACACGATAATATCCTCGAAGCTCATAAGATAATCTGGTATCAGAGAGGTGTTGAGGTCGAATAGTGGTCTGAAGCCAAAAAAAAGGTGCGAAAAGATAAAGGAATAAAGAAAGAGATGATACGCCGATTTAGTTTGAGAATATCTCATTCATCAAACACCTACTTACTGCGGTACTTGGCAGGAGACAAAAATCTACAAAAGTCTACCAGAGTCACTAATATTCATAGCTAGGTATGCTAAGAGGAACGAAATTCGTGGCCTGGCCTGGCCTGGCTCTCGAACATGCGGGACAAGTTGAGCGTTGCTTTGACAAAGTACTGTTTCGAATCTTCGATATCCCTACCTAGTCTTGGCCTGTAAACGTCTGACTTAGACCCTCCATGCCAGGCTGGCGAACACTTGCAAGCAATCTAGAATAAATAAATCCAGACGCAGCAAGTCACATATGTATATATATATATATATATATAGTCGCAGAAAACATTCCTGCTACCCTGGATGTGGAACAAGCAGTGCGCTGATCCAAACAGGAAAGTTATAGTCTGAATGAAACGAGTCGTGGGAGCTGGAACAAGGCAAGGGAAGGAAGGATAGCTTTTCGATGGCCGCTAGAGAGAGCTGGTTGAGTGGGATCACGACTGGGTCGGGGAGAGATGAAGAGATGAAGATCGATAAATGGGCTAGAAGGTATCTCGCGAGCGAGCTTCGAAATGCTATTGTAGATATGGTTGAAGTCGGGACGATTGGAGACCTAGGTAGGTATGTGTCAATAGATTGATGATGACATTAGAGAGAGTAAGTCCACTGAGCGAGTTAGAAGAGTAACTCCTCAAATATCCCTATTTTCACTTATTCGCCTTCGGACTCTGGCAGACCGGCACAGGCAGCTTTGGAGGGGATCGGATATATTGAGACGGATGTGGTGGATAGGTCGAGATAACTTCCTTTCCTAAGGAACACTTGATACCATCCCGACTACCCATGAACGACTTCACCACAGTGCGAGCCCATGCCGAATCGATGCGTATAAGGACAGTATAAGGACAGGCTCCCTCGACGGTCAGCCCATAGGCAAATAGGATCTGAGGAGGGTTCTAGGAGTCGTCGGTCATGGTCAGTCAGCTGTCTTCTCGATTATACGAATACCTTCTAAATTCTTCCATGAAGAGACTCTTGATCCTTCCTTCATTCCTAGACCTACCTTTTCCTCTCCTCCTTTCGCACATCAAACCCTTCTCTCCGGGGGCATCAGCAGCATTTCGAGAAGCATAACGGTGTAATGGCATGGCTCTAGGGTGTTTCTTTTTTTATTCTAGCTACTTCTGCGCCTCTTCTCCAATGATGAAGAAAAAATACTTTTCTACTTCTAAATTGGCGTCGGATCTGTGCCGCTGTATGATGTGATGTATTCTAAGATCAAGGCACAGAACGAGCCCAACTTGCCGATATACGAAACCGACGGACGGTATATTCCCGGACGCTGAACGCCCCCCCCAACTACTTCCAAGGCTCAGTCAGACTGGCTTCCTTCGGGGATTGCCCGCGAGTCGCGTTTGTCAGAGGTGGGAGAGCGAGCCCCAGCTCGGGGTTGCTCGCGCGGAGATATCGCTTGGGATGGGATGGGTCCCCCCTTTTGTTTTTGTGGTCGGGGAATCCCCAGTTTCTCCCATCGCACTACAGTCTACATGAGCGGGGGGTCGGGAAGTGTCGGGGAAAACCCTGTTTTTCCTTGCACGACCTGTTGTCCTCGTGATCTGGAATTTATGACAATAATAATGACACTACTTGGCGTTGAGGAGCTGAAGAACTGGGCTTGTGCTTAGCTGGGTATGCTTATTTACTCGCTAGGCCCCCCTTGGCTCCACCCCCAGCTCCCCGCTTCCTCCCCGTACGACTAAGGAATAGTACACATTGACCGCCTTGATCGAGACTCGAAGAACGAGAAATTTGGGGATTGAAAGTGGGGGATTAGGGGTTAGACTTTGCTTCGAACTAAAGCTACGTCCGCATGGTGACAGAGACGGTGCGCCAAGACTCAAAGATGAAGTACAGACATGTGCATTTTGAGAAAGGTTTAGCGATTACATAGAGTGAGTACTGAGCGCCACTCGTCTAAAACTGAGAAGCAGACTGTACCTGATCTCTAAAGCCTAGTCTAGTTCGCATTCTGGACCTTTCCATCCTGGATAATTTCCATCTTCAGCACCGGGTCCATTCTCTTCTCCAATGGCCAGTCTCCCCAGAAGTCCTGGACGTGCTTCATCAAACGATGGTACTGCAGTCCCGCACCCGGTTGGATATGGCCAATGATGCCCGCTCGGTCACTCTCTACATGCGTTGGCACAATCAAGCTTCGGCCCACAATACACTCCAGTCCGTTGAAGGAGAAAGCCATCGCCTCTCGGGCGCCGCAAGGGACACCAATGGCATCGAGCATCTGGATCTTCGTGTTAGGGAATTGCTCGCGCAGGTAGCCGATGATGTTAGGGTTGTATGAGCCACCACCACCAAGGTAGATTTCGTCGAAACCCTCAGGTGGGCCCCAACGCTTGTAGCCATCGGCCAAGGACTTCGCTGTGATTCGGGTAATAGTCGCGACGCAGTCTTCTGGTGATGCACCCTTGGCTATCATGCGCTTGCAAAGATCTTCAGCGAGTTCGTCTCCGAAGGTTTCGCGGCCGGTGGTCTTCGGGATATCGTGCAGGAAGTAGGGCTGTTGGAGGACCTCGTCTACGATCTCCTGGTCTACCTTCCCTGCCTTGCCCATGGCTCCATCCTTATCGTATTGGCGCGCGCCGTTGGTGAAGTAGCGGACTGCCCCATCAATAAATACGTTTCCTGGTCCGGTGTCAAAGTCGTAGCCCAATCTTGGGTCGCCCTTTGGGAGCATGGTTATGTTCGCAATTCCTCCGATGTTCTGGACTGCCACGTTTTTGGTAGGGTGGGCTGCGCAGAGTCCGTCCCAGGCAACGAAGAGGGGGCAGCCTTGTCTACCAAGTGCCATGTCGCTCACTCGGAAGTTCGACAGAGCCGTGATACCCGTCTTCGCCGCGATAATCGAGATCTCGGACATGTCAAGGTGTGCACGGATCTGATCACCCTCGAAGAGTTCTGGGAGCGGCAGATGCCAGATTGTTTGTCCCTGCCCAGCAATTATGTCCACTTCCTCCTGAAGGTTGAAGTTGTGTTCCTTTGCGAATTGTTGGATGGCATCGGCGGCGAATTCACCAAGCTGGCAGATGAAAGTTAGCAGCAAGTGGTAATTGAGGAGGAATTTGGACTTGCCTGGATGTTGACCATGGAAATCTCCTCAGGTGATGTCTTGTTGGTTCTGATGAGGTGCATTACACGCTCTGATCAAATATCAGTCAGTACACGTGCCCATCGAATTCACGGCTTGAAGACTTACTCTTCAATTCCCCGTCAAACTCGATCTCGCCCTCGTGCAACAGCTGGACCTTCAATGGAGCATCAGGACGTTCTTGGGTGTAGTGGAGATGGACGATGTCAATACCGTCCATTGAAGTCCCCTGGTTGGTACCAATGACCTTCAAGCTCAGAGGCTTGCCGTTCCATGCCGGTGCCATTTTCCTGTGCCCAAGATGAGGTTTGTAGCAATGTCTAGAGTCGATAGTAGTGAGAAGTTGGGTTGTGTGGAAGAAGATGGGTTTACAGATTTCACAGAAAGCTTTCAGCAGGTAATATACGGAAAATGGAGGGGCAGACAGCGACTTGGACGAGGGGACACTGCAATCCCTTTGGCCCCACGTTCAAACATCTCGAGACGCCGCCACCGTCGTATTCCCCACCGTGAGTCTCCTCGTGCTGTATGGCCATGCTGTGTAACTACGAAGAAACTAGCAGCGCTATTAGCATTTAGCAGCCTTGGGCGGGGGATTGGAGAGTCCGGGAGGGTGAAGATGCGTTGTAATGATGTTCGATCGTTGCCGGAGATAGACGTCGTCCGCGCTTTTAGCCTTTTATGCCTTTAGCCGTTCAGCAGTGCTGGCGTCGGTCTACCCCGCGGCGAGGGCAGCTTCTTGTCCAATAAGAAGTTCTATTGCGAGGCTGGTTGTGGGTAGTTCTCAAGTTTGGCGCAGAGGGGGATTCTCCGATGACGCCTGGCGCACTCGCAAGGCGCTATCAGGCGACCCGGCTGACCAAGTTGGTAGCAAAGCCAACGGTTATTTCCGGGATTATTCCCCCCCTGTAAGCGACCCTGGTTAGCCGAAGTATTCCCATCCCCAGGAACTCCACGTCCGCTAAATCAGCGCGTCGTGAGGAGTCTGGGCTGAGACCCCAGACTCTGGGGCCTCCGCAAGTGTCGGAAGTGAAGACTGACAAGTGATGGTGTCCTCGGGGCTGATCATCGTACCATGGAGTTTGATTGGGGAGAGCGGCAGCACGATGGCCGGCATCAGGACCTGCGAGTTGCAAGTCTTAGGGGTATAAGTTAGCTACACTCCCCTTCGTCGGGAGCGTTCTCAGAAGTCCATTTCAACCCTCCTTTTTCTTCCAATCTCTTGAATCACATTGCTCCCAAGATGGCTTACACCATGGAGCTGACTCCATATACCATGACCATGGGTGGTCTCAAAGGTCTCCCTCTCCAGCTTGCTGTTGCATCCATCGCGACATGCGCGTTCTGGCTGTTTGGTTATGACATGAGTGTGTAAGTCAATCTAGGGTGCTTGGTCCCAAGAAGTCTTCCGCTGATAGAGGCTCAGAATGGGTGGGGTCATCACCGAGGAACCGTTCCTCAAGGTCTTTCCAGAGACAAGAAATGCAAACACCCAGGGCATCGTCATCGCTGTCCTCGAACTCGGCGCTTTCTTTGGTTCCATCCTCTGTATGATGTATGGTGACCAATTTGGACGCCGTGCCATTGTTGTAAGGATCCCCCGGGAGTGTACATCCGCCTCTAGACCTGATCATAGCCAGATTTCTCCCTGATCTTCCACGTCTTTCTTTCCGTTCAGATCAGGCAATTGCTGACTCGTAGGTTGTTTAGTGGATGGGTATGGGCTGCATGCTCGTCGGCGGAATCTTGCAAACAACCGCATTCCATGTCGTACAACTCGCTATAGGACGTGTGATCTCGGGTCTCGGTCTGGGTCTTCAAGTTGCAACGGTGCCAACTTGGCAATCCGAATGTGCCAAACCGAAAGCTCAAGGTAAATGGGTCATGATTGAAGGAGGATTGCAAACAACCGGTGTTGCATGCGGCCAATGGATCGGATATGCATTCTTCTTCACCAAGGGCGAAATGCAATGGAGAATGCCAGTCGGTATACAGCTCATCCCGGCTGCAATTGTCTTCTGCTTCATCATGTTCCTTCCAGAATCCCCCCGTTGGTTGATCATGCACGGCAAGATCGAACAAGGCACATACAATCTCTGCAAGCTTCGCGGTCTTGAAGAGAATGACCCGGTCCTGCAAGCTGAGCTCGAATCAATCATCAACTCCAACGAGTCCCAGGACTCAGAAGAACCCTTCCGTTACAGAGAATTGTTCCAGAATGGAAAGACACAGACGTTTCGACGTATGTGTCTCGGCTTCTTCATCCAAGCCGCACAGCAACTTTCTGGCATCAACCTGGTTTCCACTTACGCCAACCAGATCCTTGGTGATTCTTTTCAACTCTCACCTGCCATGTCGCATTTGATCGCAGCCTGCGGTGGTATTGAATACGCAATCTGTTCCGTCCTATCCGTCTTCCTCATCGAAGGCTTGGGTCGACGAAAAGCCCTCCTCTTCACAACCACTGGTATGACGGCTTCCTTCATCGTGATTCCCATTCTTCTATCCACCGGTCAGCGCGACATGCGACTCGCCGCCGCCGGTCTTCTCTTCCTCTTCAACACCTTTTTCGGTCTTGCTTGGGTTGGTGGACCCTTCCTCTACTCCGCTGAGATCGCACCCCTTCGCTCCCGAGCGCAGATCAACGGTATTTCTGCTGCCGCCAACTGGATATTCTGCTTCATCGTCGTGATGACCATCCCCACATCCTTCAAGAACATTGGCTGGAAAACATACATCATCTATGCCGTTTTGAACGCAAGCTTTATTCCAATCATCTATTTCTTCCTTGTCGAGACGAAAGGAAGATCACTGGAGGAGCTTGATGTCATTTTCGCCGCACCGGGTGACCCAGTGAAGAACGAGAAGAGGATGCCACACAACCTTTCGATTGCTGAGGCAAGAACAATCCTGGGCCTCGAGGACTACGAGATGAAGAGTGATGTAAAGGAGGCGCCAAGTGAGGTCAGAGTTGAGGATCAAAAGACGGTTGATTTCTCCTGAGATGTATTACATATTGAGCACCTTCACATATCATCTACAGTCTTGCTGGGAATCTAGAAACTGCAGCAACGTGGTCGATGTTGAAAAGACCTTTGAAACCGGGGCAGCCAGACTAGGCTACGGAGACGTTTCAGTAAAATCAGAGGTCGGCCATCAGGGTGCAACAGCAGAGACCATAGAGCCATACGTCTTGGTCTTTGCCGATCCGAGTATGAGGAATGCCCAAATAGGAGCTTCGCCTTCTCCAGGGTATCCGGGGACGCTGGTATCAGGGTCGATACTATAGTCTGGATAGATTCAAATCAGTTGCCCTTCCAAGCTCCACGACTTTCTCCCATGAATATAATGTCTACATACGCACGTTAGAAAACCCTCCACAAAAAACAGTAGTATTCTCTCAATTCTCGTACCTCTACATTTCGATTTCAGAACTTTCTAATCCAGCCTCCACAAGACACTCTTCTAGATCACAGGAGCGAGCCATATCAAGTTCATCTTTGGTTTTTTTATGGGAGCTACCTCCACAATCGTGCATCTTCCGATTCCCAATAATAACAGCTCCGAATGAGCACGGATTTTTCGAAAGCGATTGATTGATTGATTGTCTCCTGCAAGGTGTCTAGAAGCGTGTATCCAAAACCCACCGCTGATCTAGATTTCCCTTAAACGAGACACCTCACCTCACCCATCGAATATCGAGGGGGGGTCATATGTGACTGACGCCTTGGTAGAAGTCTAGCACCCGCATATATGATATGTATGGACCAGCTGGCGTTGCGCAATGCCGATGCTTAGTATCTGGTCTGGCCAGACGCTGGCGAAGATTTTGGAATATGGTTATAGTATAGCATTTAGTAGCTCCAGAGTCTTTGTAGAATCAATCTCGAGATCGATGGGTTTGGCATGCCCAGGTGCTGCTGTCATCGCCTTGGAAACAGAGTTATGCGATATGTGCACGGGAGTTGGAGATAGCCCATGGTAATATGGGCCGCAAGAAAGGATTTGTAGTCTCACAAGCTTGGAAGATGATGTATTATATCTTTTCGTCTTCGATTCCTGAATGGAAGTCGTAGATTCGATATATTGTTGTATATTTGGAGGGGTGGGGCTCTTATGATAGATAGCCCGATTCGCTATACACGCCCCGTAATCTCAGAATTCAAAATGATCCAGGTATATCAGGACTCCTAACGCCTCGCATATGATGACCATGTTGGGACCTTAGCTTGGGGTTCCATGAAAGCGCTCCAGCTTCCGCGATGGTAGCGTATCGATGTTGGTGCTTGATATCTCAAGCCACTCGATTTGAACCATCGTATCCAGAGCCTCCTTGAAATAGCCATGAAGCCTTCCCCTCGCATTCTCACCTCCCTTCCCCACTACTCAACACAAACCCCTCAAATCGTCCCTCCAACAACCGGCCCACTTCCTCTGCCTGCCTCCTCACGCTCCAGATTGACGCATGCGTACTCCTCTCTGCCCCAACACTCCCCGCCTCACTCCCCGCTCCACTGAACGTGCCCTCTCCATGCGCATGTAGCGATACCTGACTCCCATGCGTGTTCCCCTCATGCGCCGCCGGCGACGAAGGCGGCGATCCACTACCCGACAAGATATGCCGCGGTACATTCAGATGCTGGCTGGGGAACTGCGACGGAGATATATTCGAGGGGCCGACTGCCACGAACAACAAGCCGCTGGATAAAGCCCGGATGCACATTATGCCAAACTCGAGCTGGATTGTTATACAGCTGAGATCGTGCTCTGATTCGCGGCTTTCAGGGTCTAATGAGGATGCAGGGAGGGCGGAGGCGACGAGGGCAGATGTGTTGCTGTGGAAGGGGTGGTAGAGATTCCATAGGGAGCAGGCAAGCGTGGCTTGTGTTCGTAGGGTGGAGGCGGGCGAGGGGGAGGCGCTGCAGAGGAGCTTCCCGGTGGGGGAGAGGAGGAGGAGGGTTTGCAATTGGGGAGTGGTATTTTGAGAGAGGAACACGGAGAGGCGTTTCGTGAGGAGCATAGTTTGCGACATGGTCGAGGTGGGGTGCGAAGTCGTGAGTGGAGAGGAGGGTTGGACCGAGTAGATGCGAAATTGATAGATGACGGTTAGACGAAAGACGGGTATGGCGATATAGAGATAGAGAGGATTGGCTATGGCATCTATGCTCTCGGGCCAACACAATTGAATGCTTTACAGGAAGAAAGCAGTGGTGGGGAGAATCGCGCTGTTATTGAGAAGGGTTGATGGCGGGAGGGCGTTCTGAAGCTGCAGATCCTAAGCTGAATGGCGCTCAAAATCAAATTCCTGACGCGAAAGCGAAAGCCCGGTTCCCTGGCGAGTTGCAGCAAGTGAATGCTACGACGCCGTAGCGCGCTCACAAAGAAGATAATAAACTCGATCTCGGTTCTTCCCTAAAACCTATGCTACATCCAAGCTTGAGTTGACAAAACGTGGGGAAGAATTGCTGTAAGAGGCACTGATCCTTCTTGGATGTGATTGGTACATTTCCATTTCCCCCTTGGAATCTGGACCTCACCCTGCAAAACAAGCCTGGGCCAAGAGCTAGATGCCTGACTTCCCAATTCTTTTGCTACCTATACTCTACATCTCGAGTCACGCTGTTATTGAGGTGGTCCTTGAGCTGTCACTTTGCTGGCTCAATCACATTGCCGTCGCCTTCGCCGCGCTTCTTGAAGCTTTTATAGAGGACCGAACAAGATTCTACCGTACTCTACAGAGACAAGAGGAGCGTCAGAATCGCAGGAATAGAGGCAACAGGGACCGTTGAACGTCCTTGCCCCAGTTCTTCCAGATCTCTTTCCGTTGTTCTGTTGCCCTGTTGCTCTGCCTGCCCTCTTCTGACCTCTTCTGCTAGAAGAAGCCCTCTTCTCTGACTTCTAAACTCCGAACTCGAGATCTGTGATCTCCGATATACGTCTATGACAACACCCCGAGGAAAATCCGTGGTCAATCGCTGCTCGACTGCATTCATCCCAGTGGAGAACGGGAAGCTCGCATTAATAATCAGCGATTGGCGGGGTAGACAGACGTCAAGATAACAACACTCTCCTCTCTTTCTCATGTTTCTGTAAACCCTCTCTCTCTCTCTCGTACAATTCCCTGCTCTATGCGCTCATTCCGCACTTTCCAGAGAATCCTCAGACCGAGCTTGCACCACATTGTTGATCCAGGTACGAGAATCCGTGGTCCAATCTCATTATCTATATACGTATGGGTCGCTGACGCTAGAGTACCTTTGTAGGTAGCAGACCATACGCAACCATGGCGACCGATTTGAAGACCTACAAGTTTAACCACTCAATGTGCGACATCAGATCAATCATTGCTTTATATGGAGACATGCTAACCTTACCAGGATTCGGGTGAAGGACCCCAAGAGGTCTGGTATGTTCTCCATTCCCCATTCTCCACTCGCTACTTTGGGAGTAAGGTCTAACGTGCTCCCTTGTAGTCGAATTCTATGAGCACCTCGGCATGAAAATGATTAGGAAGATTGAACAGCCCGAAGCCAAGTTCGATCTTTACTTCATGGGCTACGACTCTCCCAAAGCTGTCTCCCACGCCAACCACTGGAGTGATCGCGAGGGCCTCATCGAATTGACGCATAACTATGGAACGGAGAATGATCCCGATTACAAAGTCAATACTGGCAATGCTGAACCATACAAGGGTTTTGGACATACCTGCATTAGCGTGGACAACATCCAAGCGGCCTGCCAGAGAATCGAGGACGCGGGTTACAAATTCCAGAAGAAGTTGACCGATGGGCGCATGAGAAGCATCGCCTTCGTACTTGACCCTGATGGATACTGGGTCGAGATTATTGGCCAGAATCCCGTTGAGAAGACTGAGAGCATCAAGACAACAGACGTGCAGACGTACCGAATGGTAAGTGAGGCCCTGTCCAGGCGGGATATAGTTCTGACGAGGCTAGAACCACACCATGATTCGAGTCAAGGATCCCGAGAAGTCATTGAAATTTTACCAAGAAGTTATTGGCATGTCATTGATCAGAACGAGCGAGAACAAGGACGCAAACTTCAATCTCTATTTCCTCGGTTATCCAGGAGACAAGGGAGCTGCTCCCACCGCATCTGCAAATGGCGTAAACCCTACAGCGGATCGCGAAGGTCTTTTGGAATTGACATGGAACTATGGCACTGAGAAGGACGCAAACTTCAAATACCACAACGGCAACGACCAGCCCCAAGGATTTGGACACATCTGTAAGCTTTATTAATCGACAGCAAGGTTTTCGTTCCAACTGACACGTGACAGGTATCTCCGTTGACGACCTCGATGCAGCATGCAAGCGCTTCGAAGATCTGGGAGTCAACTGGAAGAAGAGACTTACAGATGGCCGAATGAAGAACGTTGCATTTGTGTTGGATCCAGACAATTACTGGATCGAGGTCATCCAAAATGAGAAATTGAAGGGAAGAGCAAACTGGTAGGGAGCATGCGCAAACAATCATGAGTTACACACCCAAACACGATGTGGACATAAAAATTGATGTAATCTTAATATCTTGCTTTCCTTTGTGCCTTTGGAGCGTGACCTGATCCTTCTCAATTTTGCATAAATAACAGCGAGCAGTGCTGTGCTGGATGCGCTCTGTACTGTAACAGTGAGCGGATAGTAGGATAGCAGACCTACCTACCTAACCTACCAGACCTCAGTAGAGAATAACAGTGTTGATATCCTAATCAGAGCAACAATAGCAACTATAACTCTCATTAACGGAAATCCCTTACTTAGTTCTGGTGCTTTCTTTCTTGCTTTCTTTTGTTACTCCCTCTTCTTCCTTCTACTCATCTTAGATGCTGTTGTTGTCATCTGTCTCGCTTAAAAAGGGAGGGTTTCCGCAATGACATCCCTAGGTTGTCTGCAGTCAATGAACTACAACAATGACACCCTGCTGTAGCCAATACGTATGTATGATTTAACTATGTCTTCTACTCTATCTTAGGACTGGTAAAACTGAAGTCTCTAAACAATGATGCTCTTCCTTATACTGGACAAGCAACGTGAACCATCTCGGTTTCTTTCCGGGCTACCTCGCTTAAAAAGGGGCAAACATGGGGGCCATTCTCAACTACATTACCCAACCCTCATGAACAGTCAGTCATTCTGTAGTCCGGGATAAAACTGACTCTGGCTGACGATGTCGCTGCTTAGTCGTCATCTCTTGTTTGGAATGACGACTAAGCAAGATAAACAATAACCAACACCTTCTGCCTCTGCCCACCCCGAAACGCTTTTGTCACAACAACAATCAACCAAACAAACAAACAACTTTGCAACTCCTACCACCTGGTTTATTTTACAAGATCACTTGCCATACTCTGTGAAAGAGCTCATTCCACCCTGCAGCTGCCTACTCTGATACCTGACTGCAACTCCTTGCGCCTGCGTTGCTCGAGAAGAGATCCATCAAGGTAAGGCTCCTCGATCTGACCTTCTCCTTCTTCTTGAAACAATGGAGCGTGCTAACTTAATCAACCAGATGGCTCCAGGCAAGAGTAATAAACAATCCCGACCCAGGAAGGGCAAGAATAGTAGAAAGAGCACCAAATCAGGTCGATCTGAGGTCCCTGGTCACGATGGCTTGCCAGACGGTGATCAGAGTACCATGGCGGAGAAGCAAGATCTAGCTGATAAGGGTGGCGGATCTACCGATCATGAAGACGACCAGATGCAGGGCGGAGAACAGCTTACAGCCAAGGACGCCGAAGCATCAGTCATTGGAGACCCGCTCTTCGAGATCAAGCGCGTCAAGCGTTGTGTCAAAGACTTTGGACTCTTCGCTCGTCGACCAATTGATAAGGGCACTGTGATCTTCAAAGAAGCCCCGGCGATCGAGGGTGCTCAATCTTGGCTCATGGGGGAAGCTAAGTTCATGACCTTGAGTGAAACCAAGAAGAAGGCGATCACGGATCTCCAAAGCCGCTGTCGCTGCAGAAAGGTCCCCTGTATTGAGAGCAAGCTGACCAAACTCTTCTATCTGAATGCTTTTGATATTAGCGCCCAACACTTGATGAACAGACACGAGGCCATACAAACAACCAAATTTTTTTACCTCTACACGACAGCCGCCCGGATCAACCATTCTTGTGTTCCTAACACAGCTTACGGCTTCACCAAGAATAAAGAGATTTTTATCGAGGCCCTTAAGGACATTGACCAAGGAAAAGAATTGACAATTGACTACATAGGAGCCCACGGAGAAACCTCTTTCAGACGAAAAATCTTGAAAGACGTCTTCGGGTTTCATTGTAGATGCACATCATGCCGAAATAACAAGCTAGTTCCAGAAGGGAACAGGAAGGTTGGTTATATCGGCTCAGATCTGGAGGAAGAACAGATTCCACAGTCAGAAGTCATCGGCCGACTTTCGAAAGCCGAGATTGACAGAGCGGATGAGGTTCATAAGTGGTGGGAGCAGATGAAATCTCATATAAGATTCATGGTAGACGAGCTGCGGAGTGTCATTGAGCAGTTAGCCATCAAGGGGCTGATCGACTCGGACAGCAAACTTTTGGAGTCAATCATTGAAGAGTTCGAGGATAATTTTCGACAGGATCTCCGAAACAATAATCGGTTCGGACTTGATGAAGATGTTCTGAAAGTGGAGGATGGCAAGGTTCCGCAAATGCTGCAGCCTGCAAGACAGTTGGTCAACAGTATCAGAGAGATGAACTCGAAGGTTCCCGTGGAAGCAGGAGAATCAGAAGCAGAACTTCCATTCCTGCGACACTGGCGTACAATCCCCTCGGAAAAAATACCAAGTAACCGCCATCCAGCAGCCACAACCGCGGAGACGGACGAGTTCGAGGACAGACCCCTACTTGATCGTGTGATCTCGGAGTTGAATTCATATAAGGAAACACTCGCCACTGGGGAAGCTACTCTGGAAGATCTTCTAGCAGAGATTGCAGAGCGAGAGGTTCCGAAGGTCTGCCCTACAAAGGTCACAAATGAAGAAATCGAAGGGGTGACTGCAGAGGGCATCGCAGCGGAGAAAAATGCAGAGGAAGATATCACAAAGGCCCGGATCCCAAAAATCGTTGTGGAAGATTTTGATGAGCTTGCGGCTAAACTTGTACCTCAACTCGCACTTGCCGAGGCCAACCCAGAGCTCGAGGTTTCAGCCCAAGGGATGACTGCAGAGGACATCGCAGCGGAGAAAGATGCAGAAGAAGATCTTACAAAGGTCAGCATCCCAAAAATCATCGTCGAAGATTATGATGAGCTTGCGAGTAAACCTATACCTCAACTCGCACTTGCCGAAACCAACCCAGCACTCGAAATCTCGGTCAGAAAGGTGACTGCAGAGGAGATGCACTGGAGATGGATGCAGACGCCGAGAAGGCAGATGAGGTAAAGAAGGTCGAAGAGAAGTAGAGGAGATGTGGAATGTGTAGTGTGTACTGTGTGTAGGTTGGGAAGAAGACGCGTTGGTTTTTCAGAGGCGCTTGGAGCGCTTGGGGAGCTTGAGGGGCTGGAGTTCGGCCAGAGATGTGATGGGACGCGGTGACTTTCACAAGACTTTCAGAAGAATTGAACCCCGGTTCGTTTGTATGATTCGGAACTCATAATCCAAACCATTACCAAAGGCTCGGATTTTGCATCGCGCATGTTTTCCTTGCTTTGAAGTGTCGAAATCATTGACTTAGTCTTCGGTAATCATGTGTTTTGATCAAATTCCGAGTTTTCCATATGACCTTGATATTTTCTACGCCTGCTCCGTTTCGAGTTTGTCCGGCCATTTGCAATTTGCTCAGGCAGTGATTCATGATCAATACTCCAACTAGAGAAATTCATAAAATAAAGGCCATACGGGTGATATTCCCTACCCAAAATGACGTGTCGATGAAAGGGCGTTCACGGACACATATAATAACCAAACGAGATGGGTACCAACGAAATTTATTATTTGATACTCGACAGTGGTATGGTATCTATCGTACAATTATGCGCCAAATGCGCCAATACCCGTCCGCCTTCATAATACCATTTTCCTTCGACTCCAGTAAAAACCCAAGGGACGCAAATCGCATGCATGTGTCAAATCCATCTTTAGGAGTCCCGGATGGCGCTGAGCAAGTCCACAATATATACAAGCTGATTTCAAGTTAGCTCGATAAAGGAGTGTACCTTAGGTATAATAAACTCACCAAGCTTCTATTATGTGACATTACCTCGAACAGCCGAGGCTCGACAGGCTTGAACAATCTATCGACCCAGGAAACATCTCCTTGCTTCGAAGCATTCTCCTCAGTCTCCGTCTTCGATAAGTTGCGTGCCAAATTCCTCAACACTAGAACAGCGCTGAGGGGAATGCCAGCAGCATCATTACGGTCATCGGTCATGGTAACTTGGAATTGGAGATACTTCTTGGGAGCAGGGACCATGTACGAGGGTTTCGGCTTCTCCGTTTGGTGCTTTGCAGCCAGAGTTGGAGGGGGTGGGAGATGGACCTTGATATGATGATCGAGTTGTGCCAGCTTTTGGGCAGGGGCATCGTGGAATCTGCGACAGCCATCCCAATGACACACGTACTGACCTACAGTATTGCGGAATTGGCCATTCTCTAATTGTGTAGCACCAAGGTGATTTCTGAGGATGTGCTGCTGCATCTTCACTGGATCCATGAAAAACTCGCCACATGGTGTCGAACCATACGTCTTCCACAAACATTTGTGGAATTCTTCGCCCCTGAAATCGACTGGAACGCTTCGTCTTCTGATGCCTTTGATGATGAATTTCTGCACCGGACCTGATTGAACCTGTGCGGAGGCCTTCTCGGCAAAAGTAGAGCTGACGTTCTTGATGAATTCAGCAGCTGGCAGTAGAGGACGACCTGTTTGTAAGGCCATGGGTGTAAATCGAGCCTGATAGGCTTGCCACATGGCAATTTGAGTGATAGACTCATCACGGTCCTCCTCGAAAAGACAACGAAGCCAATGCGAGCTCCTCTCTGGTTCATCCAATTTCTCAAGTTGAGCTTGCAGTTCTTGTGGAAGCGGAGCAATATCATCAGGAGCAGGCTTCTTGTATGGATGCCCGAGCACTTGTTCAGCCTCAATCATCCGAGCCCCGTATCCCAAGAGTCTGATAAGCTGGTTAATGAGAGGCTCGACTTGTAGGTTGGTGATCATGAAGTCAACATTATGCACAACTGCAGTATACTGGTAAAGGAAATCCAGACAAGCAGAAACTAAATCCTCGTCGTTGAGCAAAAGCCAATCCATGATGTTTTGCACCGCTGAAACAGGGACACCCGTGAGAAGATTGTTCTCCTCTAGGTTCATGGATATCCTGCTGATGGCCCTTAAAGAAGTCAGGATAGCACCACGGTCTGACGACTGCAACTGCGCGAGGAGCGAAATGTATAATGGATCAGTCTCATCAAAAGACATGTACTTTGTGAGCTGTTCAGCAATGTCGAGTGCGTGATGCTTTAATTCCACAACGCAGTCAAGGTTGGGGAGATTCAGAGCAATGCTGAGAAAATCCCGCAAAGGATACAGCTCCGAAACATAGAGAGCATTCTCCTCCAACAGCACCATATTGCGCATAGTCAGTGCAGCCTCGTTGATCAGTTCAAGAGTTCTGCTAAACTCTTCTGTGTGTATGTTGTCATCAACGTCCAATCTGGGAAGTCTGGCAATTCTCTGTAAGATATCCTTGGTACCGTACAAGCCATTGAGGGTAGATATGTTCGGCATTGAACCATCTTCCATATATGAGACCTGCCAGTTGACCTCATAGAAGAGCGAGCCGACCTCTAGAAGTCTTTCAATGAGAGCTTCTGCCAGGCCAGGAAAGGACTCGAATCGGTATTTATCTCCTCGTTCCATTGAAATCTTGACCAGGTGATGCAGCGCATAATCTTGCTCAGCTCGAATGCCGGACTTTAGAGCACATAAGCAACGGACGTAGATATTTGGGCCATCAAATCCAGCTATATTCTCGTTAACAAGCCGCTCGCAAAATATAAGAGATGCTAAACTTACATCCTGGAAGTATCAATCGGCCTGCAGTGAGGCTTCCACCTCCACCTCCAGAGCCATCCGCCATCTTTCTAGCTTGTTCAATACGCGACCAGCCCTTCGGATTATTACCAGGAGTTATAACGGGGCGTAGGGTAAGAGGCACTTGAGGTCGAGGCTCGAAATTTGCGACAGTAGCCGATGCATTTTCTGAGTTTGATGCCGGATTGTAGAAAGTAGAAGCACCTCGAGGCCCTTGTTGATGATGCTGTTGCTGGGACGAGGGTGGGTGAGAAGTCGCAGAGGCGTGCCTGCTGCTCTGGCGGGAAGACTGGGTGTCTGGCTGAAACAAGACTCGCTGCGGGGGAGCTTGTCGCAATCCTCTTGTAACTCTGCCGCCTGATCCAGGTGTCTCTTCGCTTTCATTTCTATCCCTAACAGGTGTGCCATCATCACCAGATGCTTCTGAGTTCTCGTTTCCTAATGCGCCGGTCTCTCTTCTCGTCGAGGGTCTGAAGTTCTCAAGCGTCCGAGTGAGTAAAGACCCGCCCTTTGCTGTAGTATCTTCGAGGATCTCTTTTGGCGGTGGCTCCTTGCCGTGAACTGTAGCAATCTCATATGCCGCAAGTTGCTTGTAGTAAACTGTCTTCAGCGCGAAAGCGAGAGCTGGCAGGTTGTTGGCTCCCAAGTTGAAATCTTGACCCAACTTTCTCCAGGCCAGCTTCTCATCGCTGACTCTGTCATAACCTCCGCGATCTAAAACGGTCCTGTAAAGGTAATAGAGATCAATATGTTTGCTGCCGACTCTTGGATCGGGGTCGAAGTTGGTGCCTCTCTTCTCATGAAAGACCTGTAGTTTCGCAAGAAAATCTTGCCGCTCTTGATTGTAGGAGTCCGAGGGCTCACTGGCAGTTCTCGGAGGAGCCATGGTTACTTATGGCCTTTCGATATGGCCATGCGCCGTCGAATCAATTGATCGTGGGGGGTGGTTTATGAAGGCAACGACGCGGTATCTGCGATCTATCGCGTTCAGCCCTGCAGAAATTCCGCCGCTCGTTAAGCGCAAAACGCGCTAGTTGATTTCAGGTTAGCGCATTGCTCCTGCCCGTGATCACCAGTATCCAGGGAATGCAACACACAGCTCCAGGCACTTCTGGACTATTTTGATTGATGAAAAGGTGTATTTGCAAAATGATACTGAATATGGTTGTTATAGTACCATCATTGGTGTCCCATTGATCATTGAGGGAAGTTGTAAGAAGATGAGCCTCAGGCTGCTCAGGCTGCTCAGGCCCCAAGTCTTCATAGTGGCTTCACAACGGGGAACTCTGGGCTTCAGAATGCATCTAGTCAATAGGTGTGGTATAGATATTACGTCCTATTGGGTTTGATCTACCTACGCTTTCGTAGCAGTTCAGTCTGGGTAGCCAGTGTCACAATTTTCATATCCAATCCCGGGTCAGAACTACGGATTACGCTTTAGATATCTGCAGATCCTGTGTCAATTGTCACCCAACTAAGATTGGCGAGCCAAGATAAGGCAGGGAAGACATCTGAGTCGGTTTCGATATGATACCTTAGATATCGTGTGAAGTGAATGATGACCTAAGTGTTGGCCCAGTGGCCTAATGGTTAAGGCGCTAGATTTCGGCTCTAGAGATTGGGAGTTCGAATCTTCCCTGGGTCGATCTAGAATTTTTTTTATTTTTATTTTTTCCACCCCCGTTTTCTTTTTGTTCTCTTTCTTTCTTTCCTTCTTTCTCTTTTCCTTTTTTAATAAGCTCTGTCTACTGTTGAGTAAAATGATGAAGTAATTGCTTGTATTCGTATTCTGTACTAGTGGCCTAATGGTTAAGGCACCATATTTCGGCGATACTCGACTTCCTACTTTTATCCTTCTTCGTACAAACCTTATTTCAGCCTTATCCCATCAAGCATCCATTTCCAGAGTATCCATCAAGTTGTCTGAGGGTTATCGATATTGATATCGATATCAATATCAATATCAATAATTCTATACTCAGTATTGATTGCTATTCATCACTCACTGACAGTTCTCTTTACTGACCCCAGTGCCTTTCCTCTCCTCCCTCCCAAGTCGCATCTATCCCCCCTTTACTATACTTCCGCTCTCTTCGTTGACCCAGTCTTTCACTACCAATGATGTCTCAACTCTCTTCTCTGGTACAAGATCCGAACTGGATCTCTATTCCCTTCGCAAAATTCTCTCATAATACCAGTCCCTACGGCACTCGCAATTTTATTTGGAGTCACGTTAGCCAGAGGAACGATCTCGACTTGATCGTTCGAAATGACCGAGTGGTAGATGAGTACGGGAACTACTCCAATCGAGTTGTGTTGAAGATTACTGCTGGCATGGATGTGTTGGTAGGGGTCTCATGGCCGGCCCGGGTATGTCTGCTGCTTGATCTGACGTTTTCCCTTAGGAAACCCAAGATTTGGGGGAGCTCGTCAATTTTGCTCGCGAATTTGACCCTTCTTCAGGCGCTGAACAGCCAGTCCAAGTTGTGATAAAAAGCCCCTTCCTGGCAATGAGGTATCCAAAGACTACCAACACTGTGCGTCAGAATAATCCAAGTCAAATTTGACCCACATTGTTGCTCGCTCTCTCCTCTGTTTTCTTGCCTCAACCCGCCTCGCCGCAATCCTACTATAACCGGTCAATTTGGTGATCACGCACTAATATGAGTCTCTTCAGGTTCGGCGAATTCAACTGAAGTTCCGGAATGACTCTGACTTCACAAAAGCCTTCAATATCTTAACTGGCTTGGGATTGACCATTACAGAGTCTGTACCCAGCGCTCCTCCCGCCTCTCAGTCTCAGCCAAGCATGTCACCTGCGCCTTCAGTGATCTCGGCATCTATATCAGGCTCTGCCATTGTTGGACAACCGTTACCTCTCCCATCTACGCAGACTTCTTTGCATACATTCAGCAACTCACCTGCCCCTACTACGAGTTCATCTCCAACATCTGGATTCAAGGTCCCCATGCGACCCGAAACCAGGAGCTCGGAGACCCAAAGACCAAGCAGTGTACAATCCTTTACTACCACTACTATCACGAGACCAACTTCTGCATCTACTACTTTCTCTGCGCCCACACCATCTTCCTCTACCTCAACAATGAACTCTCTCCATGATCCAATAAGACAATTGTCTTCGTTGCATACTTCGCAGTTAAGGCAAGAAGTATGTAATAGGTCCTGGCGTAACCAATTTCAGGGGATGTAACTGACTGCATTAGCCTGACAGTCGTCGACTTTCGTATCCCATCTTGCAGATGCCAAATTCTAGTGACGCAACGAACGTTCCTCTGTTCATATCACAACTTCAGGCTCAGCGTCAAGCGGCCCCCCATGTGATTCAATCTACCAATGATTTACTCGCTGTATCTCCTTTCTTCTCTTCGCAGGGATCTATTACGCCTCAGAACCAAGCTTCAGCTAAACTTGATCGACAAGAGGATACCAGCCAAATCTCGGGGCCCCTTGGTCGTGAACGGCCAGCTTCTACCCCACTTGAGTCTAGCGATACCTATAATGCCTGGATCCCACCGAGAAGGGAGCTGCCATTTCCAAATCTTCGGGGGAGTAGCAAAGACCTTCCTCCCCTCCCAAAGCCAACACCTGTCTCTAAGGTAGATGCTACAGAGAAGACTACGGTGTTGGCAAAGAAAGAAAGCTCACCGCCTGTACCAAAGCCCGCAAAGAAGCGTGTAGCACAGCGCAAGTCAACTGCAGCGAAACCGCCTGAGGAGAAGTTGTTAGCTGAACCACCTCCCGTAAACAAGACTGCCAAAGAGCCCGAGACGGATAGGGCAACAGGCGCGCAAGAAGACGAACCATCCCCCCTGGCAGCGAAGAGCGCAGCAGCTCGTCCGCCATCGGCAGCTTCGGGACTACAATCGAAGGCAGCCCCCACCAAGAAGCGTGGTGCTGCTGCTGCTCCCGTACGCCCTTCGTCTTCTTCCAAGCGGCCAAAGATGGTAGACCAGGGCACACAGACACAAAAGCTCTTAGGTCATGACCATACAATAACAATGAAACCAATACCGAGTAATGAAGTGTCAGTGCCTATTACTGTGGAAGAGACTTCTCCTGCTCCACCACCACATAATTATTTGGACGAGCTCGATGCATTCATCACGAGACACAAAGCCCGGCCTGCTCCAAAGGAACTCTGGGAGGCCCCCCGATATGCAGAAGCCGATGAAGAGCAACGTCAATTGATTCTTAATGACTTCATTTGTGAGAATCTAGAGAACGAAGACTTTTTGCAACTATGTGAGGATACGGAGAAAGCTTGGCGGAGAATCGGCCTCGGAATGTGAGGTCACCGCGATACCTTCGAGATTAGGGCTCTTGCTGCTGCTCGCAACTGTCGTATGTGAATTTTCTTTGGCAAGTTCTGTGGATCTGTATCTTGAATTGGCACTTTTCCAATTTACTTAGCTCCTGCTTGACTTTGCATTTATCCGCGCCGAGCCTCTATGGGTACAGTTTTAGCAGTATCTATATTCTCTAACTCACAAAGTATCACATTGTAATACTATTTTCAATTATTTGGTTTTGTGATCTTACGCATATGACATTCGCTGTTTCTCCTTTTTGGGTTTGATTTTACATCGTTCTAAGTTGCCTGAAGTTTCTATCAAGAGTTACGTTAGCTGATCGCGCTACCTTGCTGTTTCCTTCACCCTCTCAGATCGCTCTTACTTCTTCCAACATGTCAGATTTTGCTTATAAACATGCCGTAATTTGGGACCAACCTAAGTTGAGACCAAGGCGTATGTCCCCCAAAAAGACGGTGCACATCACGTGATCTACCCCTATTCTGGAAATCGGAGAGCACACCCTCCTCTCAGTATCTTGTCCATCACACGACTTTCCTAAACCAGTTGAATATGACTGTTGGTATAAAAAGGGCATATCATTCAGTAGGGGTGTTCATGCCACTGCCATCGAGTTAACACTCTGCAATGTTCTGCTATCCTCCCAGTGTCCTTCCTTCCTCCAGCTTCAGCATGGGTGTAGCTTTGTATTTTTCTGCTAGGTCGAGCACACACACGTCACTTTGATTAAGTTTGGTGTCCTTGAACCATTGGTACGGCTAGACATCGGCATACTCTGAACTCTCGGCTCTGTTCCCCCAGCTTAAGGCAGCACAGCGTTCCGTTCAATCCCTCCTCAGGTAGCGCTGAGGCCAGCAGGGTATGAGAAGACGAACCACTTCAACTACCCGTAAAAACCTACTAGTGGGAGAGCTTTCGGATTGTAACCGATGCAGTCGGTTTTGAAATTGTACCTATATAGGAGCCCACCATTCTCCCAGACTCTATTTCTTTTCGTCCCACTTCACTTCCATCTTGCATAGAAAGAGACTTTCAAAAGCTCATACAACTTCGACCACTCAAGTCATTCACAACAAACCAACACATTCATATAACGAACACATTCAACCTCAGTGCTACGCCTCGGAATTGCCAGCACATCTTCCACAACAAAATGTCTTCCTACCAGAAGATCAACCCCACAACATCACGCCCAGGGATCAAACTCAATTTGAGAGATCTTGCTGCAGTGCGTCAAATCCAGGCCAAAAACCGTATAGGTCGTAGCCCGGAAGTCAAACTCTATTTGAAAGACCTGGCGGCGGTTCGTCAGATTCAGGCCAAAACCCGCACCCCTCGTGACCCAGCAATTAAACTTAATTTAAGAGACCTTGCTGTGTTGCGTAAGAACCAGGCCAAAGACCTCGATACCACTATGGGAGAAGCTGGAGTCATCACCCCAGCTCCTTCTAGCCTTTCAGACGACAAGGCCTTGATGGATATCGACATTACTCCAACCCATTCTAGCCCTTCAGACGATAAGGACTTGATGGATATCGACATTAAAACCCATTCTAGTCTTTCAGACGATAAGGACTTGATGGATATCGACGTGACCCCAACCCATTCTAGCCTTTCAGACGACAAGGCCGTGATGGATATCGACCCACCACAGGAGAAGTTACCCAACGGTAGCGGAAACTCTAATCTTGAGACTGCCACCCCAGGACCCATGGTCGACCACGACGACTTTAGCATTGGCGAGCCAGCCCTCCCTCTCTCCGAAGCAGACATTACGTACAATGAGGACTCTGTCCAAAGAGCAGTTCTCCTTTGGGTCAAGGCTAATAGCCTCCAAGGGACTGTCTCTACCAACGTTGCAACATCTGAGACCCAGAGTCTCGCCCTTTCGGAACCACTCACCAGAACAAACCTTAATTTTGGAGCCGCAGTCAACAAAACTGCCTATACCAAACTTGCAACACATGAGGCACAGAGCCTCCCCTTTCCGGAGGAATCCACCACCACCACCACCACCACCACCACTACAACAAACTTTAATTTCGGAGTCACATTCGATAGAACCACGGAAGGAAGCAACAGCCCAACCACGGGGATGACCAGTAGCCTGGCCTCCACCCCCTCACCACCAGGCACCTACATATCACCATACGGACCGGGCAAGCCCTTCCCCACCAAGATCACCAAGCCGGCCAAACCCAGAAAACCCAAGCCCGCCAAGGAGCCTTCTGCCCTCGACATGCAGAAGTACCAAGAATATCTCCAGAAAGCCAACCGTCTGATGATGCCAGACGAGAAACCCTACTACGAATGGCAACAGAAACCAGACCGCATGGACGTCGTCCACGTGCCGGGCCACCACCTCGAGCTCGACAAATTCGGCCGTATCGTCTCGGAACAGCTCTATGAGCAGGATTTTGGCGTCGGCATGCACGAGCTTAGCGTTGCGTGCAGAAACCACATCATGGGAGGTGTAGATGTGGCGTTCAAGCACTTGGGCATCAAGCTCGAGGGCACGGAAACCTCACATCTGAAATTGATGTGTAAGAGAGGATATTAGACGAACGACTTGGATTTCAGGTTCATCGTTTGGGCAAGTCAAGAAGAGATGGTACTTTTTCCCCTCCCCTAATAATCATTCTTGGCTGGTTGATTTACTGACTTCTCCAGGAATTTTGGGTTTTTCTTGCTGGTATGCAAGTCGTGTTGAAAGTTCGTGGAGGAAGATTCTTGTTTTTCGGGTGTGTCGGAAAAGGTGTTTTGGCGTTTGGTTGATGGACGGTATGCAAATCGCCATGAGGTGTTTGAAGAAAGAAGAGCGTTTATTTTCGAGCGTTAGGATTGTTGTTCGAGAATCGGGTTATATCTTTCTTCTGATCAGTTGATACCAGTCAGTATTGTGCCTCAGAATTACGATTCAAACTTTGAAATCAATTCGAGACCAAAACAAAAAAGAAGTTTCAAACTAAAAGACAGATTCCTTACATATGTGCAATGACTCTTTCTAAATCAACATGTAGAGTCCTCCACATTCATCCATCTCTTATCACCCATCCCGTCACGCCTCCTCTTCCCACCCCTCCAGACAGACAGCCGAAGGGGGAAAAAAGGGGCTTTAGCGAGACTGACTGACGCGTAGAAACATGGGTAACAAACATCATCATCATCAAAAGTACCGAAACAAAACAAAAATATCTCCTCATAAACTACCTTAAACTTCTACTCAAAAAGAACATCTAGTTATCAAGCTTTCTTTTGTTAGAAACTTCCCTTCTCAGGTTTTGGAATTTTTGATTGATGCGCTTTTCGTTCACTAAGGTAGGCAGACAGACAGATATAGGGGTCCTTCTATCGTAGCGGACGGGCCGAATTTCGAACCTGGAGTGATCGAAAGATGAAAAGCACGAGCGAGGATGCCCCGGTATGGGGTTGATATCTACCTACCTTACTGTAGGCGCGGGAAATTCATCACTCGGGACCAAGACACTACCTACCTTACCTAGCGCCACCGGCAGAGCACCTCATCCAGGGATTGAATCACGGGTCGATTTCTAAAAAGTTGAGAAATCTTTCCATTCATAAAGACGAAGAAGGCTATCAAATAGTTTGTTTAACTTTAAACCGAACTCCTCGTTACGTCGCGACCCCTATATGCTAACCAACCCCATCCATCCATCCATCTCCGTTTTTGTGAGGAAAACGAGTGTGTCTGGGTATACCGTGCTCATCGCTATGCAAATCGCAGACCACACTCAAAACCCATGCATGAAAGTCGTAAGAAATATGAAGTTAGTTACCCAAAGAAAAAAGAAGCCGGGTATCCGCAAATTGTTATTCTGTCCCCAAATGATGAATCCGAGTCCGGGGAAAGGCTTCATCTATTTCATTTGCACGTAGTTGGCGGGGAATATTCCTACTCGGGTGCCGATTATGCCCGTCCTGGAGATCATTTAGAGATGTATTGTTAGGGAGAGACATGTATGTAAACTTACCACCAATCATTCGTGCTATCTGTCTTCTTCGTGACTGTGATGATCTCGCCCTTCTTGAATCCCAAATCACCAGGTTGATCAGCATCGAACGTGAACAAGGCCACCGCCTCATTACTCTTCAAACCACCCGTCTTGTTTTGGAACAGAGGCTTCGGTGCTGCTGGCCTACCCGGACCAACTCTTCCTGAAGGAGGGTTATCAGAATAGGTGTAATCGTCATCAAAACCGCTTCCTGCTCGCCGTCGGCCTGTACCAAAGGAGCTGACCTGAGACGGTGTACGGTCATAGGAGCGATCATATGGTCGGTCATAGGTGTCGTCGGCCCAGGTATTCGCGCGTCTAGGCCTGTCGCTGTACATATAGTCGGAATCGCGATCAGCGACGCTTCCAGTACGATCTCTCCTCACTCCCTCGCCATATGCGGGTCCTCTTCGCCCCTCCCATACCACATCATCATGTTCGTCATCATACACTGGGATATCGTTGTATATGGAATCGTTCCATCCACCAACTCCGGAAAAGATACGGGAATTCAACACATTCATCAAGGGTGCCGCGGCAGGCGGTGGCCGTACCGCACCCTCCAGAAGCTGTTGCGCCGTAAATCGCTGCCCGTAAAGCCTCTCATTTGCATCTCTCCTCTCGATAATCGCTGAACCTTCCAACGACACACCGGCGAACAAGCCCTTCGTCTTCGAGTAACTGAAGATACCCGCCACACCCCTCATACTCGCTGCGCCTGCCGCCTCAGCATTTCGTCCCACAGGCCCTGCTGCAATTGATACGTTGCCTCCAAGTGTAAGAGTTCCTTGCTGAGACATTGTTCGCACAGCTTGCATATCGTTGAGAATGAATACAAAGTCAGTGAGCTCGAAACCGATTTGCCCTCCGAAGCCGGCGCCAGCCGTTCCTATGGCCGAAGGAGCGCTCCAAGTACCATCTGCGAGTCGGGCGACGACGATACCATTGCCATATCTTGCGGATCCGAGGAATCCAGCTTTGATGACTGTGAGGATTGCGAGGCCCTGCGCTTCCGGTTATTCCTGCCGTGTGACTGCGGAATTTCTTGATTCTGAAAGATCTGAGCATACCTTTGCATTTGCCAGCACCGAGGGAGGAATGATCTTGTCGGGCCCGAAGGCTTGTCGAGGGTCAACGAAGGAGGTCAGGATCTTTCCGCATTTCCTGCACTCCGCTATGGTTTTCGTCAGCTATGAAGTCTACAAGAGAACCCGAGAAGCCGGAATGCTTACACGCCATAGACGACGGCAGCGGGTTATGGATCCCCATTGTATGATGGTCTCGAGCGAGCGGCAGTAAACAGCTGCGTAATCCAAGTATGCGCGAGAGACGCTGGGTCGGATATCTTGGAGAAGCCTGTGGAGGGGCGCAGAAGAGGTGGACTTTCTTGCGCAGATATGGATTTGCTGGGAGACTTGGTCGAGCAGAAAAGAAGGTTCTGGACTTAAAGATCGTAGATTGGTATGTAGTATATTACGTCTGGCGGGTTCGCACGATCTGCAGGATGCCGGGGTGGAAAAGTTGTCGGGAAGAATTAGGAATGATGGGGTCGTCGTCGTCGGTACAGACTACAAAATGATGTCAAAGGAACATGCCGAGCGTTCACTCAGCCCCCGTTTCCGCGCAACACTCTTGCTAGACCTGAACGGCGATAACTGCATTTCGCCAGACACACCGAATCGCAATCGCTGGAGCTCTGTTGACCCCAGTCAGACTATCAGATAATCAGACAATCAGACAATCAGACAATCAGAAGCCCTTCAAGCCATACAGAGGAGGTCGAGACTGTGCGCCGTGTAGCGCGAACAAAGCCTTCTCGAACCTGCCACACCTCCCCTGGCCACATATCCGCTCTCTCGACAACCCGGCATCCTTCGCATTCACATAGCCATACCCTCGCAAGACCCGCGATATGTCGGACGCCTACGAGCGAGAGCGCCAGAACAACTCGCGCCTCTCCGAGCTCTCTGCGAAAGTCACCGCGCTGAGGGGCGTCACAGTAGATATCTACGATAATGCAAGGGCGCAGGATGTCATTGATAATACGGTATGCCCCCCTACCAGTCGATGCTTGATGTGCAGAGAGACGTGTGCTGACCGGTGAATGAATAGTCGGAAACCTTCTCTTCGATGAGCGTTACCTTGAAGGGGTCCGCTGGCCGGCTGGGACGGATGGCAGCGGCGGGAAACAAAGTCGCAATTCTCAAGCTTTCGGGCATGATCGTCGGCGTTGTGTTATTGCTATGGTTCATATGGGGATTATTCGTCTGAGGGAGAGGAGTCAAATTTGGGCGATCCACACATGCAGACTACTGGAAGAGGCATGATATTTCTGGAAAAAAGAAAAGGGATACTCTATCGTACAGCAAGATATACCATGGCATAGCAAGGCGTCACGGTTGGGAGCAAATTGATTTGAAAGATTGACTGAGTCTTTTACCTTTTTTTTCTTTCCTATTGGCATACTTTGACAAGTCAGTCAGTCCATCTTTCAGCGAGCAGGTTTTGACCGCAGGCCTCTTATAGTCTAGCTTTGGAATCTATAGTCATCCTTATCTTCTCATTCCCATACGTTCGAAAAGAGATCCTCGCTTGCTGCAAATCCAGTTGCAGGCTTAACTGATCCTGTGCTGGCTGGTACAGCAGAGCTCCAGCCCCCAAAGTCCTCATCCGCACTCACTTTTGGAGGGTCGTGGTTTACGGTGGCGAACCCACCACTACTTCCTGGTACTATACTTTGGCTTGCCAAAGAACCACCCGATCCCCATCCAAAATCAGCCCCAGTAGCTTGTGGTGGTGGGGCCTTGTTTCGGGGCGGGCTTGTCGCAGTTGTGCTCCATGCGTCGTTTGAACCCCACGCATCATTGTTACTCCAACCGCTAATTGCAGGAGGTGCAGGCTGGGCCTTGGGTGCTGGCGCTGGTGCGGGTTGAGAGAGGTTAAAGACCGATTGCTGTGGAGGTGGGGATGCAACCGTCTGTTTCGGGGGTACTGGAGGTTGGGGTGATGGAGTAGAGAAGTCGAAGAGATCACCAAGACTGGAACCTGCATTTGTGTTTGATGCTGGTGCTGGTGCTGTCGCGGGTGCAGAATTAAAAGCACCGAAGCCGCTGGATCCTCGGGACGGTTGTGGTGCTCCTTGAGCTGGCTTAACGTCAAAGAAACTTCCTCCCCCTAGGTTTGGAGGGGGGGAAGAGACTTGGGAAGGTGTGGATCTGTGACTTGAAATGTTGCCTAGGGCTGAGAAAGCATTGGCTTTGGGTTGGGCTGCTAAAGGCGGGGAAGGTGAGGCAGAGAAGCTCAAGTTACTGAATGCATCATTCAACCCCCCGAAAGCAGATTGTTGTGGCTGTTGCTGTTGTGGAGGTGGGGATTGCATACCACCAAAGGATCCCGAAGATGAATGAGATGGTTGTTGTGGGAGTTGCGGACGAGTTGCGTACAGAGACAGAATCGACTGCTTCAAGTCTGGCCGTGACTGAGCCCCCGGAGTTGTTGCAACACTAGCAGGTCGACTTGAGGGTGGTGCCGGATCGCCAAAAAAGTCCAACCCAAGCAGAGAGTCCGCTGGTTTAGTTTGCTTCTGAGGTGCTGATGCTGGTGCTGATTCGGCTTTTGGGGGAGGTCTGGATGGTGCCGGGGCTTCAGTCTTTGGCCTTGGAGGCGGGGAAACGTCGTCTGCGAACAAGTCAGGCTGGGGAGTCCTTCTTACTTGCGAGGGGCCTGAGTTTGGTGCGGCCCGCTGGGAGGTAGATCGCTCGATATTGTGCTTTTCCTTCACCAGACTCAATGGAACATCATCATCGCCATCAGCATCAAGAGTAGAAGGATCCGGCATTGGCCCATCCATCACCCATCTCTTCGACTCGTACTTCGTCCTGATGAAGTTCTCAATCTTTGCCTCGGAGGGCACATGTTCCGGTGCCAGCTTCGCTTCCCAGTACTTGTTTGCTCTTGCATTCCCCCATTTTAAGACGCTCTGCAGCTGTTCGTCGGTCCAGGAGTCAAGGTCCACTGATTTGACTCTGCTAATATGTGTTCCCATCCCCCGATGTATTCCAGAGCACCGAATGCAAATAAATATGCCCAAATTCCAGCTTGCCCATCTTGGATCTGAAATCTGTCAGTTTTGATGACATAGGTAGAAGCGCAGTGAGGCTCACGCTTGTTTCTTTTGCAGTCGGCGCAGGTCTTGTTCCCCTCTAATTTCAGGAGACTCTTGATAGTCTGGGCGTTCTGCGCAGCGCGGTCCGCGGCCGGATTGGGGGCTCTGCGCGACATAACCAGCTGTGTGGAAGGTCTTCAGAATGGCGGCAATAAGGGATTTATACGCTGTTGAGACCCCTACTCTGGCTTCTGTCGACAGTGGCGATGTAATTCCGTCGAGAGGATGCTTTGGATCCGCATGTACCCAACCTTACGGCGTAAGGCTCCCATCAGGCACCAACATCTATCTCCTCCGTCCGCTCTCTCCGTACAAGGCTAGGACTGACCGGGGTGATGCGGTTGATCTCGATTGGCAGGGGGAATCGGGGAGGGGACTCGGATCCGGGGATTTGTGATGTTCAGACGCCTGATGGAGAAATTCTGACCTCATCCTAAGTTGTGCTCAAGTTCTTATCTTCTCATCGTGTTCCTCTTTACCCATTCATCCATCTGCTATAGACCTCTATGCGTGTCCCGTCCATCATCCGCAGCTTCTACAACCTCAGCAGTTACGCTGCTCATCATCTTCCATACGCGCCGTACGGACTTCTGCAGCCTTTTACTCAACGGATAGTGCTCAAGTCGATGCCTGCTATCCCTTTTCTCTCTAGTTTCTTCAGCACTACTTCCTCCCCCAAGATGTCTTACCCGCTTCAGAAGAGCGACGACGAGTGGCGAACCGTCCTCTCCAAAGGTAGCTCCCTCACAGAACTCCACCCCGCCACCCCTCGGGCGGCTCATGGGCCATAGCTAACTGCGGATCGAACTAGAACAGTTCCGCGTGTTGAGACAACAAGGAACCGAAGCGCCATACACTGGCAAATACGACAAGCACATGCCCGAGAAGGGCGTCTACACCTGCGCGGGCTGCGACGCGCCGCTCTATACCGCGAAGCACAAGTTCAAGTCTAACTGCGGCTGGCCTGCGTATTTTGACAGCATCCCCGGGGCTGTGACGCGCCACACAGATAACTCGTTTGGCATGGCGAGGACGGAGATCGTGTGCTCAAACTGCGGGGGGCATCTGGGGCATGTGTTCCAGGGGGAGGGATATGATACGCCGACAGATGAAAGGCACTGTGTTAATAGTGTGAGCTTGAAGTTCTCACCGGACGACCCGGTTCTTAATGGAAAGGGAGCTGAGAGTAAGGTCTGATGTGGGCCAGTTTGAGGATTTTGCGGGGTTTGCGGGGGAGGGGACTTTTGTTGGGGTTTGGATCAAGGCAACATGATACCCCAAAGCTGAAGCCATCAGCGGCGAACGACTTTGAGCAGTGAGGAATGAGGGCGAGCAGAGGTCAAGGATGCTAACGTCTGGAGCATCTTTTCAGACCATGCATCTTTTTACACGGAACTGTCGTTTTCGTTTGCTTCTCGGCTATTGAAAGTGTGGGGTTCGTAGACCACGACTTTTGTATGAAACAGCGCACAGCATATTAGTATACCAACCACTCAATCATTTACGTACCTAGCGTTCGTAATGCTATATCAATGTGTTCTTGTTCTTCTTAGAGGAGATCACCCATATCCTGATCCTGTACTGTAACCCTTTATGCCCCTTTCTTACGCCAAGGAAACAAGCCCCTTGAAAACACCAACAGAATCCATACTTATCCTATCCTATCCCTCCTATGATAGTAAAGATGAAGAAAGGCAGAAAAGACAAATACTCCTACGGCCTGGAAAATCTTTGACCAGCTCCCTACCTAAGCTTCCGCGTTTCGAACATCATAACGCCATAAGCCCGCTCGATTTTTATAAATCCTCTCCCTTCTCTGCCTATCCCTTTTCCTCCTCAGCCTCCGCAGCCAGGCCACCTCCTTACTCGGTTCCCAATGCGCACCTTGATATGTGGTCGGCATCACGTATCCCTCTGCCTGCGTAACATGCAGATTCCTCCGTCTCCATTCCCGCCCTACCTTACTCACCATCCGATTCAACGCCCTAGACTCCATCTTCCGCTCCAGGACCCTCTGCGTTATCGTCTCGCCTCCCCAAGCCAAGGGCGAGTCGTCGATAGCGGCCGCCAGCGCGCGCTCTCTCTGCCAGTACTTGGAACGGTTACCCGTCTCGGTAGAGCGATCCGGGATATCGTAGAGCCCTCGAGCTCTGTCCCGCGGGTGCACCACATAGCCGAAGGCATTGTCAACGAAGCTGGGGTCGTCGGTGTCGAAGATGGGATTGTCGCAGCCCTTCACCATGCCTAGTAGCTCGTGGCTGAGTTTCGGCGAGAATTTACACTCCGGACAGCGGTATAGGTATCTTCCTTCCTTGTCCCAGTACTGCATGATGCAGCCAATATGGTACATGTGTTGGTCTGCGCAGTGCAGGACAGCTAGTGTGTTGGAATCTTCGAGCCCGCCTTTGACATTGGTATTGCAGAGGGCGCAGACGATAGGCGTCCAGCGTTTGATGTCGGGGTGGTTGACGTCGACGGGATGGATTCCGAAAAAGTTAAAGGCGAGGTTTCTGAGATCAGAGGGGCGGAAAGGGTCTTCAGCGTATGGCGTGTCAAGTCCCTTATCTTTGAACTTCTGAATTGCTTCCGCGAGCCATTCGCAACCAGGTGCAGAACTATCATATATTTGGACAAGATGATACCTGTGGGGGAGTATTAGCAGATGACCATGATGGTCAGACTTACGGTCTTGAATAGGAGAATATACATACCATGGTCGACGGCCGATCCAATCCCTCATCAGTCTGAAATTGCGTCTCTGACGATTTACAAGAGCTATGCCACTTGCAATGCGGCAGATAAAATCCTGCATCAAGAATCCAGCTCCATCTGCAGCTTCAAGACTATGTCGGACGCCATAAATATCCCAATCTCGGGTCTCCATTATGCCAAGCTCATCGAATGCCACAAACTGCTTGTTGAGCAGTTTGTCCTCGGCATGCTCATGAGTGAGACGATGCTCAAACCCGTCTTCTCTTTCAATCAAGTCCATAAGCAAACGCTCGAATGGGCGGATGGCTAACAGCTCTTCGTATTTCTAAGTGCATGTCAGCATGAGCTTGAAGAAATATTTAAGTTAGGAAAGCCATTTACATTGATCATTTTATCTAACACGATGTTGATAAGTTCGGGCGATAGATTGCGTCGGAGCCTCTCTTCCTTGCTCAAGGGGGGCGCGGAGTTATTTTGCCTATGTGGGAAGAACCGGGAGCTGGCGGTTTGATGCTCTTCATAAACTATTGGGTTTATCTCCTCTAGTACATCTCTTATCACGTTCCTGGAGTCTTTTATCCAGTCTACTAAGTGCCCATCATCCGGATCGTCGCGGGGTACGTGGTAGTCATCTTCCTCCCAATAGGTATCATGTGGAGGACACCATTTCAGTTCAACCTCTAGAAGAACTCTTCCAATAGCGTAAATGCTGCCAAGTTGCGCCATCCGGTCTGCATATAGGCTGCCTCCCTGCAACACGCCCGGGAGGTGGAGGTGTCGTATCCAAGCTCTGCGCAACATCCATTCATACTGAAGCGCCATTCCACCCGCAAGTACGCCAATGTTGGACCCGTCGGGCAAGGGGATGTGGAAGAGATCAGGCTGTCTCTCATGGGCGAATCGATGGAGTAGTTTCAGGGTATTTGCGCTTGTCCAATAAGCAAGTACCTTTCCCGCTTTCCTCGAGACAATAGGATCCGTATTGTACGCCAAGGCAGCTTCATGGGCTTTCTTCATATCCTCATAATTGTCTATGCGGATCACTGCTTCTGGATGCCAATGCATAGGTGGGCTAAGGAAGTCAGCGGTGTCATTTGGGTCAATTTTTGAAGAGATAAGGCGAGATCTAAAAACCAATGTGGTGTACACATTTCAGATATACGTACAGGCATATTAAAGATCCTCCTGTGGGTTTTTCTCCTTCTACTTTAGACATGATGCGATTATAATTTATAACATCGTCTATGATTATCCTCCTTACTTCGTGAGATACCCAGGTCATCGATCTGTCCACAAGATTTTTGATATAGCTAGAAAGTGTCGGGGGTTCAGGTGGGCCGCCTGAAGCAGCGCCAGAGCCTGTGCGAAAGGGGATCTGTTGAGGCATCCTGATCGGTCTTGACTTAACGACTGTGAGAGTAAAGTAGAAGAAGAGAATAAAAATTGGAATAGTGATCATCGACAAAGTCAGAGTTAATGAACATTGGAAATACCTTATCGCTGTTCCATTGTCAAAAAGTACAATAAAGAACGCGATTGACGACGCTCCGCATGCAGATAGATATTCGAACGTTCACATCCAAAGGGACAAAGAAAAATTTCACGAATTCATTTTTTGGAAGTTTGATTCTATGACCTGACTTGTCACCGTGGCTTCAATGGACATTCCGATGCCCGAGTTTGTAGGAAACGAGACCGGCAATGAGAGAAGTAACACTTGTTATTTGCGCAGTACTGGAGTCCGAGTAGAGGATACTCTATTGCATGTATCCGGAAAGCTTTATGGCCTCTTTGCTGATACCACACAATTGATGCCATCATCATAAAACCATAGGTTGGCAAAATATACGATCAAGATAAAACAGGATGTCGCAACAACTGTCGACGATATACGTGATTAGAATTAGAATATTGTATTGAATCGTGTCGAACATCGGTAGACGATCTAGATCGTAGCCAAGTTCCAAGTCAATGAAGGTCTGTGTAACAGACGCGCAACACCATGGAGCTCGGCATGATGAGTCTCGATTCTCAATAATTAGGATTGGCTTGATAGTCTGAGACTCCTAACTTTTCTAAGGTTCCTCGCACTCTCGAGACTGTGGGGGAACTGCGAGAGCTGGGGAAAAGGGGGAGCGGGAGGCTTGGAAAAGAATTGAAGTTTATCCTGAGTCGATGTTTCAGCGACGATAGTTACAGATGCTACCCGATTTGAGCTACAACTTACTAAAAGTAGCCGTCAGCCGTAAACGACTATGCCGGTAAGGGCAGTCTCGGTGTCCCCTAAAAGGTTAATTTTGGAAAAAAACGAGAAGGACATCTTTTCCTTCTAGAAGGCGTTCATCAGTCATCAGATGGTGAACTGCGGTTCCTGTGGACTAATCATGCGGGAATTCGGGATTTCCCCATTATTTTTCTTTGAAATTTCTTTTGGCGTCTCACCGCTACACAGGAGATCAAATCGATCGGCTCTTCGAGGGCGATTATCAGAGCCGATGCAGCGAGAATCCCCCAAAAGTCCCTCGCTCAATTCTCAACTCCACGCCCTCTATGCCAGTCGCCCCAGAGCGCTTGAGAAGCTGAAGCCCGTGGACCCCTCTTAATTTCCTCCTCTTACGCGCTTACGATGCGTACTGCAAGTACGAAGTATGGTACTGGTACCCGGTCGTCGTCGTCTCATGGATCTTCCCAAGTCCCTTCTCCACATACCCACAGAAATCTCGTTGGCGTGAGTAGTCTCGGCGCAAATTGACGGGCGCTCCGTAGGGACTCGGGAGATGGGTGATAGAGGGACGCGGAGGATTATTATACTCGAATCCTGCTCGGTACTGAGGAAGCATCTTAACCTATTAATATCATTATATCCGCACCGGCGGGTACCCGGGGGGCCGTACGGTGTGGGACAGACAGGATCCTCGGTACCACATAAGGCAAATAGTTTGGCCAGGGGAGAGTATACTACTGTACAGACGGCATGTACAGCAGTGCCGTAGCACCGTAGAGGAGGAGGGTCCTACGCACGTTGCAAGTTGCCAGAGATCCGAGGAAGTTAGGATAGCGTTTGATCTTCGCGTTGTACCTCCGTAAGTGTAACAGAAACGCCTATCTGCTCCCGTCAGTCAGGCTGTTTGTACCGGTGTATGGGCGGAGAGGAATGCTAGAAGGAAAGGCCCCTAGACCGCTGCTTGCAAAGCGGGTACCTGGGGGACAGCGTAAATTACCTCTTCGAATATTAATATTAAAAAAATTAAATATTAATCATAGCATCGACTTATCAAGTCATTCTTCGCATTAGGGGTCGTCGATATTGTCCTCCTGACCAGCAGAGCGACCAGAAAAAGAGAAGCCTCCCGCACGGTGGCAGGCCGGGCAGGGCCACACACCGCTCCGCTGGTGTCTTGAGACTGCGAGGGCGTAGTCATGTCACCCTGTTTCTCGCTCGACCCCCACGGCGGACGCACTCATAGCCTGCCGCCCAGCGCGACTTGGCAAGTTGGCAGCTCTTCGCCGCTCTCCCGGCCTCCATGATCCCGGTCCGGGTGTCCCAATAGTGCTGTCGGGGTGCCTCCGCGGGGGGCCAGACTACAGCAGCGATGCTCCAGTGCTGCTCCAGTGCTGCTCCACTGATTCCCTCCGTCTCCACTGTCGTCGCCATGCAGCCATGTACCTTGGCTAAGCACAGACGTCGAGAAGCTACCCTGACTTTAACCCTGTTGGGAACCAGCAAGCTCCCAGAGGCGTAGAGGCAGGCGTAAAGGCGTTATCAGAAGGCCAGAAAATTTGTTGAAAAGCTGGTGTTGCCGCTCCCTCTTTCCTCCTTCTCCTCTTCTTTCTTATACCGCCCCGTCCTTCTCGTCCCCCTGCCCCTTCTTCTGCTTCGACTGCATCTCCCCCCCCCACGGTCGAGAACAGACAGCTTTCTTGCTCGTATTCCTCCCACGGCGTTGTGTTTCTAGACATTTCCTTTTGCTCCCTTTCTGTCCCCTGTGACAGCAAATACGAGATCCGCGGCCTATTCCCAGCGGCCAGCACCTCCTTCTGTCGCAAGTATATCTTCTGCGCCTTCACCACGAGCCTTTACGATTTCGATAGATCTTTTTCTGTTGTTCGTTAAAAGCTGGAGTTTGATTGTGTTTTAGATATAGAGATACATACCTGAGAATCATAAGCAAGGAAAACCAAGAGCTGGATTTTCTCGCTATCATTGTCAGCACCTATTTTTCGACCTCGTAACATTCCATACCAGAACCGGAACTTGGGATCATATCTCGGAGTTCTCTTCAATACATTTGAGATACCCCTTGCAGAATCGTTAGGTTTGTCGAGTCTTGTCTGCTGGTGGTGGGAGGAAAACGCGTCTGATACATTGCCATAGGTTGCATTATCTGCTCCAGATCGAGTTCTTGCAACTACGACCGATTTTCCAGCCCCAACAAGGTCTTGTCGATAAACCCCACATTCGCGATTATCAACGTTAGTGAATATCTGTCCCGGTCCCAGATCTCAAAGCGCGCAGGCAGGAATTTACAGCTTTTACAGTAGTGAATTTCGATTTGGACTGTTGATCTGGACTTGACATCTGGGATTTAAAATATTCGTCCTTGCCCGCTTCGAAGCTCCTCCCATCAACAAACAATCTTTCCCCCCATCTTCGATCTACGACATCCGTCTTCGCGACAACACACATTGACACTTCTTGTCTTCATCTTTCGAGAATCCCATACCAATACTCTTTCCTGATCACACATCCTTCATCATGTTCGGTCGTTCCGTTATTCGCGCTGCCACTACCGCGGCACGCGCTACGCCAATTGCCCAGCAGGCTGTTCCCCTTGTCACCAAGGTCGTTCCCCTTGTTACAAAGGCCACCCGCGCTTCGTTCACGTCTGGCGCGAAGCTCCGTGAGCCTGTTGAGATCATTTCTGAGCGTGAAGTTCCTACCTCTTCCTACGCTGGCGGCGAGGCCCAGCACTCCACCATCAAGGTTAAGGATGAGGTTGTTGTGCCATTGACCCGTGAGATCTATGATCGCATGACTCCAAGCATGCAGAAGATGACTCTCATGGACAAGGTGGTGATGGTTACTGGGTACGCATACAGAGCTCCTTTCTCTTTGACTTTACAAGTGGAACAACTTTACTGACGCGTGTTCATCTTTCTATAGTGGTGCTCGTGGTCTTGGAAACAACATGGCCCGCGCTTGTATTGAGGCTGGTGCTAAGGCCATTATCATCATTGACGCCAACCAGGATCTCGGTGACGCCGCTGCTGCTGAGCTTCACAAGTTGACTGGTAACACCGTCCCAGTTGAGTTCTTTAAGGTCGATGTCCGTGATGGTGGAGCAATCGAGGATTGCGTGAATGCAGTTGTTGAGAAGTACGGAGCTCCTGATGTCTTGATCAACTCCGCAGGTATCGCTGAGTAAGTTATCTCTTCCATCGTTCCCTGTGTTCAGATAGTAGCTTTTCAAGAGCCCTATTCTCATCTCTGGAATGACACATCACCTTTAGCGATTGAATATCTAGAGAACATGCTAACAAGGTTGTAGCTCCAACATTCCTGCTGAGACCTACGATCACGTCATGTTCAGACGCTTGATTGATATCAACCTTACGGGTTCCTTCTTGATGGCCCAGACTGTGGGTAAGGCTATGATGGCCGCAAAGAAGCCCGGATCCATCGTCTTGGTTGCTTCTATGTCCGGCATCATTGTCAACTACCCCCAGGAGCAGTCATGCTACAACGCCTCTAAGGCTGGTGTTATCCAGCTTGGCAAGTCCCTCGGAGCCGAATGGGCCAAGTACAACATCCGTGTCAACTGCATCAACCCTGGTACGTACTTAGCTATCCCTCCTTTCTTGATGGACGTTCTAACAGATCAAAAGGTTACATGGACACCGCTCTGAACAATGTCCCCGCCCTCGACGCCCAGAAGGTCATCTGGAAGTCTCTCACTCCTCAAAACCGCCTCGGTGCCGTCGACGATCTTAACGGTCTCGCCGTCTTCCTCGGCTCTGACGCATCCGGCTTCATGACCGGCTCATCCGTCACCATCGACGGAGGATACACTCTTTACTAGTCGTTAGTGAGGAGCGGATACAGGAATACATTACAGGATTTCGCTAGAGGATTCGTGGGTGGTTGCTTTCTCCGCCCTCTCTCTCTTTTTTCCCTCAATCTGTTCTTCGCTTGTTTCGGCAGAATAGACAGACAGGACGTCCGGGGTGTTCACTGGTTCCCAAAGGTTATTTGAGCGCGGTTTTTTGCCTTCTTTTCAAGGTTTCTTTGAGGGGTTCGGGATTGGGTTACTAGATATTGCCAGTGCGGAAGCACATGAGCTACCAAAAATAAGAGACTAATTCGCCTACCTATCTTTGCCTGTCTGAAGTGCTTCTCTAGATGGCCCTAATCTGGATTCTTGTGATCTCTATATCTTTACTCTGTATGTCTAAGCAGGCATAGCCCCTTGTTCCAAACATCATTTATGCATTAGCATTGTCCAAAGTGACAAGAAGTCGCGTTATACAGTAATCCCAAGAGACAGCTGGCTTCTGAAGCGTCATGTTTTCTAGCCACCGACTCCCGTACTTCCGTTCTTAAATCCCTTTACCCATTATACCGCAGCAAATCCTCAAAAACCAGCCCTGTCCGTATATGACTCCTCTCTGCACAACCTCCCCCCACCTACCCCCCGCAACTCATCAACTATCAGGAAACCAGTACTCCGAGTTCCGCTCCTCGACCTCTGTCTTGTTCATACACCGCGGACTGAAATGGTCTTCCGTGGCGCCGAAGGGGAACACGGCCACGAAACATACTCTGTCATAGCCGCACGGCCCGCACTCTTTCCAGCCCGCCCAATCGAGCCAAGTGATCAAGTCGCGGATCAGTCCGGTGGCCGTTGCTGAGGGAGAAGATGGGGAGTGATCTTCTTCCTGCCATGGTTCCAGATCCTCCTCCTTGATTAGGATATCACGCACAGCGAATAAGGTCGTGCAGATCCGCTGGGTGACGGTCTCTAGGGCGGCGGCGATCAAGTGGTCCTGGGAGGTAGAGGGCTGGGCAGGATGTAGGTAGTGTGTGGAACAGATCTGGATGGCGTCTGGGGACGGGTCCTCATAGTCGACGAAGAGGTTAAGAAGATTGTTGATTGCGCGGAGGAGGGAGGCGGGGGAGGGATCCGCGGCCATGAATTGAAGACGTTCTGAATAGCGCTTCACGATCATGTCTGTGATGCCCTGCCAGTCGATGATGGGGTGGGGAGGCGGGCTTAGCAGGACCTCTCCCAGGTCGGATTTGATGCGTGCGAGTTGTTCTGGGGTCGAGAATAGGAGGCGGGGGAGGGGCGACTCGCCGTCTGGGTTTGAGAAGTTCGTTGGGTAGAAGAATGCGGAGATCATGGAAGAGTAATCCAATAGGACTCGCGAGCCATCAATGCCTTGATACCGGTTCGAGATCTCGCGGATATACTCGAACATGGACACGTCGCCCAATGTGGTGGGAGAGCCTGGCGAGGGTCTCTTTCTGTGCGATAGGAGGTCCAGGCTTTCCGAGAAGTCACACTTGATGATCTCGAACCCGGCCTCCATCCTAATAAATCCTTCAATGCCCCATTCCGTCGCCAGACTGCAAAGTGCCTTGGACCGCTCCCGCTCGAGGAAATTGCCGTCCTTGAGATTGCCATCGGTAAGGTTGCCGGTGAAATTGCCGTGGGTGAAATTACCTAGGAGCAGGAAGTCCTGCGAATCCATTGGGCCTAGATTGCACTTCGCCGCTGCCATGCCATCGATGTACAAGAGCTTCAGCGGGCGGTTGGCTTTGTATATATGAAGCCAGCCAGGCTCTGGTGGCCGATCACCCCTTTCTCCTGCGCTGAGTTGCTCAAGCGTCCACTCCACTTGGAGCGCAGAACGGTTGTTGCTACAGGAAGCCGATCCCATCCAAGCAAAAATCTCCGCATGTTGAATCTCGAAGGCTAGCCATTCTGGACCTATGGGCCTCTCGGGGGTACAGTCCCCATGGTACAAGAGAGTGCCTTCGGGGACAATGGCGGGGAAGAAAGACATCCCATTGTGATGGATGGATGAACCCCACTGCCGCTGCGAAAGGTCAGGATAGGGTAGTTCGAGGATGATCTTGTGGAACGCCTTGCAGCTCACAAGTCACTCACCATTGATGAATGAATTGCATTGAATATATGATTGGCATTTGTACTGGCGCTGCCCACACTAGGGCCATGCTGAGCGTCTTTCAGGGCAGGTGGTGATAGAAGTTTTTGAGGCGGATGGGCAAACGCGAGCTGGAGAAACAGCAGGAGAATCTGGACAACAGCCATTTTTGATAGTGGCCGCAAGGTTGGGAGTATCATCACATCTTTTGCAAAAGTGCAAATATCCAGTGTTTCCAGATGGTTGCCTATACCTGAGAACAGACCATGTCTCAAAATCACATGACCCAACCCCTGTAGGTAGGTAGGCCACGCCTCTTCGAGCAGTCCTTAACCCCTTGTCCCTCATGAAGCAAGGAAGTAGTTACTATTAGAGGCACTTCCGGCGAAGAGGTTTCATCAACTACTTTGTTTTCCTCGCCAGCAGCCTCTCAGGTAAATGTAGTCATACTTCAAACTGAATTCTCGTCACGGGTTTTGCTAGAGAGGGGCCTGCATGGTAGGGGTACTCAAAATATCTTCTTCCCTATCTTCAGCAGCAGACATAATGGGCATCATATGTATCCCAGCTCATCCATACATCATAACACTGACGCTGACGCTGAGGCGGCCATCACTTCTTCATCCATCCATTCATTCATCCATATTCCATCCCCCTTCGTGACAAAAGAAAAAAAAAGGGTAGAAAACACACGCGCTGTGTATCGTCCGCTGGCCTGAAAACCACTGGAAAGACCCAATGTTCAAGCAGCCATTCCTATACCATGCCAAACGTGTTTGACGGTGGGACGATAAGGGCCTCCAGCTAGCTTGTTTGCTTCTTCGCATACCTTCTCCATCGACTTAAACAGGCATCTATCGCTCGTTATTCCGTTTTCCCTTCCTCCCTCTATAAAGAAATATTTTCTCAGTTCATTAGAACATTCAATCCTACCAGCGGTTTGGGTTCGTTCACCATAATCTCTGCGCCAAGTTCCCCGCAAAACGCCGCAAGTAATCACGCATATTTCCGCCCAAGCATACCCTACTTTTGTTTGTGCATGGTTCTCCCGGAGGAAGGTTGGATATCATGATGATCCTTTCTGAGCCTTCTCTTGCGCTCTGGCAGTTCGGGCGGCCTTGACGAGGGGGGCCAGCTGGCCGAGATCTGTACATTGTTTCATAAAATCGTGCTGCGAGGCGTAAGCTAGAGCCCAGCTAGTGTATTCTTCGGGATGGAAGAGGACTTACGCGTAATAAATCATGAGCACTGGCTCTCTTCTCCGGATCAACCTTCAACGCAAAATATAGGAAATCCTTAAAAACAGGACTGAGTGCATGTTCGTCCTTGATCGCGGGCGTGCCATTCGTTGCAATCAGGTAGAGAGCACGAAGGGGTGACTCGGTAAGGTAAGGGGGCTCGCCTTCGATCATCTCGATCGCCATTATTCCCAATGACCAGATATCGACTTTCCGGCCATATTCTTTGCGTGTAACAACTTCAGGAGCCATCCAGTAAGGCGTCCCAACCATAGTTGTACGCTTGTTATGAGCCTCATTGATCTGGGCACAGAAACCGAAATCGGCTAAGCTCTTGTTAGGGATGTCTTTCAATTCATCCGGGAAGTGACCTACTAAGTTTGATATTCCCATCCATCGATAATAAAATATTATCCGATTTTATGTCTCGATGGATGACACCCTTCGAATGTAGGTGTTGCAATCCTTTCAACGTCTCTCGGCACACTGATGCTATTTGTCCCTCGGACATGATGTTGAACGTAACAACGTCCGTCAAACTGCCGCCCTCCATATATTCCATTATCACCCAAAGCTCTCCAGTTACCAAGAAGCTGTCAATAAAATTGACGATGTTCGGATGGGAGCTGTCCTTCATCACAAGGATCTCGTTGATGATGAGATCCTTCTTCGGCTGCTGATCCAGGTTCATCTGTTTGATAGCTACTAACCGATTCGTCACTCTCTCATAGCCGGTAAAAACACCCCCAGAAGCTCCTTGCCCAATCTTTGTCAAGTTGTTGTAGAGGTCTCGAGGATCCCCTTCTGAACAGATTTGCCTCAGCCTGGCCACGATATCAATGCTAGTGCTCTGCCGCTGCCGATGTCTTGGCCGAGGCCCCGGGGCAGCTCTAGCTTGCTGAGTTGGATGTGGAATTCCATTAGCATCTGGTGGACGAGGTGCCTGGGCTTGAGGTGTCGGAGACGTCGGCAGTGGTGGTTGTCGTTTACTTGGATTTCGCTGAGGCGATTGCACCTGATGCATTGTAACCTCCTGATGTTGCATAAATTGCTGCTGATGTGAACCTTGCGGAGACTGCACCTGGGCTGGTGACGCGTAGGGAGATACACCGTTGGCGCGCGAATTGGACCTTGAACGGTGTTCTTCTGGAAGCATGGGAGAGGTGTCTGGCTGCGACGGCGGCGGTATGTAGGCAAGAGCAGGTAAATCCTCACTCTGACGGGGCATTCCGATCCCGGAATCTTTGCCCATCCCAGGGGCAGGAGGGGCCGCTCGAGTAGGCCCTTGGAATACTGGAGGCCTCGGGGCCGGGCGGCTTGGTATAAGGTTGTTCAGGTCTTTGGGTTGTAGGGTTGTAATTGGAACCTGGTTCTTTGGAACCGGAGGTGGTGACCTTGGGTTTTCGAAGCTTGTTTCGTGGTTTGCAGGGAATCTGGGGCTTGTAGGAGGGCTCATCAAGGGACTTACGCCTGCATAATTAGGTGTGTTGAGCATCGCTGGTGATACGGGAGCTGGGCTTGATATCCCCAATCGCATCTCCGGGGCCTTGGCTTGTTCGAACTTCTTCCACACTTCATCCTCTTCCTTGTCTGTATTCTCCTTGTAGAAACCAACGATATCTACGATGGTTTGCGGATGCTGTTCTTGCTCCTTCTTCGTAATCCCACTGTCGTTGATCATGCGCTGCCATTCTTTCGGCAGGCCCTAAATTGATCAGCTCTTGTGCAATACACTTTGTTGCAGGATCAAACTCACCGTGAATTGCCCAGTTTGGTTATCATATCCAACATGGGTAACATGAACCGGATTCTCAGGCGCTGATATTTTGACTCCCCGAGGTGACCCCACCCCGATGCTATTCATGAAGCCAGAAAATCCCGACTTCTTTTTGAGCATGCCTTGCTTCGGTTCTTTGCTCTCATCCGAATATCGCTTGGGACTTATCACCTGGTTGTCTGCGATGCGAGGTGGTGTTTTCTCGTTCGTTCTATCGCCGGCCGAGAAACTCGCAGATTGCCGGAGAGGTGGCGGTTGGGGCGCCAGGCGAGGTTCAGGAGATGTATATGAGAGCGGGGGAGGGGGAGGCCTGCGCAAAGCAGTATGATAGCCCGTAGCTTTTGTCGAATCGAGGTGGTTCAAGATCCCAGAGCCATCGAACGGGGAGCCGACGAGCTCATCAGAAGTCTTCTCATTCAGAGGACTCGTTGGGTTCGACGTGCGCTTCCCCCCACCTTGGCCCGAAGGCACGACCGACTCAGAGCCCGCCAGGATTGGAGATGGTCCTGAGATTCGTCGTTCGAGCGAGGAATTGGAAGATGCGTATGACGTTGGGTTGGCGCTCGCCGTTCGCGTGTGGCTCGGCGATATGTGATACCTGGGGTAGCTTGGGGCAGATGGACTACGTTGGAGCGATGCAGAGCTCTTCTGACTTCGTAGGTATCTCTCGGCGTTGTTCCGTACATCGATAAAGAGATTCGAGGTTGATGGGGGTTTCTTCTTGGTAAGGCGCCTAACAGGTGGTTTCGTCTCATCCATCTCTGTTGACGCACGGCACTCTAACCTCTCCTTGTTTGCTTTGAGAGTTTGGAGGCGCAGTGGTGTGTGGTCGGGGACCAACGGGCCAGTAATAACTGGGCGAGAAGGTATCTTCCGGCAGACAGGTTGGCTTGCAGCTGGGGGGCTTGTGGAGGGGGCGGTTTGACTTTGACTTCAACGACGAATAACGCGGCTTGCCATGGACCAGGCGATGGACGATGTGAGCGCACTCGAACGAAGGGGAGAAGACAGCGGGAGAGGCGTCAGAGGACAATATGGCAGATTGTCCACAACACGGCGGGAGGAGATTGCAAGGTCATCGATGGGCGGCGGTGCGAAGGAGCTTTGGCTGTTTGTTATGGCTGGGTTCTCGCGAGCGGGCGGCTTCAGATTGGCTGCGGCTAGGGACGAGGTCGGGGTCCTCTCTACAGGCAAAAGGAAAACAGGGCAGATAATTTCTTTCTGATACGGGGGCGTATCACTTCAGGCGACGAAGCGAATCATCATTATTATTTACATTATTACAATGGGTCTCTTATTGTACTGTAATAGTTCTTTCGTCCGCGCCCACACGGGGCGTATGGTGAGGACGGAATGTGCTCGTAGACAGGAGGATCTCTCCGGTTCTTCTCTCGAGTCGACTATTATTACCTTCAAGGTCATGATGGCCCCGACCACGATTCCACTGATCCTTCATGAGCCTAAGCGGCAGACAAGACGGTGCCACAGTATCGTACAAAGGAGTAGGCCGTTGCAAAGCCTGTCGCAACCCGCATCCTCTCTCCTCACAGTCGCAACTCGCTGATTCAATACACACACAGTACAAACAGTAAATACATACATCTCAGTCCCTTGGCTCTCTTCTCCGCTCAGAACTTTTGAGGCTTCGAGGTCTCCCAGACAGGAGTCACAGGACGGATTCAAGTCTCTGGAGAAGCCGCTCCACTTCTCAGCAGTCCATCCATTTAGGATCTGGGCGTCCGTGGAATCTGGATCATTGGATGGCTGAGCCGTCGTCGTCCTCCTCTGCTTCTAAATGGGGAAGCTGGAGGAGACCGGCTCTTGAAGAGCGATCGATGATCGAGGCTCCTCGAAGAAAAAGCTGGGGGCCTCCTTGTGGCGTCCGAGGACTATACCATGCAGGATCGGAAACGGGGAGAATATTGAGGGAGGCTGCCCTGCGTACAGTAAGTACATGTACAGCAAGGTACAAGTATGTACATACTGTACCCACGTGTTTGTCTCCGAGGAGCAGCTCTGGATGGCCAACGGCGGACTGATAAAGACCCCGGAAAACGAACGGATCAGCACTGCGCTTGCTTTGCTTCGGGCCCAAGTAGAAGAATAAGTTAGCCACTGGCAATTCTTCCACCCCACTATTTTGCAACCGTTCGCCGAGCTGTCTCTCTCTTCGGAAGAACTACTACTTGCTAAGCAGCTAAGGCCAACGGTTCTAGGCTCGAAGCATGTTGGTCTGTGGGGAATTGAGTTTGTCTTGCGAGTAGTCTGTTATTTTGTGCCTCCGGAGTAGTAGTACAAGTAGGTAGTCGTAGTATCCAGGACCTAAACCCTCTCTGTATTGTACATCGCTACATCCTACTACTAGGGCTGAGGAACTCGCGTGCTTCTCTATCTTGCTCCACTACACTGTGTCTAGACTCTAGACAGAACTCTACAACGTACAAAAGTATCCTCAACTATACTCTATAGTATGCACACTTACTCCAGTAGCGGCAAAGGGACAGACTCACTTCTATCTCGATTGTGTGACATAAACCCGAAATGCTGTGTGGGCTTTCGTACATATAGAGGGGCGTAAGTCAAGCACAAGGAAGCCTCCTATAGGATAAGATACCTCCGTCCTTCAGATAGAGGCATGGAGACATTTCCTCCCTCTGCAATCCATGTCATACCACGTGATAATTTGTCACGTGCCATGCATCTGGGTTTCGGATGGACGATTTCCCTTGAAGACGCCCAGAAGAAAAGCCTTTAGAACCCATTACTTGGAACATGAGGCGGAATAATGTGTGATTTGTGTGCGCGGCTCATCTTCACATCATCCGCCATACCCAGGTATTAAAACCAGCGGAAGCACAACTCCAGAGAAACCAAAGAGGTGTCTTCTTCAACCGAAGCGCGTGCTTCCTCGCCTCATATCTCAGGCTACATACTCACTCCCGGGAAACAAGAAAAGTATACCTTTTTACCACAAACCACTCTTGTTCCGAACGCAACTGGGACGGCCTCTCGCATAGGCCCTGCATTGCCGTACTTTATCGTTCCCCTTATGCAATTCTCTAGATCCTAGGTGCAGCCCTCTCCCATAATCGCCTGCGTGGCCTCAAGAACATCACTCTCGTTCCCGTTTCCTTGCATTTGCAATTCACCCCTATAGTGACACTTGGCTCTGGTCAGTGGATTTCCGAGGCCGATTGGGATCTTTCAAGTCTTCTTCTACTGACTTCGGTCCACCCAGTCAGCTCCCGCCTCTAATTCTCCACAATTTCGATCGACCCCCGACCTTCCATCATGGCTTCTGTCGACTCTACTGCTCTGAATGGCCATCTCGAAGCCAATGGCAATGGCACCGCATTATCAGCCGCCCAAAAGCTTATGCAGAAGCATGAAGCACATAAGCCTACGGTTGAGGATGTGCCCGACGAGGCAGATCTGAAGCACCCCGAGCCGCCGGTGTCGACCAGTGTTCTTGAAGACAAAACTGATGCGCCTGCTCCTGGATGGGTACCTCCAGTGTCGACAAAAGCAGCTGGAAAACAGAAGGAGGAATTGCCAGTCAAGGAGACCAAGCCCCTGTTGGACACACAGTCGGAGGAGCTGTTTCCCGGCTTGGGAAGTGGCCCAAAGCCCAGACAGCCAACAAACATTACCCCAACTTGGGGCGCAAAGAAGCCAGCACCAGGTGTCTCACCCGTGAACGGGACGAATGGCTTCTCGACAAACGGTACCTCTGCGCCTTCTTCTGGCATAAATACACCAGTGTCCGCAGCCAGTCAGGCTGCGCCCAAGGGAGGACCAAGGAAGATGGAGATCCCGGGTCAGGTTCAAGAGAGGATCTTCTTAGAAAAGAATCAGATGCTCCCTCGCCCGCAATTGAAGAAGCCATTGCCGGATATCCTGAAGGACATCAACCGGAAGTCGAGGAAGGTAAATGTCACGCTTTCAGCAGGGGAGAACGGCATTACTTTCTACGCAACTGGCCCATCCGAAGCTGCCATCCAAGCTTTGCGAGATGTCGTGGCACAGGTTGGAGCTAAGGTAAGCACGCTTGGTCCTTCTCTGAGACGAATAGGACTAATTTCTGAACAGATCTCTACTAAAGTCTCCATTCCTCAATCTGCGAGAGCTCACATCATTGGCAAACAAGGTTCGAAAATAAAGGAAATACAGGAGAGAACCGGTGCACGTGTCCAAATTCCCAAACTGGAGGATGCACCAGCTCCAACGGACGACGATGATGATGCTATGATCGATATAGTGGTAGAAGGCAATGCATTAAGTGTTGGAGCGGCACAGAGAGAAATTCTCGCAATTGCGGCCGAAAGAACGGCAACGGTGACTACGAAGCTTCGCACTATCCCAGCAGAACTTTACCCCTTTATTGCCGGTCCGCAGAATGAAAAAGTCAACGAGCTGGAAGAAGCGAAGGGTGTTCAGATCCGGGTTCCCCCATACCATACCTGGAGAACCCAACCGCCCCCTCAGAAACCTCTCCCAGGCAAGCTTCCGGTATTTCTTCCTGCCGCCGATGGCAACCACATCACTATTGCTGGAGAACGCTCTGCGGTTCAGGCGGCGAGGGCAGAGATTGAACGCCTTGCTGATGAGTTCCAACGACAAATGTCAGTTGACCAGTTTCCCATAAACAATGGTCGGCATCAATTCATCATTGGCAAGCGAGGTGTAGAGCCACAAAAGTTCTTCGCTGATACTGGATGTGCGATTATTCTTCCCGGCGATGAGGATGATGATATGATTACCATTATTGGTCCTCCTCATCAGACTCCCGTGGCGAGAAACATGGCCATCAATTTAGCTGCGAGCATGCAATCTTCGAGCATCGATATCTCCCGCCAACACCGAAATGCTCCCGGAGCTTCCAGCGCACATGCACGGTACCTCACTCAGTACTTGCGCCAACGTAAGGTCATCGAAGAGCTCGAGAAACTTCACCAGGCCCATATTGTCACATCAATCAACCAAGAGGGTAATGCGGCACCATGGGAGTTATATTCTCGTGATTACAACAACGCTATCAATGCTCAGGCAGATATCACCAACATCGTTTCTGCCCATCCTCCATCGCGACTGACGACCGTTCCTGTGGACCCCTTCTTCCACCTGTATCTCCAAAATGACATCACTCCAAGAGTGAAGAAAGATTATGGTGTACATGTGGTCATTCCACCATCCTCTGAGCCTGACGCCCCGGTACTGCTGGTTTTTGAAGGGGAGCACGGATTAAATCCAGACTACCAGGTACCACGTGGTCAACCAACCCCCGACGAAATACAAACCTTCCAGCGAGGCCTGCAAGATGCTCGGAAGCATATCTTGGACATTATCAATGCGCAGGCGCAAATTATTAGTACATCAATTGATGTGCCTAAGATGTAAGTCTTCCAATTCCTCTTTTGACAAATTACTCATGAATACAGTTACCATGAGAAGCTTCGCAAATATATCAAAAGTGAACAGCAAAACCGAGCAGCAGATCAAATCCCTGTACGAGTTTCCGCTGCTGACACCATTGTTAATCTCCGAGGCCCTGCACCTGCCGTCGAGTCCTTGGCCGTCAAGGTGAAAGCATTCGTCGAGCAAGCCATACAAGACGACAAGGAACGTGGCTTCACGCTCTCCTTTGACTTTCCACAAAAACACGCCAACCAACTTATTGGTAAAGGAGGCAGCAATATTCGCGAGTTGCGTGAAAAGTTCGACGTGGAGATCCAGGTTGATGATGGGAAGGTCGAATTAAAGGGTCCAAAAGCAAAGGCGGAAGCTGCCAAAGCACATATCTCGGCATTAGGAAGACAGTGGGCTGATGAGGCTACGTATATCCTCAAAATTGAGCCTAAGTACCACCGCGAACTTATCGGCGCCCAAGGCAACCAAATCAACAAACTTCAGACCAGATATAAAGTTCAAATCCACTTCCCTCGCCCAGCTCGACCTTCAAAAGATGACCAGTCAAGCGTCGATGCAACTAGCGAAGCTGGTCGCAAGGGCGGTCGTCGCGAACAAGAACCTGATGAGGTAATTGTCAAAGGGCCAAAGAAGGGAGCCGACGAAGCGAGAGACGAGATCCTTTCTTTGCTCCAGTATCTCAAGGATAACTCATACACGGCCACGGTGTCAGTACAGCCGAGCCAGATCCCCTCGCTTATTGGCCAACGGGGAAGTGGTATGGACGAGCTTCGACAAACTACCGGGGCGAAGATTGATGTTCCGAATGTCAGAGATTCCAAGGACGCAACTGGCCTAGTAGAAATCCAGATCAAGGGTACAAAATCTCAAGTAGCACAGGCCAAGAAGATACTCGAGGAGAAGAAGGACATCTTTGACCACACTATTACAAAGACTTTGGAGGTTGATAAGAAACACCACCGGGCCTTGATTGGTGCTGGAGGTAAGTCGAGCATCCAATGTCTTGCTAACTCTTCCTAACTTCAATCAGGCTCCACTCTCCGAGACATTGTTGTCAAGTCTGGTGGATCAGATGATCGCCGAGAACTTGCTCGAACAGTTCAATTCCCCAAGGCTGAATCTGATGGAAACTTGATCAAGATTGAAGGCAATAAGGATGTCGTTGAAAAGATCATTGCGGCCATGCAAAAGATCATAGCCGAACGGGACAGTCAGACTACCGAGACAATCGATATCCCGACAGACAAGCATCGCTCCTTGATCGGACGCGGAGGAGAAACGAAGAAGGAACTCGAGTCGAAGCTTAAGGTTTCACTCGATATACCACGGCAAGGCAGCGGTCAAAGCGGTGTCAAGATCACTGGTTTGCCTGCGGATGTTGAGAATGCAAAGGCTCACATTCTTACTCTTATGAAGGACCAAGAAGGTGAGACGGTCCAAGTGCCTCGAAAGCTCCACCACGCCATCGCGGATAACGGTCAGTTTTTCCGCAGGATGCGAAATGATCATCAGGTCACAGTTGATCATGCTGGCCACAAACTCCCACCAAAGCCTGCGGCACCAACAAACGCACGAGCGAACGGCGCCCTGCCCCTGATTACAGATGATGTAGACGCAGCCGAAGATTTGTTCTCATGGACTGTAGTCAGCAATGCAGACTCTGCAGTGGACGGCGAGATCCCTTGGATCTTACGTGGTTCCTCCGAAAATGTGGCCAAGGCCAAAGCTGCACTCCTGGCAGCTATGGAACAGGCATCGAAGAACAGCCATGTCGGTTACCTGGTACTCCCCGACCCGCGTACATACCGATATGTTATCGGCCAAGGCGGCAACAAAGTCAACAGCATCCGAAAGGCAACCGGATGCAAGATTACTGTTCCTCGCGACCAGGCCAAGGGCGAAGCGATTGAGATTCTGGGAAGTGCCGAGGGCGTTGAAAAAGCGAGGGAGTTGGTCCTCAAGGCCGTAAAAGAGGGCGGTAATGGTGCGAATGGGAGCAGAGCTTAGGCAGATCTCGTGACATGTATTGAGCTACTGGACATCTTCTTCACTGAGCGGAGCGGAGCGTAGCGTTGCGAGCTCGGTTTCTTCTATGCATTTCTAGGAATGGTTGTATCAAAAAAGAACGGGTGGAGCGTCGTGGCTTCTCCCAACTCATATCGTGTTTATTTAGTTGTGCATTAGGTTTTCTAGCTTCTACCATATACGTGGTGGCACTCTACAAAATATAACTCTATTCATATAATATGTGTGTGTGTAGAAGGGTGGGTGCGTGTTACGTTTCAGATGAGCAATCAATCATTGAGCTAACCAACCATCAGGATGATTCCTAACAACAAGCTTCTCGAAATCTCGCGATGCTGCTAAGTCAACTTGTGAACGAACCAGCGAACTACAACAAGTCTTTGTTCTAAATGCGGATTACTCCTGGTATACACACTGGTATATACAAAGTTTCCTGAAGTTTCGAATTACGCTCGATGGAGTTCTTGACAAGCATGGGAAAGAGTGCAGGTAAAAGGATGAATGAAAGAGAGAGGATATTAAAGAAGAAGGATTTTCGAAAAGGGGATGTCAGGTCCAGGCATTTAAGACATGGAATCTAATCTATCCGCCTTTCTCGAGAGGTATATAAAAAAAAAGGGGGGGATTGACCCGCCCCGGATTTCATATCAGCATCTTCACATCAAAATCAAATCACCAATAATCATGGATATTGAAGAGTTCAGTGATCGTGCTCGTACTTTATCCTTGATATCAAAGATATGGGATGGATACTCTGACAGTGACTACCTGTCAAGCGCCGAAGAAGAAGAAAGTCCTGAAGGATCCATACATGAAGATCCTGAGACTGGCGTCAGTCTGGTGGCGACTGTTGAACCGATCACAGAGTATCCGAGGGACCCCGAGCCTGCACCATCCGAAGATTCTGGGCACGACGATGATGCTGTATCCGAAGAGTCTGACGATGAGTTGTCATTCCTTAAACCCCCTCGTGGTAGCGAGTTTCGACCAATGGGCGATTCGGGAGTCGATGATCCCAGACGTTTGAACAGGAGACCCTCTGGTCTTGGAAGTAAGGAAACTGACATCGATTCGGATCCGCCAGCTGCTATGGGGTCACGAGGAGATGTCCATGGAATGGCTAGGAGGAAAGGAACACAGGAGGATATTGTTGAAGAGGGACAGAGACTCTCCGAGATATTGGAGACGTTCCTAAGCAAATCCAGAGTCCAGGGGGGTCCCATCCCTGAATATGACAGGAAGGATAGGAAATTTGAGAAGGTCGAGGAAGCAAATGAATTCGTTGACAAATCACTACCGTCATGGAATCATTGTTGGCTCATCATCTTGATGCTCAGAGGACGACTCAATAAGTTGGGTTGGCAAAATGAGGATGAGGAAGCTAGAGCTGCGGAGGCGAGCCGTATCCAGAGGCTTATGCACGAGACCATGAGGCGGTACAAAGTTGCAGAAGCCCGATTCACCTCGTACAGTTACGGGAATGGCATCAAGGACCCAGAATTTGAAGAGCGCCTGAGACTCGATGTTGCGTACCTACACCAGTGCCACGGCGTACTGGCAACGCAGCTTGAAAGGGCGAACTACTCCATCTTCGACGATCAGGTGGTGGGGAATATGATGGAGGAGATAAAACAGAGGCGGCAGGATGCGACTGAAGAAGTTGTGAGAGAGCTTCGACGGCAGCTACGTGAGGAGAAACATAGGCGGGAGAAACGAGAGATGCAGGATGAGGCTATAGCCAGGAATGCACGGGAGGAGCGAGTTTTCAAAATTGAAAGGTCAAGGCTGTATGGAGAATTGAAGAAGACAGACTATATCTGGACACAAGTAGACCTCATGGAGGAGATTGATGCATTGGAGGATGCGAGGGGAAGAGTGTGGTGGAAGTTCGTGAAGAAATTAGACGGCCTGAGCGACAGCGAAAGGGAGGAGATGAGGCTGCATAGGATGTTGAAAACCAGAAGAGGAAGAATGATCAAGGGAAACACCGAGTAATATCACCTACAATCTTGACCAGCGGTGGGCACAAGCTCCAGCAATTCCAGTGAGGGCGAGCAGGAGAATGGGCGCTGATCTTGGGACTCGCCGTGCTGAGGCAAATGCGGGTGCGAGCAGCAGTACGTGAAGTAGTCTAGCATAGCCTATACGAACTATACTTTATGGGCAGAAATTCGTTGAACAGTGAACCAAATGCCGTCAATTCCTCGACTTCAGGTGAAGGTCGAAGACAGCTCATCATCTTATTGTCACTCTCCCCCTCGTAGCCAGAGCTCAACCAAGGACAGCCAACAAGCCCCATGCGCTATCAAGTGTACCCAGGGCCCTCCCAACCTTTGCCCATACTCATCATCCCCATACACTAACTTTAAGATGGTAATGTACAACACGGCAAGATGATACCAACTCAAAGCTCCAGCGACCCTTCCGCTGATGCGATCAATAGGGCAGGAGGCAAATATTGAACTAATCGCGACAGAAACGGAGAGGAGAGTGACATAATAGAGGCTGATTGCACTGGTCTGGAGAGTATCGGAGGGGAGCTGCTCGGGGTTGAAGATGAAGTTGACGGAGGCGGCCGTCTCGACGAGGCAATGCATGAAGAAAGGGATGTTTGGTACGTATGGTAGTGGCATAGCTGGCGAGGTGATGTGTATCGTTGGTACGGACAGTTGAGGCAGTAAATATAGAGGTGTTGTTCGGCGTATACAGCAGCCTTAGAAAGCTAGCTTGCCGTGTGCGGAATGCGATCAAGCAGTAAGGTAGCTTCTGCAACTCGAAGAGACAGTCAGATTTTGAATGGAAGAATTGAGGAGGGAGGCAGCGAAATCGCCATGATGAAAGTTACATACCTGCACCTTATTTTGTATAGGAGGTGCCTAGCTGAATGAAGCTGTGGGTGAAGCTATTCCCAGATCATTCCAGTGATGGATATACTGACCAGGTTTCTGTTCTTGAATACTAAGACGGTTTATGTAGCAACAGATAAATCAAATCACAAATCAAATGCTGCCTATCGAAATTTGGAAGGGAAGGGCCGAGCCTCGAGGATTAGGAAGCCCTTCCCCTTTCCATCCATTTCACGTTGAGAAAGACGCCGTTTTATAGATATTTACTGTACCATTGGAGACCACACGGTGATATTCAGGTTTTAAGACAGAAATAAATAACGGAAGATAACATAAACATCACCTTGCCTTACCCTAGGTATCGTACTGCTAGGTCACCATCCGCTCTGTCTTGATCTTTTGCCCTACCTTGATGTCCTTTGCGGATAGACTTTACCTCTACCAGCTCAGAACTGCCTCAGTTTCATCGACTCCACTGTCTTCAAGAGTCAGACTCGCTATAAAATCCACCTCTGCGGATCCCACCATCTGCTTCCCTCATACTTCCTTCCCACCTTTCGGCCGTCACACAAATGACCGCCAGGTATCGATATACGACTGATGCCAAGATGCCTACGTCAAGCAGTACTCAGGATGGCATTGAGAACCAGTTCGGCGACCTCAATCTTGCAATCACAGGCCTGGGAGTAGAATACCCACCACATCTTCTTGACTCCACAGCAGTAGATATCCTCTGCAAGCGTCATTATCCCGAATCCCCAGCGTACAACCCATTATCTCCAAGCTATGTCCCTTACTAACACCCTCCAGAATGACAAAAGTCCGCACGATAAATAACTACACCGGGATCGACACTCGTTCAGCAATCGGGACCGTCGACCACCCTTTAGCAAACATGGACCATGCGCCGACTATCTCTGAACTCTGCAAGGTCTTTCTCAAGGATGGAGTCGCTCTCGCCGTAAACGCCTCACGAAAGGCGCTGCACGAAGCGCAGTTGTCCCCTCTAGATATTACGCACGTGGTCTCAACGACTTGCACCAACAGCGCGAACCCTGGCTTCGACCATTTTGTGTGCAAAGAATTGGGTATCACACAACCGGTGGAGAAGGTCCTGTTGCATGGTATAGGGTGTTCGGGAGGGTTGGCGAGTTTGCGAACAGCGGCGAATCTGGCGCTAGGAAGCAGTTTTCGGAAAAGGAGAGCGAGGGCGTTGGTTATTGCGTTGGAGATTTCCAGTCTTCTGGTGAGGAGCGAATTGGACAGTATAAATGATTCGCAGGACACCAGGATTGGTGTTACACTTTTCAGCGACTGTGCGAGCGCGGCAATTCTGTGTAATGGATTCGGCGGTGTTGAGGCAGAGCCCGTGTATGAGTTGTTAGGCTGGGATAATAGGGTGATAGCTGATACTGAACATGATTTGGGATTTGATGTTGACCCCTTAGGTATGCTCTTCCTTTGAGAAGTCCCTTTATTGGAATCGCAGAGATGCGAGCTAACAAGAAATACAGGATGGAAGGTTGTCCTCTCACCCCGAGTCCCCAAGCTCACTTCTGCGGCGGTATCGCCCACTTTCAACAAGCTCCTGCAGAGCCTTCCCAAGCTACCTCCACATTATAAGACTGCGTCCGATTTCGACTGGGCACTACATCCAGGCGGCGCAACCATCCTCTCTGGCGTCGAAAAGGCTATGAACATAACCCCCGAACACATGCGCGCCAGTTATGACACGTACATAAACCATGGCAATTCCTCCTCCGCTACAATATTCTCCGTCATGGACCGACTGCGACAGAAAGATATGGACAAACTGGCGCCTGATGGCAAAGCAAAGGATTTCGTGGTAGGATGCGCATTTGGCCCGGGTATCGTGATCGAAATGTGCATGTTGAAGCGAAATATGAGCCATATCCAACGAACACTTGTTGTTGAATCAGGGGAAGCGACACCTTCACATACTGAAAGTGAGAGAAGTGAAGGGGAAGCAGGACAGGAGATTGAGATTCAAATTGAGATGGGGAGCATGGAGGGAAAAGACGAGGAACTGGGCGAGAAGTTGAGGGATATGCACCCGGAAGTTCCGCAGCAAGGGGATAGTTTGAGCGAGGCGCTGAATGGTGTCGAGTTGGACTAACCACCGCTGGGCGTTTTCGGTCTCTGAAAGGGTATCAGAAAGATAGAAAGTTGGTCCACATCAACAGTACATACATCATCATTAGACATATTTCTGACATAGCACATAACGTCCTCGTAAAATGGTCGGAAACGGCATTCGGATCTGCAAGGATCTCCTAAGACATATGTTATCTAGGGGGCAGTGCGAAGTAGAGAAAATACATATGCTTGGTCTCACATACTTTCGCGTTCAGCAGATAAGGGCCATTGCAATAGGCGAATATCCTTCGAATAATTGGGTATATGGCCAAGCTCATTTCAATCGAAGACCACCTTGGTCCCCTGGAAAGAAGCCGTTTGCTTCATCTCCTTGGCCTTCTTAGCAGCCTGCCAACTAGGATGCAACACACCCACGTCATCCCTCTTGGGCGCCGGCTTCTTCCTCTCACCAACAGCCGTCGCATTTTCATTCGTGCCTCGTCCTTCACTCCTCCTACCACCTCCCCTATCACCACCCCGATCCCCCCTCCCTCCTCTCCCCCTCCCCCTATTCCCAAACCCTCGTCTGGCACTCGTATCCTTGGCACCCCTAACGGGATCCCACCCATCATCCTTCGCTCCTTTCCTCTCCGCTACCGGTCCAAGGCCCTTCTTGATATGATTCGCCCGCTGCCCATACTTCTTCTCCCACAGCGCCTGTCGTGCCATCTGCCCCTTTCTATTCTTCTTCTTGGCTGGCGCTCCCGCGATCCCATCTTCAATATCTGAAGCTGATGATTCGGAGCCTTCCCAGTAGCCGCTCATTAGAGTGGGGAGGAAGGTTGAGCCGCCGACCTTAGCGGGGGCGGCTTTGGACTTTGTCGTTTTGGGAATCTTTTGCGGAGGGGGAGAAGGCGAAGGAGAAGGCGAGGGCGAGGGCGACGGTGATAGAGAAACGGAGAGCCTTTTTGAGGATTGGGGAGCACGTTTTGACTTGTACTCTTCTTCGTCGAAGCTTTCTTCGTCGGAGGATCCGCCCAAGAGGGCATCGTAGCGTGACAGCTCTTCCTCGTCGAGATCTTCTTCATCTTCAACGTCTGTGTCACCGTCTTCGCTGTCGTTGTTGGAATCCTGCTCGTCGTTTTCATCTCCAGAGTCAAACCCCTCCCAGGCAGGTTCCGCTGGTTGGTCTTCCATGTCTTGGTCCCCATTCTTATCGTCTGTAGACTCGGTAGGCTGGGGCGCACTCTTCAAGATCCCCTTCACCGGCTCCTTCTTCTCCGTACCATTCCCCTTCCCCTTCCCACCAGGAGCCGGTATCCCCAGAATAATATACAGATCCTTAATAATCTGGCTCATGACCTCCTTAACGGCTTTCATATTAAACATGCCACTCAAAACATTATTCAAAGCCTTAATCTCCTCCTCTTCCAAGCGTGGCCTCTCGATCTCTGTCCTCATCTCGTCCGGCAAAAACTCGCTCTCTGTAAACGCCTTGATTTTCTGCACCGTCTTCTTCAGATGCGTCTCCCCCGCCTTGGCCAAATCCAGCCCCTTCAGCACCTCAATCTCCTTATTGATCCTCTGGACATCGCCTTCGTTGGACTGGGCCCGCGCGTTCGTGAGCCGCTTCCCTAATTTCTGCCGCTCGAAGCCTTTGGCCGTCTTCAACGCCCGGTGCAGCAATTTCTTGCCCTGCGCAATTTTCTCCTCGGCGTCATGTTTTCGCGTGCCCCCTTCTTCGTAGGCGCCGCGCTTGCGTTTCGGCATTGTGCTCAAGTTGTCAAGTTGTTGGGTTTGCTGCGAATGGGGCAGAAAAACGTGGAAGGAGAAATTGTTCAGCCTCGTCGCTTTTTTGAACTGGAGTTGAAAAGAAGAATTGTTTTGGTTGGCTAATCGCTCATCAGTCGACTCGGCTAGCAGCCTTACATGGGTACCTTAGCTTAGGTAATCAGACGGCTCTGACCGCTTTCCGGCCCTGGTCCGTGCGAGTGAGTATCGATAAAGTTGAAAGTTGAAAGTTGAAACCGCCGACCGAGTAAGGACAAGGTAAGGTAGGCAAGGCACGGAGTTAGGTATGTAAGAACGGCGTTAGGTCAAGGAACGGAGTTAAAAGGACAAAAGAAAGAAAAGGCAATTTTGAGTATATCGTTGATTTACCTAGGTAATTACCTACCTAGGTAAGTATACATGCACAAATAGGTACGTTGTATGCCAGTCATATGTACCTTTAGGTAAATGCCGTGTTTCCTTGAATACAAGCGGTGGTTATAAATAATCGTTGATCGTAACTGGCTCGGAATCGCCCCAGTGTATCAGTAAGTGGGGGCGGGGTGCCATATTGCTTGAAAGGTTAAGTTGGCGGTTTCTCCTACAACTACACCAACAGTGCCCCAAGAAAGATTCGAAGAATTTATATTTCTTTCTACCACTGTCAAAATGGCTACCATGTCACTTGCAGCCCAGAATCTCTTCCATGTGAACGGCCTGGTAGCCGTCATTACTGGAGGAGGATCAGGTCCGTTTCCAGACAGATTTCCCAGAGATCATACACACCGATACTGACAAGCCCGTAGGTATTGGCTTGATGATGGCCAAAGCCCTGGCCCTCAATGGCGCCCACAAAGTGTATATAATAGGCCGACGCAAAGACGTGCTCGAGAAAGCCGCCGCCTCCGTCCCAACAGAAAACATAATCCCTCTCGTCGGCGACGTGACCTCCAAAGAATCACTCGCCTCCATAGTCTCTACCATCACCTCCGAAGTTGGCTATATAAACGTCCTGATCGCCAACTCGGGGATTCTGGGTCCTTCGAGATCAGCACTCAGCGGCACTCTAACAATTGAAGAATTTCAGAAGATCTTTGGAGAGATCTCCTTCGAGGAATACAATGAGACATTTAGAGTTAATGTGGTGGCAGTATGGTTTACTGTTGTTGCATTTTTGGGGCTGTTGGATGCGGGTAACAAGAAGGGGAATGTGTTTCAGAGGAGCCAGGTTATCACGACGAGCAGTATTGCTGGCTTCAATAGAATGTCGGCTAGTAGTTTTGCCTATGGGCAGACCAAAGCTGCCGCAACGCATTTGGCCAAGCAATTGGCTTCTGGCCTAGTGCCGTATGGGATCCGTTCAAATGCGATTGCGCCTGGTTGTGAGTTCTGTTTTCATCTCTACAGACGTTGCAGGATTGCGGAGCTTGGGAACAGTAGTTAACTGTTGCCCCATCCTTCGATTGTTTTTGACATACCGCATTCGGCCATGTCCTTCTTCGTCTCACGTCTGGAGTGATGCTAACTGCGCCAGTATTTCCATCCGATCTCGCAGCAGGCCTCATCGGCGACGGGGTCTTCCCCAGAGAGAGGCTCCCCCTCGAACGAGTCGGAACAGAGGAGGAAATGGCAGGGACAATCCTGTACCTCACTAGCAGAGCAGGTGCATATTGCTCCGGCAATGTTATGGTCGTCGATGGTGGCAGACTGAGCGTTCTGCCATCAACATATTGAGATTATCTGCGTCTGAGAGGGAGAAGCGCTGTGCTGGAGCCGCGGAGGCGATACGGTCCCTTTATAGACATAGAACTTGTTGATAGAGAGAGTAGAAATTCTATTAGATCTTCAAGTACCTAGTAGGCTCGAGCGCGTGGGTTGATATACATGCCTTTCCTGATATCATTAGCGTTCTGCACCGGAAGTTGCATCTTGTATGCTGGTAAAGGTGAAATACAGATCAACCTGTATAAAGAGATGGATATAAATCGCTACCGACCAACTTTGTATTGAATGTTGAGTAGAGCTTTACACAAGGGATCCGATCATCCATATGGAGGAATAGTGGTGCAGTCAGTACCTTTGTGATCAGGTACAGCAGTTAGGATCGATTGGTCATCAAGAGCTCTAGATTAATTAGCTAATCGTGGGTCTTCCGATTAGTGAAGTTCCCCCTTAACCTTAACCTCACCACGCATGAGGCAAACAGACCCTGTTCCATCTCCCTTCCCGCCAGTGAGAAGTTCGTAAATTTGTATCTTGCCATTTTATGGCACCTCCTCACAGTGGCGGGTTAGCGAGATGGAGATCGATGTCTATGAGGACTCACTGAGGCATTCATTCTTTCATCCTCTCATATACTTATAAACGTACTTCGGGTTGCTGAGAGCGTGTCCTTACATAGCATGGTAAACCTCGCTCCATCGGCAGCGTAAGGCTATTTTTGCTTATCCTTTCCTTGTCATCGACAATGTCGAAATCAAATCTCTGTACGAACGCTGCAATGACTTGCACAGCTACCGACTCGGCCATTTTCTTCCCCAGGCACGACCGTGGCCCGCCATTGAAGACCGGATACTCGAACGCTGATTTCGAGACCAAGCGCCCGTCTTTGAGCCACCGCTCCGGCTTGAATTGATCAACATCATCACCCCAGATCAATCTTGACCTGTTCATGGCCCAAGTACACCAGACAAGAATTGCACCTTTGGGCAAATATGTGCCATCTGGTAACGTAGTAGCTTGGTCACACTGCTTTAGCTCAAAAGGAACAGGCGGGTAAAACCTCAGTGCTTCATAGAAGACGGCTGTAACGTATGGCAAGGAAGAAGGGCGAAATGCAGAAGTGTTAGGTCCCGAAGTCTTGTCTAAATCTGCAGTGGTAGAAATCTCCTGTCGAACCGCATCAACGATATGTGGATGGCGTATGAGGAGGTAGAATGACCACGTCAAGGCTTGAGCAGTGGTATCTCTTCCTTTTAATCGTCAGCTACCTCCTACATATTCGGTTCAGAGAGTTGATACCTGCAGAGAGATAGTTCAGAGCTGCGTCGGCGACCACTTGAGGTTCATCAATGGAGTCCAGGAGTGAGTTGATCAAACTTCCAGATATACCCTCAAAAGTCTTGGAAGAGCTCTGCAACATTGACTTATGATGTTCTTTAGTCTGTCGAGATTGCGCCGCACTTCTAACTATGACGGAACCAAAATCTTTCACATTTGCGACAGATTCTCTGAACTTCTTGCCAAAGAATATTTCGGTGATAGGCCAAAGAGGGTTTTGGAACCGCTCTCCTGTTTTGCCTGAGGCGTACTCAAATGATACGGAAAATTGATCCGTGTCGTGTATATCCATCTGTCTATCTGTTAATCCTTGATCCACGCACTAGGGATTGCCCGAACAATGCTGGGACTACGCACATTGTACGCCATGCGACCCATCAACTGGGTTGTTAATTCATGGAAAATTGCTTGGAGATCTATTACTGATCCATCGGCCAGTCCTTCAAGGACTTTGATGTTATCCTTAAGGTAGGCTGGGAGCGCGATATCTGTGAGCACCTTCAAGTTTGAAGTTCTTAGGAAATGCAACCCAGCCTTCCTCTGGACCTTCCAAAGAGCGCCATCTGCATTGATGATGCCATTTCCTTCTCATGATCAGTAAGGGTTTCTAAATTGACTCATAATAATTGGCTCGAAGGGTCTCACCAAATAAATCCCGCGACCTTCTTTTGAAGAAATCTCCTTTTGTGAATATGCCTTCATTTTTGAGCACATACTCAAGGTTCTTTGGGTCGTTGATCACCACGCCTGGGGGCAGAGAGGGGACTGAGATCTGGAAGGTCTCAAATCCGAAGTGTTGTTCGCATTTCACAAACCACGAAAACAATTTGTGGCGAGCCCGTAAGAAAAGAATGCCATTTCCAGCAAGTGGGAGCGTATTCGGGGGCCACCTCAATAGTGAAAGTCAGCACATTTGATCAATATTGTCATTCAACATAGCAAAGGAACTAGAATATCAAGGGATATGGAATTCGGCAACAGTTGATTTGTAGCAGAACATCACTACATCAAACGGGGCCCTTGATCCTGCAACCTAAAGTTATCAGCTGAAGCCACATACCTCAATGGTTGTCCATATCGTTTTATGCTTGAACTCCCAAACACATGATAAAGGACAAGCATAGCGGAAAAGAGGCCGAAGACTAGAGCTAGCTGCTGCATCCTGTTGGTGATAGAAAGAAAACAAGGTGTAACGGAAGAAAGTCGTCGTCGTTGCCTCACCTACCTACCTAAGGTAAGGTAGGTATAGGTACCTTAAGGTGAGGTACCTTTCTAGGTGGTTTCTGCATGAGGCTAGAGCCTAGGTAGCGTAGCCTCGTACCTTCGTAGCCTGTGTAGTCAAAGGTACCTACCTACCTTAATTACCTAAACAATAATAGCAATTCCTCCATGCTCTTCACCGATACTCCACTAATAATTCACCAATATCTAGAAAGTCAAGATGGGTTTGATCTGTCCTCGTATACAATTTTACGAGATCAACGACCTGCCATGGTTAGACGGTCAATATCTTGCTTGTCTTGAAATCCGCTGACGGTCCCCTTCCAGGTTCCCACAATACTTTCGCGAGAAGATTCAGGCCTGCCTCACGCTCTTCTGGACTTTTCAAGCCCCCTTTTTCCAAAAGGCATCACCGGCTGAGCTACTGTCCAACATTCTCTATCGAACGCTCTCAGACAGTCTATTGGGCTATACATATATTGATTTCTGCGCAGGTGCAGGTGGTCCTACACCATTCATCGAGCAGAATCTCAATGCCCAGCTCTCTTCACCGCCTGCCTCTCCATTCACAGAAGTCTCTAACTCCAATGGCCTCACCTCGCGCTCCTCTCGAGCTGTTTCTTCATATGATGGCCCTGTCAAATTTGTTTTGACAGATTTGCATCCTCCTATCAATGCTTGGACAGAATTATCCAAGCGCAGTGACAACCTGAGCTTCATTTCTGAGTCAGTTGATGCAGCAAACGCACCCGCAAATCTCAATGTACAAGGTGGAAAGAAGGCCTTCAGATTATATAATTTGGCATTTCATCATTTCGATGATGATTTGGCGAAGGCCATATTGCGGAATACCATTGAAACAGCAGATGGGTTTGGGTTTGTAGTTACCTCGCTCTGTTTATATCGTCTGCTAATTATGTGCAGTATCTTTGAGCTTCAGGAAAGAACAATTTCCTCCATCCTCACAATCTTTGCTATGGGATTCACGTTGTTCTTGATCAGCCCTTTCTACTTCTGGAGATCGCCAGGTCAGCTATTTTTCACGTATGTCATTCCTATCATACCTTTTGTTCTGGTCTTTGACGGGATTGTTTCCTCCTTGAGAACACGAAGCGCCGAGGAAGTACGGGCTTTAATGAAGGAGTGCGGAGCACCTTGTGATAACTGGTCCTTCAAAAACGGTAGTGAGCAGCATACATGGCCAACCGGGTATATGACTTGGATCATTGGTACCAAAGATTAGCAATGATATGAGCTGCTGAGCAATATTGTATCTCAACATGCAGAGATATGCACAAGTCGCTGAGGTAGAGATTAACCCTCACGACGAAACAACGATAGACGAGATTTGCTTTGCTGATTGCTAAGAGCCGAAGACTTACATATTCTGCGTGGTCTTTCTCAGGGAAATTGTACAAGCGGAAGATTTGTAATGAAACCTTCAAGAATCGTTTGAACAAGTGAAACAGCTTCTCTTGAGGACACTAATGTCTTGGTGACCCAGTGACAGCGTTCATCCAGAGTCTTCATTTCACTCAGGAAAGAAGCCACCTGCGCCATCATCGATATACTCCTCACTTTCCATACCTTTGTCATCGTCATCTTCTTGCACCCTTTCAAGCTCCTCTCTCTCCCCATCAACCTCGTACATATCAACCCGCTCTTTGATCCGTAATCCAACCAGAAACCGCTTCCACATTTTGAGAGCGGCAAGCGTTCGAATTTCATCTTCCGCTTGGGCTTTCTCGTCCCGAAAGCCTTCGATTACGGCTTCGACGGCTTCGCGATACTCGGCGGCCACAACAATGCCCTTCAACACAGCTGTGCCATGCCGGCCTCGGAACTCGAAGCCTGTTAGCGCATCGGCGTAGTCGATGCCCAGTAGTCGGGCGGCTCGAGCAGCTTCGTCATCTACAGCCATTAGCAAAATTCGTCGGGCAGTAGGGAGAATACTCACAGGGAACATGGACTCCGCCCTTTGGAATCATGCTTGGGACAAATATATCCACATTTCCGTACGAGTTCTTTGGCACCCGCCCGTTGACTATTGGTGGCGCTTCATACAGTTCGGTTTGATCTTCGGTGTATAGGTTCGTGCCAGCACGTTCCTCTATATCGTCACCATCCCCGAGGTTTTCGTCTTCGGCTCTCCGTTTCGCTGCAACAGTTTTGACAGGCTGTTCTCCCATTTTCACATCCCTTCCCAGTCGATACCAAGCATCCGCACTCCTTGCGATTTTGACATCTCGCCTCCTATATATGCTTTCTAACTTTTTCTGGCCAGGTGCTCTGGGATCACGTCCTGCAGCCACCTTTCCAACTTCATGAGTACTAACCAGTACCTCGTTTCTTCTCAGGTGTCTCTCTAATGCGTAATAAGGATGATCCTTAAAGTCCGCGACGTTCCTAGGCATGGGCTCTCTGGCCTCATTCGCTGCCAGCTCGTTATCTTCGATTTGGTCCAAATCACTCTTCCAACCACGAGAATAGGCTCTCATGGTTCGTCTCCACCATTTCTCTCCCCCTTCTGTAGATTCAACTCGGTTTTTCCGCGTCTTCGCGTTGTACGCTTTCGCGTACCTCCTTGTAACATCTCGTGCAGATCCGTCTTCTTCGAAAGCAATAACATATGACATATTATTCTCTCGGTCAGATGCTGGCGGCTCAAATGCTCGAGGTTTTGCAACAGTTTCAGTGACTAGGGGATCGACAGGAAACCATTTTTGGTGTGCTTCGTCCAGAACCTCAACCCAAAAGACAGGATACGGCGACTCGCGTATTACCTTTGCTTTTGGTTTAGGTGGGGTAACCACTGGAGCGCTGATATCAGGCATATGATAATCCGCGGCGTTAGGATGCCCGAGTCGTCGTCGGGGAGCGAATGGTAAAGCACCATCATTCCTTCCACCGGCACCCTTGAAGGGAGAATTTGGGCCTTGAATATCGATCGCTTCTCCCTCATCGCTGGGCTCCGGGGTTGTTGCTTTAGCTGGTGATACGACACTTTGAGGCATGGCGGGTCCGCCTGCATTGAATGATAGCGGCTGGAGAGAACATACAAGGCGCGTTTCGACACCTGCACTGCGAAGCAGGGAACAGTACAGCTGAGCTCCTAGATCCCTAGACCCCTTCAAATTCTTCGCGGCAGCTCTGAAATCGGACTTCTCGAAGCAGGAGTCTGCATCAGGTGGTAACCTAGACTATATTCATATCAATACCTGCGCTCGAAACGAGAATTCGATTGGGGGAAAACATACATTTTGGAGGTCTTGCTCATTCTCAGCCCATAAAGATCTCCGCATGCCTCTAGCTGTGATGTTGAATTTTGCTCTCCACATCTTGGAGACATCCTCAAGACCTCTTTTTAAGGACTCTGCTCGCCCAAATTGTGAAAGATCGGATTTTGGCCTGAGAAAGGTCAACATTTTCTTAGTCAAGAGATGTTTCAGTGAACTCTGAACTTCAGAATCATTGCACCATTCATTCCTTCGGTCCACATATGATAACAGGCATAACACATGCAACTTATGAGTTTGTAATCGGAGGCCCCTCTCCATTTTGTTTGCAACTTTCCGTCTCGAGGCAACTTTCTGCTGAGGGATCGATTTCGCAGTCAAGGTTAATTCAAGGTCCCCGCTGGGCTCATCATTTTGAACCCCGGCGTCAAAATTGACACCTTCCCATTCCAGATCGCTCTCTTCCAGCTCATCTTCTGAGTCTCTGTAGGCAGTTTGTAATCGTTTGGGAGCAAACTCAAAATCACCATCCTGCGACTCATCATCCGAGCCATTGCGTCTATCAGAAACCAGAACGTCCTCAAATTGTACATCCTCATCATCTTCGTCGTCTACATCATTCGACTCGACGTCAACAGGACCTCTCGAGTGACTGGGAGATGCGCGCTTGTTCTGTCGATCCGTCCTTCTTCTTTTCAACGGCCTTTCGGGTACATCCGATTGCAGAGGTAGAGCTTCAGCCAGCATCTCCTGGTAGACGCCAGGAATGACATTTCGATTGGAGGCAACAGCCTTGCCCTTACCCTTTTCCCTAGTTATGCGCCGTTGGCCGGTCATAACTACCGACGAGTCGCTAGTATCTCCAATACTGATAGCATCAAGGACATGTTCTTCACTCCTTTCCCGCCCGTTCAGCTGCCTTCGAGGGGCTGCTCTTCTCGGCGGCATGGCAAAATTTCATTATTGCACAAAAATAAGTGAAATCCGTTTCTGCACCTAGGCCAAACCGCAATCCACCATTAAATTCATATATTAACAACACCCTCGCTCGCTGCTGAGGGGTTTGAGCCCGTTGTGAAGTCTTCAGAGAGACGTGTAAGGTTGATATGACGCATTCTCGCACCTTGCCTTATCATAAGCGCCGAGCGCTAAGCGCGCCTATTTTCATGTGTTTGGCTGGCTTAGTAATCACACTTCACTCCCCCTATGCTTCGATTTCGATTCCTTTAATCCGAACATAATTGTTCTCGAATTCCTACCTCCATGGCTACTCTTCCTTGTCCATTGAGAGGAAACCTACAGAGTAACCATGTTCTCAATTTTTGTTTTGCCAGATCCATTTGGGGTCCCTCCGTGGTCGAGGAGACCAGATCATCAAATGGCTGGGGAAAGAGTATCAAGAGCTCATATTTATGTTTCCTTTTACCTCCAAGTGTCCCCTTGATTTCTGGGGCCGTCCCCATTCCGTCATGTTTTAGTCGTTTCCACAAAAATAATAAGTAAATAATCCCCAGTCGATTCCTGTGCGCGAAGTAATGACTCTCTCTTATAACTCTCTTCTCACAATTGGCTATGGGAATTTATACCCCCAGTCCAACTCGGGGGGAATCAGCAACTTTTGTGTTTTGGTCTATGCTAGCTGTTCCTTGACTCACCATCCTCATCAGCAACATGGTCGACGACACGATAGTGAAAGATATCAGCGATCTCACGCTCTAGGTCGGGTGCCAAGGATAAGGTACCTAGACATGGGGATTTCCCGACGGAGTACGTTGAATAATGATGATTTATTAACCAATCAATAATAACTCTCCCTAATCCAATAACGCATTTCGTTCTCTCGGCTCTGTAGATACTTACTCGTGTTAGTACTGTGTGCGTAGGAAAGGAGTTCCTAACAATGGGGTGGGGGTAATTATGCCAATGATCCTTTCCCCGGATCTCGTTGCACTTCTTTCTATAGTAAGGCACAGACCATAAACGGCAGAGATGTTATAGACCCTTAAGAGTAGAAGCTGTAACTTCCCTCGAGCTATACTACAACTAAGGGTCCAATTAAGCAAAGATCACTTGATGCTTGTTCGGACATGTTACCGTGTTATTATTATTTATTTTCTCCTTTCTGTCTCATGTCGGCATGCACGTCTTCGTGAGGGATACAACCTGATGCCCATTGAACATGAGAGCTTCCTTGAGCTCATGCTACTACTAAATGCCATCATTTAGAGCGCATCCTGGTATATGCCACGCCATAAAAGTAGATGCCACAGCAAACCTCCCCTTGCCAGTCATAAACGCCAACCCATCCGTATTCATACATCAATAATTACTCCGGGGAGAAATTCATAGCTTGGTGATGAGATCTCTCATCGAGTCACTTAATCTGCGAGGCAGTGGCGCATCACCACCAGATCCCCCAGCATCTGATCCACCATTCGATCGAGGACTCGTTGCACCTGCTCCAAAACGCCTCTGGTTCTCCTGTCTACGGAAGTTCAACAGCCACCGAACATGCATGCTGACGACTTGTTGGCTACTTCTCATCTCCGTCAATTCGTTCTTGATGGGGATTGTCTCGTTGAAGAGCATCATGGTCTGTTTGGCTTCAAGCTCGGTCATCCCCGCGGAAAGCTGGCTGATGCGGTTCTCCTGCGCTTCAATCAGAGAAAGCAAATACTCATTTGCTGAATCGAGTGGTTCTGCGCTTGCCGATTCTGGAAGACTCGAAACCGGGTGGCTTGAGATATCAGCGTAGTCGAAATGCCGATCAGACTCCTTCGGTCCGCTCTCTAAGAACTTGATGCGGCGCTCCTGGGCCTGGTTCTTCTCATTCAAAGCGCGGACTTCGGCTCGGAGAACGCTGATTTCCTTCTTCAAGATCTCTGCCATAGGGCCCACTATCTTGAACGCACACTCATCCGCATGGAGGTACAGGTCCTTCCTCTTGGACTCGTGCTGACAGCCATATTCCGCCCACGCGCAAGATGCTATGACATCTGGGCAGTCTTCGATATGTTCGGATTCCTTGCAACGCAGAATGTCGGCTCCGCAGTGTTCACACTCCTTCTGGCGCTCCTTGCAAACAAACTCGCGGTGATGACCAATGTCAATCTCTTTGTGAATTTCCTTGCAGTCGGGACAGGTTACATCGTAATGCAGGCAGCCCCTATCGGAAAGCTTTCTCTTTACAACTTCATCGCACGTCTTGCTGGGACACCTGACTAAAGCCTCTTTGCAATACTTCTCCATGTGGTTCTGAAGCATCGACCGAGGAATTGGTGCCTCACAACAAGGGCATTTGGCCTGTAGAGCGTCCAGTTGATTGATGACAATCTTGTGTGGCCGGCCGAATGGAGCATCGCGGGGCAACGGATACCGGTCAATTGGGCAAATCTCATTGTGAGAGAGAGCTTGAGCAATACACTCCCTGCAGAAAGTATGATCGCACTGCGTGTCAACGGGGTCCACCAGTGCGACTCGGCAGATCGGACAGATAAGGTTCTCATCAACAGTGCCAACATATGTAAGAGCCCGAAAGTCGACGCTGTGGGGGAGGCCGAGGCTTGATGACGTGGTGTTGTCCAAACCCTCCGCTACTTGGGCATTGAGGGATGTATACCGACGCTCACGGCGGGCTTGAGGCGATTGAACATTGCTAGTAGCAGGTGAATTTGAGGAGGCTTCGAAGCTGTGCAGGTCGAGGGCGGCGTGAGAGAGATCCGCGCTGGAATGTCGGGGGGTATTCGGAGGCGGCATGTCTTGAGCTAAACCTTGCCACAAAGAAGGGGCAAGTTATCGCGATAGATCGAGGTGGGAAGCCGGCCTAAGTGGTTATCACTCAGACCGAGCATGAGGTGCAAGGGAAGTGTAGTAAGTAGTCTTGGGTGAATTGTGACTTTAGAGAATCAACTCTGATCAGACAGCGTGCGAAGGTGTGAAGGTGTGTGGGTGGGAGGTCCCGAGTAGATGTCCCATCCAGGCACTCCGATGATGACTGAAGTTGTGGGGTCGACAATGCGCACGGGCCATTGTGGTACTATCCCCATCTCACTCGCTTACTACGTCCACCCCCCGGACGAGACCTGGAGGCTGGAGCTCTTGGAACCACGCTGTAGACATCTGATTACTCCATCCAGTACAGTTCGGGGGTACAACAGCACCAGGCGTTCACGTTCTAAGGATTCCGATTGTCTCTGTCTGTTATTCTCGATATACCCTAACTGTATGAGCAGGCTCTTGCAATTCTAACGAGCTTCCTCCCCCCCCTTACGCCCTTCGAAAACAGCTTCCACCCATACAGACCAAGATACCCAGGCAACCAAGCATGGCGGCCAATCCAAACCAATACTTTCTGCTGGCAGATCACATCAAGCTCTCCTTGCTCGAGCGGCAACGGGCCATATCTCTAAATCTCGAGCCCACGTCTCAAGATGGGCACATCTCCCGCTCGCTCGAATCCCTCCGGGAAGGGATCGAGGCCATCACCAAGGAGCGGACCCGGTTACAAGGCGCCGGCGAGACAGCGTAGGCCTCCCCGCCTTGTCTACTACAGCATGAGAGAGACACAGACACAGACTCAGAAGAGAGCGAGAGAGCTGACCAGCACACCAGCGCATCCCTCACCCTCGCGGAAACAGAGCAAAGTCTCCAGACGCAGTACGACGACCTAGCCTCCCAATTCCACGGCCCTCCCACCGACACCGCCTCCTCGACCATTTCGCACCCCAACGACCCATCACTCGCCGACGACTTCGCGCGAGCCTCGGCCGCGCCCGCGCCCCGCGCCGTCTCCTCCTCGTCTCTGCTCAAGAAGTCCCTACGTGGTGCCCCTACCGCCGCCGCCTCACCCAAATCCGTGCGCTTCACCGATGCGCCCATCGTGCAGGACGAGGACGAGGCGCGGAATGCGCTGTTCCCCTACCGGGACGACCCTGGGGCCCCAGACCATTCGGGGCTTGACAACCAGCAGATCCACGCGTACCACACGCAGGTGCTAGCGGAGCAGGACGAGGCGCTGGACCGGCTGGGGGAGTCGATCGGGCGGCAGCGCGAGCTGAGCATCCAGATTGGCGACGAGCTGGATGAGCATGTGCAGATGCTGGATGAGGTGGATAGGCATGTGGACCGGCATCAGACGACGCTGGATAAGGCGAGGAAGAACCTGGGGGGCGTGGCTAGGAAAGCGAAGGATAATATGCAGATGACGATTATTATAATCCTGATCATTATTCTGGTCTTGCTGATCATCATCTTGAAATGAAGGGAGGACGGGCTGGAGCGGCGCTGTGGCCTTTTCATGCATTTGCGGGCGTTGGGAGTGAAGGGCTGATCGTTGTGTATATATATATGGGCACAATGGCGTGGTTTTGCAAGCTATCACCACATAACATGAATCTAAGCGTCCATATCACTTATATTCAACCGCGTTCCTTCTGTCTACTATACACTGTTGAAGAAACAATCCGGCCCAGGTCAGTCCCCTCCTATCCTACAATCCCGGATCCTGACTGGTGCCATGTCTATCATTCCCCCAGTTAGCACATTCCTTGATAGGAAGCTCGAGGCTCTCACACATACTTATGCTTCTTCTCTGCATGTTCCGCGGTTTTCCTCTGCAGCTCGTCGAGATTCTGGTCTGTACTCCGATCCGCTTTTACCTATGCCTCACCATCAGCCAAACTATCACTCACAACTAACTCTCCCCAACGAGGAGAAAATAAACCAAGAACCCAAAAAAGATCAACATACCGCCTCCTCACTATTACTCGCGAGCTCAGGCTTCCAATGCCCTTTGCCCTCCTTCTGCTTCCTCAACAGGTCCTGTTTATGAATCTCGTTCTTCTCCGCTAGGTCCGGCGTATCTAATCATATAACATGTCTCTTGTCAGCAAGCTCATCTTCTTCATCATCATCTTCCTCGTTCCCCAAGGAGGAGGAGAGGGAGGGTATTCTGTACCGTGATCGCTCTCTTTCAGCGGGCGCAGCGTCGACGTGCTAAATGTGAATGTTCGTGGTGAGATTCGGAGGCTGGGCCGTGAGAGCACGGCGAGCCGGGATGTGTGGCGGAGGAGTGTGGAAGAAGACATTGTTTTGATTTTCTGATGGTTTGCTTGATTGTTGTTGTTGTATATCTTTGTGTATCTCACTATCCAAATCAGCATCAGTATCGTCATCGTCATCCACCTTCCAAGGTCTACCTTTATGAACATACCTCAATCAATCAGACAGCCAATCAATCAATCATCAAACCCAGTCACTTCTTCACTGACTCAATATACCAACCAAGAAACAAAGAAGCGATCAAGTTTCCTTCCTTCCAGATAATCAATAGATAAGTAAGAAAGAAGACAAGAAGACACGAAAGAAAATGAGGTAACTTCCTATCCCTTAAATACCCTTACCTACCTACCAACCTTACATACCCACCTATCTACCTACCTAAGGTACCACTCCATCATACCCCCCCCCCCCCTCTCCTCTCTGACTTGCCTGCCTATGAGCAAGGAGGGTAAGGTAGATACCGAGGAAAGCTATACGTCATGGGCGATGGGGACGCTGACTAAGCAAGACGTTGCGAAACGGAAAGAAACAGGGCATGGGTGATTGGGCGGGTTGGGTGTGGGAAGGGGGAGGGGGTAGTAATTCTTGAATATAAATACAAAACCTATATTATATTTCAAACCAAAACTCTCATTTCATTTCCAAACAAGTTAGTAAAAATCAAAGACCAGAGCGTCCTCAAAATCCCTCTTCCTCTTCCCCCACATCTCAAGTCTCGAACCCAATTCCAAAGCTCGGGTTGATTTTCGAGTAAAATAGATGGGAAGAGGGTGTCTTTTTTCCATGGATAGTTGGCGATTCGATTCTAGCTTGGATTCTAGCTTAGATAGTAATTAGGGGTAGGTAAGGTAGGTAGGTAGGTAGAGTAGGAGGATGGATGGTGGTTGTGGTGTTCAATTTCACTTGTATCATTTAAGTGAGGAGAGGAGGCAGTTCAACTCTACCTTCCTACCTACCTACCTTACCTACCCTACCTACCTTAACATGCAAACCAAATCTAACCCCAAACAACAACTCCTACGTACCTTACTCTACTCGATATCCAATCCAATCCAATCCAACTCGCAGTTCAAATAGTGTGGTTAATGTATATCCTTGCTTGCTTAATGCTTTAGGCGGGGAGGAAGGAGGGAAGGAGGGAGGAGGGTCAAGTCTGGATTCATGAAGCTCTCTCTACCGACGAGTTCATTAAGTTTAAGTTTTTTGAGTCCAGGTTTGAATACTGTGGCTTCTAAGGTACTTGTAAAAGGTTAGCTCATGGGTTTGGCTTTAATATAACACCATCCTCGATGCTACAGCTTCGACTCGAAGTTCAGTTCAGCTCGAGCTTCAAAACTGCAACTCCCTATCTACTTGGACTTGATGTTCAATACAACTCCAAGTTCAGTTCAACTCAAGAATCAGTTCAACTCGAAGGTCAGCTCGGGGAAAGACAACAGTGGCGGTCTCCAATCAAGACAGATAATATAAGAACATCAAATTTTATATAAGCCCTAATTCTTGACGAACGTGGGAGAGAAAGACGCAGGTATAAAAGATGTATAACCCCGATCCCAGACGACCAAAGCCCACCCATCTTTCATATATCGTCAACCCATCCTAAAAATATGACATAGCTCGATCCGATATATGATCAACGTTATAATGCACCAGTCCTCTCCCGCTCAAAACTACCATTGACCCAAGCGATGGAACGACCGAACACCGACGACAATACTACAGCGCTCATCATTACTAGGAAGCGCAACCCTTGTTCACCCCGACACCTGATCCGCCGAAGCCCAACTATTGTGCCATAAACATAAAAGACAGAGAAATCCTGCCCGTCCGTGTCGTGCACCCACGAAAACACCCGTAAAAATACCTCTTCTCTCCAATGGAGAAGAAGATGATTCTATGTACCCGATGAGAAATCTTTTTTCTTTTTTTTTCGTAGACCGTATGAAGTCGCCGCTTCATGTCCCACCAAAATGCAAAAAAGTTGGCCCAAAACACCGCCGCAAAAAACATGCAATGCGCGCTTAAAAAATCAACCTATATCAGGGGTAACACCGTCTCCTTTTATTTTAACAGTGGTATCGATATCGTCAAGCGGTCGCTGTTTCAAGGAATATGGTGTAAGGTTCGTTGATGGATTTATACAAAAGAATTCGTTGAAGTGAATGTGCCGTTACTAGAGGATAATCGAAGCCGAACGAAGGGTGGTGCCCGCCAGGATAGGTGAGATAAGGATGCGAAGAACAATCATTTTTGCGAGGATGGCAGACCCAACTCTGCATCGGTGTGGACAGAAAGCAGGGCGGGTCTACCAGCGTCGGCCGAGTGATTGTTGCTGCATCCTGGCGGGCGACACCGAGTGCGGCGGACTCGACATGCGGATGCCCGTGCTGGGGTTGACGATCGGGATGGCATTACGGATCCGAGTAGCAGCAGGTTGATGCATCTTGAGCGCCGCTGGCTGACTCTGGTACGCGGGGACGTACGGGAGAGAGCTGGAGTTGAGGGAGAAGCGGGCATCGGGGGTCACCTGGTGGGACTGGGGGGAGCTCTCGGGCGAGCCACTCGACAGCGACGAGCGATCCGACGACGACGAATGGATCGACACCATGTCGGTCTCGGTGAGCAGGTTTGGACAGAACTCGAGGTCATCGTCGAGATCGAAGGACCGACCGGCCTCGAAGCGTTGCCGGAAATTTAAGACGGCGACGGCCTCCTCGTCTTTCCTCACGCTCCTGAACTGCTGGTGCTTGTGCTGATTCTGCGACAAGCGAGGCGCTCGACGCCCACGACCGCTGTGATGCGAGGCGGAGGGAGCCTGGGCGGCGACGGGAGTAGGGTGTTGGTGAGCGTTGTAGTGGTAGTAGGAAGACATTATCGGCTCATTGACGGGAGGATGTGTGGGATGGCAGATTGTTGGGGGGTGTTGGAGCCGATGGGGTCGCTATGAAGAGTTGGGTCGGACGGGTAGCGTAGGGTTCGAGTAAACAAAGCTTGAGTGCGAGTGGATGGAGACACGATGGTAGATATAGCGATGATGGATTGTATTATGGATAGATGTTGCAAAGGATTAAGGTATGTTTGATGGAAGATTCAGTTGGGGTGGATGTTGATGGGAGTTAAAAGATGAAGTGGGAGGAGGAGGATGGATGATGGATGGATAGGTAGGTTGGATTGGGGGGGGTGGGAAGAGGGAAAGAGGGGAAAGGATGGGAGGGATGGGAGAGGCAGAGAAAGGCGATGGGCGAGAGACAAGCGACGCGAGACGAGAGACGAGAGACGAGCGAGAGATGGCTGGCGGATTGGCCGATGGCGAATGGCGAATGGCGAATGGCGGGAAAGGCGAGGCACTAGGCCTGAAGGGGGCGGGCTAGGCCGGACGGGGCAGGAGTCCGATGTACGGAGCCCTGCCCCTTGCAAAGATGCATCAATCATCAAAGAGCCATCCATCGTGAGGATCATCGAGGAACATCATCAACATCATCACTCCCACTCACTACTCGAGGGAAGAGAGGCGAGCCAGAGAAGGAAGAGGAAGCAAAGAATTACCACTCCTGAATACCTTACTGACCTACGCAACGTGGGTACCTCCTTACCTCCTTACCTCTGGTCCTCCGTAAAGGAACATGACACATGTACATGTCTGAAATACCACTAATCATCCGCCGTTTTCCTGTCCCTCCTGCACTATACCTGGGCTAAACGGCACGCCCGTTATGTGCCTGTAATACCTGTATATATCTAGCTAGGGCCTTATACTGTACTTCACTGCACTAAAGTAACTGTGCTTCACACACTGCAGACTCGCAGTGCATAGCGATGCGCCATCTCGCTCTCTCAAACGTTCGTCCGTCCGGCCACACACCGCCACAAATCGCCACAACCGCCACACCCACACACCGCCAGACCGCCAGTTCATCTGCATCACCTGCCTCCAACTGATTTTTTTTGGCGCCAGCCTTTCCACTTTTCTAACCGCCCACAGGATGGAAATCCAGATGGATCATGAGTGGTTCGACCGTTCGACAGACCCTGACGCCTTGCTGACCCAGAGGGCCAGAGGCACAAAGGGACTACTGGCCCTGGGATCATGGGATGCGAGTCTGTGACGGACCTGCGACCTGGGTACATATTAATTCCCGCGCGGGTCACGGGCTATTAGTAGCCCTGAGGGCCTGAGGGTCCCGGCTCCTGAGCCAGAGATGCTTCCTTTCCACGTCAGGGCTGAAGCAGAAAAGCAAATGTCATATTTACATGCATGAAATTACCTATTAATATCGCTAAAATTAAGGCCTAGCAAATTGTAATCTCCCTGTCTTGTCCGTGCCAGCCACAAAGATCTGCTTTGATCCCGTAAGAAGTGGTCCCCTCACGTGAGAACCAAACCCGTGACAGAGACTGCTCTTCCACACCACGCTCCAGGGACACATCGCTTAACGGGCAAAGCCCCCTATTCATCCACTGCCTCTCAGCCTTGGCCAGCCCTGTGATGCAATGATTGAAAACACTTGGGAAGCATTTTGCTGAACACTGTTCCCCTTAACCACGGGTTCCCCCCTCTGCACGAAAGCACTTGGCTTCGTTCACAGTCCTCCCTTATCCCGACAACTAATTTATCCCGACAACCAAGCTAAGTGTATCCCCTCACTCTGGCTTGTCACCTCGCTTCATTCACAACCCCCCCTTATCCCGACAACCAAGCTAAGTGCATCCTCTCACTCTGGAGTGTCACTCTGGCGAGCCACCTCGCTTCATCCACAGTCCCCCCTTATCCCGACAAACAGGCCAAGTCCATCCTCTCACCCTGCGGTGTCACGTTATTCATTCAAGACAAAGACAGTTGTCCTAACCAACAGTATGGGACGAGACCCAGGCTGATAGGGACAACATTCCAGTTTCCTTGCTTTCCCTTATCCACGCTTGATGGCGTTCCCTCATCCACGCTGTGATGGCTTCCAAGTCACGTACAAGCTGACGTGAAGATGGCTGACCCAGATGCAGCCTGGCCAGCTAGGATTGCCTGTCACCTCTTGACACCATCACAAGCATCCCGGCGGAGTTTCCACAGCAAACCTCAGAACTTTGGCCATCACCTCCTCTAAAGAGGGGCTTCCCTTCAATCGTCTCAAGTTGATTTCCACTTCTTCACCCCTAGTTGATTCCAGGATGGGCCAAAGAAGCCAGCAACCTATGGCTGATGCACATCAGTGTCTTTCTTTTGGGGCAGCTGCGGCGGTTTGCTGGCTCTTGTCATCTATCTCGATGTTGTCAGACCATGATGATCTGGGAGATTCAGACGAAAGCTCGCACGAAAAGCCCGGTGAATTCGGCTCCCTATCCACACCTCCCAAGTTTGGGCTGCATTGCCAAGTTGGCTGCTTGAAAATGCTCGTTTTATTTGTCCAACCCACGTGCTTTCACAAACCGGTTGATCTGCTCCCGAGTAAGCTTCTCGTTGTACTGTTCCTGGACCTCATAGAAAGAGATGATCTCCTGAGTACAATCAACAATGGCCTCGATATCAATATTGCTTTCTGCGAGCCAATTTACAAGTTTTTGCACCTTTGTTCGCGGCCCCCCGGCTTTGTTTTCTGCACTGCCAGCCTTTGCTTGGCCAGCTGAACTCAAAGCACTTTGGGCAGCACTCGCAATACTATTAGCAGAGGTACTAGCGGACTGAATGCCAGTAGTGTTTGGACGCAGAACTAGCGCCAGGAGGATGGCCATGATAGCAATGATATGGGGAGCAAAGAGGAGCGGCAAGTCTGTCATGTAGTGGTCGTTTATGATCGACCAAGCAAGAGCATATTCCTCTTGAGTAAGAGAGAACGTAGCTTGTAAGGAAGTTAAACTTCGATATGGTTGGTGGACAATCATTTGAGAGCTCATCTCTGATATCAAGAAGAATTCGCATTCTCCAAGCTTCGAGGTATCGCTGCTGAAGAAGTCTGTGCGGGGAAGAAAGGGTCAGCGGTGTCATGCATGCATGGTTATTGCAGAATGAGCAGGCTTACCTGGCCACAATGTCCGCCCTTCACTGACGACCAACCTGATATGATGCGGGCATTCTTCCATCTTACAAGCCAAGTATACTGCTGTTGCAATCACCAAGTATGGATTGGTCCGCCTGATCTCGACCTTTGAATAGAACCGACGGATATATAGCTGGGCCGTGGCCATGGCTTGTTGTCGTACACCCAGACGCTTTCCGAGCCTAGAAATCTCTATGACGAGGAAGTATCAGCACTATGACTTTGAAGATCTGTTCAGGGACTCTTGGTGACTTACGCTGGTTGAAATAGATACTGAGATGCCGCAGTTGTGGAAGAGGGTACATCTGAACGAGGTTACGGTCCTCATCTTCCAGCTTGGTACGGAAATCTTCCAGCTGCTGTCTCGTGAACTGCCAGTGTTTGCGCTGGGTCGATTCCCAGTAGTTGGCAGCCATCCTGAATCGAGTCCCCAACGGAGAATGGAGAGAACGGGTTCTGAGGGTAAGATCTCGTTCGAGGGGGCTTCGCGGGCGATCCGGGTGCCAAGAAAAGGCCGGAATATGCTCGAATTATCAAATCTGAATAGCCCTATACAGAGGGGGGAAAATTATTCATGGCCTTGGACATGGGATATCGATTCCGGTTGAGAATTCGTCAATAAACGGTCAAGGGTTTGAGGCTGCACAAGGCTGGACGATCTGATACTGGCACGGCTGGTGTTTCCGAGAAAACTCCCTCGCTTCGACGGAATTTGTGTGACGGAAGCCCATGAAGCTTGGAACCTCGTTTTTCAACAACAGTAAGCACTCCCGCACGAGTGAAGCTTGCACCTGAAGCAACCTCGACCGGCTGCTACAGTCCCAACTCACTCCTATCTGCGGAAGTCACGCGATTTGACCGTTCTGGCGTCGATGATAAGCAGTTCCTCGATTCCGATCATTGATTTCCCGGCCAATTCGGGCACCATGAGAAACCCATAACGATTTCGAATATGGATCTTCCGGGAAGTCAAAGCTCTGGGGATGCAAGAGTTGAGGCTCTATGGAGGAAGCTGGATCCTCAGGGAAAGGGAGAGATTGACTTGAAAGGTCTTCAACGAGGATTGAAGAAGATAGACCACCCATTGAAGAATGCCAATGATATGCTGAAGGATGTTGTCAAAGCCATGGATAAGAACGGGGACGACGTTATTCAGTATGAAGGTAGGTCTCTTGACTGGTGCGAAGGGATTCTTGCAACGATCCTGCTTTGCTTCGTCTGGATCTCTATCCAGCCTCTAGGCTAACAAAAGCTTTTGTAGAGTTCCGCACATTCGTCGAGCGCACTGAAAAGGAGCTTCTATCGCTGTTCGAATCCATAGACAGAGATCACAACGGCAAGCTGGACAAGAGTGAGCTGCAACTGGCGTTCAAGAAAGCTGGATTGATAGTGCCAAAAGCGAAGCTGAACGAGTTCTTTGCGGAGGTGGACGAAAACCACGATGTTCGCGTCTCCTACCCATTCGCCTTGCCCATTCGCCCGTTGCTAATTATTTCTAGGGATACATAAGCTTTGATGAATGGAGGTAAGTCATATACTTTTGTTTTGCTGAAGATTCAGGACTAGTCCGTAGGTAGTTGGGGTTTTGCTGGTTCGCTTTCTCGCATGCCTTGCGAACCGTGGAACTGCTTCATTGATGATGTCGCCGTCGCCGTTGCTGATACCGTTACAGAAACTTCCTACTATTCCTTCCCACAAACACGAAAACCCCAGCCCTCAAAGCGGTCTTGTCTTATTATTCTTCTGCAGTGGCGTTAAATTCCGAGGGCGATACTTCCATCAGGGAGGACACACTTGAAGGCCTAGGTAGACTGCCACAGTTTCTTAATATTTTGTTTGGAGCTATTTTCAAGATCGCCGCGCCTACACCTCCCTCCCTTTCTACGAAACCCCAACAATCTACATCTGCAGTCGACGATCCCACAACAAGTCAAGGAGTCGACGACAAGATGTTCGAGTTCCATCACGCCCACTTCATCGAAGCCACTCGAGACACTGACCTCGAGGAGTCCCGACTTCCATCCGCCAACCCAGATCAGTCAGCCATGGATAAGAAGGGCATTTCTGAACATGTCGCAACCAAGAAATTCTGGCTAATTGAAATTCTTCCCGACCCAGGCTATTTCGTAGCTGGCGGAGTAGCAGGAGCATTCTCTCGAACCTCAACAGCCCCTCTAGATCGCCTCAAGGTTTACTTGATCGCGCACGTTGATACTGCGAAAGGCTCTATTGCAGCCGCAACCCGAGGCGATGCTAAGGTGGCAGCGAGAAGCTTCGGTAAGCCACTCGTGGATGCATGCCGAGAGCTTTGGAAGGCTGGCGGAATGCGTAGCTTGTTTGCTGGTAGGTTACATACCCCAAAGATCAGAAGTTTAACTGACGTTTCTAGGCAATGGTCTCAATGTCTTGAAAGTAATGCCAGAGTCTGCAATTAAGTTCGGCTCCTTCGAAGCTACTAAGAGAGCACTATCCCAGCTGGAAGGACATGGAGATCCCCAAAAGATCAATGGATATTCCAAATTCATAGCCGGTGGTACCGGAGGTATTGCATCACAGTAAGCCTCTACTCGACTTCACGCGAACCCTTTGCTAAGCATCTACTCTAGGCTCGTGGTCTATCCAATTGATACGCTCAAATTTCGGTAAGCATACCTACCAACTTTCCAAACACATTGCGGCTCAACTGACAAATCATCAGCATGCAATGTGAGACCGTCTCGGGCGGCCTGCGCGGCAACAAGCTCATCATAGCTACATGGAAAAAAATGATAGCACAGGGCGGTCTCCTCGCTCCTTACCGTGGTTTGACGATGGGCCTGATCGGCATGTTCCCTTACTCCGCCATTGACCTCGGAACCTTCGAATTCCTCAAATCTGCACTCGCTCGCCGCAACGCAAAGATCTTGGGTTGCCATGAAGACGATGCGTTGCCAGGATCGTTCGCAACCGGCTGTATTGGTGCGTTCTCAGGAGCTTTTGGTGCCAGCATTGTCTACCCAATCAATCTTTTGCGAACCAGACTGCAGGCCCAAGGAACTGTTCTTCACCCGCCTACGTACACAGGAATATATGACGTTGCACAGAAAACTGTCACCAACGAAGGAATCCGCGGCTTATTCAAAGGAATTACGCCAAATCTTCTAAAGGTTGTCCCTTCTGTTGCCATCACCTACGTGGTCTATGAGAACACTAAGAAGATCATGGGCCTACGTTAATTATCCAGGGGTGGCTTTGCTATAGCAACTCACTATCCGCTGATATTCACAGTAGATAACAATGGTTATTTGGGCAGGAGGTATTATTGGATGCTGGGACGTTTTGCAGCAGGTTCGGATGGGACATTACTGAGAGGCACTTGCTTCCACATGGCATCTCTTTTTTACATTTCTCACAGACACGGCCTTCGATAGCGCGCTACTAAGAAGGGGAATCATCGAGCAAGCATTTTCTGCTTGCGGTTCTGTGCATACTTGCTGCGATTGTACTTTACGAGGGGTTGGTTGCATACAGACGGCGTTCACCATTTGCTTTTAGTCATACTGGAGTTAGGATACCCGACCTACGGTTAGATGGGATGGTCATAACAAATGGGTACGTAGCGCCAATAGTCACAGTCATAAGAATAGATGAACAGTATCAATGCATTTGCGTCAGCCCGTGGATTGTCTCACCTGACCATATATCAAACGTGAGAGTGCCGGCCATGGAATTTATACTATAGAATAGCTCTATTATTCACATATAAGATACAACAAGGTGTGAATCAGCCAACCGTCAAGTCTATCGTCTTGGTCACGTCCGCGATCAAACGCGATCAACAAAGGCTGAGGGCTGTCAACAGTCGACATCAAAGATCGATCTAAGAGATCAACATCCCACATCCCTTCCTGCGGTCGATTCCCAACACTTAAGTATCTCCATATCCACCTTTTTATACCTAACTTCCCAATGCACAACAGTCTCGACATCCTGTACAGCGATGCCCAGAGTCGGCAGAGCCAGGATCCTCTCCCTGCCATCAGATTCCCGAACTGCGATAGCCGGCAATGTCCACCTCACATCTCCAGGGGCTAGGTTCCTTAACACAATGCGGAGCCGGTCCTGTTCTTTCTTTGTGAGCGACCGTTTGAAGGTGGCTAAATCATCTTTGAGAAAGGGACGGATGGACAGCGGTCTAGTGCCTCGGTTTTGCACCCGCAGCCAGAAGCGCCCGTCGTAGAGGGCCCAGGGAGACGTGGATGAGCTGGTAGAGGGAGGGATGGGGATCCTGGGTCGGTTCGAATGCGTTGATGATGTGTAAGGCTGTCGCGAGATCAGCCACGTGCAATTAGCTGCCGGGCATCGTCCTCCTTCCTCCTGTATAGCTGCTGATAATGGCCGGAACTGGACTCCGGATACAGTGAATGCGGTTGGTCGCGCTGGGGCTGCGTGCTGCTTCGAAAGCTCAGCGAAGAAGATCCGCTCGACGGCACCGTGTAGTGAATGAAGGTGTACGTGCTCCTCGGGCGTCACGAACGTGATCACCTGGCGTAAGAGCAGAGCTGCAATCAGTCCAGTATCGCTCCGTGACCGCGAGTTGCGCAAGGGGCTCAGGTCAGGGAAGCGGATGGTTAAGGTGCCGGTGCGAGTCTCGAAGCCCTTGATCATACTTTTACCAAGATATGACTTCGCTTCATTCAGGAGATCGTTGCTCTTCATCTCGAATTTCTCGGATAGGCTCAGAATAGCGGGAGTTGTCAAGGCAGGTGGCATGGCGTGAGAGCTGTACATCTTCCTAATAGCGTTCCTCGTAGTGACAGTTGGGTCTTGGTTTGTGTGGTCTTCGAACCATTCCATCTGCACAGCTTTGCAAGTAGCTATCAAGCGAGCCTTGCTGAATCCCAGCAAAGGCCTGTAGACTCTGATACCACCGGTTTCAATCGCCAGAGAGTTCGTGTATTGATGAGATTCCTGGGATTGCATGGGGTGACTTCCGGCCGTGTCCAGCCCACCGCTCTCATGGACACCATGAATACCTTGACATTCTGGAATCTCCGAGTCACGTTTCATGCCCACGAGACCAAACATTCGATGGCCATTGATCAACCTCATCAGTACAGTCTCTGCCTGGTCATCTTCGTGATGGGCAAGGAACAGCGAATCGATCCCACTGTCTCTGCAAGCCTTGCCCAGCGTTTGAAACCTGTACTTCCTGGCCAGTGATTCAAAATTAGGTAAATCTGCGGGGCGTTGATAGTCACCCCAGTCGATCTTCAAAACTTGTGTACGGATTCCTTTTGAAATTAGCTTTTTATTTCTTCTTATTACGGAGAAGGGCTCGAATACCGCGTCGTTCCAATACGTTCGACACTGCTCTTGCCTCAACATCACTACCCTCTCTTACCCCGTGATCTACAACAAAAGCTTTGAATTGGACGTGTGGTAGCACGGCGGCAGCTGTTTGAGCATAGTCATGGCGTATTCCAGAGCCTATGCTCTCGAAAGGGGTCTTCTGGATTCTAGAGCAGAGAGCTGCAAGAGCCATAGAATCAACCCCGCCACTTACAGCCAGGCCTAATTGATTGACCGTCAGCTCCCGTTTATTTTATAACGGATCATTCTCAACGATTTGAGGTTCTTGCATACCAAAGGTATTCGACCGCCGCGCCCCGTAGGAGCTGGGCCGCCTCCATGTCGAGAACAGCGCGTTGGCAAACTCTACCACCGAAATCGGGCGAGCGGGAGAAGGCAGCACCTTCAAGCTGGCACTGGCACCCATTCCATTGTTACTGCGGAAATACTTATGGTATATGGGTGAGGACCAAGAATTGGACCTAGGATGACTAAAGGTTTGGGTAGTGGTAGCTAGATAGGGGGAAGTGTGGCAGCATCAAATTCTAGATCTTCCAAGTAAAATATTTATAAATAGACGAGCTCTCCTACAACCTCGCCGAAACCGTCACGGCCATGGACCCTCACCTCCCATGCTGGCGCCGGACCATTCCATGCATGTGAAGGTACCCCTTACCTCTCTATAACGTTTGCCTCCCGGGGGGCTTCTTCTAACAATGGTTTCCCAAGCCCAGCCTACGTTCACTACAGCCCTCCTCTCGGGTGCTTTGGCTGGGACCACCGTCGACCTCTCTCTCTACCCTCTCGACACCCTTAAGACGCGACTCCAGTCCTCCGCCGGCTTTCTTGCCTCGGGAGGCTTCACCGGCATCTATCGTGGTGTCGGCAGCGCAATTGTCGGCTCTGCGCCGGGCGCGGCACTTTTCTTCTGCACCTACGAGTACTCAAAGAGCTTATTATTCGCGAGACGGAAAGCCAAGGAGGTCACGGATGGCCAGGTCGGTGATTGGACGGCGCCAATCGAACATATGATAGCTGCCAGTCTTGGGGAGGTCGCTGCGTGTGCTGTCAGAGTCCCAACAGAGGTCGTGAAGCAGCGGGCTCAGGCTGGCCAGCGTCCTTCGTCTCTGGCCTCGTTAGCAGCCATTCTCTCACAGCATCGCACCATTGGCATCCGGGGGGTTTGGATGGAGTTATATCGCGGATGGTCCGTTACCATCATGAGGGAGGTGCCGTTCACGGTTATACAGTTCCCGCTGTGGGAGTCGATGAAGGAGTACCGAAGGAGAAAGTCTGGGAAGGACGGGATCACGGCTTTTGAGAGCGCGTTATCGGGGAGTGCTGCTGGTGCTATTGCTGCGGGCATCACAACGCCTTTGGATGTTCTCAAGACGAGAATGATGCTGGCTAAGGAGAAGACGGCCATGGTACCTTTATTGAAACAAATTTTGAAGGATAGCGGCCCCAGGGCCTTTTTCGCAGGGATCGGGCCCCGAGTGCTTTGGATCAGTGCAGGTGGTGCTATATTCTTGGGCTCTTATCAATGGGCATATAATTCGCTCTCGAGGGAGGGGTAGATCACCCATAATGTTGGGCGCGATATTGAAGAAGAAATCATCACGTATAACGGCAGACAAATAGACGAGATGGCCGTGGGGGGCCTTATTCAGGGTTACAATTAGAGACCCTTTAGATAAAATACACTTCAATCCATGAAAGAACTCTCTGCATAGTTTCTCTAAGAGGATTTGTGAGAATACCTGCAGGATCCTCGATAATAAATACCATCCGAAGCTATTTCCCAGATGGTATATCTACCTACTGTCTACCAACCAGACCAGCTTAGCTCATCGTCCCGTCCATGGAGACCAAACTCATGGACTACACCATTTGCTATCGCGCTTGACTTATATGAATCTCGAACCAACTATGAACAAGGGTCAAGATAGATATGATGTAAAAGTACCACTCGATCAGACAAATTCTGACTGTCGAGATCTCACGCAGCAGAAGGTGTAGCAGCTTGAGCAGCTGAGGTAGAAGTGTCAGTCGCTGAGTTCAGCACCTTCTCAAAATTGATGAGTTTTCGACCATTGCTCTTGTAGTACAACAATACATCCGCACCCCCTTTCCAAACATGGGCACGGAGGGTAGCAAGACTCATAGTTATTGGTAATTTCTAGATCATATATCAGACGAAAGTCAAACCGATGTTAAGGAGGAAACATGCCTGGTCATAACAATACAATTCCAAATATTCCTCTGGTCGCAACGCATTGGGGTCCGGTTCTTCTGGGGGAGGTTCGATGCGCTCCGCTACATAGGCCAATATTTTCTTGACTCGTAGCATCCTATTGGCATTCAAGCGCGAGTTGCCATCGGGACCAGCGATGCTGGGGAGAAGGTCCTGCCAAGGTTGCAACACGAAGGAAACCTTCACCGGCTCCTTCAATGGGATCCTGTTCTGCTACAATGTTAGATGACAGCCCAGTAATGATGCGGATTGTAAATGTACCCTTAGAAGTAAATCTCCGAGCCACATCGGTGCTCGTTCCTCGATCAGACTTGCGTCTTCGCCGAGCGTCGCAACTGTTCCTCTGTAAAGATCTGCACTCCCACCAGAAGTCTCTTCTTGAATGATAACCGTAGTCATCGGTGGGGGTTTGAGGACCGGTGTCTCATTCGGCGGGCTTGGCGTGATACCAGTCTCAACTGGCTGATCTGGATTCTCTTGTAAAGCTTTCTCATACTCGATTCTGATCTTTTGGACAACACCGCGAAAGTTATCATCAACCTCTTTCTCCTTCTCTCCGCTTTCCGAGGTTTCAGAGCCGTCCTCAACTTTCTCATCAAGTACAACAGGCTTCTCGGTGTTGGTCGATGCAGACCGATTAAGCTTCTTGCTACCAAAGGACATCCCCATTCGAAACTTCTTTCCGAAGAGGTTACTACTGTCCTTGCCACTATTCTCCTTATCCGGGTCGGACGGTGATTTTGGAGGTTTATCATCGTAGCGCTCTCCTGGGGTTATAACGGATTTTCCACTGGCATCAGGAGAGAGGGGTGTGCTTGAGAAATAATCGACAGGCTTGTCGGCGGAGGTCCGGCTCGCCTGAGATCCTCGTGTATCGAGAGGAGCTCCACCTTCTGGAACACCAGGTAGATGATTGAGAGGCGCTGGTGTGGCAACACCAATACCCATGCCTGGGGTCATTGGAAAAGGAGTTCCATTCGCGCGAGGTGTGGCCAAGCCTACACTATCCTGCCCGGTAACTAATGGTGGCGTGGGTATCTGAATGGATAACGGCGGCGCATTGATGCGAAGCCCCTTATTTACACTCTCATTCAGTTCTTTCCGATAGATCTCGTCTCGTTTGATCATTTCGTCGACAAGATTTGAGAAAAGGTGGCGTAATATCCATTTCCCAAGATTTACTAGCAGTGCCACGTCAGAAATGCTGCAGGCTCAACTCGAGTCTTCAATTCTAGCACACTTACTTCTCTGGTCTTCTCGAAATTCAACAGCCTCTTCCAATTCAAGCTCATCAGCATACATCTCAGCATCAAAGCAATTATATTCCTCCAGCACTACAGCCAGTCGGCCAGTTCGAGTATCTATCGAGCACCATGGAGCAACGGCCTCCATAGTGTTGACTTCTGGTTCAACATCTTCAAGGTGTCTCTTGCCGAATGATTGGATGGGAATACACTTTTGCAAGGTCAGCGGAAACCCTAGAATCTCGCGACAGGAAACATACCAGCAGCAAATCCCAAAGTAGAACATCACCAGCAGTATCTAAGGTCAAGACTCTCCGTCTATCATTTAGCAGTTTATGCTTTACCAGGCCATGCTGTCCTTCGATCGTTTCTTCCGGTAAAGCGTGAATTGGCACAATCACCCCAATATCCGGGTCTACAATCATCTCGGGGCCTTTCCGAAAGCTCCAGCCCGAAAATGTATCGTCGGCATCTCTTGTTACCGGGGCAGGAAAGTTGGCAGTATTTGAGATCCTCAAGACTGACTGTGCAGAAATTTCCGTCTTGGAATGGCCATTTGCGATAGGGGGGCTAGGTTGCTTCGGCCGTGAGGCTGTACTAGTAGCGCTGTGGTGCCGATAGGCCTCTGGTAATTGGATATCGTCTCCAGTATCAACATTTGCCCAGCGATTGATAGAAGAGCTTGAAGTTGCAGTCCAGATATAATCCCCACAAGCAATAACTTTGTTCACGCCGTCATTTTCTTGGGCTACCGCGAGTGAAAGGCCATCGTCCATCTCGCCAAGGGTGCCTCTGACATCGGTCTTCACCACCAGACCGGATCGATCGCCGCTGTAGAAAATTCCGAGGTTCGGATCATCTGAATAGAGAGACCAGACACTGTCATTGTGCATTGTCAATGTGTGAATGCATCGTCCTGCCGTGACACTCCAAACTTTGACCGTCTGGTCGGAACTCGCGGTCATAATCGTGTCGCCCGTCTCGTTGATTAGGATATCTCGAATATTATCTGTATGGCCCACAAACTTCGTAATTCTCTTTCCAGATCTAGGATCCCAGAGCCGCACGATAGATTCCGGGCCTCCGCTTGCGAGTATGCTTCGACTCACACTCAAGGCATATACAGAACCTTTCTCGTTCTTCTCCTCGTCCCCGACCTCAATCTCGAGTTGGTTGCCTGCCCCATTGAGATCCCATAGACATATGCGTCGATCCAACCCTCCTGATGCAACCCAGTCCGCCTGAGGATGTGGTGTCGCAAGACATTTGACATAGTCGGCGTGTTGCCCAATTGTTTGAGGTGCTTCGATCCCGTCCGATAATGGTCGCCATACTTTGACCGTCAAATCGGACGATGCTGATACCAGAGCAGTGTTATTCTGTGCGAGGACAATATCGTTGACCCAGTGGGTATGCGCCTGGGTTTGCGCCCTGAAAGTCGTTGGTCGGTGTTGTTTTGAGCGCGAGATTGTAGGAGGGTCTAATGGAGAATCGAATGGATTTTTGGAAGGAGATGCGCTCTTTAAATCAAGATGTAAATCCCAGGCACAGATTGCGCCGTCTCTGCCCCCCGAATAACTGTCAACCTGTTAGCCAGCTCTTTAGGTCGCTATGCTTGGTGCGAAGCACAATGACGGTTCTGGCTTACAGGATCGATTGCTCACTGTCGACAGCGAGACCATTAACTCCTAATCGATGCCCGCCGGGGGAATTTGCGAGAGGAAGGACTGTGTTTGCAGAAGAATGATGAGCTCCCTCCCTCCGGAACCACGATGCGGGGAACAGAACTGACCATAGCTTATCCTTTGCCTAGCCTTTCTGGCCATCGCCACTTTTCACGACGGCAGTCACACGCATCAGGATTCTGCGAGCATAGAGTGATTGTCACACGATCCTATCGATGCATGTAAGCACAATAGCAATGCTGCGCTGAGGAGTGAAGTGCAAGTATGGATCCAACGGTGATGCCGGGCATCACTACTCCGTAGGCGGGTCTCGTTCGGCCTGCACTCCGTACGCTCCGTACGTAATACATACAGCCCGCCGTTGAATGCAGATCGCCTGAACGTGGGGTCGCGTCTATTTGACAGCTGCGGATTATGTTAATAGCCGCCCAGGCAAACGAATCTGTAGGTTTTGCAAAGATCGTTGTTGGGCAATTCTAACGTTTCTGGCTTGTATTTTTATGCCTAACGTAGGTACCGTACCCTAAATACTCGTTGCCGTTGTCTCCTCCTATCCAGTCCAGGCCACCGAATCCTTCATAACCAATAATCAAACAATAAGGGTATCTTTCGCATTCCTTCTCCCAAAACGCCAAGAATCATATCCCTTCAAATAAGACCTCCTTTCGCCCATTCGAAATCACCAGTGAACCCCCGATTAAGTAGCACAGCAGCAATATTCCTCCGCTGCTGTGTCATATCGCTTTCTCTGTAGCATGAGGTATCAAGCCCGAGAGCGACACAGAAAGCGTTTGTGCATACGAACACCCCACAGTCATATCCGTTGTTCTGACGAGCACACGCAGTCCGGGGGGTTTTCCATTCCTCTTCGATGTATGCATCTCCAAGCTGGAATTTGAGCCAACTTCGCATAAGGTTGACGAAATGTTGTGGACTGCCTCCCATACTATCAAAATACTCGATGGTCTTGGCTATTGGCCGCACTACACCAACGGTCCAATGACTCCCTTTACATATCGGGATAAATACGGAGTCTACCTCCATTAAAGATGTGCCAGGTGCCTTTTTCCTTCTCATCAGGCCTTGCGTACTGGCCGGCCCTTTCTTGATGAGGTTTTCGTAGAAGAAGCTGTTGTGGGCAATGAATTTCGGTACTTGTTTGGCCGATTCGCCAGAACCATACGGGTCAGCTGCTGCTGCACGGTTGGCAGCATCCACGATCCATTCAATATACGCGTTGATGATTTCGTCATTAAGCCAAGCGTGATGGCCCAGAAGGGTCTGGAAATCTTTCAGACGAAGTTCTGTTCCTCCAATTGTGGTGGTAATGACACGATGCGGGCTGTTCGTCCATTGCGCGTCGTTCACAGCACTTTCCCAGGCAGGGCTTAACGGTTGTACCAGGGCTTTCAGTGGGTGGCGTCTAGTAAGCCTGAGTTCTTTTGCTGCACGGATAGCAGCTTCCCTCTCCTTGACTTTCCGCTCTCTGGCCAGCCTTGAGCGTTTCTCAGCGATAAATTCCGAAGGGTTCAATAACGCGGGCTCCTTCTCATCCTCGGGAGTGAGGAGGAGGTTGTTCAGCCGTTCTTCCAAAGTAATCCCATTGTCTGGCGTTCTATATTTGCTCCGTGACGAGTATTGGGACCTTTGAACAGATTTTGGGGTGGTAGGATTGAGTGAGAAGCTGAGCCTAGGTCCAGGGGCGCGGACGGGAGGCAATATGAGCTCGCCAGTGCTTGGTGAATGGAAGGAATCGGAATATCTGCGATAGAGGAACCCTTGCGAATTTTTGCTCTCGTCTGAAACTGGTTCTTCTGCCTTTGGCTCTGGTTCTTCTACCCTTGGTTCGGGTTTCGAGCTCGCCTTGAGCAAGCCAAGCTCCGGGGGAGCCCAGTAGTCATTGATGCGCTGCTGGAAATCATCCTCGGTAACGCAGCCTGTATAATCCAGTTTCCCGCGACCCGCCTTTCGATGCTCATCGACAACCGACCTCGATCTGGATTGATTTGTGGGCCGCAGCTTCTGACGCTTGAGCGCAGTTGCACCATCATCCCTCTCTTGAGATGACTGTATATGGGAATCTGCGACGACTAAGGCTGTATTAGAATATAATTAAGCACCGCATGCTTCTGTACTCACTCTTGCTTGATGTATAGCTCATTGTGGTGTAAGTTGGAACCCCAAACCAGCCTGTGCACCAATCTCTACACCAAGACCAGGCTCGAGAGATCGCGTCGCTGATGGTGGTCATAGTAGTGGGGGCTTGAACAGGCTGAGCAATTTGTCAGTTTTAGTTGCAAAATGCTAGATCAGGACCCAAGAAAGTGACTTTACCTCCAGGACTTCGGTCGAGTTGCGGTTCAGCTCCTGGGATGCCCTTCTCTTTTGACTGGTCATTTCGAGGAAAAGACCGCGCGATCAGAAGGTCTTGGCAGGGTCAACATCGAGGAGTGAGCAGTTGTTGAGATAAGTTAGGTCATCCGCAGTTCATCATTTGGAGATCGGTGTGTTGTTGGGCTGTTGTATGTATCTGTTGTTGTAGCGTACGTATTGAGAGGGTTTGAAAGAAACGCGATTACGGTTGCGGCTCGTGAACAAGCGCCACTAGTCCACTAGCGCCGATCAAAAAAGGGCGCGCTTCGTCTCTTCTTTCGCGATAATGTGTTTGCTCCGAAAATGGTAGATTCAAGAATAAAGGGATCAATATCAGCCACTACGGGAGAATTACAAGTGGTGTAAGGATCATTAGTTCTTTGTGAATAGGCATTAAGCTACATCAAAATATTTACTCCGTACAGTATGCGTCTTCTAACTTCATATCTAACTTCATAGCTGAGCTCTAGGCTCCCCAAAGCTCTTAGAGGAAAAGGCCCCAAAATAACTGTTCAAAGCAGCAACAGTCGCACTGCCTTCAACCAGGCTAACGACAATACCTACATAGCCGTCTGGTCGAACAACAATGACACCGCCCCTCTCCTGATCCAGCCCCATCTTAGCATGCGATGCCGCAGTTGCATCCGGGACTCTGTGATCCCAGATATCATCGGCATAAATATGATCCCGATATCTGGCCAACACCTGTGGGACATCTCTCGAAATCTCAATATCGCTCCTCTTGCTCGCAAAAATTGTGCAAAATGTGAAGAAATAGCTGTGGGGATTGTGCTTCTCGTGATGCGAAACAGAATTGATATCCGGACGCAGGTAGGAAGTGAAGAAGGAGGATTCCTTGTTGAGGTTATGGGCGAAATCTTGAAGGGCTTGGCTCGTTACAGAAGGCTTGCCTGCATAAACGTAGATTCTGAAGGAGCCGTTGAGTGGAATTTCTTGTTCGAGATGTACCACATTAGCATCTACAACGCGGGTAACATTGGAATTGATGAGAATGCGCCCGGTGCGGTTCTTGTTGCCCTTGGGGTTGATTATGCTTGATTGCGCAGGGTGCGAAGGCGACCAGTTGAGCGAATTTGGGTTATAGGCTACTCCGTAACCGCTGGTAAATTCGCACGATTCTTTGAAGGTCTTGATGAATTGGTTTTCTTCCTCCCCGGCTGGTTTCTTCTCAGCTCCTCGTTCTGTTTCTGTTGCTGCTGCGATATCTTTCGCTGCTGGCGCCTTTTGAGAAAACAAAGCTGCATATTTGGCGTCGAAGTTCAGGAGGTTTTCAGCAATAAGCTTCCGTTCGGTTTCATATGAGTGGAGGAGAGACCTGTCAGCAAATCCAGCCTCAACATGGTGAATTTTCCAAGCCAAATTGAGCGCGTCGAGGAAGGCTGTGTTCATGCCCTGGCCGGCCTTGGGCTATAATATCGGTTAGCATATGGCCATCTATCTCAATGCGAGGTTTTCCTACACTATGTGTGTGGCAGGCATCGCCACCCATGAACACACGATGGTCAAGGGTATATTTGTCCGCGATACCTTGTCCAATTGGGTACACGGAGTACCATTCAACTCGCTCCCATTCGATGCTGTAAGGCTGCAAGATTCGCTTCGCTGAGTTTTGCACCTCTTCTTCTGTTGCGGTTTTCCGGGGGTTCCAATCAGGGTCTGTTGAGGACGCAATCTGGATATATAAACGGACGAGGTTGTTCTCTCGGGGAATAACCATAATCGAACCGTACTCTGAATGAATTGTGCATTTCATCTATGAAGAAAGGGTTAAGGCTGTTGAAACTCTCTGCATTCTTTATGGAGCTTACCTTGATATCCGGAAAGTCTGTCTTAACAACACCGTCCATGACTCCCCAGACATGCGCAATTGGATCCTTGTGTTTGATGCCAATCTTCAGCTGTTCTCTTACGAAAGACCGTGATCCCTCCCCGCTGAACAAGTATTTCGCTCGCACAGTTTCCTTTGCACCGCCATCAACATGCTCTAAATCCACCTCCACGGGGTATTCGGGGTCTTTCTTCTCGTCTGACCTGAAGCCTTTAATGGTCCAGGGTCTCTGAATGTTCACTCCATTCTTCTCCAGATCCGAGATAAAAACGCGCTCAATGAGTCCTTGATGCAAAAGGGTCGTGAATGGGTATCTAGCATCAATGAAACTCGGGCAACTTGCCCATGTTCCGGTTCTGGTTATACCCTTTGCCTTCGCACTAGGATCCCAGAATGCCACCTCATAGACTTTAGCAGGTTCATGGGCCATGATGGCTGGCTTCAGTCCCATGTTCCGCAGGAGGTCAAGCGATCGAGGTTGGATGCCATCCGCTCGCCCGGTCTTCGTTGGTTCGGGTCTGTTGTCGATGTGCTTGATTTTGTATCCCCATCTTGCGAGGCAGGTCGAGAGCAAAAGTCCCACTGGCCCAGCACCAATAATGACAATATCATAAGTGTCTAGAACCGGTTGTTCAGCCATGTTGTCGATAGGGGGTATACGAAGTCAGAAAAAAGGGATGGACGTGTGTAATACAGAGAAACTGGAGGAACAATCACACGATCTGACCCATGGGGACGTGGAGATGGGTTATTTTATATTCAGGACACTTCCAAGAGAAGAACATACCGTGGAGAAAGTTCGGAATTCTCTCCGGCACTTTCAAGTGCCAATGATAATGGGTCGCGCGCCATATCGCCGTTCAGCATGGATTTTCAGACGTTGCTAGGAGCGGCTGAGGGGCTACATAGGGCCGGACGTTGGATGCGGCAATGTTCGATTGCTGCAACAACAGGCCGAGATAGTCCCCCGCATTCAGTCCCAGCTACTCGGCTAGTACTTCGGTAGCCAGTGGCCATCGGCGTCTGATGACGGGAATAAATAAGCGCAGGGGCTCACGTAATCAGGTTCACGTGGTCATGGAGGCCACCGTATCCCTTCGACAACATCATCATCCAAAACCCTTCTGCAAGCGCCGGTGACAGAGTTCAGAATCATGTAATGGGCGCCCAGGGGCTGTAGATCAGGGACCCCAACTTTGAGATGTGGCAAAGCCGGGAATTGATCATGGCGGAGATTGATATGTCGAAGAAGTACGACGGGGCTTTCTTGTTGCCCGTCAGCTAAGCTCTGGCGGCCCTTCATTGATATCGACTCGCATCTCTCACAGAAGATATCTTGTCATCATGTGTGATCTTTCCTCGAAAACGCGAACCGCCTTTCTATACATGACTTCTTCGATCCCGCTGTCTTCTCTGAGGGTTTTAAACGGACGCTTCAGATCCCTTGACAGATCAAACGTATTTTGGGAGGGCAGTATTGCGACTTATGCTGAATATGACGGGTGTTTTGCCTGAGAGTTCTTGGCTTGGGAAGCTTGGAATCGGGTTGGAGAAATGCCGTCAGCTCGCTCTCGGAGTCGAGGCAGCGTTTATTGCGTCTCTGAATATAACTTTCCGCACTTTGAACAGGCTTTCATCTCCTTGTGTTCTCGATGCCGTTCAGAAGGATATGCCGCCTGGAAGTATGGGTCAGCGTAGAAAGGGCTCAGTAATCCTGTGAAGCCAGGAAGTCGGTATGGCCCAAGATCAAGCGATTCTCCTTGGGCTGCCACATCAAACAGGATGAACAGGATAGACCTCTCCACTGAAGTGGTCCTTCTTAGAAACACACATCTGCTCGAGATGAGCCAGTACTTGGGCCGGCGAAGGGCCCGACACAGTTCAAGACCACGCGATAGGGCAAACCGGATCTTTAGAAGAGGGACGAGAAGAAGGCAGGGGAGGATACGAATGATGCAGATTGGTCTACTCATTAGGATTTTAATCTTCAAAGCATATGTATTCAGGCGCTTGTATCTTCCTTGCCCTTGAAATTGGTAAGGAGGGAGGGGTAAATAAGTAGGGCCCAAGAGAAGAATCTGAATGTACCCGAGAGATTTGGTTGGTCCTCTTCTTTGGATTCTAATTTCCGAAATTCGTGCGCGGATTTTGTAGCTGGCCTTGCTCAGGAATGGTCATGTATTGGGGGCTTTGGCTTTGGTTTAGAGCGAGGCACAAAAACTACAACTCTCAGTTTTGACTGTCCTCTGACTGTCAACTTACCCCGCGTAAACTTGTTCCCCCACACTCCACCCACACAGCACTGGATCATACACTCTCACAGGTGCCGACCAATCCATTATTGTTCATTACCTGCATGTTTCCTTGTGCATTCGCATCTGCTCGTTATATTCTTGTACAGTCCTTTCTTTGACCTTTTCCCTTCTCATCTCTCGTGCGCCGCGCACTGCATACTTCTGAATCTGCGTCAGCATCCATCCGCACCACATCGCGGGCGCAGTATGCCGACGCCATCACTACCCCGTCATCGCGCCAGCTCTGCTGCTGATTCTAATCTCGACGCCCTTCATCCGATCCTAGAGAACTTTCATTTGCCAGTTGAGCTCGAGGGAGCCCCAAAACGTTCGGGTGTCCACAATCTACTCAGAGAAGGCTGGGATGAAGACCGTATGTGCCTTCGCCCTCTCCCTACAAAGCCAGTGCTAATAACATGAAGAATGCCGCAGATTTCCCCTTAAGCATGCCTCGGTCCCTCGAGACCTCAATTATAAGGATGGATTAATGGTAATTCACCCTCTACTTCAGGAGCGTTTTGGGGATGAAAACATGGACTTGGCCATTGGAGTCCTTGAAGAGTGAGTCTACCCGGAGAGAGAGAGAGAGTACTTCCTTTCCTGGGCTGTTTTATATACAATATATAATGCCTTCGTCTCATAGGGCTGTCTTAAGACACATAGGCCACAATACATTCCTGCCCTGTTTCGTCCCAATCCTGCAGCTGCTGACACTCCGGTCATCCAGATTAATTGAAGTTGACCCTGCTTTCCCCGTTCCATGTGAATATCAGCGCTGGAAACACCAACATGCAAAGAGATACGTAGGCTTCGAAAACTCCTCTATAAGATTCAACTTATTTATCCAATGTAGGACGACTTTCAACTTCCTCACGCCCCCCATACATCCACGATCATTCAGAATATCAAGCCCACAGAGGCCCTTGCTGAGTTCCGGGCTAGAAAAAGAAGGGGCCAGGCGCCTTTCTGGTCCCATTATATTCTTTGACAGGGGTCTTGACGAGGGCCTCGATGACTAGTGGAGTTCCAAGTCCTCAAACTACGAACCACAAGAACCTCTCACTGACTTGGAGTATCTGGGGAGTGTTATCCCTGTCGGAAATGGAAGGGCTCCATTACGCTTATCGACAGCGTTTCTTCCCGAATCAGACATTTTTCCTGAGTACGGTTTGCAACCAATGATAGATAGCAGCATGGAAGCAGCATTTTTCACGTCCTACTCACTGGCTTGTGAGCAAGGCAGACGCTATTGCGTGAAAACTAGTTCTCCCTCACAGAAACAGCACCGGGTATCAGGGAAGAACTATGACCGACCTAGAAATTACGACACTGGGTTTGTGGATTCCGTTGGAATGGATTTCTTTCCTGTCAGAGGGGAAGATTTGTCACAAGACGAGCAAGTCAAAGACGTGACACAAGAAGGGACTGGATCTGAGAGCGGTCAGATAGACAGTAGGGCTGTCTCGAAGTGGGACATGGTTCGAAAGTTGGTTTCTGTCCAGGAGTGGGAGTCACAGAAGCAGATATCCTTGAATTTCGATGGGGCCTCGGATCGATTCTCCTCCTCTGCTCCCAAATTCGACAACAAACAATCAAGATACCACAACACTATCAGACACAGTATTTCCCACAGCGAGAGATGGTCCACACCTTCAATCAGCAATAGTTCAATGGACCTAGATCGAGGACACGCTAGGCTTCCAGCCCTCTCTCCAACAAATCCAAAACCCTTGAATGTCCGCAAGCAATCAAGCCAAGTTTATCCCACCCCGAGTCAACAGCAATCGAATCCATACAATCCCTCCCAAGGACATTTCGAAACCCCAGTCTATCCACCTCGAATTTCTTCTATTCGCGAACGTTGGCAACCAAACGAAAGCGCCCAAGCTCGCGCGACGCGTATCAAGACCGCTTCTGCAGTTGACAACAGTGCACAATCAACACTGTCAAACTACAGAGTACATTATCTCTCCGATACTTCCATTGACGTGCCTTCTACACCCAACACCACGGCTCGGTCGATACTCTCCAGCTACAAAGAAAGCTATCTCTCCGACCTCCCCGACACGTCACCTGGAATCATGGGCGATTTTGTACCGATCGACTCATCGGATATGGCGTATAGGCCAGCAAAAGGGGAGGACAGTAAAGTTTTGTTTCACCCGTATACTTCCCTTTCATCACTCACAATGACGATTACTGATTTTTACCAGCACCTGCAAGGCCCGAAAAGTCACGAATGTTGTAAACCCTTATGAGTTCGAGCCATCCTCCCCGTATAGTAATGAGGCGCGTCAGACCAGGATCACCGACTTCATAGATAGCCATGAAGGCACTCTTGTTTATAGCCCACGGCTTTCACACATGAAGAATTCCCGTTCTGAGGGAAATGCGACTTACATGACGCGTCGATCTGATCCTACGGCTCACGAATCGAAGCCAACTGGCTATGCGATGCATAGGAGCGAGTCTTCTCCAAGTCATGAGTCTAAGCCAACTGGCTATGCGATGCATAGGAGCGAGTCCTCTCCAAGTGTTGCGCCACTCCGATTCCCTACATTTCGAGGCGGATCACTAAGCTCCGAACTTAGTTCATATTCCCTGGAAGATGATGGATCTGCCTCCCACGCTCGCCGTGGCCGTCAACAGAATGAACATGAAGGCCGCCATGACCGCCAAGATGTGGACACAGGGATGTTTGCTCCATCTTCTTCTCGTCAGTCGACTAAGGATTATGCTCGAAAGTCACGGTCCCGCTCTCCTTCTCGACTGCCACACCAGGAGTCAATGCATTCTTATGCGTACTCTCGTAACCTTCCTAGCTCGCCCACCAAGATCCTTGGCAATGTTTCCGAGCGCGATGAGCAGTCCCAAAGCCCGCCGTGTACTCCGCCCAAGAAGAGATCTCGCTCGCCAATGAAGAGGATGTTTGGAGAACACGGCTGGCTTGGGCCATCGCCTGATGAGAAGCCAGAGCATAATTTACGCTCCAAGAAATCATTTCTTCCTCGTAACGAAGATTCGCCCAATCGGAAGAAGACTACGATGATGGGAAAGCTTAAGACTAAACTTGAGGAAATTGTAAGTAGACTTTTCGTGTGAATGTGTCGCCATGGTTAACGGAGATCAGGCTGAAAAGGCAGATCTGAGTCCAATGTTCAAGTCCGACCACGAAAAGCCCGCCAAATCGATCCTGCTCTCAATATCCCTTGGACCGGCTGAGCAGGCCAGAATCTACATGGAAGTAGAACTCATGTTAGTTCACACAGCCAACAACTTTCTCATGAACCAATTCAGCCAAGGTCGAATTGCTGTGGACTCAATCAAGAAAACCGTCGACACGTGGAAAAGCAAGGGCAGACCAGTAGTGATCGAGTTCATGTATGACCAAACAACCCAGCGCGATCTTGTTGCAGCTAATCAGCACAACTTTCGATTCCACGGTGATGGGGCGGGTAGTGAACATCGAGTCAATTCAATGTTATACAATTGGAAGCAGGTCGCAAGCCAAATGTCGATTCGCACCTTCTGCAATGCAGATACAGTCGTTTTGAAGCTTCTTTTCGATATTGGCCAGGTCCTTGAACTCCTGGGTGCTGGAGAGCCAATGATGCTCAGACTTCAGAACATCCGAGCCATTGCTAGTGAACATATGCGGATTGCTCACAAGAAGGACATCAAATCTGGAACCCAGGCCCCTGCCCAAGGTCGAATGATGGCTTGGAACGTACAATCTTCAGTCGGCAACATCCCTAATGGCCAACCGCCCATGGAGGATGCTTACGGTGGCCTAAAGCTTGTACCAGACTCCTACACCAACTAATCTTGAAATACACCACTTCTGAGCCCTCCACCACGCTGAGGCGGGGATATGTACAGCATGATTTTATGTATGAGTCCCATCCATTGCACGACTACAATTTTTCTGTTCTTTTCTTTTCTTTTCGTTCCCCTCGTCAGCGCTCGTCAGCGTCTCGGACACGCGCCATCTTCCTATTCCGTGGGCACATTGGGTCCGTTCCTGAGATTCAACCTTTTCCAAATCGGCGCATTCGGTGGCAGCTTCCTCAATCTTGGGTCATCACCTCGATGTGCCTCTCGTCTAATAATGTTCATAAAAGGGTTGGCTCTTATCTTGACCTTTGCCCATTTCGTCTCGCGTCAAGCAAATCAGTTTTCTTTTGTCCTGTGGGAGGAGTGGAAGGAGTGGGAGAAGTGGAGGAAAGCTGCAGGCTCTTTCTGCCCAGCCCGGCTTGTCCTGTACGAGTAGGCGCTTAGCTAGATAATTCATCAATTCATCCTGTACAAGGTGTCCCAAGCTCGTGATTACTGTGGGGTTCTCTTTAAGGTTGATTTAGTTCAGACCTTTTCTAGCATCTGGGCTATTATTACTAAGTATTTAGTCATTCGAGGTTGCCAGGTACCTCGGAACCATTCTCGAGGTTGTGAGATACGTCATCGCGCCCTGAGGGCGAAGGTGACAGCACGCGCGAACCTTACTTCTTACGCCTCATGGGGGTAAGGCATCACGATGCTACCAGCAAAACAAACCTCATTCGCGTCGTGGCTACCTCGCTTCTTCTGGCGGTCAGGATACTCATCAAGTACTTCCCTGCCTGCTCTACTTTGTCTATCTTACCTCCTCTATACCGACTGTACCTCATGATACATAGATATCGCTCGACAGCTCTTTGTCCCTTGATATAATTCCCATCACCAGCTTCGTTACGCAGACCCCGCCGATTAGAGGTCAAAGTTATATTCCCTCGTCGCTGCTCAAGAGCAGCAAGCTCTGCAGGCCAGAGCCGTGCTGTGTTAACTATTTAGACCCTTCCCAGCTCCGGTGAGTATGCTACGTCTTCTATGAGGCCATGCGGTTGACTCCAAACAGTGACCTCTGCAGGAATGTCTGAAACTCCTCATACCTACGGGCCCACGTGTCGTCTCGCCAAAACGGTCAGCTTTTCGGGCTCCAAGGGCGACGATGATATGCCAGAACTGAGGGCTCAATACTTCTACTCCTCCGCGCTTTCAATAGACGACCCTCTCTCAGTAGTCCCGACTGGCAACTCTGAGGCTACGAAGTATCCTCCTCGACCGTTCTCGGCTTACGACAATGACGCTCTCGAAGAAGCGTGGGTGGGTCTTGCCTCTGAGAAGGATCGCAAGAATCATAACAGGAGCAAATCACCAAAATCGGGCTGGAAGCGGTTCACAGAGAGACACAATTCAACGGCTGGCATATCCATCCAAAAAAACAACAAGAGGAATAGTCCCAAGGCTTCTCCTACAGCCGCTGCACTCGTTATTCCCTCGAGGGCTAAGGATGGGGAAATAGATTCCCAGCGAGAAGACTCAGATAGATTCAGGAACATGTCTGGAGCCTCCTTGTGTCCAATTGATCCCAGACCTGAGGACGAGCAGCCCGATTCCATAGATCCTACGCCGGATACATTCCTCGGCACCAGCAATGGAAACGACGAAACGGATTATCAAACTGGTCGTAAGATTCCAGGAAATCAGGTTATTCAACGGAAACCTGAGTATGAAGGCAGCTCACCCAGTCCTCACTCTGCTCATAGGCATCATGTAACTTTTAACACGCAAATTCCGACCCGCTGCTCAGAGGGAGTAAATAGCCCTCGGATAGAGAACAGAGATTACTCTGAAGGGGGGCCAACTCTTCATGACAAGTCAGAGAATAGTGCATACCAAAATCAAGCCTACCCAGATGAAGGTGAAGGTGAAGCTAAGAAGCAAATAGCTCGGAAGCCGCTGGCGGGGCATACTTCATTAGATCTTGATACTGAAGGAGTTCAGGGAGATGCTGCCAGTGGAGGCTATTCCGGGAAGCTTTTTCACCAGTCCTCAGAACGAGACACTGGTCAGAGTCCCAGCACAGAGCCAAGCCTATCTGAGCTGAACCGCAGAGTGGGCAACAAATCTGAGAACCAGCAATTAAAGAACCGCCATGGCTTTGAGAGCCATTCTTCACATGCGTCCGTGCCAGAAGGAAAGTCCAGATTGCTGAAGGGAAATGAACCTGGCGCTACGTCACTGCTCTCTGATCTTACCAATCTTCCTGCACAAGGCGGAGAGGCAGGGCTCGCCGGCTCTCCATTCGCCAAGTTACCATCTCACGAGGAGAGCTCCCAACGGACTTCTTCTACCCGTGATGGTGGGGACCAACGGCCCTTAAATGATGGTCCCAGTAACCTTCCTGAAAGCTCACGCGGAGTCCATGAACGAGATTCTACAGAGACAGAGACGGTACAAGATCTCGGCTGTAAGGCGCACAAGAAGACCAATAAGCAGGCAGAAGTCCCAGTTGGTATTTCCAGACTCCATCTTGTCAAATTGCCAGCTTTGCAGATGGTGCCTATCTACTGGTCGCCGATTCACGAGTTAGGGTTGGTGGTTCGTGGTACCTGGTTCTATAAGGATACCATGTATCCCGTCGAGCCAGCAGTTGCTAATCAACTTGAGATGGGATACAGAGAACTTCGCCCTTGGTCTAGGACGTGGAATGACGAGCTTAATAGTGCGATAGAAGTTGGCGCGCTTGGCGAAGAGAAAATCTCGTACCGTCTTTGGCCAAAGGAGGAAGATCAAAAGGCTCCCCCATATAATATGTCCGAGCATATTATTTCGGCTGATCCCTATTGTGCTGCACGATGCTTCCATGGGGATGCTGCTGCTGAGGGAAAGATTGATTCTGACGAATCAGACAAGTCTACCAGTACGAAAACAATCACTAAAAAGTATCCTAATTCTCATGTCATATATAAGGATGCTGAGAATGCCTTCATTCTTAAGCCAAACCTCCAGCCTTCTGCATATTATGGGCGGAGGCCACTGCAGAAGATCAGAAAAGGTACAACTGTGGGCATCCATGTCGTTCGGGGTTTTAACTGGAAGGCCTGGGAGAAGGCTCATCCGCCAAAGAAGTCGAACAATGCAGCCAAGGCGCAAGAGAAAATTCCCGTCTCCGGTGACGCAGATGCTGGCAAGAGAAGTGTATGCGCCGCCTGCCGATCACAGGAAGAGCGACCACAGGTACGCAATCTGGTTCTCGTGATTCACGGAATAGGACAGAAGCTTTCGGAGCGCATCGAGAGCTTCCATTTCACGCATGCTATCAACTCCTTTCGCAGATCAGTCAACGTTGAGCTTGGCCATGAATCTGTGCAGAGCGTGCTCCGAGATGACTTTGGCGGAATCATGATCTTGCCAGTTAATTGGCGATCGAGTCTCTCTTTCGAAGATGGAGGGCCCATGAGGGAGGGTGATGAAGGTCATGCCGAGGCTCATTTCTCCCTCAAGGATATCACGCCAGATACAATTCCAGCAGTGCGCAATCTCATCTCAGACGTGATGCTTGACATCCCCTTTTACATGTCACATCACAAGCCCAAAATGATACAGGCTGTCATCAGAGAGGCGAACCGTGTCTACCGACTCTGGTGCAAAAACAATCCCGGATTCCACAATGAAGGGCATGTACATATCCTTGCGCACTCCTTAGGAAGTGCCATGGCCGTCGAGATACTGAGCAAGCAACCGACATTTGTCCCAAGGGCCGATCTCGACGAGCGGAAGATAAACCCAAAGCACTTTGACTTCGACACTAAAAACCTCTTCTTGGTTGGGAGTCCGGCTGGTTTCTTCTTGCTGCTCGAGAAGGGGAACCTGACCCCGAGGCTTGGCCGGAACAAGCCGGGTGCTGACTATGTTGATAGTAACGACAAAACACTTACTGGCAGTGCAGGAACCTTTGGCTGTCTTGCAGTGGACAACATATACAACGTGATGGATTACAACGACCCTATCGCATATCGTCTCAACGCCACCGTTGACCCGCAATTTGCAGCGGGCTTGAAGAATGCCCAGGTACCGAGTGCCACGACGGGTTTCTTTGGAAGCATTGGCAACGCTGTGAAATCTTTGACTCCTGGCCTCTCATCACCGGCTGATCTCGTGGTGGGCCAGGTAGCGAAGCCGCCAGCTATGGCACGTCTCCCATCACAGCTGGAATTGGAAGTTCATGATTTTACCCGCGAGGAGATAGCAGAGAAGAAGTTCTATCTGCTGAATGACAATGGACAAGTGGACTGGTTTCTGAGCTCTGGCGGTGGGCCGCTTGATATCCAGTATCTCAATATGCTGGGAGCGCATAGCAGCTATTGGACGAGTCAGGATTTTATCCGAATGCTGGTCATAGAGCTGGGTCGGAAGCAAGGGAAGCACCATACGCTTCCGAACATGAGGGCTGTCAAGGCTGGGCATAGATCATAGATCGAGGTAAGCCTTGAGAGGATGAAGCCGATGAAGCCTCTGGGAAGAGAAGGTTGGCGGTGATAAGGGACGAAGTTTTTGAATTGTCAGGGGAAGAGCGGTGGTTTGGAGGAAAGCAAGTAGCTTTACATTTTTGAGAGCCGGCGCAGGAACTGTTAGACAGACGACGTATGATACCCCCGTACCTAGAAACGTAGAACAGGATGAACGAAGAAGCATGATTAGACAGTCTTCTTGGGACTGCTGGACGTTCTTATATATCCAAACTGCCTACCTAGGTAAGAAATATATTATTGTGAATTGTTGCATGAACAAACAAGCCGCTGTACCGAGGCAAGATAAAGACCCCCAATACCGATATATCTGACCTCGGCCCCGGATCTGAGCTACCTACGTTACGTCAGCGTACCCCGCATTTTCACAACATAGGTACACAGACAGTTCTTTTCAACATCACAATTCAATTCAGTTCATATCTAGTGTTGTTTATTTTATTTTATTATATTGTTTTATATTTCCATTCCTACCTAGATAAGACAATACAACACAATCCAGACGGACAGACGGACAGACAAGTTGACTCAAACGATGGCGCCCCCGCAATTAAAGCTGTACGTCGATACCGTGAGCCCGTTCGCGTACGAGGCGTATTATATCCTGCGGGTAAATCCAATCCCCCTCGATTGCGTGCTTTTGGCTTTTTCTCCCTAGTACAAGGGAATTGGGAGGAAGGGAGGGAAGGGGAAGGGAGGCTAATGAACTGAGAGTGATAGAACGATCCGGTGTTTGCGCGCTGCGAGATTACATATGTGCCTATATTTCTGGGGGGCGTGATGAAGGCTTGTGGGAATACGCCGCCTATTAGGATTAAGAGTATGTTATTAATTCAACCTTTCTTTTTTCTTTTTTTTGTTTTTCTTTTTCTACATTCTTGGCAGCAGAGCTGACGGAGGCTCGGACAAATAAATAGATAAAGATAAATGGATTGACATCGAGCGGCTTCGCTGGGCGCGGCTCTTCAATATCCCGATGGCGACCAAGACGCCCGATGGGTTTCCGCCGTTGACGTTGTCGGTGATGCGGGCGCTGTGCGCGCTGACGGCGTTGCGGCCCGAGGAGGAGGAGCAGGGTCAGAAGAGCTTGGTTGCGTGTCTGGATGCGCTGTATCGCGCGTACTGGGTGGAGGGCAGGCAGACGCATGAGCGGGAGGTGCTGGGTGCGGTGCTGACGGAGGTGTTGGGGGCTGCGGAGGCGGAGAAGGGTGAGTGATCATTTGTTCCTCTTTGGATAATGATATTCCTGGTGGTGAAAGGAAGCAAGAGGGGATAGATAGGGAGGTGCTGTGCTGATAGCGAGATTGCATAGTTCTCGAAGCGGCAGGCCGCGAGGGCAAAGAGGTGTTGGCACGGAACACGGACCAGGCATTGGCGGATGGAGCGTTCGGCTTGCCGTGGTTCGTGGCGACGAATGCGAAGGGTGAGAAGGAGACGTTCTGGGGCGTGGATCACCTCGCGCAGGTCACGGAGCATCTGGGGCTGGGGAAGCCGGGGACGGGCGGGTGGAAGGCCGTGTTGTAGGGGGTTGCCTGATGTGATGAGGAGGGTGGGAAAGCGGTGGATTTGGGATGGGGATGCATATGCATGAATCGAGTATGGCATTTGGGCGTTCAGAAGCCGTTCCCCTCACAGTTTGTCAAATATCGAACTAGATTCGATTGTTGGTATGCTACATCCGAATTTTGACGGTTCCGCCTGCGAAATAACAGATGAGCTAGATGGTAGTTGTATCAGTTGCTGGTCCAGCTGGCTTAAAACGCAGACCTCTCGTACAGGGTGAGAAGTAAGCCAGCTCTGTTCTATATTTGTATATCAAAGAGACGATAGTTTCAGCTTGTTTTCTTGGCCCGATGTGAGTGAGAGCAATACAAGAGAGTCAGTATTCGAGCAGGTGCCTCTATAATCTCACATGCAGCGAGCCCCCACCATGCGGGAATCTTCAATTCTCCCTCCGAGAATTATAGCATGTTTCATTGAACTGGATATAGCAACTGGGCAACCAAGAGCGACAAGAGATAGGCCATGCGCTTACAAGTGCTCTATACAACGCCCCTTTCCGTGACGGAGAATCGCGAGAAGAAGGGCCCTCCCAAACCTGACTTCAGGTAGGGGGAAAGGGAAGGGAAACTGCGCGTAGGCATGAATCGAGGACTTCCCCACACAGTGCCTCGATGACCATTGACGACATTGAAGATGCCTTGGGAGACGAAGATAAGACAAGACTCGGTGCCTTGCACAGCAGATACGACGTAACACAGGATACAAGACATCGGTCTCGCGCAGGCCGGATTCAGATTTGCGACTGGAAGTGGAGAAAGGGGAATGGTCTCAGTGAAGGAATTTGGAAAAATCATCTGGATTACTCGCAGCACGGACTAGGAGGAAAGGAAAATGGTTCCAGACAGGACCCCCCATCTGAATCACTTTCTGGCACACTAGAAGCCATAGAAGGAGACGAGACGGTTCTAGACAAAACATATCTGGATCATGCCAAGCACTAGAAGCAACCAAAAGGCACTCGAAGCCCCCAAGCCACCTCTAATCTGAGACAAGCGCCTCAGGAGTCGCCAGTGCGCGAGTCAATTCTCCCTCGACGGTTCCAGATTCAGATTCAGATTTCAGATTCCGGGTGTCTGTTTCCTTGTCTTGTACGTACGTACCTATGTACGTAAAAGCTCAGTGGCAAGGAAATCCCAGATGCGGATATGACATCAAAATAAAGTTGTACTTAATCCTTAGTACGCTGTTGCGCAGTGCGGTTCGGTACTTGTGATTGTACCCTACCTAAGGTATGTCCAGAGCGACCTGGAAGGGTAGTTCGTAGTGTTCTCCATACCTAAGCAGCCTGCGCTCGGTGCCTAATGCATAGCTATAGAGCAGGAGACGAGGCTATATCAGAGGCAAGATCAGGCCATATGTACGTACTGTAGAGGAGGGTAGGATATCGTGGGGGGTGAAGATGACGAGAGAATGCTATGATTGCGATGCGATACGGAGCGGAGCGGAGCGGAGCGGGCGTAGTAAAGATACACACAGACGCACATCTCCCGCCGTGGCTTGAAGAGTTCTCGCTCACCTTCTGCAAAAGGCATCGCGATGGATCGATCTCAGTAGCCCGGGACAGGCTCTCGAAAGGCGGCGGGAAGCGGGAAGCGGGCGGCTTGGCTCTTGGCTCTTGGCTCTCTTTCACACACGTCGTGCGCAATTGATTGGATTGTTGTACTCCGTCCGTATGGTAGGGTTCCCTAGGTAAGGTAAGGCATGTAGTGTCAGTGCTCCCTCCCATGCTCCGCAGGTAAGGTTCGTGATTGCGTTGTATGTCAATCCTAAGACATCCCATCCTCTATCCATCAGCCTCGCGTCGATCCCCAGGTCCAGAACCCAGGGTCGAGAGGGGGCGATGGGAAAAACCAGCACTCGCACGCGCCTCGGATTGTGCCCTCGAAGACTCGAGTTCCCAGCCATGCGCCATTGTCCCGGGATTTGATCTTGCGAGCCTGGGTACCGATGATGGGGGATGGGGATGGGAATGGGATGGTGGTGATGATGACAAAAATGCTGTTACCTTGTCAGTGTTGATGATACCGAGTACGAGTAAGAAAACCACGCATCGCGATCGCACACCCCACCCTCCGCCCTGCTGGCCCTCGGCTATGCCCGCCCGACTCCCGACTCCCGGCGCCCGACCCGCTCGCTCCTGCTCATATTACCTCAGCACGCTGTACCTACCTAGTAGTCCGTAAGCCTCTGCAATCCGGAGATACATGTAATAAAATAATAAAATACTCGTGGCGTTAGATGACCCGGATAATCAATCACGATCATCGCCATACATTGTAGATTAGAACCCCCCGCCCGCCCCGCTATCTACCTATCTAGCCCCCGTCTACCTTAGCAGGGGTTTCCCGCGCCAGTCCCGTTTAAGGAGCTGGGAATCCGGGATGGCTTAGAGTCACGGGTGCCTTAAGGTAGGGCTTACGTGCGTACGGGGAAATAAGAAAGTCCACGCCTAATTTCTAAGTGACATTCATTCATTCCCCCCATGCTGTAGTAGAATCTACTCAGGCCTACTACTACTACTGTACTGACTCCTGATGTTGAATAATAATATGAAATAATACATGGGTAGTAGGTACATACATAAACAGTAAGACATCAAGTAACCACCAGCCATCGCCCAGGTACGGAGCAGGGATCCCCATCCTTCAGCGCGGGTGTGAATTCTCGCGATCTTTCATCCGCGCGGAATTACAATATCTTCAGATTTCAGCAGTCCATTATCGTCGCCCTTAGGTAGTGGCGCTGGTGGAGAGGGAGACATGAAGCTTTCTCCTTGGCACGTGGTCCGCCAATAACCAGGGAGCAGTGAGCCTCCTCGGCTGGCGGCGGTTGACGGCGGCGAAGGCGACCTACAGCGCAGTGCAGTACACAGCACAGTGTAGTACAGTACTAGGCGGCCCTACTAGGTTGTAGATGGTCGTAGAGTCGGCTATTCCATCTTTTCATCCCATCTTGGGCCCGTGGGGAATGCAGGTGCCCTCGCTCCAGAGGATGGCTATCGTATTAGCCTCCCCTCCATTGTACGTACAATGATTGACATTGATCTTTATTTCATATTATTTTATATTATTTTGCCGAGTATCGACTGCTGCGCGGATTTCGCCGGCCCTGCGAATGGTACGCTGGAAACTGGGAAATGCCTGCGACGATACAGTCAGACTGAGTAAGACCAACAGCAGCAGCAGCACTGATGCGAGCAAAATGACCTCGTGAATTCACATTTCTCACCATCTCACCCGCATGGTAGCGCCGAATAGACGCTCGTCCACACCGGGGCACTTCACTCACTCGATCCTGAGGCAACGACTGACCGATGTGTGGCTGGCCTTTCTCGGCTTTCTCTCTCATTACCTTGCACTCTAATACAACGTACAACGTACAACGTACAACGTACAATGCAAAATATGCCCGGCGGCTGTTGGCCCGGCGCTGCTGACGTGCTGATCACGCTATGCCCAATCCGCCCTCGAGCTCGCCCCGCCCTCTCATTGGCTGGTTCGTGAAAATGCACCCTTCCGTCCAAGCGTCTGCGACTCCTCGTCCAAGGCTCCCAGGCTCCCACCCTGGCCCCTGCTCCTTCAGCCCTTGGCCCCTGCTTCGCATAACTGTCGATCTGCTCGACCCAATTGCCAAAATTCCTTACCGACATGAGCTCCATCGTACATTGCTTGCCAAAGAGGGGTATATCCTGAAGAGAAAAAGTAAAAGAAAAAAAAAAAAACCATGAACCCCCAGTCATAATCATACGGAGAATGTGACGCCGAGAACACCGCGCGAAATGCCAAGAATCTCTGCCTCTCCTCCTATCAAGTACATTTTGCTTCATTCGAAGCTGTCGCGCTTACCCCTCAGGGCGTTCCCCACCTCATCTGTCGCGAGAGCGGCCGACGGCGCCTCCACAACTCCGCCGGCATTTTCATTAATTGAACATCCTCACTTGCCGCTTGCCAAATCAATTCGTCCACACTGCGTTCTGGCTGCCGTCTCCTGTCATGTAGTCCTGTCTCTCCAGGTATGGCCCCCCGGCTGACGTGAGAGAGTTGTCCCGTGGGCCTTGGTTGACAGGACCGCCAGGGTGCGGAGGGTACGGAGCTGATGGATTGTATGCTGCCTGTCTCAATTGCACATTCGGAGGTCGCGAGGCGAGCCTCATCTGATTGGGATCGCTGGTGCTGTAAGTCTGTGGCCGAAAGTCGACCGTTTCTATATCGAAGCGCTTGGAGCAGCCATCTTCCATGTGTCTATGGAGGGAGTCAGTTGAGACTCATTTCAAGCTGGGGTTGTGATTTACCTTCTCAGTGTGTCTTTCCGTGCAAAATAGCGACTGCAATAATCACACCGATGATTCCGTTGCTTCATGTGAACGCTCTGGTGGTGCCTCTGTAGATCTGTCTTCCTCACAAACTTCTTGTTGCAGTCCTTTAGCGGACAGGGAAATGGGTACTCGCGACTTGCATCATGCGTTTCCATGTGCGCTTTGAAATTGTAGCTCCGGCCGAAGAGCTTGCCACAACCTTTGACGTGGCATTGAAAGTTTGCATCTTCCTTGGTGGTGAGCTTCCGCGGCTGTCTCGTACGTGCTATCGTGCTAGGGACACGTCGCTGCGTCTGAGGTCTCGCAGGGGGTTGTTCCTGGCTCTCCGAACGCCGCTCGTAGGGTGGGATTGGGAGAGCTGATATTGAAGGGAGATCCTGAGAGGTAGGATATTCCATCTTGGACCAGCCCATAGAAACTTGATCTTGGTAGAAGGAGGCTTCGAGACTCCCCGCGTACGGGCTAGCGGAGGTGATGAGCAGGTTGTGATCTAGCTGCGGGGAGCTCATCAGAATCGGCTCGGTCCCTGTGACATACTCTGGACGGTCCTCCATTTTGATCCTTGGGGTGTAAGAATGGATCGAGCCCGCTTGAGTGAAGATCTCCGAGGCTGGAGCAGAAGAAAATGATGAGCGTTGCGAAGCGGTAATTGATGGTACTGGGGATGCCGGCAGTATGGGCACCTCAGCTGTCTGCGCACCATATATATCATGACTGTAGGAGGCCGACACGGCCGGGTTAAAAGGAGCAAAAGGATCATACTCTGCTGAGAGGACGTTGGGAGTCGACTGGGACGACCTCGGTCCTATGTGCTGGTTGATGGAGGCTGTTGGCCAATTGTTGGTGGCGGTGGGTGCCTGCACGTGTGATCCCGGGCCCTCATCTTCTACAGTTGATCCAGGCAGTGGACATGAGTAAAGTCCCATTGCGGGGAGAGAATCTGGTGATCTGAAGCGTGAGTCACTCTGAGCAGGTGAAGGATACTCATAGAGTGGCTGAGGATTCGAATTGTATCGGAATGGTGAAGTAGGCGAGCCAGAGGATTGTGGTGTCATTTCCATCTTGACAGAAGGAGCGGGGAGTAGGATAACAGGTTGGAACTAGGTAAACTTGCAACAAGACCAAAGCCAACCGGCTTGATGCTCACGACTGCGGTGTTGGGTTACGGTGTTATCGAGGTCAGGATTGGCGCCTAATTGATGCTCGCATGGAAATCGCAAGGCGTTAAGCGGGGAGCAGGAAGGCTGAGGGAGCCGATAAGCTGCCAACTCTTGATGAAGAATCCCAATGAGCAGGCGTCGATCGTCCTATGGGAGGAAGCGTGTGAATGTTGGCTGGTGGCGTATGGCTATTGGCCGTTGCTGATTGTTGACGGCCGTGAGCTTTCGGGAGGGAGTAGGGGCTGCGGAAGGAGGATGAGGGGGATGAGCAGGAGGATTGAGGATGGCGATGAGGGCCTCTAAATGTAGGTCGAATAATGGGACAAACATGTCAGTAAACATATCGGGACTAATGCAAATCGCCCTGCTCTCCCAGAATCCAAGGGTGCGTCCGGCAGAGCTAGAGAGATGCTGGGCCTGGGGGGGGGCTCCGACACCCCTACCTCTGAGGCGCTCCCTGGCAGATGGATAGTTATCATTAGCATCAAGGCTATGATAGTACGTAGATACTAGCCCCGGTACCTCTGCACCGTAGATAGTAACCCTACAGCAGCTAGTAGCAGGTGCCAGGAGGCGGTGGCTGGTGGCCGAAGATGGCCGGTTCGGGCTGCAGGAGTAGCGCAGGCCGGGAATGTTTCGAGTGGGAATTCCGATGCAGAGGTACGACGAGAAGACCACGAGGTGTTGCTCCTAGCAAGGAGTGCTGCGTACAACTAGAAGCCTTCTAGGTTCCGGCTAGCCTTCTCTGCGTATTCTGTGACCGGGGGTCTGGGTAGGGTCTGGGAGGGTGTGAGTAGGAGGGGCTGGGACCAGACTTCGATTTCCCCGTCTTATCACAGCATTGATTGGCTGGACGAGCCACGAGGGCCATCATCATGGCGTGGAGGTATGGAGGTGTTCGAGGTGGTCGAGGCCGAGATGCTCGAGGGTCGTCGTGGTTGAGAGTGGTCGAGGGGCCATGGATGGCCATTCATTCAATCAATCAAGGTCAAGGTTGGGTTCGTGGTCGTGCTCGTGGTCGTAGTGACGGTCGCAATGACGGTCGTTGTGATGGTCGTCGCTCTCGTAGTGGGGAGTGGGGAGTGGAGAATGGGGAGTGGGAAGTTGTTGCTTGGTGTTGCTGGTGTTGCTGGTGTTGCTAGTGTTGGCCCTGGTGTTGTAAGGTAGTGGGGTGGGGTCACAGTTTGCCGATATTATTCCTGGACGGGCGTGGCGATGCGCTGCGGACACTAACAAGGCACTTTAGACACTTTTAGGCACAGTAAGATCAGTCCGGTAAAGTGTATACTTAGCACTAGCTAAGGTAAAAGTACTTCCAGACGCGCTCAAGTCCCCCAAGTCTTACTGCCTACAGTAAATGCTGAGACCCTGTGTCGTAGTAGTGTGTGCTGCGCTACGACGCTGCGACCGGACTGCCAGGCAGGGACACGGTCCAATTACTCCACAAGCAGCGGTGCGCAGAAGTGGACACTGACTACTGGGCTGTGTGGTACACCAGGCTGTGCTCTACAGAGCAGCAGGAGATGTTGCGGTTCTGCTGTCGAACGTTTGAGGTCGTTGCCGCGGCTCTGAGAGAGCCTCGAGTGCCGTTACCATGGAGTCGTGTTGTAGCAAGTGAACGCTGACTGCCGGAGAATGGGATGGTTCACAGAGTTAGTTGCTTGATGATGATTTGACTGAAGCTTGACTGACTGGGGGTCCTGCCAGGCACGACCTGGCATACCAGAACCACCAGACTCTATACAGTAGAGCGTCTCTGCTCTTTAGGCGCGGTATCGCGGTATTGCGGTCCGCGGTGAAGTCAGTCTGAACTCTTGAGACACCTGCTCGGTACTCTTGTCTGGTGTCCCTGGCAGGCATAGTAGCAGCCGACCTGGCCAGTCAGTGGCAGCAGTTGGTACGAACTTACGATACGTCCGTATGGCTGTGCTAGCCTGTCTTGAACAAGGCAGGGTTCGATATGCATGCCATTCCTTGTGGTATGGTCGTTGCCTGGTTAATGCTGTTCTGCGATCTTCGCCAGCGGCGTCCCAAACCAGGACTCGAGGATGTCAATCAGATCAGATCAGACGAGGTCAAATCAAGTTAAACCAAAAGAGTCAGATCGTCATCCTCCTTCCTCCATACCTACTCTACTGCAGAGAATAAGCGGCTCCGGTTTTGTTCACCAGGCTCCAGCACAGCGACGGAAGTACACACCCAAGGTCGTCAGGGTATCCGAGACACCATCACCTCCTTGATCATGGATGGCATCATACAGTGACCTCGTCCCGCGGAGCCTACCGGGCGGATATCGAAGGCATCAAGGATATCAAAGGTATCGAGCTTATCGAGCCGCCTACTACTGCTGTACTCCGTCCTGTCAGGCCCCCCGTGCTCCGTACTCCTACTCGTCCACGCCGGCAACACGTGTGTGGGCTGAGGTTACATGGGGGAAGACGGGGCTCCCTCCATCATTTCCAGACTCACGACTCCAAATAATCATGATCCCCCGGGCTACAGGACTTGCAGAGTACCATCAGTGTGCGCTCTGTACTCCAGGCTCCATTCTACAGTACGGAGTACATATTCCGTAGTCCCTGTGCGTGCGGAGTTTTATTTCTTCTTCCATGCGAGGCTGGGATATACAGCACCACTAACTACTGTACGGAGTACAGTGAATGTACCTCAAATCCCCTCTCAAGCCGAATCACATCATGGCTCCCTCGTGAGAGAAAGGCCCGCTACCATGTCGCCTCAGGCCATGCTGATCTATTCGACCAGGGCGCCCGCTCGTCCCTCGCCCGCCGTTACCGAACGGTAAGGGATCTACGGAGCCGTCGTGGAAGAATGGAGTCGTCGCTGATGACTGAAATAATAATAGACGAGCGAGAGAGGGGGGACAGAGGTACCTGGGTAGGGCGGTGTGGTCGAGTTACTCCGTACTGCACCGCATGTGGTAATTATCTGAATAATTTGAGTGTTAATTAATAGGTAAGTTGACGGCGACTGAAATAGAACGCGCCAACGTCGACAGCTGCGAGTTCCAGCGTTCCCATCACACCGCTGACCTCTCCCATGGATATGCTCTGCGTGGGGAACACTGGACCCGACGAGGGGATTCCTTATTCCATGATTCCCCCTCCGGCCTGGCTCGCAGGGGTTCGGCGGGACTGACACTGGGCCAGGTACACGCGCAGAAGCTGCCCGCTATCTACCGATTGACAATTTGACAGTGACAAGTTGTACGTACAGAGTAGTAGACTGCTACTCCATCACAAATTATTCACGGCTACACGTGGACGGCCCCTGCATCTCTGGTCCTGCGCTTGGCTGCCTCCCCTCCCCACCCTGCTAAGCCAGGCACGCCTATACCTGCCTACGGTTATACTTATCGATATCGCTGTATCACGACTACTTATCGTTGCAGTGCTATCGCAAATCGTCGTGCGCTACCGCCTCCGCTTGCTTTAGGAAGGTCCAGCCCGCTCTGGCGATGGTGACAATTAATTTCGCTCTCAAAATGGCGTTGGTTCATTCATTATTTCCGCCACGACCATCGCGGGGTTGCGGATCTCTTCGCCCGCCGACCTGGAATGATGATCGTGGACCGATTGCTGGGGCCGACTCGAGAATCTATTATCGGCATGCTTGTCCAGGGTCGTGGGTAGGTACTGTAATTCAACGTGATTGCAGATCTCTGGGTGCGTTTCCTGGGTCTTTTTTTGGATGGGACGCTGGGGATCGTCATTGAGGCCCTGCTCTTTAACTTTTGGTCGCAGAGCATACCTTACTCCGTACACCCCGTACGTAAGGTACTGTAGCATTTTTTTTTTTGGCTGGCAACTTCTGATCATATTCAAGAGCTCTTACTGTGCTATACTTAGAATCCAGGATTCGGTTCACGGCAAGAGAGTCTCTAGATGCAGATCCGAATCGGTTCGTCTCATAGCTCGGCGGCGCTGGCCCTGTACATCCCGATATAGCTACACATACCACGAAGTCTTGCTATACTCGGTACGCACGTAAGTATTACAGTTTACAGTACCTAACATAGAACATGAAGTAGACAGGTCGTCATGATATTTCAAATAACCACCAACATGTTCACCTATAGCCACCAACCAACTAAAATTCCACGATCCATCCAAATATGGTCTCTCGCACTCTGTATTTCAAATCAATCCCAACCCAACAACGGTCTCTCTCACAGCGTCCGTGGGCCGTAACAGTAACGACACACTTCCACCTCCGCAACTTGATACATCCGTAGACATCGTCGCCTCCTCCCAACCTCACCTCACAAGAGGATGGTGTGTGTACAACGTCCATCTCCAAAACCCCCACCACCACCCCGTCTCCAATCCATGCTCACAGATTCTGAAACACAACGCTGCTCACATCATCAAACACTCCCGAGCCTGCCGGAGAGCACCCTAAACCAGATGCGACACACACATGTTCTGCATACAACTCTCCACGAGCTCGCCTAGCGAGGCGGTGCCTGACTTTAACCTACCTTACCACCACCACCATCTGCTTTAGGGAACCACTACTACTGCACCCTTGCGGCTGTGGGTAAGGTAGGTAGTAGTAGAGCAGGGTGTTATTTTTAAAAATACTACCGGACGGAGTAGTATAGTAGTACTGTAGTAGTAGTGAAGAAGAATCGCCCGTCGAAGGATTCGCGCCCTTGCAGTTGTTGTGTGTGTCCAGTCCTTGCTGCTAGGGGGCCGCTGTCCACCACATGGCTGCCACCTGCACTCTATCTCTGGAGATGATGCACGACCCCCATCCCGGTTGTACTGTACCTCGTGGATACGCTTTTTTTTCTGCGAGATTTTGTCTCGTTGCTACCACACCTACCTAGGTATCTGTCACTCTAGCTCCACTGCGTGCTCGAGGGACGGGGGGCCACCTTGGTGTTGTTCTACCTACCTAGGGGCTTGCATGGTGTTACTCCAGAGTCCAGAAGAGCCATGTTTCGGATGCGAGGGAGACGAGGCCTCTCTCATGTCTATTGCTGTACTAACTTGAGGTGGGGGTTCTGCTTCACATGAGCAAGGCTCCCCAAAATATATCAAATCGTTCAAGGGCCAGCACTATCCTGGGCTAGTTCTACCTCCAAACAATGACCAACGCCTCATACCTATACCAAGCTGCTGCAAGAACGCCGACTGATGATGCAGGTACGGAATTCGTAATCAAGCAAGAGCCCCCTCCCCCCTTCTTCGCAAAAATTACCACTCGATGCCAAGAGATGAATGTGAACCTTCGCAATCCTCTTAGTTATTATAATCAATTGCCGACTGATCCAGCCTATCATCCCCTTCAAGAACACTGCCAGAGAAACATTAGTCCGACAGAAGTAGACGGGGAGACTGTGGTCAACTTACGAATACCGCTTCACCAGAACCCCTTCGCCGCCATTTTCCATATCAATGCTAAAAATATAGAAACCCCCGTCGCTAGTGACTACCATTACCTGAGGACTGCTGTTGCTCATAGCCACAACGCTTCGAAGCGGACCACCTGTGGAGTTGTTTCCCGTACCACTCTTGGGCAACCTGATGAATGCGAAATCCCTCATGGGTTCCCACATCTCTGTTACGGCTTGGGGTAGATACCCCCCTACAGCTCCAGCGACAGTCTTCCCCATCATTTGTGATGACCTTCTGATCATGCTCCCAAGAGTACCACTTGACTTCCTTGCTATGGCCGGGCTATCCGCCACTTCGCTGCCAGGCGAGGTTCCAGGGGTGGGGGATTCCGCACCACTGTCGTAGCTAAGTGCGCGACTCCATCTTCTATTGTCGGATTTTGATGAAACAGGTTGCGATGCCGCGGGAGGGCCCAACCGGAAAATATGCACCGTATCCGTCGTGGAAGAGACGCAAAGCAAAGTCGAGTTCAGATTGAAAGACATGCTGTAGATGGTCGAGGGATATGTACCTCTTCGAAACTGGTATAGCTTCGTTCCACTTGGAAGGGCGAACACCCTGATGATCGTTCCAGTCTCCGAGGCTGTCGCAAGTAGAGTCCCATCATTATTAAGAGCAATGCATGACAAAGGGGCACGATGTGCCTCCACGACATTCAATGCCTCCAGCTTGATTGCATCAAATATCAGAACTTCCCCAGACGTCGGTGCGACGTACGTTGAGAGTGGTGGCGCATGCGATGGTCGCTTATCTCCTGTATCTTCCCTCGGTTTTGGTAAAGGATATGCAACGTAGCACTTGTCCGATGATGGAGCCAGCGCGCAGATTGCATTAGGGTTGGGTGATGTTGCAATCGTGTATAGGAGAGTCATGTTTGCAATATCATACAAATATATCTCCTCTTCCAAAACCACAGCAAGTCGTTTTCGGTTTAACCTGACGGCGAGAACGGCTGAGGGAAATGTGAGCTCGCAGATTGTCGAAGATCGCTGTCAAGACTATTAGCAATGTGAACAGCAGCACGCGGGCCAAAGCGAGGAAACAGGCCGGGGCAGCTTACTTTGGTGTTCTGGATCACCAGGCGTCTTGGAGACAGTATGAGCGCAACCAACGACGTAGAAAACAACATCTCAATGATTGCAACATTTCCATCGTCGCTGCTGAAGATCTTCGCGAAGGGGTCTGTATGGTATATCCGAAAGCCTTTGGACGTCCCTGCAAACGAGCAGGTTAATATTGAAGTAGACTCATAAGAATATGGACATCGACTTACCCACCGCCAAACAGCTGTAGTCCTGGTTGAACGTCACGAAATTCATGGCCATTGTGGAGGAGCCCGGGAACGAGCTACACAGCGAGCCGTCGTCGAGCAAGGCCACTCCTCACAGGTAACATGCGGAAATCGCGTGCTTTCCAGTCGTTACTACAGGGGACGACTGCAAAGGGAAGCTGGACCAGAAACAAAGAGACCTTCTAACAAGTGCATTGGGTCTCAAACCAGATCGCTGGTCGGCCGTTGTTAATAGAAGGTGTTGATAATGGCGGGGTTGGGAGCTTGAAGCTTGGACTTGAGGTAAGATATAATAGCCGCATCCTAGTCCTAGGCCCATCTTGGTTGCTCCTCTTTATTTATGCCTTAGGCATAAAGTAAAAGCTCGGTCCAAACCTTAAATCTGCACGATTTTGAGTCGTCAAATGCGTACCCAGGTAGATAGAGATTTTTGCAGGCAAAGCAAGAGGTCAAGAGCCAGCCTCTTCTCACAGGATGAGAGAACAAAATGTTGCCCCCAGGATCTCAAAACCTCAGTCTAGGGGGAAAGCTCAAATACAAGATGATTCAATCATGGCTGTGCGTCTCCTCTTATCAATACCCCTCCTCCTACCCCTCCTCGCGCTTTTACTTACTCCTGCTAGACAAATAATAGCAGCATCGTGTCAAAGCGCAGCGTCGAGCGCCTGTATTTCCCCAATGAGCCTCACTACTTTCGCTATTTTGTCAAGAAGCCACAGAGACGGGCCCCTTTAATAAATCGTGGCTATTGGCTGAGGATGAAGGCCGTAGACCACGTCGTGCGCCAATTCCTAGAAACACCCTCCAAGAAACAGAAGGTGGTCATAAATTTGGGCTGTGGGTAGTGAGTACGAGGTTGTTGGTCCATGGTCACCACAATGATCGCTGACGAGTGTCCAGTGATCCACTTCCCTGGCAATGCCTCACGCGGTATCCAGCTGCTTGTAATGGTGTAAAATTCATCGATGTCGACTACAGGGAGCTGATGGTCAAAAAGCGAGATGTTGTGCAACGCACAAAGGAACTCACCGAGATGCTAACCGGGGTCGAGGTGTTGGCGGAAGGGAATATGTTGCTTCGCAGTGATCAGTATCTACAGTTGGGATGCGATCTGAGGGACCTCTCAGGCCTTAATCAGGGTCTGGCTAGTGCAATTGATATTGAGAACTGCCAGGTACTTCTCGTAGCTGAAGTTTCAATTACATATATGAATGTCGAAGCTGCAGATTCCTTAATACAATGGGCAGGCAAACTACCCCAAGGTTGCATCTCCTTTTCTCCTACTCATGTGTCCGAGACTGACAAAATCGTAGCCCAATTCTGTCTTCTAGAGCAGCTACTCCCTGACGGAATTGACCATCCATTTGCTAAGACTATGATGGCACATTTCAACAAACTGCAGACTCCACTCAGAGCCGTTGAAAAGTATCCCACAAAATCTGCACAGTGCCAACGTTTCAAATCTTTGGGTTGGAGCAACACCTTGGCATACAATTTGTGGGAATTATGGAGCTCTGCAGGATTCCTTTCTCCTAGTGAACGTTCATCATTAGACCTCATTGAGCCATTTGATGAATGGGAGGAATTCGCCTTGTTTGGCTGCCATTACATCTTACTTGTTGCAAACAACGTGTCCAGCTTTCCGGAAACTAGTGCATATGGGCCGCCTCAGTCTCCGACCATAAGCAAGTCTTTACATGCCGAAGTGGTGTATTCTGAGACTGCAAATGCACACGGCTATCGAAGGTTTTCCGCAGTGCTCCCCGTCAGGAGCCCGACCGGTCTGGATGATAGGGTTGGCAATTTTGCTGGCATGGGATTGAATAACAGGTTGGCATCATATGATGTGTATTCTACTGACACAATAAGGGATCAGCCATTCGATTTCATCGGCTCCAGCACCCCATCGAGTCGAATGTGTCACACTATTACAGACATAGGGGATGCTGGGGCATTGCTCGTTGGTGGTCGAACCTCGCCGGATAATGCTTTATCAGATTGCTGGGTCTACCATAAATGGCCGCGAGTATGGGAGCGTGTCGACGATCTACCACAACCCCGATATCGCCATAGCGCTATCTACCTGGGCAGCGGTTCTGTGCTTATATCTCCCGGGAGAAGTGATTCGCGGAGCATAGGAAGCACCTTCTTCATATGGAATCGACGGTTCGGATGGAAGAAGTGTGCTTGTAGTTCGAATGAGATGCCTCGTGCTACGTACGGTGCAACTTTCACGGTGTTCACCAATTCAAGTGCCTCAGAGCAGTCGATATCAGGACGTGGTCTACTCGCTGGTGGGATTTCGGAAGACGGAGTCGTGCAGCAAGAAATCTGGGAGTGGGAGTTACAGAGTTCCTTCTTGGGCCAGGTAAGCCGTATAACTCGATTTTTTTTCCCTCATCCAGAATTGGACAATCATCCGGCCTAAGACCCAAAACTTCAGCCGCATGAATATGTTCAAAAACATTTGAATGATTAGAAGGCCACTTGAGCAAGTAGGTATCTGCCTACCATTCAGCACGCAGAGGCCCAATATCTGAAAGCTTTTTGTTGCTTCTGATAAACTTGGGCTACATTCGGGATCCATGGATCTGCTAGTGCCCACTGATCGAGGGTCAATCTTGTCTTCTTTACATTGATATAAGAAGGGCTGTAGTTAATATTTGCGCCAACAGGAGCCTACTATAAGCTTTACACGCCCTTTGAAAATAGACGGAAACTCAAACCAACAAGCAACTATTGCTCGCTTCGGCGCAAGTACAGTCAATCATGACGGCCGAGCCTACGTTGTAGGAGGAATTATTAAGGATGAGATACTGAAGTGGCGGAATGAAGTTTGTTCTTTTCCTTCCCAGAAGAATCATTCGGAATTTGCTTCACCAGAAACACTCAACTTCTCCTCCTCAAATCCGCGACCGCTTCTAATTGGGCATTCTGTCGTATCCATCGGAGGTTCGTTGCTCATCATGGGTGGATCAGCAGTATGCTTCTCATTTGGCACGTTCTGGAACAGAGGCTGCTACACAGTCCATGTTACGGGAACCACGTCAACTTGTCAGGGGCAGAATGCCGTCAAGGATCCAAAAGCTTCATGGAAATACCTGGGTACAGGAGCTGCCACAATCACAGCAAGTGCTTCTAAACAATCTTCAGTCCCGCATAATGTCGACGACTGCCTTGTCAGTGTACCGCGGGTGAGAATAAAGTCCCAAGAAGAGTTCAATAACATTCTGGAGGCGAGAAAGCCCGTCATCCTTGAAGGATTAAACATTGGATCATGTACAGAGGTTTGGACGCCAGCTTATCTGAAGGAAAAAATTGGGTCTCAACGCGAGGTGAGCCTTTTCATTGAATAATTATTATCTGCAAACTCTTATACTTACAGCAATAGGTCGTTGTTCACCAGGCTACCTCACCACATATGGATTTTCAGTCCAAGAATTTCTCCTACGTCTCCAAGACATTCGGGGAGTTCATAGAGCAAGCTGACACTGGCGAGAAGCTTTACCTTCGTTCTTTATCATCCGAAAAGCCTTCAGAACTTCCAGCAGATATTGAGAGAGATTTTCCGTCAATTGCGGCCGATTTCAAACTCCCTCCTGAATTAACAACCATCATCGAGAACGCCCACAGCTCTCCGCTGCGCATCTCCGGGCCTGTCATCATGTGGCTTCATTATGATGTAAGCCTAATTCACCGCTACCTTACTTCTGCTGATTCACATGATCCAGGTGATGGCAAATGTGCTCTGCCAGATTCGAGCCTCTAAACGGCTGCTCCTATTTCCCCCCTCCGACATACAGTATTTTCAGTTTGAACCCGGCGCCTCAAGCTCGAGTATTAACGTGTTCGATAAGCTTGAAGAACATGTTCTTGCTGGTGCACACCCTCATGAAGCACGGCTATCCCCGGGCGACGTCCTCTTCCTACCTCCACTGTGGCTTCATACTGCCGTACCGACTTCCGGTATGAGCGTTGCGGTGAACGTATTCTTCCGCAATTTACCCACAGGTTACGCTGCAGGAAAGGATGTGTATGGAAATCGAGATCTACAGGCATATGAGAAAGGCAGACAGGATGTTGCCAAGATAACTAAATCCTTTGACAGCTTACCAGCTGATGTCAGAGGGTTCTATTTGCAAAGGCTTGCCAGGGAGTTTGAGCAGAAAGTTTGAGCTTTGAAAATTCTGGCTACCTGGTGCACGCCCGATGGATGCCCGGCACAAGAAGAGTGTTGAATATACTGCGGGAAAGACAAATCGCATACGAGCCCGAGATTCGTAGCACGGATGGATACTGATTCTGGGATCAGTTTGTCGAACGCCGCCTGGCGAATACAAGCCAATTTATCATCAGCCTCAATGGTTTAGTGAAGGTGCAGGATCGTTAAAATAATCTTGCCGTCTTTATCCTATACAGGTCACGAGTGTATTGATTGTAGAAGCAAGTTACTTGATATCATGTGCTAGCCCATACGGAATGCGGACCGCCGAGGCTAAACGTCGGCTAATTCCCCGTCTTATTTATACTACGTGTAGCTGTACTATTTCCTGGAGACCCCAACCATGATATAAACCCGGTGAGATGGCTAGTAGCCCCGCAACTTGCCCTGGGTCACTGATAAGTTGACAACTGCCAACTCACCATATGCCGTCCATTCGTCGGGAGAGCGCCAGCTCATAAGTCTAGGGAGATTGGCCAGAACCTTGACATCTCCAGAAGCCAACGATGGCCGATCTCATTCCAATGATTGATTCGATTCCATCTGCTTGAACCTCCCCAATCTCGTCACACCGTTTCTCTCAGCCTCCCTTTGAAAGCCTTCTTCAGGGGGCGGGAAGCACCCCCGGGTCGTTTACTTCATTCCTCTCAGTAATTGGATGGAATTCGACAGTTGGAGGGCGGCGGGCCCACTCCACGTACATGTAACCATGCCCTTATCAATCGCAGGATTTCATTCAGTAAGTGGGAGTCTGCTGTCTCTTCCAATACACGATACCAGAAATGCATTCTACAACCAGTCTGGACCATGTGGTCGATGAGGAGATAGCTATGGATAGAATCACATCTGCCGCTGTAGTGGAAGATGAGACGAAACAAGTTATTGACAGTGTCCTGGAGAGCGCAAGGGAGAAGGTCGACAGTACCGTCTCCAGTTCAAGTCGTTTGGAGCAGTGGAATGAACCTAGAATTAATGTCTATCGATACATCGCAGCGCTCTACACTTTTGTCATAATGGGTATGAATGACTCTGCATACGGGGTAAGTGCTCCATAAATACGGGACATCCTTGACCTGCTAATGATCTCTCGAAGGCGCTGATTCCATATGTAAGTTGCCCGTTTTATGGGGCCGAAACAGGTAATTGAGCATCAGCCCAGCTTGAAAGATACTACAATCTTGATTACACTATTATTTCGCTGGTATTTCTCGCTCCATTCATTGGATATACATTTGCCGCCATCCTTAACAACGGAATTCACATGCGCTTTGGACAATTCGGTGTCGCTGTTATTGCACCGGTGTGCAAGACCATTGCCTATGTCGTTACCTGTGTCCATCCCCCATACGCTGTACTTCCTATCATTTTTATGCTAGCTGGGTTTGGGAATGGTCTTGAAGGTGTGTGCTTTGAGTGCCGCGTTTACATTTGAAGAACGCCTCGTAGTTCAGAAAGCCTATTTCATTCCTCGTTTCAATCTAGACATTTGCGCTGACTTTATGGATAAGATGGAGCATGGAATGCGGTAAGGACACCCGGGAGCGAATTGCCCTTCCGTTAACAATTCATGATTGAAGCATACCTTACTCTAGAACTGAGCTATGTCCGAGGTTAAGCATGCTTTACGAGACAATGGATTACACCCTCTAGCTTCTACTGTCACATTATCAGGCTCTCATTGACTTTCTAATCATATAGTGGATCGGGAATATGCAGAACGCGAATGAGAGCCTGGGCTTCTTACACGGTGCGTACGGGCTGGGTGCAACTATCAGTCCCTTGATTGCAACAAGCATGGTTACGAAGGGAAACCGGCCATGGTATATCTTCTATTACATGATGGTATCGGTTGTCCCACTCTCTTCCTCTACTTCTCCATTCTCACGTGTGTCCAGGTCGGACTGGCTGTCCTCGAGCTTCTCCTTTGCTCTCTTTCATTCCGAGAGGCCACGGGAAAAGTCTACAGAGCCAAGGACCCAATCAGCCACTCTGCAGATGGCCAATCTTCCACAAAAGAAGCGGTACTAAACCCTATAACCTGGATTTGTGCCATTTTTCTTCTAGGTTACGTGGGTATTGAAGTATCTCTTGGCGGCTGGCTTGTCACTTTCATGTTGAAAGTGAGACACGGGGAGCCATTCGCCTCCGGCCTTGTTGCTACCGGCTTTTGGTTGGGTATTACCTTTGGGCGTATTGTTCTTGGTTTTGTCACGGGCAAAATTGGAGACAAGACCGCAATCGCCGCTTATATAGTCATCGCTATGGGTATGGAGTTATGCTTCTGGCTAATCCCGAACTTCGTTGCTAGTGCCATCTTTGCGGGGTGGTTGGGTTTCTTTCTAGGACCGATGTTTCCGGCTGCCATCGTGGTCGCGACGAAATTACTGCCGTTGAGATTGCATGGTGAGGATATACTCTTCTTCAATATTCTCTGCCTACTACTGCTCCTTGAGCGTGTCCTTCTCCGCTTCTCCGGTTCTGCGCCCTCGCAATCACCCGTAACTACATATGTGTTTCCTCCCAGGGATGCTAGAGTTCGTTAGAGTCACTAACTCCGAGCTTCTAGTAAGTGCCGTGGGTTTCGCAGCGGCTTTCGGGGGAGGAGGCGCGGCAGTTTTCCCATTCGCCGTTGGGGCTATTGCGCAGGTGAAGGGAGTACAGGTCCTCCAACCTATCGCATTGGCACTGCTGGCCATGATATTGGCACTCTGGTGTCTGCTGCCCGGCGGGTTTAAGAAGAGAGGGCTGGAAGAGGCGCGGGTCCTCATGGAGAGTAGAGAAGGCAGAACCGAGGAAGGGGGGGATAATACCGCAGGCATCTTATGGATCGGCGGGAAGTTGAGGAGGAAAATACTGGGCCTTGCGTAGGAGAAAGTCAACAGACACGTCAATGCCGTTCGAAGCCGAGTGAGGGGAAGAGACGCTTGGCGGGGTTCTCTCGAACAGAATACCGCTCGATCGTCCAACTCCGATACGACGATATCCACAACCACGATCAAGGTAAGACCCCTCTAGAAGAAAGAAGGGGGAAAGAAGGGGTAAAAAAAGGGGAGAAAAATAAAAAGGAGAGAAGAGAAACATAGATCCCAGGTACAGCAACAAGCAACAACGACATAAGTTATCGCAGCAGTTGTCTGTCCCGGTATCGCTGGTACGTGCCGTCCCATTTAGCAGAGAGCAACGGTCAACCCCACCATTAGCGCGCACAATCCGGTTGACGGGGTATTTCGTAACGATCGAACGGGATCACCATATCGTCATTGGTAGGAAATCTGCTCCCCTCCTGTGCAAGAGAAGTAGTCCTCTACGCTTTTGACTCGTCCACGGCCGGTGAAAAAAGTGGAATGCGATCATCCGACACAATCCGGTGCCTTATATAAAAGCTTCCCCCCCTCGCCCCTCTTTCAATTGCCCACCTCCCGCTTTCTTACCCTCAACTACACAACACGTCAACACTTCTCCCAATTCCTCGAATCGGAACCAAACTCGGACAAACAGGCAGTACGTTTACGGTAGACGAAAGTGTGCATCTTCCGCCATGGATTTTCTGCGGTTCAAGGTAATGTATACAAAGCATGACGGGTGTTCCAGGCGGCCCCATCCTCATCTCACGCTCTCTCGCCCCCTTCCATTACTCCGTCGAATGATTGAGTAATGTGGAGGCGGCCCGAGAGTGTCGAGGGTGGGAAAGCCTGGATCTGAGATTATACCGTTGAACTTGACCTGAGATAATACCAGCGAGAAGAACATGCTTCCCTCCCCCACCCCCTCGGAACATCCTGACCTCTATCTAGATCCACTGTCATCACAAGAAGGAAAGATGTCGACTGATAAGATCACCTTCTTGACTAACTGGTAAGATTGACAATCTCCGAGGCACCGCGGAGGAAGGCCTGGGGCTATAGGCGTGGCTTGAAGGGGAGAAGCTGATGGGTTGGCGATTGAACTAGGCACGCAACGCCATACCATGCACCCCTCTACCTCGCCCAGAAGCTAGGATACTTCGCCGATGAAGGCATCAAGGTCGCTCTTCTTGAGCCCAATGACCCAAGCGGTTCGTGCTGTCTGATCTGTCTCTCCAGAGGTCCGAAATGCTGATCTGCCAATCTGCGAACAACAGATGTCACCGAGGTCATCGGTTCAGGCAAGGTTGACATGGGCTTCAAGGCCATGATTCACACTCTCGTGGCCAAGGCCCGTAACTTCCCCGTCACCTCCGTCGGATCACTCCTCGACGAGCCATTCACCGGTGTCGTATACCTCAAGAACAGCGGAATCACCACCGACTTCCGCAGCCTGAAGGGCAAGAAGATCGGATACGTTGGCGAGTTCGGAAAGGTACGTAGACAGAGTCTCCTCGCCCACCGAGTGTTGGCAGTTTCTGTGGGATGTATGGCTGACTCACTCATGAAAACAGGTCCAGATTGATGAATTGACCAAGTACTATGGCATGAAGCCAAGCGACTACGAGGCCGTGCGATGCGGAATGAACGTCTCCAAGGGCATCATCGAGGGCACCATTGACGCTGGTATCGGACTCGAGAACGTCCAGATGGTCGAGCTCGAGGAGTGGCTTGTCAGCCAGGGCCGTCCTCGCACTGATGTCCAGATGCTCAGAATTGACGAGCTTGCGCAGCTGGGTTGCTGCTGCTTCTGCAGCATCCTGTACATCGGTATGCCTTCTAGACCCTTGCGAAGACCACCTCGGCAACTTCAGCTAACATCAATGCCTTAGCCAACGACAAGTTCATGGCGGAGAACCCAGAGAAGGTCAAGAAGTTCATGAAGGCCGTCAAGCGCGCCACCGACTACGTCTTGGCTTCCCCCGAAGCAGCATACAAGACATACATCGACATCAAGCCCCAGATGGCCTCTGCCGTCAACCGCAAGATCTTCGAGCGCTCCTACGCCTACTTCTCGAAGGACCTGAAGAACGTCCAGCGTGACTGGGAGAAGGTCACCCGGTACGGAAAGCGCCTGGGTGTCTTGGACGAGGACTTCACCCCCAACTACACCAACCAGTTCCTGGAGTGGAAGCTCGAGGGTGACTCGGCCGACCCGACTGGCGACCAGAAGAGAATGGCTGCCTTGCAAGAGGAGGTTGCCCAGAAGGGAGGCTTCCAGAGACTGGAGAAGGTGGAGGCCGTCTCGGCGTCTGCTTAAGTCGGAGCGAGGAGGATGGGACAAAGGATGATGGCGATAGGGAAAGGAAACACAAACGCGATTTGGATTTGAACCCTAGTTAAACTAGCTACATCACGCTCATTTTAACCACACCAATGAAGCCCCGAGGGTCCTCACACGGGTTACCACAACTGCTGAGAAGAGCATCATCATTGTTGAAAGAGTGAAGAGGTAAGGTACTTCTGTAGTACTTTTGTAGGAGAGGAAGACACGCCTCTATGCTTCTCCGTAGGGATTTACATGTACGGTAACCTTGTGGCTCATCTAATGCAGCACGGTTGCGGGTGTAGTTCTCCGTAGGCTGGCTTCGTCTTCATGTCTCTCGGTGTGGTAATTGTGGTTTATATCATCCTTGGATACATGTCTATTTGTCTGACGGGACGTATCTATTATTTATTTATTTCTTGGTCTATTTATCTCTGGCTCTCTTGATCTCTTGAATCTCCACGCTGCACCACGCGCGGGCCCCGGGCGCCGTACAAGGCGTGCGTGCTGTATCATCCTTATCTCTCTCCGCCACTGACACGCACCTATCACACTACCCCGTTGTCCCGCTACGCGCTCATCCCAGCCGCATCTCCTCAATCACTCAACACACAATGGAGTAGCCCAGACTCTCCTTTGCGTTCCCCTCCTCTTCCTCCTCCTCCTCCTCCTCCTCCCCCCTCTCTCCCTCAACTCTTCTTCTTCTTCTCCTTCTTACACTCCTCCTCTTCATTCCTCCCTCTCTCCTCAACCCTCCTATCTACAGCTTTCTCAAGAGAGAGCTCTCCCCCCCAGCATCTCCCCTAATTGCTAATTGGGAGGACATATGGCGACTATCGCGCTTCCCCGCCTCATTCCCTCCGGTCATACTCGCTCCTCATCTCCACGCCCTCTCAATCCCGCCCTCAGCCTCGACCATATCAACTCCTCGGCAGCATGTCCAATCCCTATTCCAAACAAGCATCTACCCGTCTGTCCTCCTGGCCCCGCCCCTGCTGAGAAGCCCGATACTCCCCCTCAATCCCCGCCGTCGAAAGAGACCCCCCTCCCGCCGCAATCTCTTCTCTACCCGCCTGATAGCTATACTCGTCGAACCCTCGGCTCCTCCACCATCTACGAAATCGATGCTGCTGGCATCGCGGCCGCTCTCGATCATCTTGCGAGACAGCCGTTACCAGACCCATCAGAGGTCTTCCCTTGGTTTCATGGCCTCCACCCCTGCAACCATATCCAGCAGACCTTCTTCATTGCACGGCGGCGGAACCTGCGGAAGATCCCAAGGTGTTGGCGGGGGATCACAATTGTGAAGGCAGGCGGGACCCTAGCCTGTTCGAGACTGAAGGGCGCAATTGCCCCGGACGAATTCCTCGTGCAGTCTTCAACCGGCGCCATTTTCCGAGATGTCGACCCAAAGGAAGGGTTCTCTGTCCGGAACTTCCAGATTCAAGCTGCGAAATCTGCCATTCTTTCGGATATCTTGATCTATGGCGATGACGAAAACGAGGTCCAAAAACTAGCGGGGGATGTTGCTGCAGCGCAGCATGCATGGCGAGAGAGTCACGCGGACAAGGGGCATGAATTTCCGCAGTACAACACTTTTGCTTGTACAAGTCCCTTCAGCGAATTCGAAGAGAAGTACCCGGAAATTGTGTCGATTAATTCCCATGGCCAGATGACTGGCCAGGTCATGGATTTCTTCCATCAAGAACGACTAGAAATGTGCACAATGACAAAAGCCTCCGAGATAGATCATAATGTATGGCTAGGGCCGACGCCGGATCCGACAACCAACCCTGCATTGCGGGGGAGTGATGAGCAGCAATTTGACATTCTGATCGAATGCAGTGACCTTGGGCGCCTTGACCCTCATGCACTGCAGGCCATTGCCGAAAGCAAGCAAGAGATGACCAAGGATCCCACATACCTCGAGTTTCCCTCTTCTGGCAGCATCACACCGCCACCCTGGTCCAACTCGGAAGCCGACGGGATTCTTGAGACCTGCAGGTGGCTCTACAATCTCTCGCATGGCATACTTCCGGCACCCTCTTCGCCTACCCAAGAGACAGATGCTGAAGGCGATTCTCCCATGCCATTCTCCTCTTCACCACCATCGAAGATACCCGAACGAAAGATCCTCATCCATTGCACAGACGGCTACACCGAGTCAACCCTCCTCGCCTTGTCCTACTTCACTTATGCAACCGGTCTCCCCGTTCACGCAGCCTGGCTCGACCTGCACGTCTCCAAAGGTCGCAATTTCTTTGCGTATCCCTCAGACGTCGCTCTCCTAACATCCATCGCACCTCGTCTCCTTTCTGAATCTCCGGTCCACGCAGATAAGTCTCTTCCTGACATACTGCTTCTCTCGAAGGATGAACCCCGATGGATTAAAAATATGGATGGCTCTCTTCCTTCTCGAGTTACTGATTATATGTATCTGGGAAACTTGGGCCATGCCAATAACCCGGGTTTGTTAAAGGAGATGGGGATACGACAGATTCTGAGCGTGGGCGAGACGGCTACGTGGGAGGAGGGCGAGTTGGAAAATTGGGGCCCGGAAAACATCATGGTTGTGCAGAGGGTTCAAGATAACGGTGTTGATCCATTGACCGAAGAGTTTGAGAGGTGCCTGGCGTTCATCGGTAGGTCTATTTTCATTTTTCCCCACCTGCTATTTATGCCATCCTCCCGAAGAGCGTGCAATGCTAACCACATAATAGATCGAGGGAGAAAAAACAAGATAGCGACCCTCGTTCACTGTCGCGTGGGTGTTTCGCGCAGTGCCACAATCTGTATTGCAGAAGTGATGCGATCGTTGTGGCTCTCCTTTCCCCGTGCCTACTGTTTCGTCCGCGCCCGACGACTCAATGTCATCATCCAACCTCATCTGCGTTTCTCCTACGAACTCCTCAAATGGGAAGAAAGGCTCCGGATCGAGAGGCACGGTGACGGCCAGTTCAAAAGAGAACTAGAGTGGCCAGATATCGCGAGAGAAGTAGCAGCTATGAACAAACCATATGCGAGGTGACTCACGAAACGATTTTGATTTCGAGAAGAGAGACCTTTATGATTTACGAATTACGACAACTTTATACCACATTCGCTTCAGGGATTATGAATTTTTCAGGCGCTGGGTTGTTATTACAGTACGTGGATTAAGCTCAGGGGACTTAGGCCAGGCAGTAAATGGATGTGCTCTTTTCCTCTCTCTTTTTATTGGTCTTTCACGATATTTTTCGGTAGCTTCGAACCAAAGCAGTGCTGGGAACGGACCTTGCCTAAGGATGGATAATATATGGGTGTTTGTACATATATGTCATGTCTGTGGCTTAATTTTGGTATTTCTGGGATGGGATTTCAGGGCGCCTAATAGGTTATAATGGCTTGGATGGATGAGCTAGCGTTCTGGAACGACACTCGCAATACAGAATTCTTGTTGGGGAAGAGGAATATAAAACCTACCTTTGGATTCTTGGCTATCTATGTTCCTTTCTGAAATCTGTGAATGCATCCGGCTTGGTGGGTAGCATTAAGGCATCCATTTTCCAAAAAATCCCAGGGCAGTCATTGAACCAAGATGTCAGGCCAGTTTACCTTGGGTTGAAGTGGTCAATTCTACAGATCTTCAAATACGTCGCCACGTTCAGTACTAAGAACAATAATATGTCTCAATTTGATCAGTTTCTACAGCATCCCCTACTCACTTTTTTTTCTTATGCACACAAATAGCAACGAGAAATACTATGCTCCCCTCCCACACACGCCAGAAACTCCAATTCCATGACATCTGTACAGGATAATGCATCTATCTATTCAACAACAGCCCCCCCTCCCCAATCACGTCGGTACTTGTGTGAGCACATCGAAAGCCCCCGTGCCTACTTTGCTCGTCCTTCCAATCACGATCCTGGAGCTCGGGCTGGACAGGTCATCCCAATCTCCGTCATTGACAGCATCGGCCAGGAAGCCCACGGTCGTCTCGAAGCTCATCTTCATAAACGGACTCACGCTCCCGCTCAGCCCGCCTCTGTTGAATCCGACGAATCCCCCTCCGCGGGTCATGAAATCGGCGATGAGGTTCAAGTGTCTTTGGTCGACGCTAATTGAGTGACTCTCGAAGACTCCCGCGAGCTCTTGAATGATGGTTGCACGGGCCGCCTCGACACCGTAGTTGTCGAGCATGGCGGCAATGTCATTGGTGGATATAGAGTTGGGGTTGATGATGTGAGGATAGTTTTGCATGGCCTTGAGATTAACACCAGTCGTATGTACGACTGGAGCTTTCACCTTCTTGCCGGTAGGGATGTCTTTGACATCTTCATCTGGGACATACGTGCACGTTCCCAGATTGGGGATCTGCTGAATGAGAGACTGGCGCAAGGCGTCTTCGACGATCGAAAGCATGAGCACCTTGGGAACACCCGCGTCGTATTCGAGGGTAATATCGCACCATTCTCCATTGTCTTCGTCAAAACGGAACCGGGCTATGTCAGTGCATCTCTTCATCACCTCGGCCTCTCGCTCTTGTGTTATGCCAGAGAAATGCTCAGGTTGGGTACGCTCTTTGCTGGGAGCGTCCTCCTCGTCTTCGCTGGCAGATGCCGAAGGGCTGCCACCAATGCCTTCGTCCTCCATGTCATCATCTTCATCATCTGCTGCTTCGGCTTCCTTTGCCATCTGAGCCTGCACCCTGTCATCCTCTTCATCGTTTGCACCATAGCTCACAGCTTGCGAACGATTGGCTCTTTGCTTTTGATTCGTAGCGTCATCTCCGCCATCGTCGTCGCTATCATCATCCTCGCCGACTTCTCTTCCAGTATCTGCCGGTCCTTCCTCAACCATGCCTACCGGGACTCCAATGTCTGGAGCGTTCCCGGGACCGTGCTTCTTGCCAACTGCTTTGCGGGTGAGAGATTGCAATTTCGGAGCAAGTTTACGTTCTAACGTATGGAGAACGTCAGCAATGTCGATTGCATAGGTGCTGGTGTATTCCTCCGAGGGGAAAAATTTGATGTGAATGTCGTAGATTTTAGCCTGGGGGTAGGCCACGCCTCGTCCAATGTGTTCTTTGACTGTGACCTCATCTACGACCTCTGCAAGAGATAAGACAGAAATGGCTTTTGCAAACCTCTCGCCATCCTCTGTGGACAACTCTGGATTGACACGCAGAGTCATGGAGGGTGTTGATATGTGGTGGCTAGCCGTCATGACAATTTCTCTCAGTCGCGGAATACCCAGTGTAACGTTTTTGGATGAGTGACCAGCCAAATGGAAAGTATTGAGCGTCATTTGCGTGGAAGGCTCGCCGACCGATTGGCCTGCAACAATACCCACAGCCTCACCGGGGTCAACGACAGATTTCAAGTACTTCGCAACAAGGACTGGCTCTAGAGCCTTTCGAATTCCCACGCCATCTGGATGCTCCTTGTCCTTAACCAATCCATCCGGATTGCTCTTCAGGTAGTCTGTGAGGGCGTCGAAAAATTTCTCGGATGTTGCATATCCATACTTTCCAGGATTGAAGTCGGACAAAACAGGATCGGGGCCATTGGGGTCATTTGCTTTAGCGTACTTGAGGGCCTTCTTCATCCGCTTCAATATCGTATCTTTCTGTTCGAATATGGTGCCGTATTTATCGTCGCCATACTTCAACTGTGCAAGCTCGGATATGAGATTCTGTAGGAGGAATTTGAAATCCGTCAGATGCTTTTGCTTCGTCACATCTAAGCCATCCTCCCCATACAAGAACTGCACCACAGAGCCATCAGAGTCCCGAACAGAGGTATCATATTCTACCTTCAAGCCTTCCATACCCTTGATAAGACATCTTTGCAAGTACCCGGACCGAGATGTCTTTACGGCTGTATCAATCAATCCTTCTCTTCCAGCCATGGCATGGAAGTAGTACTCCTGGAGTCGTATACCAGTCAAGAAACGATTGACAATGTAACCCCCAGCTCTGATATTGGTCTCAAAGGGTCTGAAGCATGGTAAGGATTTCCCGCTGACCATCACTGGAACACGACGGCCTTCCAAAACTTGCTGTCCGAGATTACAGGAAATGAGGTTTGCATTAACGGCACTTCCTTTAGCTCCAGAGACAGTCATATTCTGCATTTGATTCTTCGGGAACTGCTTGACCAGGCCCCCCGGAAGACAAGTCATAGTAATCTCAGAAGAGAGCTGCGAAGATTTTGCATTCATCATCATATCCAAACCTGCCTGCTTTGTATCGTCTCTGAGAACATCTTCCAATCGACTCAGCAGTTCCGCATCAGTATCAGTCGGTTTCTGGTCTTCCAATGTTACATATTTTGCAGCAACATCAAGACCGAGGCTCTGCGCAGCGGCCAGTTTCTCTCGGCGTAGCCGCTCGCCCTGCGGAGTTAATCGCAAATCGTCCATGCCGCAGGAAAATGCCCTCATGTGCAGAAACTTTGTCAGAAGTCGACCTAATATACTGAGAGCCTTACCCGCGACGGTGTGGCCATAAGCTTCGTGGATAGAGTGAATGAAACCTCCAGCAGCAGGCCCAATTTGTGCTTTATCGAGAATGCCGGTGATAAATTCTCCTCCTTTGAAATAAACGGTTCCTTCTTCTGAATCTGGCCCCCACCGATCTTTGGGGGTTTGTGACCTGCTCGTGAGAACTAGGGGCGCGCAATCCGCCGGGGTAATGTTCTTTAGGATTGTGGTGATCACCTGCTTTCCGGTCCAGCGTGGAAACGGCTTGATGATGGCAGGAGGGACGGTCTCTATACGATCGCCAACGATATGGCCGCTTTCAGGTCGCAAGCAGTTGTATATAAGCTGTTGATAGGTTGCTTGGTCAAAGAATGTGTCTCGGTTACATAACCAGACAGACACGGATATGTGGTCTTGAATGAGACCTCGCAATGGCTTTCCGGAGGTCGCAACGAGATATTGATGATCAGTATCTGCGATCTGCAGTGCTTCCGCGCGCGCAATTTCTGTCTGAGGGAAATGCATGTTCATCTCGTCTCCGTCAAAATCAGCATTATACGTATTGCAATTGGCATAATGCATTCGAATTGTCTTTTCCCCGGGTAAGACCCTAGCCCTGTGACCCATAATGGACGGTTTGTGCAAGGTTGGCTGGCGGTTCATCAATACCACGTCGCCGTTCGTTAGATGGCGGTGGACTTTCTTGTTGCGAGCCCCACTCCCACTGCTATTGGAAGAAGCTAATAGCTGGTTTGCCAGCGCCAACCGCTCATCAGGAGTTTTCGTTCGCAGGCTGATGACCTGGCCATTCTCATTCTCAATGGCCGCAGCGCCTGGCCATTTGTCGACGCCATTTATGACTGCCTGTTGCAGTTCCTTGAAGTTATGACTGGTAACGGGCTCCGGGTATGTTAACTTCTTCGCAAAGACTGGAGGTACACCGATCTCGTTTGTCTCGATATTGGGATCTGGAGATATAACACTTCGTGCTGCAAAGTTGACTCGTTTTCCCATCATGTTCTTCCTAAACAAGCCTTCCTTCTTCTCCAGCTTCTGCTTAATTCCATCTTCATTCCTCTTTCCCGCTGCACCGTTTACCGGATTCCGATCCCGATCGATCAACGAGTTGACAGCTTCTTGAAGCTGACACCCTGCCTCTTGGAGATCTTGGTAGTCTCGTGTTCGCAGTGAGTCGTTCTCCTTTGCCTTACCAATATCGTGGTAGATTTGGTTCACCGTCTCAGAAGCCCTCAGGATTAGCTTGTAGAGCGCGTTTTGCTGGGCCTCAGCGATCTCGCCGTCACCGGTTCGTGCTTCTGGGCGGTACTTATTTGGAGGGACGAGTAGTGTCTGCAGGAAGAACATGTCTTCTGTGACTTTGGTGGCCTTCTTAGGTGCCGAACGGGAGTTATAAATAAGAGACAAGATCTCCTGCTCCTTTTCGAAGAGCAATGTCAAAGACGCCTTGACCTCGATAGAATTCATGAATTGGTATGGTGCAGACGCAACCTTCGGTTTTGAGCTTTTCGTTGACTGGCCCATGATGACATCTCCTTCCTCATCAAGAGTATGCCCTTCTCCCTCTTCATCCTCCTCATTAGAAGACAAATCAATGTCGGCAATCCCCTCGTCAAAATCTCCATTAAACTTCTCCTTGTTCCCTTGCTGTAACAACTGGACAGGGTTTGCCGCCTTGAAGTTTCCTTGTGACATCTTAGCTTTATCCTTAGGGCTCAATGGTTTCTGGAAGATCTTCACAAAGCCGTCCTTTCGATAGCCGGGTGAGATCCCGCTGCAATTGCCGCAAGTCCTTCCTGCAGTGATATCTTTCATGAAATCCTTCACAACAGCTCGTCGAGCTTCCGCAACCCCCTCGTTTTTGTCGTACTTCCATTCCCAAGTGGATTCTTTGGCGGCTTGGATAGACTTTTTTACAAAAGCATTCCTTCGCCGAATGACGCTGTCAACGGCCGACTCCTCTTCAGAATCACTACTAACATTTTCCGCGTCCTGTTTCGTGTCCAGTTTCTGTGTATCATCAATGTTGTCTATCTCTTCTGCCGCACTCAGCAGCCCGTGTTGAATCAAACGGAGCTTACACAAGTAGCGATTGACGTCCTTCCGCGACATCTTGAGATGGTGACAGTAGTAGCATTTTGCTCGCAATAATCGCAGGATCTGGACCATAAACGTAGGGTGATATACGGGCATTGGCAGGTCGATGTGGCCCACATGTCCGGGGCAGGCGAAAGAGTCGAGGTTACATGTCGCGCAGCTGTTGATAGAGTTAGCAGGGTAGAAATACTGTTTCAAAGCTGAGCTGAACATACGTGTTGTCGCCCCAGGCTCCAAGAGCTGGATCGTACAATCCACCAGGGACCGGGTGTAAAAGAGTGTCAAATGTGAGGGGATTTTGAATCTTTTTCACTGAGAGTGCTTTGATCTCGGCGGAGGTCAGGAACAGAAAATCCACACTGCTAATGGCAGAAGGAACTGGTTGGGAGATATTCATCTTGACCAAGCTCCTTGCTCGAGTAGAGCATGTGTACTAACCACTGTCCTTGTGAACCAGTTGCTGAGACTCAAAGATGCGCATAAAATTCAAGGCGGAACCTTTTTTTTTTCCCGGGCGATAGCAGGTGATCACGTGGCCTTATCGAAGAGAATCTCGCGCGCGAGGTAACCTCGACGGACGACAAAATATCCGTACCATCATTCTCATTTCAAAAGTTCAAGAAGTCGCAGGTTCTGCACACTCCTCATTCCTTTCATATCCTATTGCCACCACGAGGGAGGTTGCCCGCTATGGATCGACGTCAAGCGTCGCCCATCCTCTCCCCGCGTCATGATGCTTCCAGTCGCGTTGGCAAGCCCCAGTCGGCAGCAGAAAAGCTGGCATCTCTGAAAGCAAGAGTAGCTGCAGCAGTGAGCAGCAGCAAACCTAAGAGTGGTTTGAATGCTGGACTACAACCAGTATCGGCGAGGGGAGGGCTTAATGTGGATCTACATCCTGCGCTGCAAGACCTTGGACAATACAAGCCGTCGAAGACCGTTGCCCCAAAGTTTGCGACCAGTATTGGAAATGCTCGTCCTCAGCCAGAAAAGCCAGCCCCGAAGAAACAACTCGATCTATCCGGTCCTTCGGCAGAGGAAACGCGTAACAACCCATATTTTGACATCAGTCTGGGGGGTCAGACAGCGACGCTGAAAAATAGGCATTCGAGACAGTTGGTTTTCAATCAGAAGGGCAAATACATTCAGCAGGCAAATGCTCTTCGCAGACAGGCTGCCCTCGAGGCTATGAAAAAGCGCATTGCAGAGTCATCACGAAAAATAGGCATCGATGAGGATCTGGATACAGAGAAAAACTACCTGGTCGAAGCGCCGCCCGACATCGAGTGGTGGGACGAAGGTCTGGTAGATGGCAAGAACTACGACAATATCTCCGACCCGAAGAAACTGAAAATCGACACCCCAGACTCTATCATTACCGAATATATCCAACATCCCGTGCTCCTTGAACCCCCTCAAGAAAAGAATATGCCCCCGCCAAAACCCATGTTTCTAACTTCCAAAGAACAAGCGAAACTTCGGCGTCAACGCCGAATGGCTGAGTTGAAAGAACAGCAAGCCAAGATCCGTCTGGGCCTTGAGCCCGCACCTCCTCCGAAAGTCAAGAAAGGAAACCTTATGAGAGTTCTTGGTGAAGAGGCGGTAAAGGACCCCACAGCAGTCGAAGCACGGGTTAACCGAGAAATCGCTGCACGCCACCAAGCGCACATTGAGATGAATGAAGAACGCAAGCTGACCAAGGAACAACGCCATGAAAAACTTGCGCTGAACCAGGAGAAGGATGCCGCAAAGGGCATTCGCATGATGGTCTTTAAGATCGATAATCTCTCCAACGGTGCTCATCGATTCAAAATAGCGAAAAATGCAGAGCAAATGGCTCTTACTGGCATTTGCATTATACATCCAAGATTCAACTTGGTTATTGTGGAGGGTGGAGAGCACAGTATTCGACAATATCGCAAGCTTATGCTTCAGCGTATCGACTGGACAGAGAACTCCCCGACGCGAATCAAAGAAGGTACAAAAGCGGAGGCCTTGCAGGATTGGCTGAAGGCAGAAGATGAGAAAGGAGAGCTCAAGGATCTGACCTTGAACAAGTGTGTACTGGTCTTTGAGGGCGAAGAGAAAGCTAGGGCATTTAGGAAATGGGGAAGTAAGGTCTGTGAAACTGATAGCGCAGCTCGAGATGCTTTGCAGAGAGCGAAGATGGAGAACTTCTGGGCTTTGGCAAAGAGCATGAAGTAAGTAATTGGTATTCCTGGGGCATGTAATCCTAATCGAAATGCCTCCCTGTTTATATTATCCCAATCAAGCACCACATACTGCGGTCATTTTATAGTGGATATCTAATGGGCGATTCGATTGAGCAAGCTCCTTAGCTAATTATCTCGTGTCTTACTAACCTTTTTATCTTGGGAATCTATTTTTCATCAGAGATTGACCTTGATTAGCTTCCCATAAGAAGTTCCGGATTCTGGATCTCAATGTCCATCCAATTCCATCATTGAGGCTTCCAATTCATCATCGTCAAATCCATATTCATCTCCCCTTGTAACAGTCTCTTCGTTGCCGTTTCTGACTCCTTCCATATGCTGATCCACAACACCAGCACCAGCCGTCTGCGCCTCCCTCAGCTGCCTGATACTCTCCTCTTCCTGTTTCTCCTTGAAGTTCTCTAGGTCTCTAATACTCCAAGTACTAATCCCTTCCTGATCTCTCGGCTTGAAAGGCTGCGCCATACCTTTCAAGAACTTCTTCGCGCTTCCCACAGCCATATCAGTGCTCAAGTTGACTTCGCTATCCAACAGCGCCTGATTGATCCATTTCGGAAGCTGATTTCTCTTTTTCAAAAACCTCCTATCGGCTAGAACCATGATCCCATAATCATCTTTGCCTCTGAGAACGCGACCCAGGCATTGCGCTGCGTGCCTCATGGCGTCGAAAGATAGGAAATCATTTTCTCTGATGCGATAGGTCTCCCGTAGAAACTCAAGACGTGCTTTCAGGATACGAGACTCGGTATATTGGAAAGGAACTCCAATGCAGAGCACAGTGCGCCCATATTGATGGTCAAAGTCAATTCCTTCGCTAACCTTTCCTCTTGCGACGCAAAGAAGAATCGCCCCACGGCCATTGCAGCATGCTGTGCGATATGTCTCGAGTGCTACGGAGGTCTCTTGTGCGTCGGGCGTCTCGACGAGGATGAGCTTATACTTCCAGACTTCGTCTAAGATTCCCATCCCCTGCCACATGCTAATGATGGATTCCATATACAGGTAAGACGGGAAGAAAACAACCATGCCATCGGGGGTTAATTTTGAGAATTCCGTAAGCAAATTGCCATAATTTCGAACAACAGAAGGCTCGTTACGGACTTGGAAGCCAGAAGATATGGCAACTTGATCAGACCCACGTGTAACGATCATAGGCAAAAACGAGCGACGAGCAAGGGTCATACTATAAGACTCTTGCACCACAGTTGTGAACCCTAGCATTTTTGGGTACATCTCCAAGGGCGAAATTGTTCCCGATGTAATAATTACGGAGGAAAAGCGATCGAATACCGGCTTGATTGCTATTGCTGCGTCGAGGCAAGTAAAATGGAGCACGGGGTTGGGCACCTCTGCCGTATCTGATTCATATGGCTCCAAGATTAGGAGAAAACCCTTCTCATATGTTGCGACGAGGGTTGCGAATGTTGCTACTTCTTGGAGAGGCTGGTAATCTTCGATATTGGTTAATTCAAGCGTTCGAACGAGAGATGTGAGTCTCTCTGCGCAGAATCGCAAGGGCTTCTTCTCGATAAACGTGTACTCCTTGAGATGGGCCAGAAATGAAGGGGGTGTCTCCGAGATAACTTGGCGGACTTTCATTCGTGTCTATTAAATGGTTACATTTTTGTCTACACGAGGTATAGAATTGACCGTACCTTGAGATACTCGACAAATCTCTTGAGGAAGGCAACGAAGTGCTCTGCTCTTCGAATATTGCCGGGAACAGCTTCTTTCAGAAGATCATCCGGAAGAGCTAGGTCATCCTGTTAGCATCATCGGGCTTACAACGAGAATAAAGACGCACCAGGATTTGACATGAAGGCATCCTCCTCCCGAGCTTCATCTGCATCCCTCAAGCCCTCCACGAGCTTTGCATACTCGGTTTTCAGTTTATCGGCATCGCTATCCTTCATCTCCGCAATCTTCCTCTCCAGGTTCTGAGCTCCTCGAGTAGCCTTCCGCAGCGAGTCCTCCGTGATATCGGTACTTAAGGCTTCGATACAGACATTGTCGATATTGTGCGCCTCGTCAAAGACAACGATGCAGTCTTTAGAAAGCTCCTTCGAAACTCTCTCGGCAATCTTTGGGTCAAGAAGGTAATGATAGGAGTAAATAATGACGTTGCAGAAGGACATCTAATCGATTTTATCAGCTGGGTCACCTCCTTCAAGACAAGACACGTACCATCCGTCTTGAAGTAAAATACGGACACTGCTTATGCTCCTCTCCGTATCTCATGATCCCATCAAGTGTCCAGACTCCGTTTGGGATGAGGTTATGCGGTTCCAAAAGATCGAGATTCTACCAATATTAGCCTCTTTACATTAACATGAGGGAAGAAACGGACATCGTGGTAAATGCACACAGGCACGTCTTCTCCTCTTGCTTTCTTCTCCTTCACAAACCCTGCAGTCAAACTTCGACATCTCGCATCGACCACCGCACCACTCTTCTCTCGTTTGACCGAGGGGTGAAGGCAAAGATTCTTCCGGCTCGTCAACCCCAGTCCGCGGAAATCTTCCTTGTAGCCCAATTGCTCTTCTCGATATTTCATAAGAGCTTTCAATTCTGCCAATGCTTTCTCGATCTCGGACATGGTACCTGAAGATCGTCAGCAGATCCGACGCCGGGGCTCTGAATCAGGCAACAAACGTGAGCAGTAGATAAGTTTCCTGTGTTCTGGGTAATATTGTTGGTATGCTACAATAAGGGACAGGAGAGACACAGTCTTTCCTGTCCCGGAAGGCATTTCCAGCACACAGTGACCTCCGGCGTCAAGGGTTTCTAGGTTGGTTGGTGAGCACGTGATGTGTTGGAGGCCAGGGCGCGTCTTACTCTTGAGATCGCACATGTAGCTTTCATTTCGTATGACAGGTAAGTAAATGAGCATGTCCAGTCAGTATCAGGGCGACCTACGCATATTGCTCTATCACCGAGGGGTCAGTAATCAGCCTGATGTCGAACTCGGCATGCCTGCTTACCTGGATAGATTCTTGGATAGGGAAACAAGACTGGCAAATCCCTAGCTTACTATTAGCAATACATCGGGTACTGGGGAATCATGTAATAGTACCCGATGTTAAACTTCATCTTGTCAGCTTCCTAGCAATTTCTCGATGGGATTTGGTTGAAAGTTGATGGGCGGGTAGAGGTTCTTTGGACTTTTATTTTGGCCGGCGACTCGCGAGGCGAGATGCAAGGCTACGGAAAAATGGGCCTGGCTTGCAGAAGGAATGATTCGCTCGTGTCTGCGATATGATATCCTACTTTCATTCTTCGGCGAAATACTTCAATGAGGTTGGATTGCTAGCCTCATTCTTCACGGGGACTATGAGAGTTGCAAGACGGAAGATACATGAAGTGCTGCTATTGCTGCTTACTGCTCAGCCTCGCGCGCGGATGCTATGTACTCGATCATGCACAGCATTCATTCTAAGTCATCAACCGATTATCTCCGGTCACTACCTTCAAATCCAATATTGTGTGCAACGGAAGATACTCCAATACTGGTGTGAGAGTTATAGGCTATACCTGTACTCCATAGTTCTGCCTACGCTTGAATACTTGAACACCAGTTAGTGGTGACGGAGATGGTCCTTTGTCTGTTTTACTTGGCATATATCAGTACGAAGATACGGCATGAACCTTAAGGTACATTGCGGCGCTCTTTATCACTGTACCCCGGGGCTCCTCTATACGGTATCAAGGTTCGTCCATACTACATAATAGTAGTGGTAGTAGTAATCGGGTTTACTTTTACACTGCGAAGTATTGAAATAGAAAGCTATGACCCAACACTGCCAACAGTTAGTAGTACAGGCTCAGGTCTCAGAACTAGAAGAAAGGCCCTCTAACACCCATCCATCCAAATGATATGTGTGCTGTCCTCGAATAGTAGATCCCCGAATACGTGTATTTGCCTAGCACCCTGTACCGTGGCCACCACCCTGTGTGAGGACTGTCAAAGAGGGACAGCTAGGAACCTAGTAAAAACCGTTCAGTGTATCTAAGCATCTATGCTGTATCTAAGCACAGTTAAAGGGATAACCAGGTGCCTCCTCCAGCACACTTAGTCTTGCAGGGCTTCAACTATCCATCTAAAATCATGTGTCAAGTGTAGATATCCGCCCTCTTATCCTGGCTATACCTTGTGATTGTTATCTGCGGGAAGACAAACAGAGCTCGCCCTCATGTGAATGATATGTATATCCTACCTACCTCAGGTTCGCCCATATCTATGTACACGCGCATTTTCGAATGTGTGTGCTACAGTCGTCAGCAGAGGTACCGGACATCACCGTCTGTCTTACCAAACAGGCACGGTCCATCGCGTCACTAAGTCACGGCAAACCGCGTCAAGATATGGGAAATTTGGGCGGCACGTCGTCATGAAAGAATTTGCAGAATGAATCATGATTCATGATTTGAGACTCAGCGCCCCACCGCTGGCCAAATAGTGTACACCCAATTGCAAAAGTGAAAGCAAACTCCAATGCCATATACCCGTGAAAACCCAAACCCAAACCCATTATGCGTCCCTCAAAATTTCCCAAACCAACTCTCAGATGCTGAGGTCAACATGTCCACAGACCGGCGGCCCAAGCCGAAGAGTGTCACCTCGAGATTCCGAAAGAACGAGACACGATATTCAATTAGCTGCGCTCTCCTCTGAGGCGGCGAGCCAGCTGGATATCCTTCTGTGTGGTTGTTAGTGACTGGCATCATGGTCCAAGGCTGTGATTGTACTAACGCTTTGAATTGTGACACGCTTGGCGTGGATGGCGCAGAGGTTGGTGTCCTCGAAACTATAGAGGCGGTCAGCGATGTTCGATGGGGAGTCAGTGTGTGCGACTTACAGAGAGACGAGGTACGCCTCGACGGATTCCTGGAGGGCACCGATGGCGGAAGATTGGAAGCGGAGGTCGGATTTGAAGTCCTGGGCAATCTCACGAACGAGACGCTGGAAGGGGAGCTTTCGGATCAGAAGCTCAGTAGACTTCTGGTAACGACGGATCTCACGAAGAGCGACAGTTCCTGGCTTGTATCTGTGGGGCTTCTTGACACCTCCGGTAGATGGTGCTGACTTTCTGGCAGCCTTGGAAGCAAGTTGCTTACGCGGGGCCTTGCCACCGGTGGACTTTCCTATATTGAAGATATCAGTGATGGGTTCCAGATGTGCGCGGACAGGTGGCGATGCTGTGTTCATGGAGGAAGGCAGGCCAACACTGAGGCTGAAGGCGATGCGACCGCGACCGCGATCGCGATTTCGCGACCGGCTGGCGCGACAGTGAAGGGTTTGGAGGTGAGATGATGATATGGGAATAATGGTTTTCACTTACGGGCAGTTTGCTTGGTGCGGGCCATTGTAGATGATGTGTATGGATGTTTTGATGGATGGGGTGAGTTGGTTGTTGGAGGGGGGGGGATGATGGTTGTTGTCGGAAGGTGGTGTTGAGTGGATGGAGAAGAAGGTGGGAAGAAGTGGGAGGGGGGATTATTTGTAGTGGTGGGACACTAGCGAGTGATCGTGATTGATTGCAGCTGCCTAGCGTGGCTCTGTTTATCGAGAGCGAAACAGGCAATCAGAGGGAGACGACGAAACGAGAAGGGGCAATACGCAACACAGTCTCTGCCGACCAATCAGGACGCGCGGGCCCGATTTAGAAGGATCGGTATCGGTTGTACCTACACTCCGGTAGTCTCGATACGGGACACGGGATACCGACGGAGGCGAGAACATGAGCACGTAAATCGTATTATCAAGATGCGTTGAATGCTATGATTATTATTAATTCTTCGGGGCGCTGGTCCTACAGCCGCCTTTACATTCTCATTCCACTGTATTTTTTTGTTCTTATTTTTTTTTTTTTTTTTTTTTTTTTTTTTTTTTTTTTTTTTTTTTTTTTTTTTTTTT